TTCAGGAAGACAGGCCCGGGCGACCTAACGTTTCTAATTGGAAGATAAAAGCGGGCTAATTTGATGGCCTTTCGAACCCAAGGCCAAAACCAAAGGAGAAGGCGAAAACAGGACGGGGAAGGAAGGTGGCGGCCGAAACATTGGCAGCTGGCTGAATGAAGACCCAGAGAGAAGAAAAACGGCCCCCGCCGCGGACATTTCGAAAGCCAAAAAAGGAAACCCAAAAGGCAGGCCGGCGGACCCCGAATGCGGTTGCTTGAGATCCAAGTCCCCACACCGGGTTTCTAATTTGTCGTCTAATTTACCTCCGGCGAACCCCCTCCGGAGTCTGCTAAACTGCTACCCGAATCCAGAGCCCCCCCATTCTAACCTGCCTGCTAACCTGCATCTAATTTTTTTTGGCCCCTTCTAATTTGTCGTCTAATCGTGTTCTAACTTGCATCCCCCTGTGCACACCAGGGTCGGAAATTCCAATGGGATTTCGTTGATGAAAAAAACATCAACGAAATCCCATTGGAATTCCCTACCCGTACGCAGTTAGATGCCAGTTAGAACAGGTTAGCCGACCAATTAGATGCGGTTAGCTGACGGGTTAGAAGACCCGTTTCGGATGGGCGAAGAACTTGCTTTGCAAGTTAGAAATGCAAATTAGAAATTTGGCCTTGCCGTTTAGTGCCCACCTTCCTGGGCAATTAGATCACCCAAACCCAACCACATCCGGGTGATCTAATTCGGGAAGCGACATGAGCAAGTCCCCCGGGAGCTCGAACAACACAACACTCACCCGAAAAGGAAACACCCACAACAAACCAAAGACAATCCCCCCGCCCGCCTTTATACCCAAAAACACGCCGAATTTTTATATTTTAAAACCCCCAAAGAAGCGGAGCGGCAGCCGGCTCCTGCCAAGCATGCCACCCGGCGCGCAACACATGGCAGAGACAACGGCGCCGATACAAATTAGCCATTTTTTAGCAGCCAATTAGGGCGGGAATTCGCCCGGACCTGTCTGCCTGAAAACGGGGAAAGCGGGAAGCATCGGCCCACGGGAAAAGCCGCGCCCCCGCACCAGGCGAACAACTACCCAACACCCCCCCCCGGCGCCCTCCCTCTGCTCACGAGAACACTGGCAGAAGGCGCCGCCGTCCGCCGCCTCTTGGGGGCAAGCACGTGAAAAGCGAGAGCACGGGGAAAGCGGGAAGCACGGGGAAGGCGCATGCAAAACACGAGGATGGAAAGCGGGCGGGAGGCACGGGGCGGGAAACACGGGGAAAGCGGGAAGCACGGGGGAGCCGGGAAGCAGCAGCCCGCCCCACGGGGAAAGCCGCGCCCCAAAACCATGCGAGCAACTGCCCGCCCAACACCCTCCCCCGGCGCCCTCCCCCTGTTCACGAGGAGACGGGCAGACAGAGGGCGCCACCGTCCGCCGCCTCTTGGAAGCTGCGCGCGAGGGGGGGCGGGGGCGGCGCAGATTGCATGCAAGCTAACGCGTGGGGCGCCGCTGCTGTCCGGGGGTGCGGGGGGAGGGTGGTGGGCCCCTGCGCCTACAAAGCTAGCAATGCCCCGCTCCGGCGCCCGTCCTCTATGTATCCACGCGCGCGGCAGGGGCCCCAACAGGCCTCTGCTCTGCAAGGCTGCGCGCGGGAAAAGAAGGGGTGGGGGCGCCAAGGCGTGCAGGGAGGAGCGGCCGGCGCGGGGCGCGCCGGCAGGCTTAGGGTTTAGGGTGATTTCTAGGGCCATGCGGGGCTTAGGGCTTAGGGTTTAGGGCCATGCGGGGCGCACCGGCGCGGCCGCGCATGGCGCGGGCTCTTCTCCTGCTTTCTTCCCCCGTCCAGTGGCGCCCGCCCGCTGCAGCGCTTGGCGTTCTTGGGCCTAAAGCTTTCCGCCTAGGGCGCGCGCCCAATGCGGGCGAGGTTTCACGCTCGCACAACGACGGGGGCGGGCCACGGGCTCCATGGCGCTCCACATTGGTTCTTTCAACAAGAAACGGCGCAGATGCTTGGTCCCACCCTGCATCGGAAATCTTTCCCCTTGCCCATCCTCTGGCGTTTTTCTTTCCCCCCTGTCCACTCGTTCGCCCTCCCACTGCGCGACATAAGCTGCGGCCTTGTAATTTCTTTCTCCCGAGATATCTCCATGATCCGAATCCCAATGATGAGATTCATCGGAATCTTAATCCTTCCTGTTATTCTATCATTCTGATGGAATCAAAAAAATGAATCCAAATTTAGATGGATTATTTTTATTTTCATGGAGAAAATAAATATATCATTCTTTTTTCTTGTATATCTGGATATATCATTGATTTTTCGAGAGCCGAAGATATCCATCATTCAATTCTCACATCAATTCATCTCTATCACCATCAATTTTGAAAAATTTTGACTATTTTTAGAGTCATTTTCTATTGCAATAATTTCTAATTCTTCAAACGACAACCAACAATAAATTCATGAATTTGCAACGATTATTTCCATAAAAATTCAGGAAAAAAATCAAATTCTTTCCTTCAAAATAATTGCTTCAATATTCACTCTCAAAGATCACAGATCAGATCTATATCACCCCAGAATGATACACATCCAAAATCCAGAAAACAAAATTTCGATCTCGATGAATTTTTGGATATTATCATTTGCAATTCATCGAGAAACAGAATGAGTCAACAAACAGAAAATTAGGATCTGACTTTGAATGCATCGGGAATATCCATTCGGGTGTGTTGATTCGTTGCATGTTAGAGGAACACATATTGGTTTGATTACTTTTCGTTTTTCATTTGAAGATTTCTGTTTCTTTCCTGTCTCCTATGTTGTTGTCCTCATCGTCTAGTCAATGTCTTGTTTGCTCGCCGAAGTGTCCGTCGACTTCTTGCAATTGATATATAAAGCGACCAGTATAAGTCAAAGCCTTCGTACAAACGTGGATCTCGTTAAACTTCCAAACTACAGCTCGAGCGGCTTTCACATTGCAAGAGATCCTTTCGATAGAAATCATCGCCACCAGATTCGGTCTTGGACATCACAGTTGTTCTGGCAAGGCTTTCTCGTGTGATGTCGCAAGAACCTTCAACCGCTCTTTTTCCTGGCCGCGAAAGCAATAGCGACGGCAACGAGCCCGAGCAACACGAGGGCTATTACATCGCCGGAGAGCAATCCCAGCAGAACGAGCGACGTCGTCACCAAGAGCACACACACGAGGGCGCGGAACGTGCTTTCCGGCATGTACCGGGCAAGTCGATTGCCGAGGTGGGTACCCAGAAACCCGGCGAGGATCGGCAGGAGATAGAGCAGCAGGCCGTAGTGCGTGACTTGAATGTGTTGGTGCACGAAGGCGAGCCGCACGTAGGACTCGGCGATGACGGACAAGGGAAAGAGACACCGTGCGAACGCGGAGGGAAAGTCGGCCGCGGGAAGCGCCAGCATGAGTAGCATGTGTGGTGGACCGCCGAGACCGACCATCCCCAGGAAGAACCCGCTCACCAAACCGGTCAGGACCAGGCTAACCCGCACGTAAGGCTTCAAGTGCATGCCTCCCAGAAGTGTCGGCGACGGACACGGAGGGCAGTTTGATGATGGATGTGGTTCATCTCCTGAAGACAGCTTCCCTTCATCTGTGACTACTACTGCAACAGCATTTTCTGTTTTCCCTTCATCTTTCTTGCCTTCGGCTGCATTCTGTGGAAATGCGCGAAGTTCAGGAGCATCGCAGCGATTTTGTTCTTCCAGCACTTCATCACCACGACTCGTGGCGCGTACAACTTCGTGAATGCGACAAGAATTGTCACACTCCCCGTTGTAGCCCTGCGATATTTTTTCGCAGGACTTCTTGGCTTCTGAGTGGAATTTCATCGGGTGCAACAGCTCGTGGGTCTCCTGCAGAGGACTCCGGTCCCCCGCCAGGCAAGCGGGTTTCGCGATCGTGACGTCTTCTAGTTGTATCACGTTAGTACTAGAATTCGCGGAAAATAGATTTTGTGCTCCCGCTGCACCAGAGGAGACCGGTGTAGAGACATCAGACGAGGCGCCATCACTCGCTGCTGAAGGTGAGAACGCCAATGTCGATAAGGTACGGACGGCGTTTGTTCTCGGCGTACTTTGTTGCGTACTCCACGTCAGGGCTGTGTCGAGGTGGTCAAAGGGGGTCCCGCTCGTATTGATTTCCATCTCAACCTCGGACTTCGTAGCAGGTGTGGATGTGGAGGTTAGTGCGCCTGAAGCGATAGGGTCAACATTTTCGTCGCAGCCAGCGACGCTATCGTTCTTATCAGAACCGATAATTGCGTTGCTCTTGTCCTCCTTCTCGCTTTTGTTCCGCTTTCTATACTGTTCCAACAGAAACCAGAGGGCTGCGAGCCAGAAAAACACATGCGCCAGGAGTGTGCGGATAACGTCGGCGTCGACCTGCCTGTAGACCAGCGCACCCGTCGGCGAGGCCGCCAGTGTGGGAACCGCCACGAGCACTGCGTACCGCCACACTTCGGGAGCCGCCTTCCGCTGCAGGTACACCAGGTAGGTGCCTTGGAAAATCTGCAGCAAGGTGATGAGCCCGACGAAAAAATCGTATTCTGCAAACGGGTTGTTGTTTCGAGTGTCTTGAGGCTGCACTGCTTCTGCGCCACGACTCGCGGCTATCACGGAGTTGTTACTACCTTGTGGACCAGAAGTGAGCGCCGAGACTACACTAGTACTGTCGCCGTTGCTGCTGCTTGTGGTCCCGGTACTTGGAGCTGCGGTGCTTGGAGCTAACGGAATAGAAGATGTACTACTGCTAGTGCCGGCGGATGCGTTCGTTTCCCAAATGACATAGCCCAGGTTCCAGCAACACAACATAAAAAGAGTGTCTCCCACACCGGTCACACCGCGCACGAAGGACGCTCCGAATGCAGTCACAACCACTGGCAGCAAAAATCCCGCGGGAGATATTTCGTCGCTAATTAGGGGGACCATGGATGGCAATGGTTCTTCACACTAGTAGACCCCACAGTTATCAAGGTACTACTTTATTGAACTTGAAGAGCTCTTGCGCGAGCAAAAAGACGGCGACTACACCTGCTCGACGCGGATACTACGTGAATGTAAAGGTGGGACAAAGTCTAGCCGGTAGACATTAGTACGAGGAAAATCAAAATGAAAATGGCAATGGGGGGCTTGGAGGAGCTGCTGAAAGGAATAAAACATACATCCTTGATAACGAAAAGTTTCGCATGGCATCCACCAAGAGAGCTGCAACGACTACGAGTCAGTGTTAGCGTACGCAGGGACAATCGGACGAAAACATTAGAGAACGTCAACGTAGTGAAAATCGAACGCAACCGAACATTTTAGAATCAGAAAAGCAATACAACTTCTGTCATGATGACAGAAGCATAAGCAACCGAACTTTCAAAACCGGAAAAGCCGAAGTCATTTTTGTTTACTACATTTCGATGCCGTGGTAGGCTCTCGTCAACCGAAATACTATTTACTCCTTAGGCTTAGTCTTGCACTTGCTGTTTCACTACCGACGCAGCATGTAGTACGGGGGAAGCAAACTCGATCAACTTGAAGCCGATGAGTCCGAATGAACGAACTCTTTTCATTTAACCGATGGCACTTGAAAAAAAACCTGTCGCGATCATCGCCGTATATTTTCGTGTTACAGCATGTCTTCGTGGGGTTACTTATTTTGCATGTGTAGTTAATTCGTTTTTAGTGTTTCTTTCATCGCCTCTAGTCCCACCGTTCCTCGATAAACCTATGTCGCGCTATGTTTTTGTCCTCATCAATAGTGTCTGTTTCTATGCCTATGAGTCTCAGGGTTTCGCGGAGACCGCCCTGATGCATGACGAGGTCCATGATTTCTCGCTTGTCGGTCAAAGCCAGCACGTCGGGCGTTCTCTCGGTCACCAACTCTCGCAGCCGCACTCGTGTTTCGTCAATCAGCTTGGGGGAAAAAAGCTGCCGCAGGTCGGAGAGGCTCAGGCTAGAGTCGTCGCTTATCCGGTCCAGGCCGTGCTGCCTGTGTATCATTTGAAAAGCGAAGATTGTACGGGCATGCGCGGCCTGTTAAGGACATTCATAGTAGTCGTGCAACGTGAAAGAGAAAATGGAGCGGCAAAAAATCTTACTTGCCACTTACCTGACGATTGTTTTCAAGACTTTGCGCATCTGTTTCAAGCTTTTGTTCGTGCCATCCCCAGCACTATCCTCGGTTTGCATCGGAACCACAGTGGACACAATTTCTCGGGGGGACACAACGAAGGCGTGGTTTCCGAATTGAACTGTCACTTCCAACCCGGAATGGGAATCGTCCACACAGGGCCTGCGGGTGTCAGTGCGAATCGCGGCTGCGGCAGTTGCTTTCTGTTCGAGCACATTTTGTTCACTAGCAGAATCTCGTCCTTTATTGAAGATCGAGCCGGGTCCGCGAGTCACTTCCTGCACCGTCCCCTGCTTCCCCGCAGCAATACATTTGACCGGTTTTTTGCTGCTCGGTTGGTTGCAAACAGACGTCGTCAGGGTGACGGGCTCGCCGATGGCAAACATGAATGTAGAGCCCGCAACTGCGGTGAAGAATCTGTAGTCGTAGTGCGAAATTGCATCAGAACGAATAGGCAAGTCGTCAAACTGCTTGTCAGTAGTTGCAAGCGACAGCGCAAATCAGTGAAAAAAAAATGGCATAATACGTCCACTCCAAGGTGTGCAGTGCCCACGGACTCAAGTGCACAATTCGCTGCAACGGGCGTAGCATCTGCTGCTCGTAGGCGAAAACCACCTCAATCGCTTCCTGCCACACGTGCCAGAGATCGGACGCGGTGAGCCGCAGCGGCCGGGAGAGTAACCGCATTGACAACGCGTCCACCAGATGTTGCGGGGCGCAGGGGACGTGATTCGTCGTCGCGCTAGAGGTCGTGACTGGTTCATCTCGTGAGTCATTCAGTATCCTGCTGCACCGGTTGTCTCCGAGCAAACGTGCCACAATTCTGATGTCATTTGCCATCTGGGGCAGCAAAGTCGCAATCGAATCGCTATGTCGCTGCGCCTCCTTCCTCCAATCAGACAAGTCGACAAAGAGGGTAGCCCGGCTCCGCGGCAGGTCGGTTTTGCTACTGCGGAATTCAAAAAGAATGTCGAGGTACTCCACTAGCCGGGACGAAATTTGCGTCAGGGAGCTCAGATCTTCCGGTCGGTCAATTTCTATTGTCGTGTCGACAGAGATTTTTGAGTTGAAATTGCCCTTTTCTCTGTTATTTTCTGTTCCGAAAGGAGCTCGACCAATAGTACCGCGTCTGCTCATCATCTTCACCATTTTTGCTTTGTAAGCCTTTGCCACCAAGCGCAACGCCATCTGGAACTCGGAAATGTAGTCCGTAATCTGCTGCTGCACTTCGACCGCGATGTCGGGGAAGGCGAATTGGAACGGGACCGGGGTCCACACGTGCTGGAAGTGGGATTTTTGGGATAACGAGATTCCCTCTTGGTACAAGACCTGGCGCAACAGCTCTAAATTTCCCTGGTCGAAGTAACCCTGTAGAACGCGCTGCAAGCGGTTTTTCGTCGGGCCGAAGCTCAGCGCTGGCGGGGCGTCGTCGTGCTTCGGGTCCCCGCGGCCTTGGTGGAGAAGCTTCGCAAGAACAGGCCCTGGTGCTTGTTTCTGGTGTGGGTCTGCAGGCGAAGTAGAAGCACTACCACTAGCAGTTTGTTGGTCTGCATGCGCAAAATCATGTTGTATTTCCTGTTGCTCTTGTCCAATCTCTTCGGAGTAGTGCTGTCTCAGCTTGAAAAACTCGTGGACCACCTGCTCGGGCCGGGTGCTTTCGGCGACGATGCGCGAGTAGGACAATGCAGAATCGAAAGACGCGAGGAAATCCAGGTTGAGTCCCTTCGGAGCCTTTTCCAGCAGCCGCTGCATGGCAGGGGAGGAGGCGCCGTCAAGGATGGCTTTCTGCCTCTTCACCGGGTCCTGCGACAGGTTTTCCTGCGACAACCGGTCCTGTGCGGCTGGCCCGCTTGTTCCACCGGTGGCATTTTTCCCTTGCTTCTTCCTTTGTTCTTTCAAAAACTTGCGCTCTTCGCGCAAAATACGGATGAAGAATTTTGTCCACGTACCGTACACGGGAAACTTCACTGCGCGCTCGACGACGTAAACGAGGATGTCGACAATCAGGTTGGGATCTAGGCGAAGGAGATCCAGTTTTACCGTTGAAGACTGCACTCGCGCGGCGGCTTCTTGCGTCCCCTGTGGCTTGTTTGATTGATGATCCCGCGAAAGAGAAGGATGTAGTTCAGCACTTTGAATAATTTCTCGCTTGATCGCATTTGGGTCGTCTATTTCATCCTCAAACTGGGAAGTTCCGGCGGCTGCAAACGGATCAACATAATTTTTCGGCTTTTGCGCCGTCGGATCGTGACCAACCGTGTATGCCGCGGCTCCCATTGCCGCGTACCGCCTGCGGGTCCTGGCGGCTTTCGCCAGCTGGTCGGTGTAGGTTTGATCGTTTGAACCCCCAGCAGCAGCATTTTTCCTACTTCCTTGGTCCACGGACGAGGGAATTCTCCAGGTGTCTTTCTGCATGAGCAAGCCGCCCCAGCTTCGGCTTACTTCCACGGGCACCGTCGCGAAATCTGTGCTCACAGTCTCGTGCACTCTGTGCTGAATGGACGTTTTGTCTTGCAAGGAGTTCGGATCGTAGTCGCTCATGCGCGGCCACAAACCCCCCGCCTCCGCGATATAGTCGGGAATGACGATTTTTTTCTTGCTTCTCTTGAAAGTCGCGACCTTCGGCGCTCGGTGCCGGTTCAGATCAAGGGTTTGGGTCGGAGGCGCACCACTGGAGGAAGAAGAATCGATTGACGATCGTGAAGATGCAGCGTTCTCAGCAGGTTGTCCTCGCGACGAGGCTGAAGGTTTCGGCGATGTTGTACTAGTTGTGCTCGTGGTTGGTAAAATTTTTGATTCCGTTTTCAATTTCGGCAGCTCGTCATCTGTCATCCAGGGAGTTGTTGTTTGATCCAATTTTACTACCACGCCCGGACAACAGCCAGAAAACACCACGCGGATCAGCGTCTGCAAGACCCGGGGGTCCACCCACCAGCGGAGAAGGGCAAGAATGCCCGAGGCGACCTGTCCCTGCACGGCGTGGTGGCGCAAGATCGATGCCCACTGCGCCTGCAGTTTCTTATCGTTGTCATGCGGCATCAGTTCCATCGTGATTGCGCGGACCAACCACTCGTAGACGAAGGAATACTGCTCATTGGATCCGGCGGTGGTGAACTGCAGGTCTTTCCGATTTCCCTCCAGCCGCCGGAGCGCGGCCTCCACGCGGCGCAGTTCGTTGCGCGCCTTGTCGTCGCGCGATAGCCGTAGTGCCTCCAGCTGCTCGGTGACGGGGTCCGGACCCGCTGGGCAGTGCTTTTCCGCCTCAGCGTCGTCAAGCGGAAAGCTGCCCGGGTAATCCGGGTCGGAAGGGGGAATGTCGGGGTCAAGTTCGAAAGGATTTGGTTTTTCATCTGCCGGTTCTGGTGTGCGGTTCAGTGTTTCTGCCACCTTCCTTTTTATTTTTGCGTGGTCCTGTTTTGCGTGGTCTTGCTCAACGGGATCTTCATTCTGCCGTTTTTCTTTATTCCAGTTTTCGTAGTGTCTTGCGTCTGCAGCTGACATTGCGACAGTCACTGACCCGAACTGCATAGTCACCATGTCCTGCTTTGACAAAATTTTCTCTGCGTCAGCTTTACGTGCGGCCGCAGAACTATAAGGCTGTTTTTGTGCTTGTCGTGCGGCGGTGCTGTCGGAAGGAGCAGCAGCTCCAGCTCCTGCGTTCTTCATGGGTTCTTGCTTCTGTCTACCGCTTCCCTTTCCCCGTTTCTTGCTCTTCGTTCTAAGCTCTCTTTCTCGCGCTATTCTCTTTATGATCGACCCCGGATTTTCGACCTCGCGATCCAGGTCGACGCCGAAAAGCAAGGCCCGAAAGCGCGGCGCGCCAAGCAGGCATGCAAGACGATTGCGCGAGTTCAGGTTGATCAGATTTCGTTTGGCCGGCAGCAGGTTGGCGGATGCTGGAATCGATCTCTGTCCCCTCGGGTCGGAGGTACTAGTACGTGCAGTTCCAGCAGTTGTGCCACTGACTGTTACAGTTCCATCTGCGTGTCGTGCCTGGCCCTTTTTCAACAACGCAATCCGCTTGAGAAACGACTGCAACAGCCTCCCCTGAATGGGCTTCGTGTGCGATTCCGGCGCATTTCCGACCGGGTGGTCGAAGAGCAAGCGGCGAAGCGCCTGCTCATCCAGGGAGAGCGCTTTGCTCGCATGCGTCTTGATCCACGTGTCGCTGCGCTCGGGCAGGCGTGGTTTATTCATCTCTGCCGACCCCGAGAGTTGTGCCAGATGTGGTTCATTCCCTTCGCCCCGGAGGGGAGCCACACAAATATCGGCGCCTAGCGCCAGGTGACTTGTCGGGAGTAGAAAAGACCAGCCGGCGTCAGTCGGAAGGAGCCACGGTTGCTCCGTCGAAGACACGTAAGACGAACCATGATCTCCCGCACTGCAGTAGTTCTGACGCTCAAGAGAATCTACTACGGGACGATCTGCAAGAACACCAGATGAAGCCTGTGCGCTGCTTGATCCCCCGACTACGTTTTCGCCTTTTATTCTACTCTCCGGGTCCGGACGAAGTGCGGATGCGTGTAGCGAGGTGTGAGTCTCCGTTGTTTCTACTGGCGACGGTACTATTGGCCGCTGATTTATTCGACCTACAGACGAACCACGAGCGAGGAACCCCGCACATTCCTGCACACTACTGGCCACTTCCAGCTGCGTACTGAGTAACGGCGGATCGTGCCTTTTCTTTGCTTCCACCTCGGCGCGACAGCTTTTCCGATCGGCGTTCACCGTCGCTTTCACATCGTAATAGGCGGTTGGGTAGTTTTCTGGAAATACATGCTCGGATGAAAAAAGACCACTTCTATCCGGTTTTTCCACCCCGACGGGGAAGAACCGCCACCAGTTGAGCAGCTGCATGTTGTCCGTGCCGAAGGAGTTTCTCAGCTCCTTCTTTGTCAATTTCCGGAACGCTTCGTCACTGATTTGAATTTTCGGCACGCGCAGCAGCGAAAACTGGTGTTCATTTTTGTCCTCACCTTGATTTTGATCTTCATCTCCCGGGATCGTAACCGCGGCGATCATCGCTTCCTGATCAGGATTCAAAAAGGAAAACGTCCAGGGGACATCGGCAATCCGTTCGTGATCCTTTTCCGCCAACGCGTCCCCGAATTTCTGCCAGCTAACCGCTTCGAGGTTCACTTCGACCAGGATGGAAAAAACGCTCACTTCACTGAGCCCCAAGAGCGGCGAGGACGCCTGGCGCATCAAATCGGAGCAAGAGAAGGGGCCGGCAAAGTTCTCGGCGAGTTCCATGATTCGGCGATGGGCAAAATCCGCCCAGGTTTCGGCACCAGAAGGAGGCGTGGCAGATGTTTTTGTGTGCTTCTTGTTTTCGTCGATCTTCTCTGTTTTCATTCTGGTGAACCGATTTTCCGCTACCTCTTCCGACCACTCAGAGCCCTCTTGCACCAGCGGCACTTCTGTGCGCCCGATGCTTGCCTGTAAGTCGTACAGTGGCGTGCCAACTCGGTCGGGAATCATTGCGACCACGTAGTCGTAGTGCGAGGCGTTTTTCTCGTTCTCGAGGAGAATCTCGTCAGTTTCGTCTTTCGCGTTTTTCGGCAGGCGGTTGACCAGCCGAAGCGCCACATCCAGGGCGTCCCTTTCTGACACGAGCCCGACCCAGGGATCCTTGTCCTTCCCCGTTGCGGCCAGCAGAATGACTTCCGGAACCAGTCGGTCCGTAGAAATCGGTTTTGTCGGAGTTCCCCTGGTCGTGTCTGGATCCTCGTCAGTTACAGATACAGTTACTTTTCCTCTGCTACTTTTGGCGACCAAATCCGCGATCTTCGCCCCCGTTGTGTCTTTGATAGTCGTCGGAATGTGTGGCAGACCGGTTTTCTTGTCGGTTGTAAGGATGCAAATACTGTTGCTATTCTGGGGAAACAAGTCGCTCTTCTCGACGAAGTCATACGAACCGCCTCCCGACGCAGTAGTAGTTCGAGCGCGCGCACTAGTTTCCGTCCGACTCCAGAACTCAGTCAACACGTTGATATCGTCGGTTTCTGGCCTTCTAACGTGCCCCGCAGATTGACTCCAGAACTCCGTTAGCAGACCCCACCGGTGAGCATTTTTCGCAAAGGGCAGCAGCGGCTTGGGGAGCGCGTTCCTGACTCCGACGCGGTCCACTTTCGCGAGAGACAGCCACCGCTGGTACCGCGGTTCATCTCCGGCGGCTTTTTGGGACGAGTCTGTTGTTTCGGTTTCTGCAAAATACTGGTACATCAGTGGTTCGCTTTCGTCGTAGGGCGACCACCAGGTCCACGCATGCTTTTCCCTTGCCGTTTCGGACAGCCACAGCAGGGAGTTATTCGAATTCGGGAAATTGGTCGGTAGCGGAAGGTTCGGGAGGTGCCGGATTAATTCATGCGTGGACGAGCTGGCGGCGGAATCATGTTTGTGCAGCCACTTCTGCACGTTGCTCATAATCAAGCAGCACATAAGCGTAAGTGAGATGTGATAATTCTTCTGGAGAACACTGAGCGCCACCGTTGTAGCGAGACTAACCGGAGATTCCGCTTCCGGTTCGTTTTTATCAGAAGTCTTTTTTGCCAATTCTGTTCGGAGTTCCTGTAGTTGCTGTTTTTTCTCCTCCCGCCGTCTCGCTTTCCGATCTTTCGGCAGTGGATTATAGTTAGGTCGACCCCGCAACAATGCGCCGCCGGCCACACGCACGGGCGCGGCGTCACGATCGTTGGAAGCGCTGGCGTCGGAAGACGTAGTGGTAAAATCGCCATCAAGTCTGGCATCACTGCTCTGTCGTGATGGGCCAGAAATGAACTTTGTGTGGATCACACTCCTAGTCGTGTCCCACAATAACCTCGGTAACGCCAGTGTGTTCCTGGATGCGAAATCTAGCGTAGCTGAGGCCGTGTCTTTCGCGCCCGGCCAGGCTGTGCTCCTGGTCCAGTGAAGGAAATTTGACAAGTTTTCGGACAATCTTCGTAGTTCAAGGCCTATTCCCTCGCCGTCCATATCCTCCAACCCAAACAACCACTCTGCTTCGTCCGTGGGTGTTGTTTTCGGTTTCTGCTTGCCAGCGTCCCATATTTCGCCGTCGGCCCCAGCAGTGTTGGTGTGCACCGTCGCAGAACCCCCGGAAGCAGCGGGCCTTGTTTTACTTCGGGAAGCCGGTGACTTTGCCGGCTGTTGCGGTCGCGGCTGCTTCGTTTTCCGTGACCCCTCGCAGCTCTTGCTCTGCTTACTAGCAGTACGTGTACGACTGGTAGACGAGGCTCTTTTATCATCTGCAGCTCGATGTCGATCCCATTCCCATTTTGCCACCGCATCTGCAGTCGCAGGCACGAGCGGCGCGGCCTGTGCTTCATCAGCACAAGGCGGTGCTCCGATCTTCCAGATACAACCAGACACAAGCGTTCCCGCTTGTTTGGCGTCCGTGCCAATAGGTGTATGTCCTGCGGGTGGCGCGGGCTGGCTAGATGACATCGATTGCGCCCTCTGTCGTTCCTCGCTCGCAGGTGTTTCTTCCCCGACCCGCAACCTCTTCAGCATGGCCGTTATACCAGAAATGGCTCCGGATAGTATCGTTGGGGTCTGATGCGATGCAGCTGCGGGCTGCGCCATTTCTTTTGGATCCCTTCCGTCTACCAGTTTCCCTGCGTCAGCAGCGTGATGTCTGCTAGCCTCTTCCTCATAACATGCCCTCCGGTTTTGGTCCTCAGCTTCTTTTTCCCAAGGTGCAACTCCGCTCTTGATCGCGTCTGTGGTCCTCTCGTGAAGATGAACGTCGCACTCGCACGCAGAGTCAGAAACATTAACTGCCGCACCTCGTCCATTTGCGTGCTCTTCGCTTCCAGGCTCTTTGTCCTGGCCCCCGGCGCTTGATGTACTGTAATCGAACACACTCCGAGGGAGCAGCTCCTGCACAACTCCCCGGTGCTGTTGTCCATGCCTTTCATGTCCAGCGGCAGCGGCCTGGAGGAGACGACTGCTCGACGGTGATAGGGAACATGAAGACCCGCCGCCGCCGTCGCTGTCCGTTGAAGAGCCGTCCGAAAGACTATCCTCGTCCTCTTCGGACCTCGTGGTGAACACGCCCTCGCGAAACTCGTCATAACCGTCCTCATCTGAGGAAGTGGAGGACTCCGAATCTTCGGCAATGTCATCGTCGTAGATCGTTGTCTCGCTGGGCAGCGGCATGGGAATCACGTGCACCGTCGCGGGCTCGTCGGGAAAGGAGACCGATTTCCTCGTTCTGATGGTGGAAGAAGAAGATTCGCTGATGGTTCGTCTCAGCGACGGAGGGGACCGCGACACGGATTTCTTCACAAGAAGGGCAGATGCAGATCCACCACCCGGAGTGGAGATGCTTGCGAGAAGCAGCATAGCCAGTTTCGCTGCATGATTTTTGGGCTTATTCTTCCCTGCTATCGAGGCAACAGGTCGTAGTTCTGGTAGCTGCCGTGGTAGACGAGCGATGGCCTCTTGATGATATCCCAGAGCAGGCGGGCGTCTCGATCTTGTGATCGGCAGCTGCTTCATTTCGTTTGGCGGCAGCATTTCGCAAGCTTTGTGCGACAATGCCGGCGAGAAAGTCATAAGGACCATAGTAGAGTTGCGTGTGTAAACTGCAACCTTGTCGGTCAGATGAAATCAATCCACTGATAAGCAGATCATACCTTTTGAAGGTTTATTGCAAAAAAAGCTCTAGGAAGAAAAAACTAAAACTCTACACACGGCGACCATACCACGAATGTGAGATCTGGATTTCCTGTAAGTTCTTCACAATCACGAAAAATGAGCGAATGAGCTTGAGCAATGGTTCTCATCGGGAAGCAGGAGATCTTCAGTTAGCTCGGCCAGGTCGGGTGGACATCGACATCTTGATATTAATAGGTGGAATGTAAACCGCGGGCTGTCACCAGCTTGAACCTGAAATGCACGAGTTGATCATCTTCTATCTCCACGAGGAACTTGAAGTTGTCACCAGAACAACGGCACATCACGCAATGGATCTTTTTACGCACGCCGCTATCGTGAAGGGCTCGCCACGCTTAGCAAGTCTGTCAGGAGGAGCGCTGCCACAAGTAGTAGATCTTCTGCTTCGAGGTGGATTTTACAGTTGTTCATACAGGTTCAGGTTGGACAAGTTCTTGTTAAGTTCTTCTGCGTTCTGTGTTTCAGTTTCCTTACTGGAAGATTATACAAAGTAGTTGTCGCTCGCTGCAACGACGCCTGGTCAAGCGCTCGCTTACTGGTCACCTCGCAAAGAAACCAGCTACCGGTGGGCGCATTCATTGTCACATTATATGCACACTCACTCTCTTTCTCTCGCGGCATTTGTTTCTAGTTTTCTTGGAACGGGAAAGGTTTTTTTAGGTGCTGTTTACCTTCGAAATCACATTGAATTTGAAACAGAAATTCTTTCTTCTAAGTTTTTGGGGTCACCAATTGGGTTAGATGAAATAAGAAAAAAATGAATTGTTCAGTTCATATTATTTGACAGCGCTCTGCTGCAGACTTGAGATGTGGGTCTTGTTTTAGGTAAGTACTTGCTTACCAAACCGGGAAAAGTGCCACCTTCTTCACGTTCCCTTGTCATTTTTGAGGCTTTGCTCGTGCTCCAGTCGGCGTAGCGCGTAAATGTTCAATCTCAGCAACTCAGATGCTTGCGTCACACCATCGGCGATGTCTTTTTTCTTGTACCGTGCGAAGTCGACCTTGAGCGGAACTTCCAGCTTGCTCACAAGCTTCTGCATCAGCTCTGCAGCCGCGGCGGATTTGGTTTCTCGGACACCTAAAGTAAGAAGTTGGTAGCGTTATGTGATGAGTGATCTACTTGTGCAAGGGGTTTTTTGATTTTGAGAGCATGCGCTCCGGCAAGAGGAAGAAGAACTTCGTACAAAGCTCAAAGCGTGATGAAATTTCGAGTACTATCGCAAAAACCTAAATCAGTTTTTGTTTTACCGATCAGATCACCCGTTTTGTTCTCCGGCTTTTTGTAGCCGGCTTTTTCGTTGAGGACTTCGTGAGCAAGCCGCATTTGAATAGCGTTCTTGGAACTGGCCCTAGCAGGTTTGGTGGTGTCGCGGTACCGCGCGCCAGGAACCGGGGTGCCAGGGACGATGGGAAGCTGGAATTGTCGGTTCATATTAATTTGGGGTAAGTACTAGTTGATATGATAAAAAGAATGACGTGTGCGCTTCTTAAGGTGAGCGGGAAAAATCCTCTCGCATAGTATTGAGCAATCCTGAAGGTAAGAGTATCTGCAGACAAGAAGAATCTTATCTGCACACCGGGTGACGTTTCACCGCCCGTTTTAGCAGTGACCGGCCACCTAGTGGGAGTTTGCCTTTGGCGCCTCCTCTTGCCGCAAGCATTCAAGGACTAGTGCCACTACCTCCTCATCCGTGGCCCACGTCCTAACCTTCGACCAACCACCTGGCCACCCCTTCTCCTCCGGTGGTCGCCTGGTGTCGAACAGGACTAGCTAATAACCGGCCTAAGCCTGACCGCTGTACCCAAGGGCACTGCAGGTATACGAGATCCTCCTATTGATAAAAAGAAAAAGTTGATACGACATAACCATTTTGCATCAAAAGGAAAGCAGGACGAGTAAGCTCAGGCTAAGTTAAAAAGCGTCCGAGCAGTTCTAGTCGTGGTCGTGCTAAGGAGTACTGTCAATCGCACTTCCGGCGCCAAGTCCTCTGGCAGAAAGAAGTTCGCGTTGACGTCCCTCGGGTCCTGGTCCTGAATGGTCATGAGTCTCTCGAACGCTCCCTCCAGATCGTCCAGAGATTCTTCGATGGTGTCGAGGTCATTCCCATCGCGAACGCCAAGGAAGGCCTTTTCGATCTGCCGAACGTCGTCGTTGCTGCGTTCGACGGCCGCGTCGAGTCTGGTTTTTGGTGGGTTTGGCATGATCTACAGGCAAGTACGACTATGGTGTCGCGCAGTTTGATTTATTTCATGGTGTAGACCGTATTACGAAAGGGAAGGCGTAAAGCAAAAAAGAAACTCAAACAGTACTTTTTCTTCACGACATCTCCTAACACATTCGTGACATCCGCATCCGTGACGGGTTGTCCTCGATGCGCGGACTGCAACAGCAGTTTGATTTTCCGCCGCAAGGGCTCCAGTGTCACATCCTGCATAGCCGCGTCAACTTTGGACCGGAGCTTGCGCTTGCGCTCGATAGCGGCTTTGATCAGCTCGTCCTCGGCTGTCGTCGTCTTCACGGCTCTGTCTAACCTTGCATCACCGGAAAACGCGCTCTCCCGCCGTTCCGTGATGGAGAGAGCAGACTCCTTTGAAGGACCCCGGGTAAAAACGTCCTCTGCGACCGGCAATGGCCTCGGCAAATCGTCCTCCTCGTGATAGACGCTTTTCTCTCTCGCAAACTCCTTGCTCCGCCTGGTGTGCCGGTCTTTCGCGCGTTTCTGCCGTTCCTCCTGCTCGCGTAATGCCTCGAGTTTCCGCTGCGCGTGGTAGGCCATCATGATTCTGTCCGACGCCATATCGCGGTGCTTTTGCAGGGCGATTCTGCTTTCTATGAGTTGCTTCTCTGCCACGAGCTCGATTTGTTCCTCCACCGCGGCTTCGAACAAGTCTTTCGCGGTAAAAACTGCTTCGGCTTCTTTATGCAGCGCGATCCGCGCTTCCTCCTCATCTTGTCGCTTCTGCGCGATTATCAAATGCAAAAGTGTCTGGGTCTGGAAGATTGTGACACTTGTCATGCACGCTTTGCGTGAGCTATGATGTCTGTGATGCATACCCTAGCAATACAGATTTTTTCAGGGCTTCTTGATGCGTATTCCGCATGACAGATGCCTTCTCAGCGTAGCAAAAATTGCATTCCCCTTGGTACTCATGCAATACAGATTTTTTTGGAATCCAAATGCAGCATCACAAGTTGCATTCTTCCAGACCCAGACATTTTTACATTTGATAGCGATCGCCAGCGCTTCCTGCCGGCTCATCTTCCCCCGGGCGTTTTATCGTATTCAAAAATGTCCCCACACCATAGTTGTAATGCAAGTCTGCATGCTGAAAAGGTTTCTAATGCGGAGCCCCATGAGAAGCATTTTCTAGTCGTGTTGTGGAATTTGTCATGCTCCAAGCAGCATGGTATACTAGATCTGTGATGCTACTGAACTACATCAAACAGCACTACACTACGAATCCAAATTTGTCATGCGAAACAGCCAAAACTTGTGGATTTGTCTAGCCGATTCCCCATCTTGACTATGGTGTGGGGACGTTTTTACTCAGGATACGTTTTTCTGAATCGCGATCGCCGCGGCCCGGCGATCGGCCTCCTTTTTCGCGAGCCGCGCTTGCCTTTCCACCTCGATTTCTGCTTCTTTCCTTTCCCGCTGGATTCGCGCTTCGTTCTCCTCGATGACTATTTTTTCCGTGGATTTTCGGAACGCGTTGGCGATCGCGAGGGACAGGAGTTTCACGTTCTCTTTCGATTCGTTCAGAATCTTGTCCCGCGTCTCCTGTTCCTTCCTGCGCTTTTCCCGTGCCTCCTCCTCCGCGATCCTCTCCGCCTCCTCCCGAGCTTCGCGCTCGATGCGTTCTCGCTCGATCCTCTCCTCCTCCGCCTGCGCGGCCTCGAGTTTGGGGAGCCACTCGACTGCGCCCTGCACGATGGAGATCAACGCGTTTCTCAGTTTCAGCTTCCGGATGCACCGGACAATGGTGATACCCGCCTCTCGTTCCGCGTTTTGTTGCTCCAACGCTTCTTCCTTCGCCTTCAACCTTCTGACCGTCAACATCCAATCCGTCGCACCGAGGAAGAACTGCCGGAGAGTCTCCCGCAGTTTCCTGCCGCGCCACCATTTCTGGACGAACAAAACCGCTTTTGTTTCCGCTGCAAACTTGATCGCAAAGGCCTCTTCTTGTCTCTGTTTTTCCAGCGCGCGCAGGACGAGTTCCCGCATGTTTAGCCGTAGCCTCGTCCGACGGTACCACTTCTGCAATTTCGTCGCTTTCTCCCGTTCCAGCTTCCTTTTCGCCCGTTCTCGTGCAATCTGCTCCGCCTTCTCCTCTTTCGCCTTTTGGTTGCCGACCCGGAATTTCATCGGAATAGCACCGGACGCTGATTTCTTCACCGCAAACCGGACCTGCCTCGCCTTCCACTGCCTCTGCAATTTTCGTGCCATGTCGTCCTGTTTCTGCCGCCACGCACGCTGGGCGTCGACGGCCTTCTGCGTCATGACGGTGTGCGCGAATTTCTTCTTGCCGAAAACCGAACTCCGGATGGTTTTCTTCAGTTTCCTGGCCCGCCAAGATTTCTGGATACTCTTTGCCGCTTTGTTTTCCAACTTGTCCCGCGCTACCCGCTCGTCGTGCGCAATGTTCGCGGCAACCAGCCAGGACATGAAGACTGCGCCGGAGACGATTTTTCGCGTCTGGCTGTTCCTGTGTGCCTTCTGCAATTTCACCGCCGAGGTATGCTCGAGCCGGATCCTCTCTTTTCTCTCTTCCTCCATCTGCAAAATTTGCAGCTCCTTCAAATACGTGCCGCCTTTGGTGAACACTTCCTTCAACTTCGTCCGCATCTGGATCTTTCGCCACGATTTCTGCAGTTTGTTCGCGCCCTCTTCTCGCGCTGCGTCCATCGCAGCTTTCAATTCCGCTGCCTTCTTTTCAGCTTCCGCCTTCGCTTCCTTCCGTCGTTCCGCCCGAACTCGTTTCGCCAAATTCGCACCCTTCTTGCTCAATCTCCGGAGCGCCCTGCGGATCTTGTTTGCCTTCCAGCTTTTCTGTAATTTCACTGCCGCATCCGCTTCAAACTGGTGTCGGACGAGTTCCTTCGCGTTGATCTCTTTGTTCACTAACTGCTGCAAAATCCTTATTGTCCGTCTCGCGCGGAACCAATTTTGGATTTTTTTCGCCGTTTCCTTCCAGTGCTGCTTTGCGACGAGTTTCTTGATGTCAATCTCGCCGTGGATCGCCATGCTCACGTATCCGCGCAGTTTCTGTGCACGGAACTTGTTCTGCAACTTCCCCGCGTACTCGTGCCGCAATTCCTCCGCGCGCTTCTCATTCGCGATGTCGTCCAGCCGCTGTTGCTCCAGTAGTTTTGATAGGTCGACCGCCCCAGAAACGACGCTGCGGAGCAAAGTCCTGGTTCGCCGTCTCCGAATCGCGCGTTGCACTTTCACCGCGGCAATGGTCATCTTTTTCCTCTCCTCCTCCTCGGCCTCTTGTTTCAGCTGCTTCAGCCAGTCTCCGGCGGATTCGAATACTTGTCGCAGTCTTTCCCGGGAACGCATCTTCCTTACTGCGAGCTGTAATTTGTTGACCGCTGCAACCTTTTCTTCTTTCTCTTTGGCCATCAGGATCGCTGCCCGCGCATCCGCCTCGGCTTTTGCTTCTTTCCTTCTCTCCGCCCGCACTCTTTTAACCAGCGCGCGACCGTCGATTACCGCCGCGACCAGGGCTTTTCGTATTTTCCCAACCTTCCAGCGGTGCTCCAACAGCCGTACCGCGTCGACGCGCCGTTGGTGACGGACTAACTCTTTGATGTTGACCTCCTTCCTATCCTGAGTAAAAACGTACCCACACCAGAGTCAGGATGGGGATTTTGCAACACAAGCCTAGGAGTTTTGTGAGTCACGCATGACAAGTTGCACTCTGCAGTGTAGTGCAGGTTAGCAAGTGCAGCCGCGTCACAGATTCATCTGCTCATCCTGTTCACAGCATCACAAATTCCAAAACACGATTGGAAATGGCTCTCATGGGGATGCGCATTACAAGTCTTCCTGTCTTTGCAAATCTGCATTACAACTCTGGTGTGGGGACGTTTTTACTCAGGATACTTTCGGATCGCGATGCGGATAATGTACCGAGTTCGGGACGCACGAAAGCTAAACTGGATTTTCCGGGCCATCTTGTCCTGCAGTTTCGCGCGTTCCCGCTGCGCCTCGGTTTCGTACTGGTGCTCGACGAGCTGCTGCAGATCGACAACGCCCCAAATCGCCTGACGAAGGAGTTTCCGCATCTTCTGACTGCGAAACTGCCTTTGCAGCATCGTCGCGTACTTCAGTTGTTTCTCTGCTAACTCCCGTTTTTCATCTTCGATCCTTTGCTTCTCCAATATCTTCGACAAATCGACCGCACCGGACACGATTTTCCGCATCATTTCGCGAAATTTGTTGTGCCGGTAGCGCCGTTGTACCTTGATGCAGGCCTGTTTCAAAATGTAGTTGTTCACCACGTCTTTTAACGGGATTTTCTTTTTCGTCCACCAGGGCCGGCACGCCGCTTTGATGTGTCGGACAAAGACCCTGCAGCGCCACGACCGCTGGACTTTCTGCACCGCTTCTAGCCTTCTTTGCTCGTACACTTTTTCCCGCAAGTCGAACTCGCCGTACATTGCCTGCAGTAACTTCTTCCGCAGCTTCGCCGTGTTCCACATTGCCTGCACTTTCCGGACTTTTGCCTCTTCGAGTCTCGCCCGCTCTTCGGCCATTTGAATCCGGACTTTCACGAGAATCCCCTTCAGCGCCTCGCGCCACTTCGCCGCGCGGTAGGACCGGACTAGCCTTCTCGCCATTCGCTGCCGCTTCATGATGTCGAGGAAGACGTAGACTTCCCGTCGGAATCTCGCCGCGCGCACCGCTCTGATGAATTTTCTGGCCGCATATCCTATGTAAAAACGTCCCCACCCCAGAGTTCTTGTCATGCAAATCTGCACGGTAAAAATGCTTCTCATGCGGAGCCCCATGACAGGCATTTTTTAGTTCAGTTTGGCAATTTGTCATGCTCCAATCGGCATGATGTGCTACATCTGTGATGCTGCTTAACTAGCTAAACAGGATTGCACTACGGGGCCAGATTTGTCATGCAGAACTCCCAAAACTTTGGGATTTGTGTTGCAGACTTCTCATCTTCACTATGGTGTGGGGATGTTTTTACACAGGATACCGCGCGCTTTTTCCTTAATTCCAACATCATTTTTTCGATCGCGCGTCGGAACTTGATCGCCTTGTAGGAGAACCCGATCTTGTTGCACGCCCGTCTGCACTTCGCTTCGTGCGCTTTCCTGATCCGCTCCGCCTTTTGCCTCCGCGCCTCCAAGTGCATCGCGTCAATCAGCCAGCGCCACTTCACGATCCGCGTCCAAGAATGCCACATCTTCTGGATCCGGCAGGCCGCGACCCGTCGTTGTTCTAGTCTGGCCAGCCGCTCCTCCTCGGCGATCCTGCGCTTTATCAACCGGTTGAAATCCACCGCGCCATCGACGACCTTCTTGAAAAGCCACCGCATGTGCCGGGTTTTCCACCACTTTTGGATCAAGGTGGAGGCTTGCTTTTCCAGCGCGTCCCTCTCCTCTTTGTCTTCTTTCGCCCGCTGCTTGTGAAGTTCCTCCTCAATGTCGAGCGCGCCCCAAAGGGCTTGCATCAACTTCGCGCGCATCTTCCTGCCGCGGAAGCGTCGCTGCACCTTGATCGCCATTGCCGTCTCGTGGTGGAAAATGTCAACTTCTCTTTGCTCTTTCACCAATTTCCGTAATTTAATTTCCCCCGCTACTACTTTTCTCATCAATCGATGCATGTTCCTCACCCGAAGTTTTCTTTGAATCACCCTGGCCGCTCGTTCCCTTCGGTCGGCGATGATCTGTTGCTGCAATGCCGTCGGCCAGTCTTTCATGCCGGAAACGTAATTCCCTAATCTCGATCGAAAGACCCAAATTCGCAATAAGCGCTTCAGCTTCGCCGTGGCGCGCTGCCTTTTCGTTCCGTACAGCTGTTGCTTCAGCCACTCTTCTTCACCCGGATTTTCGAACTCCAACGCGGACTGGTCCGGCCACGCGATTTTCCGCCCGTCCGGGAGACGCAAACAGTCGAACTGCGGCTTCCACGTTTCCCGTGCTCGGACGCTGCTGTAGATCTCCAAGCTGGCGACGAGGTCCTCCATTTGCGCGCCGTTCACGTCTTTTAACAAATCAACGTTCTCGACGTGCGCAAAAGTGTCGAGCTCTAGCATGAGGGACGCGATTTCGCGCTCATCCTCCAGGGAGGAGAGCGCGACGATGGCCTCCACCATCTCCCGGGTGAAACTGGTCGTGAAGGAGAGGATCTGGGTGATCGAGTGCTCGCTGATCTTCTTCTCGTGCTTCACGTAGTCTGCCTTCATCCTGCGTTTCCTCGCCCTGTTCCGCGCGGAGAGTGATCGATTGTCATCCTCATTCGCAGCGCCACCACCTGCGGAATCCGACTTTCCGGTTATGGCGTGCGAGTCGATGCCGTGGTGAGTGTTTTTCTTGCGGATGACACCCATGCCGAGAGTCGGGTCAGTTGCAGGCCAGCCAAACCTGAAATGAATGTTTCTGCGATCGTACATCTACATGCCAGAGTAGTACTACAAACATATTCGAGAACCTGATCCACATGATGGATGCAAGAGCAAGAGAAGATCAATGCTACGAAATCGAAACTCGGTCTGGACGAGGGACCAACAAAAGAGGAAAAAAACTATCGTACTTCCCCGGCCCGACAAAGGGTCCGTCCTTCGCGGCAGAAAGGGTTGGCGCCGGGGGCCCGCCCCGAAAAGCCGGCGAGAAATGCATCAACTTCTGGGATGGCGGAGCTTGAATCAGAGGCCCGTAGCTCGGTGCGGGCCCCGCCATAGACGTAGACGAGGACGACCCGCCGTATTGCGTAAAATTCTTCATCGCGCTTCGTGGCCCCGTTGTTCCCGCCGCGACGTCCGGGCTGTGCGTCCGCTGTCTCGTCGCTATCGACGCCGCGGAAGACTTGGTCAGACCGAATTTTTGCTTCGACGGCGATTTGCTGTAGGAGTAAGCAGAATCCGCTCTATCGGGCTGGCCTTGATTTTGCGCCGTTGCGCCAATGTGAAAATCCCTTCCGAAAACGGATGAGGACAGTGCTATTTCCTCCTCCTCGCTCTCTTCGTTGCGCCTTTTGTTATTGTTGAAAGCACCAGCACTACTTCCTGCGCTAGCTGTATTATTTCCAGGTGGTGGCCCACCAGGATGGTAGCCGGCAAACGGCATGTTGGAGGTGCCGTACCCGTAACTTCCTACCGCTGCTCCAACGCCCGCACTCTGTCCAGTTTGGTTCTGTCTGATCCCCGGGTGCACACGCAGTTCCACCTGCTTAAATTTGTTCCTCAATTGGTCGGTGTAGGTGTGGAGATCCAGCAAGTCCGGCCCATGGTGGTGGTAGTGGTGCTCCTGTGTGTTTCGTCGCACGGCGCCGAAAAGACTTAATCCGGCTGCCCACGCACCGGGGTTCACGTGCTCTCCGGCTTCTGCTGGCTGAGCACTACTTGCCGCAGCTGCGCCACCGTAACTTGATGTGGTGACAAACTGTACACTAGTACTTGCCGCTGCAGCGGGAGTCGTGCTCGAGAAAAAGTTACCTAACATTGAGGATGTGGTAGCAGCAACAGGTGCTGGTCCGGTTTTCGCCGAAGGCGGTGCGCTCGTTTCTGCGACGTTCATCTGCATGACGTTTGGATCTGGGGGCCGATTCCCGTGCAACCCTCGCAGGTCCAGCGCAGGGACGGGCGCTGTTCCATCGACTTTCGCCTTCTTATTCGCAGCTGTATCTTGTTGCCCGGGCACCTGATCTCCAGCCGAATTTCCTTTTGCACCACTGGCCTCCTCCGCGAACAGGAACACGCTTGGCCTCTTCAAGTTGTTGAATGTTTGCTTCGGATTGAAGCTGCTTGAGGACGCCGATGCTGTTTGAGTCGCGATGAACCTCTCCGACCGCACAAAGTTCGTCGTGTTGCTTGTGCCGGCAGTTGCTTGCTGCGCATGATTCGTCGTAGTTGGGCGAGAGTCAATCTTCTTGGCACCGATATTTGCCGGCCTCTGCGGCAGTGTGTCGGAGGAATCAGAATGCCTGGCGACACGAGCTATTGACGCAATGGCATCGTTATTGGTGGTGACCGAAGACGCACTGGACGACGATGAGGCAGAGCTCGGAAACGAAAACTGATTCGCAGCGGGTCCAGCAGAGGTTCTTCTAGCGTTCGCTCCCAAATAAAGCATCTGTTGACTTTTGCTCTGCTGCATTTTCTGGTTTATCCCGGTAGTTGTGCCACTTCTTGTCGCTCCCGCTCTCGCTCCGCCGCCGAGAACCGGAGATCGAAGGGAGATCGGTGACCGCATTGGCGATCGCATGCGCTCATTCATGATGTCACGCGACCGGAGTGGGCTCGTTGCGATGTGTTTTGCAGCAGGTGGTGGTGCACCTCCTGTGAGCCGAGAATTTTGCTGCTGCGCACCAGCATTTTTCTGGCCCACATTGTCTGGGGGCTTGTCTGCTGAGGTCGGCGGCCTCGCAGAGGATGCTGATGACGCAGACGAGGGCGTCCGCATCGATACTGGCAACGCGCCCGCGACCGTGAGTTGTGGCGTTTCCAATCGGATCTGCTGCTTCACGATTTTGATTTGTGGAGGCGGCCTGCTGTCCCTACTTTGCACGGGACCACTGGCAATCGTGGCTGGCTCCATGTGCTGAACGACATACTTGCCAACCGGAAAATTCCACGCAGTGCTGCTACTTGACGTCGCACTGGAAGAAGCGGACTGTGGAGCAGTGGGTCCTGCGCCTGTTCCGCCTACGTGCAACAAGCCGACGGAGGTCCTCGCCGGCAAGAGGGATGAAGTCACGCTTGTCCGCTTCGGCCGCTCCGTGCTGGCACGGCGCCCGGCGACCGAGATGCCAACCTGGGGAACACCTGGGTCGTCATCTACACGGTGACGACCACTGTCTTGCATGCTGCGGCCACTCATTTTCTAGTAGGTGGTGGCTGTTCTGGAGCGGATGCGGGAATGCGAAGTGAAAACACAACGTTCACAGGAGCGTATAGAAGAAGCGCTAGCAAGAGTCCACCTCCACATGTCCTTTAAAAAAATCGCACACCACAGGAGATCTACTACAGTGACCTTTTGGCAGAAGAGTTCGTTCTTGGGTTTCCAGTAATTGGGCTCTTTTCTTTCTCGATGTCGAAAAGAAAACGAGAAGCCAAAAATGGACGACACACAAACTTCGTGAGAAAAGATTATCCGACACGGAAGCTAGCGCTAGGGCATAAAGGACGACGACGAAGACGATCGCGAGGGTTTCAAAATACGTTGATCTGACAAAATAGGTAGCTCTCACCACACCTCTCAAATTCGAAACATCACTCGAAAACATCAGGTGGTCCTCATCATCACATATTGAGGAAGTCGACGCATTAGCATTACTTGGCGGAGTGGCAATATTGCGAGACGACCACGATTGCGTTGCTGTGCGGGATGATCCACCCAGCGCGATGAAGGAGTGAACAACACCGTGATAGCCGCATGTCTATGCCATTGAAGCGACCACATCCATATATTAAATGAAGACACCACATCCACAAATGATCGCGAGAGAAGGAGTTGACTGGGTATTGCTGTAACTAGGTAGTGTCAACGAGCATCATGATATGACTCCGAGCGGTGAGTGCAACATCTACCGTCCACGCACCTCCACTTGCTTTAACTCCGCCCGCTCCCCGTAACGGTCCCGGACGTGTGCCTGCAAGAGATGGGGACAATCACCGCCCCGGGCAAAATGCAACCACGCATCTGCAGGCTTCGTCTCGATGAGGCACCTGTTTCAATGGTTGGGAAAAGATCCAAACGGCCAAGCCGGTGGGCATTTCTCGCAACCCCCCCAGGGGGGCGCGTAGCTCTATCAGAATCATGGACACCAAAGAACAGAAGAGAAGACAAACAAAAACAAAAAAAAAAGCAAAAAGGTGGCCGGGCTCCCGGAGGTATCAAAGTTCTTAGTGGAATGGGGATCGATCGCAGCAGCAGCGAGAGACCCGCCCTCGCTTGAGGTATAAAAGTTCGCGGAATGGGGATCGGTTTGCCTCGCGAAAAGTACCAGTAATTGCGAAGCGCCGACAGGTACAGGCGAAGTTCCTGCTGTGTTCTGCAAGCGCCTTTAGTTCTTGGTTGCGGTTAGTGTCGCGATGCCCTTTCGGGACCGCTAGACCTTTTCCGATGCCATCTCGCGTTGTCGCTCTGCAGCAAGCAGTTCCTGTACAGAGTTAGTTTCGCGATGCCCTTTCGTGACCGCTAGACCTTTTCCGATGCCATCTCGCGCTGTCGCCCTGCAGCAAGCAGTTCTTTTACAGAGTCAGTTTCGCGATGCCCTTTCGGGACCGCTAGACCTTCTCCAAGACAGCCTCGCGCTGTGATGTAAGCACTTCAGAGTTAGTTTCGCAGTGCCCTTTCGGGCCCGCTAGACCTTTTCCGATGCCATCTCACGCTATCCTGCAAGCACTTTCTGTGCGGAGTTGATCTCGCGATGCCCCTTCGGGACCACGTGACTTATTCCGAGACAGTGTTGCCTTGTCGTGCCAGCTGCGCTTGTTCATCCGGCTGCGTTGCCCTGCCAGGACTTGTCCCGAGGTACTCTCAAGATGCCCTGCCGGGACTTATTCCGAGGCACTCTCGCGTTGTGCTGCCAGCACATTATTTTGCGAGATATTTCGCTCGCGATGCCCTGCCGGCAATGGTTCATCCGACTGCAGCGCCCTGCAAGGACGAGCTTCGAGGTGTTCTCGCGTTTTGGTTTTGCTGCCAGCAAATACTCCGAGATATTGTTATGTCGCAATGCCCTGCCGGCAATCGTCCCGACTGCGTACCCCTGCCAGGAGTTGTAACTGCATCGCCGTGTTATTATCGCGATTCCGCGCCGAGCATTATGCCGAGGCACTCTCGCGCTGAGCTTGCGCTGCCAGCACTTGCTCCGAGATATTTTGCATCTCGCGTCGCCCTTCTGCCAGCAATCGCCCCAACTGCGTCGACCTGCCAGGACTGGTTGTATCGAGGTACTCTCGCAATGCCCTGCCGGGACTTATTCCGAGGTGATCTTGCGTTGCGCTGCCAGTACTTTTTGTTGGTTCCGAGATCAGATGTTTATCTCGCACTGCAGCTCTTCCAGGAAGATTTGTTCCCACGGCGTCGCTGTACCAAGTGGAGTTGTTCAAAACTGCTCGTGTCACCTTGTCCTGCCGGGACTTCAGCCGTCTCCGCGTTTATTCTCGAGCGTCGTAGTCGCGCGCTATTTCGGTGGAACAGAAGGTCCCACTCCCGCATCTTGATCGCCAGCACCTCTTTGGTGACTAAGAGCGTCGCGCCGCTGCTTTTATCGTTAACTTTCGTGGCACGACCCGGGAGATTCAGACTCCCGAGACAGGGCAACCAATGTCATCAGGAAGCCTCGCAGCGCGGGAATTTCGATTTCTGCGCTACTACTGAAGATGAAGTTCGGCCGTCTCAGCACCGCAGATTTAGCACCAGCATGCGACTCGCGCACTCCGGTTCGGTGTATCCGGCATGAAGATACACCGCGAAGCGATAGAACTTCTCGTCGGCGCCGGGGACCGACAGCATGCTGTCGTTCAACTTCAGGTCGCACTCGCATTTGCTTGTCGTTTTGCAAAAGAAGACCGGAGCCATCCATGGCACCCGGCACGCGATGGAAACCCTAAAACCCCTCAAACCCCAACCCGTGCCCTTGCGGCCCTAATTAGAATGTACGCTACTTCGAATCGCACGGAAAAAAATGCTTCGCTGTGACATTGTGACACAGAGGGTGTGACACACAAGTGCTCGTTTTGTTCTTACGTACGGAGGAAGGCAATAGTTCTTTCGCCGTGCTGGTCCTAAGGTAGGCGTAGGAGGCACGCGGGGAAGATATTATGTCTTTGTCATTCAGACCAAGCCTGTGCCTGTGAAGCATTTTTTTCGCGCGATACTTAGAATCGACCTTACCGTGTGTTTCCCTTTTCCTTATTCACAAGGACCATGATACCGAGATACCGCTGGATCCCGTTCCTGATGTCCAGCGCCGAGACATCTTTCGGAAAGCCACTTCCTTCGAACAACATTCTTGTTTTTGTACCAACACAGAACACGACCTGAGAGCGACGCGCAGCGTTAAACTTAAACAATAAGAAAATCGAATTTGTTCGAAATAAACGTAAACCATACAACACAGCCAACGTGTTTATTCCCTACGCTAACTCGGAGATAAATACTGGCTCACCCACAGGCTCTTCAACAAACACAGTTAGTCGAGTGGTTGGCACAAAATAGTTCGGCTGCTTAGTTTATCAACGAGATTGAAATCCGCTAAGAAGTGGTCCTTCGCAACAATCGCGAAAACGTCGGTATTTGACAAGACTCTGCTGGACTGCGGAATGAGGGTGGCGACATGCATGCGCTTCTTGTAAACGAAGACGAGTGCTTGTGCTAAGTGTGATCGTTTGCGTTTTTTCATAACCAATCTGTCGGCGGAGCATTGCAAACAGCTGAAGAGCAAGAAACATACTCAGCATCAGGCTTTAGACATGAACATGATCAAGTTCTTGCTTCTGTAGTCAGTGCCACCGGCATTGGACCCCTTGCTATCATACTTCCGTGCTACTGCATGGTTTTATTCATCTTCACTGTGACAATGTTTGTGTGTACCATTCAAGATATGGTAATTTGTCAACGACAACGTTATGGACTTCTGTGATATTCGTATTCCCGTTATTCAACGATCTAGTGACATCTCTACTTCGACATATTCCTTCACTTCTTCAACATATTTTGGTAGTCCCTTCGAGGTAACATTCTTCAACAATATCCATATCGTGTACAATATGCAAAGCCTAATAATGTGAATGCCGTTAATTTGCACGAACAAAAAAGAAACTCTGCCAAGTTTATTTACATTTTGAAACCATCCTATGCGTTTATTTTGTAAATCCCATGTGAAACTTCATGTGGTGCATGACTCAACGTAATTTGCAACAGCTGGATGAATCGAACTTTCTCAATATCTTTCTATTTGTATTGCGCTATGCATCAAATTCTATGATAATTCAAAACTTTTTCTTTTTTCTCAAATTTGGAGATCAAAACAAGAACTACTGCTTGCCGACGACTTCCTGTTGCACCACTGGCCTCCTCCGCGAACAGAAACACGCTTGGCCTCTTCAAGTTGTTGAATGTTTGCTTCGGATTGAAGCTGCTTGAGGATGCCGATGCTGTTTGAGTCGCGATGGATCTCTCCGACCGCACAAAGTTCGTCGTTGTACTTGTGCCGGCGGTTGCTTGCTGCGAATGATTCGTCGTTGGGCGAGAGTCAATCTTCTTTGCGCCGATATTTGCTGGCCTCTGCGGCTGCGTATCGGAAGAATCAGAATGCCTGGCGAGACGAGCTACCGACGCAATGGGATCGTTATTGGTGGCAGCGTCAACACTCCGAGACATCTGAAAAGAAGCAATACTGTGACCGCAACATCATCAACCTGTGGCCATGTGACGATGATAGTACACGTCAGGAACAATGCCTGGAGACACACCAGGCACTGTACTAGTAGAAACATCGGAGTTTCACGGTTTTGTGTTTGCTCTTGCTATGCATGTCGTCCATCTCCATACGTTATCACATTGATACTCATCTGGTTAGATGTGCCAAATAAAGTGCAATCATGATTCATATGTGTGCATTATGACGTCGCCAACATTCGCATTCCCATGACAGACTTGTTAAAGATGACTTTTCAACTTTTGCTCCTACTAAGACAAATTTTTCATGAATGGAAAACTTACGAACTTCGTCAAGACGAAACTGTACAAACCAAATTTACTTTATCGATGCTATTGGAAACTACAAGAAGAGACTCAATTTTTGTTTTTACCCCTAGAAATCGTCCAATTGTATGTACATTGATGATACTTTCTTACAAAACAGACGAATGACTTCTCTATATGACGACCCAATGTGAGACTCAGATTTTCTACTTATCGATATCGTATTCCTATTCGCAATCTCCAGCACCTGAAGCGTGCAAAATCGAAAGAAACAACATTTCTTTTGTATGACGATGACCACCACCACGTATAAATATTTCTCATGATTAGATTTGGAGATCAAAACAAGAACTACTGCTTGCCGACGAAGACAGTAACGGATCATCAGCACCACTGCCACACCCGTATTCCCCCGCTGGGAACGCGCCTCCGGACGCGACTTTCCACTGGCGCTCCGCTTTTTGCGCCCGCGCTCGGGAGCGCCACAGCATGAACAGCGCCGTGATCCGGGTCTGCCGCCTCTCGTCGCGACGCAGACGCAGCGTGCGACGGATGCGCATGACACGGGCCCAGTTTTGGAAAAGGTCCTGCCGGAGGTTCTCTTGCTGGAGCAGGTGGAGCTGGTGCTTCACTTTCTGCAGCTTGGAGACGAAGTTGAGTTGCGCGGTATGCAAGGATTTGCGATGAAGAGTTTGCCCATGCCAGGCGAGGAAAACGGAGGATTTGACCAGTTGGTCGGTTTTCTTACTGACAGTTTGTCCAACACTCGCGCGACAGTGCTTGGCAGAAGCAGTCACCGCACGCCAGGCTGCGACGAGAGAATGCGAGTAGACAGCGTCATCCTGTCCAGCGAAGTGGTGGTGCTGCTGCGATATTTTCCTCCGCAAACGCGTACCAGACACGGCATTTCGCCAAGAAGAAACCGCCTGTTGCAACAGAGTCGCGTTTGCTTGCTGCCGCAACTCGTCGACGAGGAAAAAAATCTTTCGGCGGTTTTTCGCGTAGACTTTTACAGCGAAGAAGCATTCACTTAAAACAGCAGTGTTTCTTTCCCGCTCGGCTAAGCTACAAGCTTTTTCGACCGCTTCGCACTTCTCCATTTTCGACCGGGTCAACTTCTCCTCCGATTTCCTGTGCACCATCATGTCTTTCCAACCACGGAGCGTCTGTGACAAAAGCAAAACGTTTTCTCGTTCTACCTTTCCGGCGACTTGTTGCTTGATCATCTTCCCCCGCACACAACTTCGCGTCCACCAGTTCCGCAGCACTTGTCGGCAAATCAAAGCTTCCACTCCGGCGGTGAGCGCCATCCCGATCCGCTGGATGCTCTTCCGCGACCGGATTGTGTGCCGCTGCAGGTGGTGAAGGTTGGTTTGCAGAGTGGTGTTGAGCCAGGCGGCAAAGAAGGTTTGTACCAGCTGGTCGGAACGTGTGGTCGTTAGGTTCTGGAAATGGAGATGTACCGCTTTTTTCCTCGTCGCGTTCGTTTTCCAGGAGTGGAAGATGGTGGACATCAACTTTTTCTCCGCGGTGGTTTCACCCAGATTATTCAAGCGGGTCAGCATTTGTTCTTTGTTGTTTTTCTGCTTATCCGCTGTTGCGAGTGCTACCCACGCGTGGAAACACTGCAGCTTCAAGACGGTTTGGCGGTACTTTGTTTTCAAAACAGCAGTGGTGCTTTTTAACTGCTTCTGCTTTTTCTCGGTTTTGCTCGACGAACTTGCCAGTTTCCACGCATCGAAGACCCGAAGGCATTTGTGAAGTGAAAAGACTTTCCAGGACAACTTACTCACCACCGTCTCGCTCTTGTCGTGCGCCACCTGAAACTCGAGTAAAGTGTTCGCCAAGCGGTTGGCGCTCGTTTCCAAATGCTTCGCTTCGTGGGAATGGCAGTTGTCACTTTTCTGCATTTTCTGCAACAACGTCGCGTGCCGCCAACGAAGGAAGACCCAGTTCAAAGCGGCGCTTTCGACAATGACCCACTGTTTCTGCAGCAAGGCGGACTTTTCCTTCAAGTGCGCCTGGAAAGCGGTGTCCAGCTGCTGCTTGTGCTTCTTTTCTACAGCAAATTCTTTCCAGAGTTGTAAGACTTCGACTTTGCAGGATTGTTCATCTCTGTTTTTCCCCCGAACAAAAAATGCCGCAGCAGACTCCTTTGCGAGAAACCGCAACTTCTCCACTTTCTGCTCTTTCAGGACCGAGCCCCAAGCCAGCAAAACCGCTTTCTTGACCAATGAACGACTACTCGGGTTGTTCTCCTGACGCGTCAGTAAGTTCTCCGTCATTGTTTTCTTCGCTTTCTCTAGCCGGGTGTGCAAACTACAGGTCAACCAAGTTGAAAACGAGATTTCCTTCTTCTGCAAATCGCCCTTCCGCTTCTCCGCGCGCGCGACCTTCAGCGGATTGGCACTCACCGAGCAGGTCCAAGATTTGAAGAAGTGCAACAAAACCGCATGGTCGTTTTGCGCAGCGACCAGGGCAAACACGGTTGCGAGTTTGCTGGCGTTTTTCCTCGATTCGTTCGCCTTTTCCGCCCAGGTGTCGAAAAACAACTGCAAGGCGCACTTCTTGTCCCCATCCGTTGCAGTGGAGCACAGGAGCGACAGCCGGCCAAACGTGTTTTTCAACTTCGCAAAAGCCGCCTCCTGCGCAACCGTTTTCACTTTGGTCTGCAGCGATTCGACGTGACGTGTGGCGATTTCCGCGTCGACCACTTCCTTCCAGTTGAGAAGTACAGCTTGGAGTAACTGTCGTTTGTCGGAGTGCTGGAAGAAAAGTTGTTTCAACTTCTGCACTGCGTGGTTTGTCCGGTTTTCATTCAGCGAGTCTTTCAACAAGTTCATTTGCACGACTTGAATTTCTTCCTTCGTGGTCACAAACCAGCTAGTAAAGCAGTCACGTAGCAACTGATCCTCACTAGTGGAGAACACCGTCCGCAACTTGCTCACCCCGAGGTTTGTCAGCCGGTTCTTGAACTTTTGCTGCTTTTCCGCCAAAACTGCTTCCGTCCAGGACAAAAACGCCGTCCTGAGCATGTACTGATCCCCGAACCACCACCGCAACCTGGCCAACCCCGCTTCCCGGGCCTTCAAAGTCAGCGCCAACTGTTCGTCTTTCCGTTTTTTGTCGCACGTTTCCTCTTTCCAAGTCGCGAAGCAGTCCGTAACCAGCGCCGACGCGTGCTGCAGCTTCAGCGTTTCAAACGACTTTAGCGCCCGGGGCCAGAGCTTTTGTTGGTCGCGCTTCAGGTTCGCGACAATCTCGGTTTTGGTCTGTTCCTTCCAGTTGGTGAAGAAAAGGAGAAGATCGGTGGTTCTGCCGGCTTTATCCTCCGCCGGCACGAAGAACTTCAGCAACTTGGCCGCGTGCGCCGCTTCGCTCGCCTTCTTCGAATCCGAAGACTGCTGGAGCTGAAGCTTGTGCGCGGCGGTTAATTTTCCGATGACCGTTTCCCGAGACCAGGTGTGAAACAGGGTAGAGAGTAAATACGCGTCACTGCGTTCCTCCGCGGAAAGCTTCTCATACGTCGAGACGTGCATCCTCGCGAGGGCGGCCAGTCGGTCCTTTAACAGACTCTGCTGCTTTCGCTGGAGTAGAGCAGTGTTCCATCCCTTGAAGAGTTTCAGCATTTTTTGCTTCGGATTGTTGTCGGAAAACAAAGTCGAGGTGCCGGTCAGCTTCTGCAACTTTTCGAACGCAGTAGATTGCTTTTCCAAAGCCACTATTCGCTTTTTCTCCGCGAGAAGGTTGGACCACAGGCGGAAACAGAACTCCAGCATGGCTTTTGCATGGGACGCCGCCATTGCGGACGCGGCCGCGGTCATTGCATTTCCCTTAGACCTTTTCACCATTTCCGCGGCACGCTCGCAACGGTTCAGCAGCGTTTCGCGCGCCCAGATGCGGATGACGGAGTGCTGCAAAGTGGTGGAATGGTTTTCAATTTGCGCCTCCGCCTTGACAACTGCTGCCTTCCGCAGAACGGTTTGCTTGGTCACTTGTTGCCGCCACTCGCGCAAGACCACTCCGCACCAACTCCGTTGCTGCCGGACGACCAGCACCTGGCCGAACATGTGCCGCACGTGGTTGCACAACTGATCCATGGTCGTGGTCGGTTTTTTCTCGACGATTCTCGACGTTTGGAGCTGTTTCGGAAACGCTGGATGAACAGGTGCTGCGTTTTCAACGGTACGTGTCTGCTGATTGTGTTTGCTTTGTTCAAAGTGCTTTTTCGTGTTCCACTGCTGTTGCTGCTGGATATTAACCACCGGCGAACCGTCGGCGAGCAGTGTCGGAAACCGATCCATGGATGCTGCGAGGCTCTTGCGTGTCTGTTCGTTTAACGAATTCATCGGCGTTGTGTAGACAAGACTTTGCGACGAAGCAAGACTCGGATCTTCCACCAGACCATTTTCTCCAGCCGCAGCCTTGATTTCCGACAGACGGGAGGGACTCGCCAGACTTTGACTGCTATTCGAAGCTGTAGTGGCGGCTCCCCAGTTGCTCGCTGCGGTGGTCGTGGCAAAGGAGGTTTCCTGCAGTTGTTCTGGGTCTGCGCCTCCACCAACCGCGAGCGCCCCTTTCGCGATCGCAAAAGCGGCCTTCTGGAAGTGCTTTTCCAATTCCTTATCGGCCTTCCGCTGGTACAGCTGGTTTTCCATATCAAGTGCAAAAATGTTTGGGTCTGGATGATTGCAACTTGTCATGCTAAATCTGCATGAGGCAAAAAACTGTGTTGCATGATTGCCAAAAGTTGCGCGCTTTTGATCTAGTCGAGAGGCAGTTTCTCGTGCAGGATAGGCATTAGAAAGGTCTCACAGAGTCTGTCATGCTATGTCCTACATGCCAGACCGAGACCTCATGGGTCATGGAAAACCTGCATGACAAATCTGGCAACCTTCGAGACCCAGACATTTTTGCAATCCATATTCCACACTGCAGTGCCAATTGGTGAACACGCGGGACAGCACCCGCCTGCTGGAGCGCAAAGCGCAGAGGTTTGCGACACGGGACCGGCCCGCCAAATCCCTCCGCATCCGCTTCTCCTCGTTGACGTCCAATTTCCAGGCGAGGAAGCACAAACGCTGGAGAACTATCCTGAGTAAAAACGTCCCCACCCCATAGTCAAGTTGGGAAATCTGCAACGCAAATCTTCAAGGTTTGGGAGTTGTGCATGACAAGTCTCCATCTGCAGCGCAGTGCTGGTTAGCAAGGGAAGCCGCATGAGAAAGCCACTTTCTCATCCTGTTTACAGCATTACAGATTCCAAAACACGACTGTAAATGCCTCTCACGGAGATGCGCATTACAAATGTTCCTGTAATCGCAAATCTGCATCACAACTATGGGGTGCGTACGTTTTTACTCAGGATAAGAACGTCTAATTGCTCATGTCTGCGGTTGCGGAGTTGCTTGCTGCTGCACTTCTCCAGCATCGGGTCCAGGATAGTGGAACGGTAGGTGGCGGAAGTCTGCAACTTCTGCTCTAAAGACGTAACTCGCCAGGCGAGAAACAGGTGGATCGCAGTGGCGGTCGCTGCATTTTTCGCTGAAGATATTTGTCTTCCCTCGTCGTTTTGAAGGTCTTGCAGTTGCTTTTTGCAGACGAAGTCGACAGCGGTGAGTCGAGCGGTTTTTGCGGAAAGTTTGACTCTATCAAATGCAAAAATGTCTGGGTCTGGGAGAATCCGAGATTTGTCATGCAGTTTTTTCAAGCTCCCCCACGTCTGGAATTATGCAGGGCCTAGCATGTGCATGACAGGTTCTGCAGCTCCTTGATGATGCGTATTCTGCATGAGAAATGCCCTGTCAGCATGGCCGGAAGTGGGCACTTTTTGCACGTCTGCATCACAGATCTTTGTAGGATCCGAAACACGCATCACAAGTTGCAACCTTCCAGACCCAGACATTTTTGCATTTGATAGACTCGCTGCAGATTTTTCCACTCATCGAAGCAATGTTGTCGCAGAAGTGCAGAGTTCAACCTTTTAACTTTCTCCACTTGCTGGAAGTGCGCTTTGCGGTTGGTATTTACGCTCTGCACGTGACTCTTCCAATTTGCGAAAATGTGATGAAGTTCGGTTTTGCCGAAGTGGTGCTCGAGGATGGCAACACGGTTCATCTTTTGCTGCACGACGCCCGCCTGGAAAGCACAATTCTCTATTTTTTGCTGATCCGAGGTTGTTTGCATGCGCCAAAGTTGGAATGTACTTGCGAGGAAGAGTTCATTATTCGATCTTGTCGTGACTTTTCCTTGAAGCTTCTGCAGTTTTGTCACTGCTTTGTTCCGACTTGCCTTCTTCGCCCATTTCGAAAATGCTTGAGAGAGTAGAAGCGTCTCTTTGTTCTGCAAAACTTCCGACCGCAGATTCCGTTGCTGCTTGTGATTCTTCACTAGCGATTTCCAGGCACTGAAGACGCCTTTCTGCGAATTCTTTGACAGTTTTTTCTGCGAGAAGAGCAGGTGCTTCAAGTGGGAGTTGCGCTTCGACACACGCTCCGACGCTTCCTTCCAGAGAACGAACGCGTTGGACTTTCGCGAGAAGTTGCAGGTCACAGTAGTTGTACCTCCAACAAAACCGCCGCCGACTGCGCGCGCGCTCTTCAAGAAATTCTTCATTTGCAACTTTTCCGCCATTTCCACCTGCTGTTTCCGCTGCCGCCTCTTCGCGGCGACGGAGCTCCACGCGTGGAAGGTTCCACTGCAGGTCGCTATCCCGCGGAGCCGCTCCGACCACTTTTCGATGGTGAAGCCGTTCTTCTCTCGTTTCTTCCCGACGGAACGCCAGGCCTTGAAGGCCGTTTTCGCGAACTGCTTTTGCTGCTGCATCGAGCGGCCGTGCATCCGCTTGACCTGCGTGTCGAAACCTGCTTTCAGGGTTAGCGCCGCAGCCTCGATTTTCCGTTCGGCGTGTTGCTGGACGTGTTGCAGTTCGAACTTGTGGTTGACGTGGGACGCTTTCTGTTTCGTTTCCGCCTCTCGTAACTTCGTCTCCACCGCGGCGTGGTGTTCCGCGACTTGGCGGAGCTTGGATTCGAGCGCTTTTCGTTCGCGGTCCTGTAGTTGTGGTATTTGGGAAAATGGAAGCACATGTAAACAATTTATGCGTACTATGTGGAGGTAGAAGAAGTACAAAGGCATGAACAACAACACCGAACAGCAACATGCTATTCACGAAGGAAAAGCACCAATAGCCATCAATACGAAGAGTTTCTTTTCAACTTCCGACTGTTCATGCAGGCCCTGTAGCTCCTGCAATGCAGATTTCAACGCCCGGTCGCTGTCGATGCCACCAAGTTCTTCCCGGTGGGTAATGTCCGTTTGCGACACCGCCGTAGTCAGTGTCTTCGTTTCACTACTTTTCTCCAGTTTTTCCAATCGCGTACTGGCGTTCCGCAACTCCGCGTGCAGATGCGCGTTCTCCCGTAAGAGATTCTGCAATTCCGTGTTCCAGGTCGAGGTTTGATCGGCATCCTGGTATAATTGCGCCGTCTTGCTAACAACCGTTGGATTCGGTTTGGGCACAGTAACCACAGGTGCGACAACCGCAACGACATTTGTTTCACTAGGAGCATGTGCAAGCGGCAAGAATTCCGATTGATGGTTATGTTTATCGCTGGTCCTGTCGTCATTGACGCGCGGACCAGCGCCAGCAACTCTATGGTTCTTCTGCGCGATGTAGCTAGCGTTATTTCCAGCGGGGGGCAACACGGATTTCATCTTCACCGACGCAATAAGGGACGCTTCGGTTTGCAGTTTTCGAGCCGACACAGAAGATGCAGGCCGCACACTGCCGCTGTTGTCGTAGCTGTTTGGCCGCTTGCAGGACGAAGATCCTCGTGCCGACGCTGTGTTCGACGTGCCTCGAACCCGGACACCGCTCGGTGCTGGGGGTCGCCGGGCGGAGCTATAGAGTTCGTGGCTAGTAGACATGATTTTGTTTATTTTCCCTCCTTGTTTTCAATTTCTTGAATTTTGCTTGTGCCTGTGAAGAGGCAGATGAGGATAAACTTGTTGTTATGACGAGAACGCTCCTCGTTTGAGGTAGGGTAACTGTAGAAGATTACTTTTGGTTTCAGGAGGACCTCAGACTGTTGATGTTCGAAGCGAAACTGACATAATTAGGGCGGGCGAAATGGCCTTGTGATGTATTATTCCAAGTTGGCGGAGGCGAGGTTCAAAAAACTATACGGAGGAAAAAAAGAATGAAGACTTCCTCATCTGGACCGACACAAGCACCGAACAGAGACAAAAAAAAGGAATCTCCATGTTCACCACAACAGAAGAAGCATACACAGAGGCAGACAGACTGAGACCGAATAACGGTCGTACAAAAAGGAATACCAACACGAAAAATCAACAGGCCTCAAAGAAAAAAGTAAGAAGCTCGAATTTTTTGTCGCTGGCGCATAAAGAAAAAAAAAAAGTGCACCGATCTGCTGGCGAGTAAAAACGCCACTCAATGACAATGGCCGTTACAACGTGCGAGTAATAACAAACTTGGCATGCCGAAAAATGCCAAGTAAGTTTTGCTTGGCTGTTTCGAGGAATCGCAGCATTGCTTCTCTTGGTTGCTATCCAACAGTGACCGTCTACCGTTTGATCTTGCTACAGAGCCAATCTACACCACTGATAACAGTTTCGCGAATTTCAGCGTCTAGGTTCTCGTCGTCTACAGAAGATGATTGCTCTTGTGGATCCGCTGTTGAAGGACGTCGACCTGACCGAAACGAAAATGCTTTCCACGGCCTGCCCCCCTTGGCCAGCGCTTCTTTGGTCGCTTCAGGCAAAAGCGCGGACGCGGTCGATGGTGATGTGTTAGCTTCAGCACGGTATTGCGGTTGCTCACCCGGAGGCAGCAACACGAAAACGAGTACCGGTAGGTCAGGGGACTGGTTCAGCTTTTCCAGCCTCTCGACGGCTCCAACGCTTGTTCCTCCCTCCACGCCCTCCTCTCCCAGCAGCCACGGTAGGTACCGCTCCATATCCAGCCTGAAATTTTCCCGCTGTTGCTTCGTCTCCTCGTCACGAAGCGCTGTTTCAAGAGCGACGGAGTGCACGTAGATCAGGCCTGCGCACGGCGCGTACTCATGCCAGTCGCGGTAGACGAGAAGGCTCCCCGCCAGGCAGACCAGCTTAACGCAGGGCGCGGTGTCGCTCCACGAGACTTCGCCACGAAAGCTGCTGTGGGCGGCGATTTTGCTTCCGATCGCATTCGCCGCAGGCCCGCCACACCGCCCTGCGATGAAGAGGGCAAGGTTTGAGGCCGAGGTTTGGTCCGCGCCGGCGACCCAGATGCAGGGACCGGCGCCGGGACCAGTGTTACTGGAGCGCGCGGCACGGGGATGCAGGTTGCCCATTTTTATCCTTGGACGTGAATGTTTCTGACCTTGGCCCCAGCACCGGTATCCCTCGATCTTGGCGGCAAATACGTTGGGTTTATGCACTTCTTTATGCGCGTTTTTGTCGTCGCTCTCGCTCCGAGGACTCTCAAACAGGCACGCACTGCTTGTGACGAAAGTAGTTTAGCAAATCTCCAAACACAGGCTTCTCTGGCGTTTGTCTGAAAAAGCACGAGAAACTGACGCTAGACTGGTCGTTGTATGCTTCTTTTACTTTTTCCACAAATGTCGCATGGATGGCTTTGTTCATTTGGCACGACATCAATATTGTCTTTTGAGAATGTTCCAACAGCAGCACTATGTAGTCGGTGTCTCTCTAGACGTAGTACACCGCTCGATTTCCACTAGCAAAACATCATTTTACATTTGTTCCGATGCATTTCGAAGATTTCAAGTTTCAAAATAGCTAAAAAGAAGATACGAAGATTCCGCGTATGAAAGAAGATTCTCTAGAAGTACTGGCTAAAAGCACTTTTTCTGTTCCTGTGATTTCATCTTTGCTAAACTAACTAAACTGAGACTGAATGTGATAATTTGCTAAAAGATTCATTCGTAAGCTTTGGACAATTTTGACAAGTTGCAAGCGTTGACATTTTCATCAAAAACTTTTCCGATAAACCGCCCGCGGTCGAAGCTGTCGTAGAATTCTTTAACGACGGGCTTTTCAAGAAGATGTTCTGCGCGCCGAGTACGTTGTTGTCTAGCCTTTCGCCTGTTTTCTTTGCTGCTGCGAACGATTTTTTCGAAATATTCTTTCACTTCTTCTGATGGATTTTCTCCAATTGAGCCGAACTCTTCAGCACACGTGTCTTCGCAGTCCCAATCCCACGTGCCGAACCAATCGTCTTCCTCGATGGCATGGAGTTGCAGTATAGTTGCCTCTCGACTCGGAAGCCGTTCAGTTATCGCCACGCGCGCGTAGTCCGTTTCTGTTATCTCCAAACGTAAACCGGGACCGAGTTTCTGCCTCCATTCACCAGTCAATGGCCGCAATGTTAATTCCGTGAGGTGCTGTCTCCGGTGGCAAGCGATTTTCTTTTTCTTCACGATGTCCGGTCCTCCGGTCCTTAAGAGGGGGATGTGGGGCGAGACGGAAAGCGCCGGATTTTGTCTGGTGGCAAGCTGCACAAACGGTCCGCTCGCCTGGTGTTCGCGCACAAACGGTTGCGCTGCGCCGGGCGTGAAAACCTTGAGGGAGAAGAGACCACGGATATTTAGCGATATGGGGAACTTCACTTCGTCGAGGAGGTCCTCTAGTATTTCCCTCTTGGCCGACGAGTTCGAGTGTTCTGATTCATCATCAGCGTCTCCATCGGAGTTGACACCTTGCATTCCCAAAGCAGGTTCATTTCCAGGCTGATCGTGGCTGCTCCCAGCCACTGCTCGTGCTCTGTCCAACCCGGCTCCGCTCATCTCGTCACTCTCAGGGAAGTGGGCGAAGCCGATGGGCGATGAAGATGATCAACATCAATCACTGGAGTCGGAAACCATTCATCCACCTTGACCAATCGAGCAGTGCGTCACGGTCAACATCTTTGCTCCTCATCATATTCACGGAGAGTTTATCATAAACGAAAATCTATAATCGTAAAATGATGATGGACATGCACATGGAGGGATCGCGGTCGAAGTCGCGGTGAAGCCGAACAAATGGCACAGCCAGCCAGGGATATGATTGTATTATGCATAATTGTAAATTCGACGAGCACGAAAGCATCGCTCGTGTTTATCAGCATAAGCGGTCACCCACATTCACGAGCTCTCTTGAACGAGCGGGCGTCTCGTTTGGGTTCTGTTCTCGTTCCAAACGAACGATCAGACGATGATATACGAAGAAGGGCGACTAAAAGCCGAACCTGCATATTGTTCAATCAATGACCACGATGTAAGTAGCAAGTAGGTGCGAAAAAGCGGACGAAACTAACAGTGACGGTTCTGCTGGACGTTTTGTCGATGTAGTCCATCTGTCGCCAAAAGGAATTTGGTGTTGTAAATATCTCAAAAGTTGCAGTTGCACAGCTTTGTACATTCGGTTCGACGTCAACAGCATTGTCTTTTGAGAATGTTTCAACAGCAGCACTATGTAGTCGGTGTCTCCCTGGTACACCGCTTTTTGTTTTCCACTAGCAAAACATCATTTTACATTTTTTCCGGTGCATTTCAAGTTTCAAAATAGCATAGCTAAAAAGAAGATACGAAGATTCCGTGTATGAAAGAAGATTCTCTATGGGCTAAAAGCACTTTTTCTCTTCCTGTGATTTCATCTTTGCTAAACTGCTAAACTGAGACTGAATGTGATAATCTGCTAAAAGATTCATTCGTAAGCTTTGAAGAATTTTGACAAAGGCTCTGATCTTGACTTTACACACTTAGCAGAAAGCTTCTACTTCGCATTTAAATTTTTAGAGTGATCAAAAGGTTAAAAAGCGACCAAAGTGTCGCGATCTCCCTAAGCACGGCAGGACTGGTTCAACCTGCAGTCAGCTGCGCCTTTTTTCAACGACAGATGGGTATGGGCAGTAGTATCTTTTTCCAACAGGCCGTTTTTATTTTTAAAGCAGTTGCACACTAGCACTACCGGTAGCAGTCACTCAGTATTTTTTCAAGCTTCTTTGGGTAGAGGGATTTTTATTGAAATAGCGCTAAAGAAAAAAGGTGAGTAATCGCGTTTCCACCTTACCGCATATCTACAAACAAACAAACAAGAATTTTGACAAGTTGTAAGCCTTGACATTTTCATCAAAAACTTTTCATCGTTTCATCGCGACAACACCAACACCAGCACTCCCGCGCTAGAACCGGCCATACCCGCTGTTGTTGCTGATTTTCGGGAGCGAGCCGGTGCTCAAGGGCGTGTAGATGTTTTCGATCGATTTCATCTGTCCCTTACCCCCCTTCTTGGTTTTGTGGCGGGCCGTGCTAGCGGCGGAGCTGCCAGAAAAGAATTTACTGGACCCGGTCATGCCGAGGAGACCCGAGCTAGAGCCCATACCGGGCTTGGCCGCCTGCACTTCGGCGAGTCTCTCGCGGACCTCCTTCGATTCGCGCTGCAGCGTGACGACCTTGGCTTCTTCCGTGGACAGGGCGCGCCGGTAGGCCATCACCTGCAGGATCGTGGTTTTGGTTGTCTTTGTAGTTCTTTTCATAGTACACGTTGAAGGACTAGGACACGCTTTCATCCTTATGCGTCAGAGAATCTGATTCTGAACAATGCAAAAATGCGCGGCCAGACACATCATTAAGTACTCGTAGATTGTTTATTTGCAATACAAAATCAAAATCAAAATGCTCTTTCTCACCTCGACACGATGGTCCTCTTTCGCTTGTTCCACCATACTCTCCAATTTCACCCGCTCGTCCTGTCTTCTCTTCTTTTCAAGTTCCATATCACACAGAAAAAAGCTGGCAGGTCATTTTTGTAATGCAAAAATAAGTAGACAAAAGTATTTGCATTGCATATCCTAAGTAAGTAGCATGCTATGAGGCCGCCCATAACATATTTTTCTGTGTATTTATTTTTGCATTACAAATTATATGCCCTGCCAGCTTTTTTCTGTGGGATATTCCAAATCTCGCGCCAAGTCGTTCGATCGCTTGGTATTGGCGTCGACGATGGTGTTGGCCTTTTGCTCCGTCACGCGGGCGGCGACCATGCGGTCATGGAGCTGGAGTTTGAGCGAATTTACCTACAGCTTACATACACGGTATTCAAGTTTTTTCCTGCGCATTGCAATGATGAATGAGCATGGTATCTAGTTGCACACGAGAAGTGAAAATGCAGCAATACCTCGTCCTTTTCCCTCTCTGCTTCCTTCACTTGGTCCTTCATGGCCTCGAGGGTCTTATCGGCAGCGAGCAACAACCCGGTGAGTTCGGCGACTTTCTCGTGTGCTCTGATCACTTCGTTGTCACGGAGCCGGAGGATGTCCAGGAGTTGTTTCTGATATGTTACGATTTACTGCATCTTCCACGCACGAGGAAAATGACAGGCTGCGTCAGGAGAAGCAACAAGGCAAAAATTCAATTAGGAGACATCAAAAAAAAAGCCCAAGTATGAAATTATACCTCGTTCTTGCTCTCTACAGTGACCTCGTCCTTCCAGACGTCCCATATGAATTGCAAATGTGTCTGGGTCTGGGAGGATGGAACTTGTGATGCGTCCTGTGGGTCACATAAAAATCTGTGTTGCGTGATCGCCAAAAGTTGTGCTTTTTTGACCAATATGAGCGGGAGTCTCTCATGCAGGGTAGGCATGATAGAGACTTCGCAGAATCTGTCATGCTAGGTCCTGCATTCCAGACCTCATGGGGCGTGGAAAATATGCATGACAAGTCTGCATTCTTGCAGACCCAGACATTTTTGCATTTGATATCCCTTACTATTTCGCGAATTTCATTCCGCAGTTTTTCCAAGTCAAATATCGTATGGAAAAATCCCCCTTCCCAATACTAAAAAGACCTACTTCTGAAAATTTGTATTGCTGATTTTCGGACGCAAATCGTCTCTGTATTGCAAGAAGGCAAAGCCAGAGACTCCGCCGGGTTCTGCGGGCAATTTGTAATGCTGTATGGCGTGCAGAGGATAAGCCTCCCTTGCTAGGCGCCAACACCAAAAGGGCCCAGCTCAGGCCTTGTATCTACTGTGCGCAGTCCTCTACTGCAAGACAGAGCTGATTTGTGTACACAAATCCTGCATCACAGATTTCCAATTTGATACGGGGAGGGGGATTTTTCATTTTGATATCAAATGCTGGCGCCGGAGCGCCCGCGGCGCCCTCACCTTCACCGGCCTTCCCGCCAGTAGCTGTCCCATCCCCCGCTTCGCCGTCTTCCCCGGCTGCCTTGGGATCGCCGGGCGCTGCTTTTGCACTGGAAGACGTTCGGGCCCCGGTTTTTCCCTTGGCGTCCACTTTTGCCTTGGCCTTACTCTTGGCCTTCTTCTTCGCCTGGCCCTGTTGTATTCGAGAACATATGACAGTCGTGAAGAGTTTGTTCTGTTGACATCGATTCGTGTGGTGCAACAACTAAACCCACAACCAACTTCGCGGAGGATCAGCTTGTTTGGGTGTGTTGACAAAAAGTTCTTTAACATATCACATCTTCTAGTTCTACCTTCGCAGCACTGGCTCTTTTTGCCGGTGGTCCTTTTTTGCCATCCGCTCCTACCTCGACTTCCTCTTGGTCTTGTTCAATTTCCTCCTGCTCCTCGGCCTCTTCGTCCTGGTAGTTTTCGTCCATACTATTTGGGTCGATGCCCACGGATATCAAATGCAAAAGTGTCTGGCTCTGGAAGGATGCGAAATTGTGATGCGTGTTGCGGATCATACAAAAATCTGTGTTGCATGACTTGCAAAAGGTCCCCATTTCTGGCCATGCTGAGGGGGCATTTCTTATGCAGAATAGGCATCACCGAGGCGCTGCAGAACCTGTGACGCTAGGCCCTGCATTCCAGACTTGGCGCTGGCGGAGCTTGGAAAAACTGCATGACAAATCTCGGAGTCTTCCAGACCCAGACATATTTGCATTTGATAACGGACGCCGCGCTCCCGCTGCCACTAGACCCGGGTCGCTTCAACATGGCTATCTCATCGGCAATCACACCGCGGACAAAGTTTCCTGTTGGGAGGAAGATGATTTACAATTGCGAGACCGTGCATAGGAGGAGCACAAGCAGGAGTCGTACTAGGGGTTCTTAGGCTTAGCATCAGACAAATATAGTATTTTGCGTCAAACATACATGAATTCAATACGGAGAAAGTGGCCGTTGCCGTCCTCGCCATCTGATGACGATGATTCTCTTCTCTGGTTAACTGGCTCCGCAGCGGCTGGCTCCTCCTCTTCTTCGTGTTCTGGTGGTGGGGCCTCGCCACTCGCTGCTACTGGCGCGGCCTGGTTATTTTGCAAGACACAACATGATTATTTCGAGAACGAGGAGGGAATCAATGGAATGGCTGTCCTTCCATACCTCCAAGCGCTTCGTCGACGCAGAAAAAGACATGCCGACTCACCCACTCGAGTGCGAGTCAGAGAGTAAGAAGTAGAATTCACGACATGTACCTCATCCGGTTCTGCCGTAGCACCAGCTTCTACTGTGACCGCCGGTTCCTCTGCTGCTGCTGTCGCACTGTCAGCTTCTTCTATTATCTGCGGAATCGGCTCTGTAGTTGGCTCCTCCGCGGCCACTGCAGTTGTACTATCCCCTGCAGCATCTTCTGCTGGTGCTGGTGGTGAGTCAGGATCTCTTGCTGGCGCTTCCGCGGCCTCTGGATCCGCCGGAGCGGGCTCTGTTGTTTCCGCGGCCGGTTCAACAGTAGCCGGCGCTTCCGTTTCTGCTGCCGGCTCTTCTTCTGCAGGAGCCGCTTCAGGAGCGACTGCGACGTCAGCAGCGGGCTCGACTGCGGCATCAACATCAGCAGTGGAGGCTTCTGGTACTGGAGTAGTCTCTTCCGCAGGGGCTTCTGCGGCCGGTGTTTCCTCTTCTTCAGCCATTTTGACAGTAAACACCGGAAGCGAGAAGTAGAGCAATAGAGTTTATTCCGACGTCCCGTCGCAGCTATCAAATCATTTCAAAATTGATCATACGAATGAGATCTCCGCTTCCGCTTCTACGTCCACCGAACAAGCACCACCAGCTCTCCTCTACTCAGTTTATCTCCTCTCGCATCGAAATCTCGCATGAAACCACAACGGTCAAGATCTTACAACTTGTTCACTACAAACATTCATATTATTAAATCGACTGCAAAAAGAAAACATATTTCACATGTGGCAGCCATCCTGCGGCTGCGCCAGCCCTTCTGCGGCTGCGGGTTGTAGTTAGTTTGGGTCGTCTTCATGTTTCTCCATACGGCGTCGGTGTACAAAAGGAACACAAAAACAGGAGGCGGAAACAGGAGGGTTATTATATTGTTTTATTCGGTCGTCCTATCGCTTTTGTACAACATTGGAGATTCATCAGAATGTTGTTCTAGTGTTACGTAGAAGGTTTTAAGTACATTGCTTTCAAGTCGACGTGTTGAACTGTACAATCGAAGAACGGTGCGTAGTACAAAGAATCAAGATTTTCATACAAAGAAGAGGTGTACTAGTGTAGAAACCGATCACACATTCGCCACCGCTCCGTGCGCCTGTCTCCTCATTCGTCTGACGACCTCGATGAAGAGGTGCATGGCTTCGATCCATAATGGCGAGTCAATGATTTGAAAGTACAGATCGACGGCGTTGCCTCCTTTCCTGCTGGTCAAGTACCGCAGACAAACGTAGTTTGGATGCTTCGGATCGGTTACCACCGCGCTTATGGTCAGGATGCTGCACAGTACCTGTTATTCGTATTTCAAAAAGTTGGTTGAAATTATCATGAGCAGAAAAGGAAAAGCATCTTCCCTTTTCGCATCGTACTATGGAACGACCAAACAAGCAGAGCACCAGAATGCAGCACCTTTGTAGTTAATACCTTCGCGTCACTAGTATCATTCGAGAGCCTATCTGCTTCCCGGTGGAAGATTCCGAAGTGCCACTTCAGTTTCCCGGCGCTTGTCTTCTTTTGAAACACGTTTGCAAATTTCGTCCTTGGTATTCCGAACCGCGATACCCACTTGACGCGCGCCTGCAACAACTGGCGCAATATCTTCAAAACCGCTTCGTACTCCGCGTTTCCCTTCAGATCCTTCATCGTCGCCAAGTGCTTGCTCATATCAACTGCAAATATGTCTGGGTCAGAGAGCTGTGGGGAAGTGAAAACCGCAGAAAAAAAAAAAAACCTAAGTACTTTGACAGGATGAACTAGTACAAATAATCCCGCAGATATAGCTTAGTGGAGCAACCTCAAACGGTCTTGGTGGCAGAAGTTCCCCTGTCTGCGAACTGCTGAACCCGTTCTCCAGCCGGCGCCTGCAGAGCCGGGCGCGTCTTCCGAAGGGTGTGCCGCAGCGGGATGAGGCAAACCAGGACAGGGTCCTCTCCCGTCCTCGCCCCGCACGCGACGGGAATAATAGCCACCTCGATACTACAGAGACGCTTCGACAGTTCCGGAAGAGCGGAGGTGTTTCTAGTTCTTGATTGCGCGCTGGTGGAAGACGCAGCAAATGGAAATGATCCGTCCGCAGTTGTAGTTCTTCTTCTTTGGGCAGCTGCAGCAGGTGCTGGCGACGAAGTAACTGGGGGCTGCGCGGGGCCTGCACGGGGCACCAAGCCACTAGCGCCCCGCAGGAACGGCATTCGGATGTTTTGACTGTCGAACTGGGCGGTGGCTCGGCCGAGGATTGCGGCTTCTTCCCGAAACCGCGTTGACACGAACTTGGGGTCGTTCCAGTACAGCGCGCTGCGCCGCGCGGTCCTCGTGCGGAGCCTAGACCGCTCGTCGCAAAACTTGCGGCATTTCCAAATAAGCGGACTCGGCGGCTCCGTCTGGATGCGGTGTAGCCGCTCGTTCCGGCGACGGACGTGCTTCTGCGGGCCTGCCTCTGTGCCGGCAGGTCGTTGTTCACAAGTAGATTGCTCCATCCCTCCTGAGGAAGTGGAACCCGAACCGGCAACCGTCGTGGTGGCCACAGCTTCATCGACACCGGAGAAAGGTTGTAGCCGTTTCCCCTGGCAGATGCTTTTGATCGTTCGGCCCTCCACACTGTCGGAGGTCCGCAATCGGTACAGGTCCTTCCAGCCGTCCATGGCATGCACGATCGTTTCGGTCTTGCAGTGCAAAAAGCACGCGTCGGGATGCACGCAGTCGGCGGAACAAGCACCGCCGTCCTGTTCCACCTGGTGCTGACACAGATCCTCAAGAAACACGTTCAGGTCCGCCTTAATCCCGCGGAACTCGTCCTTTCCCTCCTCTGGGTCCACGGTGAACCGCCGCCAGCGCAGCATCAGCTGCTCCAACATTTCGGCAACGTCTTCTTCCGGCTCCTCCAGACAACTGGCGCTTTGGCCCGCACCAAGTAGTGCCCTCTGTGGGTCTCCGAGCGACACGGCCGGGTGGTAGGGTTGCAGCTGAAAATGTCCGTCACAAACGACAAGTGTTTCCACACAGGGCTGTTGCGTACTACTACTAGACGGTTCTCGACGTACACTGGAGGTGCCTGTAGTTGTACTATCCGGAAACCGCAGACGGGAAACGAAGCAGATGCTGTACCAGTTTGGTGGATTCTTGGCGTGCTTCTCGTAGAATCGTGCCTCCTTGTATGTCCGCAGCTCGTCGTGATAAATCGGTCGCGTCCCGTGCTTCCCGGAGACCAGGAACGGCTTCTGCTTCAAAAACTTGTCACTGAAACAGAACAACGGAAAAGCCACTAGCGTTGGCCTCAGGTGGGCGTGTCCTCTCCTTGCTGCGCGGGCCAGGGCCATTGTCTTCGCGTGGTGCGCGGACCTACGCCGCCCGCCTGCGCGGTCTCGGTCATCATCCGAGTCTTCCTCGTCCCGATCGGTCGTGGTCTCGGGGCTCGACGGCGGCTCCGAGTCGCTCGCCGTGTCCGCATCTTCGAGCCGTGGAGGTAGCGTGTACATCTTCTTTCCCTGATCCACACAGAACTTGGCGACGCGGTCCAGCGTGACGCCGGGGGAAACTGACGAGCTCGCGCTATTCAGCCGCAACTGGGACATCCTAGTGCACTTCCAACCACGTTTCGACCTATCCCCGGGGACCGGAATGAACTCGTTTTGGGGCTCCCGCAGTTTGCAGTCAATCACTAGTGGGCTGGAGCACAGCTTGTACGTGCGCGGCGGGTATCTTGTTGTCCTTCCGACTGAGCGGGGTGAAACAGAACTGCCCCGCCCCGGGCTGGTGTCGTCCCCTGCTCCGGACGAAGTACCACAAGGCGCCAACGTGCACACGCATGTCAATTCGTGAAACGGGACCTGTGGATCCCACACTCGCGCGTGATCGTCCCGCTCAATCCATTCGCCCATAGGCGACACACGGATGCGGAAGATGTAGGGCTGGGGGCAAGGATCGTGCTCGGCCGCCGCCACGTCGGAACGACGACCGCCATGTCGTGTGCTCTGTTCCTGGCTCGGGGAGAACGTCGTGCCGCGGGCTAGAGGCCTCGCCGACGTTGCAGCGCTCGCCCCCAGTGGGATTTCATCCGGACTGTCAGCAGGGGCACGATCACGAACGGCGCCAGGCTGGACACGACGTCCGAATTGCGAAGAACGCGCCCGAAATCGTCCCCCGCTTGCTTCCCCGGAACTGCCAACAGTCGCGGCCGCGCAAAAAAAACTGACAAAAACAGTCGCGCCCGCACAAAAAATTCTCATGTGAGAAAACATTTCTTCTTCATTACAAAACACAACAGATAAGGATATTTTTCCACGTAGAAAAAATTAAAATAATAATAGAAAATAAGCACGACAGCCCTGTCAAGAATTTTCAAGTCGTCCTGGAAATTTAGGAAGGCATGTGCAAGAAACCAATTGTGTGCTCGCTTCTTCAGGCGAGCGAGTTACTGTCTAACGTACTATCTATATTCCTGCTTGTAAGTAGCTGACAGCCAGTGTCTCAACCGGTTGTCACCAAGATCTGGAGAAACACCGCCCGTTTTAGTGGTGAACCAACAGACCTGGGGAGTTGCCTGAGAGAAAGTGAGCCGAGACCCGCAATCACCCCTGGCTTCAGAACCAGGCACTACTACCGCCTCCGTAGTGCTTCGATCAGCCTCCGCATAGCCACAGGGTCCAAAACAAGCCGCCTCTGCTTGCCCTTCCCTGCGTCAGAACAGGTGCTATAGAAATGACAGGTCCTAAGCAAGACTCCTCTTCTTGCCCTTCCTGCCTGCGCCACCTGAGCCGAGGCTCTGGTAGCGGTACGCTGACGCCGCCGGGAGACGCAGGAAAACACGGAGTTATACCCTGCACCGCCCAACTACCTCCCTAAAACCCTTTACCCTACCCTTAAACCAAAGATGTTGAAAGAAAATATTTACTTCGATTTTTTGATGTTTCGCTTGAAAGCGTCAGCACTTCAAGCACATTTTAAGACATATATTTGCTAGTGTAGTATGTGCCCTAAGACCGAAATATTTCTTTTCAGCTAGTACAAAAGAAAATGAAAGCGTAAGCTAAGTTGTATTGAAATTGAAAATCCTTCAGAATGTTTAAAGATAAAGTGGTATCAATAATAAGTAAAGGATCAAGCGAAGTACTGATGACGATGATGCTTTCGGGCCCGGCTCGGCACTAGTCCCTCTTCCGCGTCCGAAGCGCAGCAGTGAAATTCTATTTTGCCTGTGAGAAAATTGATTATGTGCATGCTATCGTCCGGGTCATCCATGATATTTTTAAGTAACTCTTTTTCGTAGTTCTTCATGTTTTTTTTCTTTAACTACAAATCTCGCACGGTGGATTTCGACGCGTTTGGTGGAGCGGTGATGTCCGAAGCACTAACGCGCTCGAGCTAAAACTGCGAGAAAGTTCGGTAACGACATCAGATCGTGTTGCTATTTGTAAAGAAAAAATAGCATTTTATCTCTTCTTCGTGCTTAGCTGGTGCAGCTGAAGCTTTTCAAGAGAGAGAGAGAGAGAGATCAAGTTTTTCTCCAACGACAGTATACTTTTTGTAGTCAACGACCTCGACATGCTAGTCTGGTATGACTCTGAGATCTGTATCGCGTTGCCGCGAAGAGCTTCTCCTGCCTGTCATGCAAAAACAGAGTTTCTCATCATGCGGGTTACGCAACTCCGAACAACGGAAAAACTTTAACTTGTCAAACATGCTTGGCAGCGCATTACAGGGCACTCACTATTCGTATTCCCCTCCTTCCATCACAAGTTTCCAGACCCAGACAGGTTTACAGTGCATAGCTCACTTCCGCGGCGACCGGAGCGCTGATCGGGTGCTCGATGAAATGCTCAAGCCTGGTGATTATCAACCGTAAAAATGTCTGGGTCTGGAAGAATGCATGTTTGTCATGCTTGTCTGGCATGACTATTAAATCTGTCATGCATGTTGCCCAAGAGCCGCATTTTTCTGTCATGCGGAGACGCAATTTGTCATGCAGAATAGGCAACACCTACAAGCTCAGAAACTTCTCATGGTGAGCCAGCACTTGTGGCCTCCTCATGCTACGCCACTCAGCATCACAAGTTTCCAGACCCAGACATTTTTACAGTTGATAGTGATCTCGTCGGAAGATTGCTTGTCCACGTCTGCCTTGTACTGGATACTTAGCACTACTTTCCCCGACTGAAAGCTGTCCGTAATCGCACTGCCGTCCGCTTTTTTCACGACCGAAAACGCCTCGTGGCGGACGCAGCCGAAGGAACGACGGGCAATCACCATCTCCATCACATCCAGTATCCGGTGCGCCATACGGTGCTTCGTGCGGAATAAACCGCCCGTGACGACCCAAACCTGAGGATTCATCGAGATTGATTTTAACTTTTGATGCTCAACAAATAAAACCATTTCTGTTCTTTCATCAAAAAAACTTTTCAAAAATTTTGCAGCACATGCAGCAGTGGGCAAACTAACTGTACTGCGTCTGATATCATTTTCGATGTTTCATAATTTCCAGTACCTCTATCACGATGCTTCTGTATCCCTGCAATATCCTGACGTCAAGCGGCTTTTCAATGACCCCGTTTTTGCTGTCCGGCGTCCAGTAGTCCTTGCCCCCAGCGATGATTTTCACGCTATACACCCCCTTGTCCTCCGGGTGGGGGTTCAGCATCTTCAAACTGTGCACGTTGATCACCAAATCAATCGCCTGAAACTTGTCCCAGCCAATGGAGAAGAGGAAGTTCTTGATTGCCGGGAACCTCCGCCAGTTCAGGTGGCACAGACAGCAAAGGAAGCAGAAAAACAGGAAGGACAGGACGAAGAGGTGAGCAATGTTCAACGGACCCACGATCGGTCGGGTCACCCCGCAGAGGTCCCAACTTGGTGACGGGTGGTGGTTGGTTCCGAAGTGGACGGGGTGCGTTTCACCGTGAGCGGCGGCGGCTGCAGCCTCTTCCAGGTGTTCTTCTGTGCCGGGAGGCACCGGCATCACGTGCAAGTGAAGGTGGGAATGGGAAAAAGCGTTTTCGAATTTATTTCGGGTTTGTTTCGCTACTTGTTCCCCTTGGTGAACTTGCACCGCCGAGGAGGAGGATGAATAGGCGGATGATGTTGAGGGAGCTGATGGCGACGTTCCGATTTCTAGTGGTGTGCGACCGGCTGATACTCGTCCTGCGTGGTGAGTGATCCGTGAAGATGCCGATGCGGCCGGTACAGTTGTTGCTGACGATCCAACGTCCTCGAGGCCGCCCCTCGTCGTCCTTTCTCCTTCATGAAGATCGCGGTTCTGTTCAGCAAAAGAGGATGCTTCTGCAGGAGCTTCGCCAACGATGTCCGGAGACAGGCGCATCGTCGCTCTCGTGACTTTGAACATGAGGTGGATGAGACCGGCAAAGCCGAGACACTTGCGACTTGAAGTTCTGTCCTGTGTTCTACAATAGTTTCGTAAGTAAATTATTGCTCTAGTGCAACTAGAAACCAGCCCCGTGCTTCTTGAGGCAACTTCTACGAGATTCTACTTTGTCAATACTTACAATAGATTTTATTTCCGCCGCGGACAAGATTCGCGTTCCAGATATATTTTTCCGTACATCGTGTAATCACAGAGGGAAAACCACGAACGAAATTATACGACTGCGATGGCGAAGATACGAGTCTGCCTCTGCGTTCTTGAAACCTTGCATGAGCGACAGCTTGCTGCGAAAGAGCGACAACGAATACTTCTACGACCGAGGAGAGAACTCGCTCACTTCTGATCGAAAGACTGAGTTCGAAAGCAGAGCGTGATGGGGATAGAAAGAAACGATCTACGAAGACGATGTGACGAGACAATGACGAAAGATGATTTCTAGCAGTAATTGCAACACAGGCGGGGGCACCAGCGCCAGACAACGTGGACAAAAGATTAACAGTTGGTGGGCTACCGCAACCGCAAGGACAAAGAAATGCGCTGCTAGGAGCCCGAACATGCCCTCCGCCATCAGCGATGAGATTAACATTAGACAGCGGAAGCAAAGATTTTGGTACTTGTCTGTCATTGTCTTCGAAACAGGTTTAGCTCAGGGAAGCGAAACATTTGTCTGGCTCGGTCTTTTTTTATTCTCTGAAAACAACATGGCGAGAAAAGCAAAAAGAGAATAATCCATCACTATCCTAACCCTGAGAGCACGCAGACAAGAAACAGCGCAACAAGCGCGCACCCTATTGACAGGAGAACCCAAAATCCCGCCGACCGCCAGCCTGCCACCGCGCCAACGATAAGGGCGACGATAATGAGAAGCACTCCCAAGGCACCTAGACCCCAGACGAAATACCTCGCGTTTTTATTCTCCGCGTAGATCGTGCGGTCGGGCGGCGGAGGCATGGCACCTGGTTTCATTTGTCTGGGAAAAGCTGGATCAATACGTCATCGAGGCACTTCTCGTCCTTCAGCTTCACGAAAAGAAAGAGAAATCACTTTGCAGCAGTTCGACATTTCAGAATCAAAGGGGTCCTCACAGCCGCATGTTCATGTACTTCTTACCTTGCCCAGGGTTGTAGAATGCGTCTGGGTTACTGGCGCCGATGAGTTGCTCTTTTGGAATTTCTACTCCGCGTGCGTACAAGCTGAGACTTTCGACGGGCACATCCCCTGTTTTTTCGGATACCGGGAGGGGAGAGACAGGAAACTGATTTGCAAAATGACCACCAGAAACCTGCTCCGATTGAGGAAGCTCGCCGGAGAGGATCTGCACCATGGGCGGCCCTTGCTCGGTGCCTTGTTTTCCAATCGGATTCATCTTGTTGTGGCGGAAAGTATGTAGTGTTCGACTCTTTTTCTCGCTGAAAGAACTGAGGTCAAAATCTTTGGGGAGACCACGCACGTGCCTATGATCACAATCACAAATCACATCATAGTCAGATTGATAATAAATCCGCACATAAATAAAAAGCGTGCCTGAACACCGGATGACAAACGAGGAACAAGCAGCGCACAAAAGCACACAGAGAGATAGTTCTTTTATCTCTGGTATGAAACCTTTCCACTGGCAGATCTGAAACATTTACTGTTTGCGAAAGCGAAAGGAAACCTGAAACGAGAACGACATTCATGTTCATCAGTAGAAAGAAGTACGATCTAGGACAGACTCACCACGCCAGGAAGAATACGAGTCGCGTCGTGAGCTTCATGCAGTTGTGTTCATTTTCTATCTGTATAGACCCAATCTTCATCGTGATCCCTGCCGCTGCCTGCCCATGCGGCTTGCGTACCCCGGCCTGGTATTTCCCGCAACTCGCTGTGCCGCCTGATTGGTCCCAGCAGAATCCTTCGATGTTGAAGCACTGGTTGTCGGTTCGTCCTGCTCGAAAACTCCCGCTGAAGTTTCTCGATAGTCCTGGTCTTTTTCCGACCAGTGTACCAGGGTTCGCACCAGCGCCTTTCTGCTGTCACTCCTTGTTTCGATGCGCTCCGACGGGGTGATGTCCAGCAGCTTGCTTCTCGCAGATCCGACGCGCTCTTTCTGCTCTTCTTCGCTTTTGCGCACTTGCTTCAGCAACTGCCAGCACAGGTAGGTCGCGACCAAGGCCATGATGGAGGTGGTGAAGAACCAGTCAAGGAACGTGTACCTGAAATATGCGATTATTGCTGAGAGAGTGTGCGGCCATACTGTGCCCTCTCTAAGTAGAACGATGTACAGTTTTATTTTTCCTCTTGTTTCGAAAGCCTGAACTGCGCATCAATTTCAATTCACGTACACGTAGTAGTTTTCATCTTCAATTGTATACCTTCGGTTATGTGCCACGAGCCCCAAGTAGTCGCCGAAAAAGACCCCGACGAGCACGAGCACGGGCGCCACGGGGATGCGCCAGGCCGCCTTGATTGTGGAGCCGGCGTACTTCAGGATTCGGCCGACAAACAGCCCGTGACAGGCGGAGATGATGAAAGCCGCCGTGGCGTGGCCGTCGATAAAGGGGTTGACAGATTCAGTTCCGCCCCCCGTCGACGCGGCCGAGGTGGAAATGCGGACCAGGAGCAGAATGAAGCTGCACCACATGTACAGCATCCCATTCTGAACATCAACATCGTTCAGAAAGTTCTTCACTTCCCGCTCCGTGTTCGCAACGGAGTCCGCACGCAGGCACGACTCGTCCAAAGGCGCGACGTTTTCTACAACTGTTGCGTCTCCCGAAGTGGTTCTTTCCTCGTCGCTTGTGGTCGTCGTCCCTGCCACGGTCGGCCCGGTGCTGCTCGATGGCTCCACGTCGGTTGCGGCCGTCTGTCCTTGTTCCCCGAGAATTTGTTGCTGGGCCCCAACATCCACGACCGTCCAGACCGGCACGCGCATCATGTATTCCATGGAAACGCAACCCCCGATGTTGGCGAAGATGCACAGTACTGCGAGTATACCAGGCATGTACTCCGTCGTCCCCGACGTGGTCGCAGGATTCGGCACTGCACCCGGGTCCTCCGTTGTTCCACCGTATTCCGCGACGCCCTGAAGAATGCAGAAAAAGGTGAGCAAAAACACCAAGGATTGCGACGGCCAATCTTCCAAGGAATGGTCGTTTCCGAAGACGCGCGCGCGGAGGAAGACAGTGCCGACCAGTTGGCACTCGCGCAGGACCGCAAACGCTCCCACCCTGGACGTGCCCAACACCATCTGCGTGACGACGTTCCCGACACAGAAGAGCGCCGCCGGGAGGGAGAAGCGCAGGAAAGACTTCCACACCCAGCCGTGATGCAGTTGCTTCGTGTCGCTGCCACGTAAGCTTGGGCCGGAGACGGAAAACAATTCGAACACGGAGGTCAGACCGACAGAAGTGGTGTGGTTCGTCGCGCTCGCCGGCGCCCCGGTTCTTGTACTGCTTCCGTCACCTACTTCCTCTACCAATTTGCGACCCTGGTCCTGCTCGCTGTAGGTGGATTTCGCCGCAATAACCGCACAGCAGAAGAACAATTTCAACAACTCTTGCTCCATATAAAACGTCACCGTGTTGAAGGTCATCTTGTGGTCATTTCCGCCGGCGATCATGGAAAACAAGATGTTGACACTGCAGGAAGTACAGAGCGAGATGCACCCGAACAGGTTCCCAAAGATGAACTGGCTCGCGGCGCTGCCCTGCGATCCGGAGCTGTCCGTGCTCGCCGTGTAGTACATCTGGAAGGCGAAGAAGGCAACCACGATGAGAACCAACGACATGGCAAAGAAAACGTCCATGGTGGAAACGTAGTGCCCGAGCGTGTCCATCTTCGTTCTCAGCATGCGTTGGTTCCTCTCCTGCAGCGAGGCCGGACCGTTCACAACCCACTCGTCGGCGGATACATCTAGAAGCGAGGCGGGTGATGAATTCGCAGGTCGTGCTGAAGCTGAGTCTTGTTCCTGTTGTCCAGGAGCCCCAGCTGCGTTTTTGTTCGCAGCGAAATCCAGTGCACTGGAGAACTCCAAAAAGTTCCAGTGCGGCACAGACGTCGCGGTCGATCGCATGGTGCTGGTCCAAATGTTGTGCAGGTCGCGCAGCGAGTTCTGGAAAATTGCCGAAAGTCCCATCGGGGAAGAGGAGGGCTCGTATGGAAAGGGAAAGGCACGAAGTTTGCTTTCTGTGTCTTTTATTTTTGCCCCGTCGACGACGACGACACTGTTGCTGTTGCCCGATGTCGCAGAAATAGTGCTACGTCCGCTGCCCGTGATGTGCTGCTGCTGCTGCTGCTGTCCGAGCCCTTGCAACGCCCAAGTTCTACTTTGATGCACATTTTGTTTCTTGGAATAATGTGCTGCTCCGGTGTTAGCAGAAGATGAAGACGTCGGCAATTCTTCGGCTAGTTTATCTTGATGAAGTAGAAGTTCATTTTGAGGAAGCTTGTCGCTCTCGTTTTCTTGCGGAGATCTCGCCTCTCCGCGCAAGAGTTGACGGGCTTCTTCGTCCCGCACAGAATCGGCTTGTAGTTGCACAATCGTTTTTCTGTTCTGGGACTTTTGTTGCTCTGTGGCAGCACTGACGATTCCGAAAGAACTGCATGGGGAGAGCAGTGAGATGAAACCGGCCAGGGCGACTTTTCCCATCGGGAGAAACCCCCGGGAGGTGGGACGGCGCTGGCGGTTGCCAATTTGTTTACTTTCCAAATCAGGAAGGCGAGGCATTACCATGATTGATGGTTGAGCGCAGATTCTCAGCCTATGACTATGAGTTGGGTAGGCTTTCTAAGGTGGATCACAACTCCTCGCATGCCTATTCATCAGTTTGCAGCTGTTGTAGTAGTCATATTTCTGCAGCCAGACGACCGTGGCAACACATCCTCATAGAAGCATGAGGGCTCTGCTATCTTCGACATCGCCAACTGCTCCACGTCCACTCTTGTTGAATTCGATCTCTACCTCGCTCAGGTTCCGCCATTAAGCCTTATCACACAACAACCTTGCACACGACACGAGCACAACTTCCCCCAGGGACGAGCGCTATTTTTCTACAGTACACGACAAGCACATCGAGGTCGGCAATGCACATACCATGTTGCTTAGATGTTTACTCCAATTTACAATTGAGCGTCGAGTCAGGGAAAAATTGCGGAACAAGTGACGCGAGCAAATCCCACGTATGTGCTAGATAGGCAGCGCAGCTCCGTCTTTTTTTTCATCTTCATCGTTCTACTTACTTCTAGTACTTTGAAACGGAAACCAGTAAGCGAACAAGAAAGCAAAGTTGAAGCAGATGCATATTATTTCGTCCGTCCTGCTCAGCTGGTAGAGCGCCTTTATTCAAAAGCAGCTCCACGACCTCCTGACAGGAAAGCACTTTTCACTATCTTGGAGGTGACTTTACTTTTTGCTTGCTGTGGTGCGGCAAGCAGATAGGAATAAAACCTCGAAAAGCGAAACGGATAAAGTACGCAGCGTTGATACAAAGATATTTGGGTTTTACCCTTATTTCTCATTCTCGAAGGGTGCTTCGCCACCTTCGTCGCGGAGCGGGTGGTTGCCGTTGCTTTTGAGTGTAACATACGTAAAGCTAGGATTGATTTTTCCAAGGCTGTGAGTGTAGCTTTATTGAGAGAGATCGACATCATGATCATAACTGTAGAAAAATACGGAGTGGAGAGGAGAGCTGCTTGAAACTTGTTCCTTCGCAACTTAGTTAATCTTGCATACAACGAAACGCGGCTGACTCACGATCGAGTTTTAGTTTTTGAAACTACACGTAGTCCTTCGAGTACCTCCTAGGACCCATACGGCAGCATCTTCATCATTCTCTGCCCAATCGCGGACTGCCGGAAGTGCGTCAAGTCCATCTGGGACATGACGTAGCTCAAGTCGTCAAATTTCGAGAACACCTCCGGCACGTCTTTCACCAAAAACACCTTTTTGCTATTGTCGATATCGCCCCCGACTAATCGGTACAGTTGCAAATCCCCCTCGTTCAACGCCAGCTGTGAACAGTTTTGGTGCGCGCCCACGTCAGCGACGATGTCCATGTCGAAGAACTTGTACGTGCGGCCCACCGGAACGGAGCACATCTTGTCGCAGCAGCCCCGGGCTTCCTTCTGCTATCCTGTGTAAAAACGTCCCCACGCCAGAGCTGTAATGCAAATGCGCAATAACAGGAACGTTTATAATGCGCAGCTCCATGAGAAGCATTTCCAAACGTGTTTTGAAATTTGTAATGCTGTAAACAGGATGAGAAAGTCGCTTACTCATGCGGCTTCCCGCCTTGCTAACCAGCACTACACTGCAGAGGCAAACCTGTCATGCGCAACTCCCAAAACTTGGAGATTTGTCTAGCAGATTTCCCATCTTGACTATGGGGTGGGGACGTTTTTGCTCACGATATCTGCGCCTTCTTCGCGATCTGCCGGTCCTGCATCTTGCGGATGCGGGCCGCGGCGTATTACTGTGAAAAATGCCCCCACCCCAAAAGTTGCAATAATTTGCGATGCGAAGTTTCCAAATGAAAACTTTTTGTCATGCATGAAAGGAATATGAATCCTTGTGATGCAAAGTCTAGGCGTATATAGCATTGCTTGCATGACAAGCGCCGCTCTTGCTGGGATCTGTTGCAATACAAATCTTCGCTATTCACGATTGGAAATCTGTGATGCTGCTAGATGCAAGAGGGCGAGTGTTTCTGTTAGAAAAGTTTGCAATACAAATCCTCCCAAGTTCGGGGGTGGGGGCGTTTTTTATTGTGATACGGCGTCACCGGCGCAACAGCACATGTCTTCCATCGACGCGCGACAGCAGAAGAAGCAGCTGTAGAAGGGAAAGCAGGCGAGGTGCGCCGGGTCGTCGCAGAGGTACCAAAAGTCCCACTCCGTGTACAGGACGCGTTCCGAGGTGATCTTGTACTGCGGCTTGGCGCAACAATGCGCGTTGAACAGGTAACCACAGCAGGTTATCACACAGAAAAAAACTGGCAGGTCGTATTTGTAATGCAAAAATAAATAGACAAAAAAATTTGTATTGCATATCCTAAATAGCATGCTACGAGGCCGCCCATGACAGATTTTTCTGCGTATTTATTTTTGCATTACAAATATGCCCTGCCAGCTTTTTTCTGTGGGATACAGGTGCGCTTCGTCGTCTCACTGTCGTAGTACACCGCTTCTTTGTGCTTGTCCACAGTCTTCGTCGCAGGGCCATCCATGCCGGCCGGCCAGGTCCAGGTTACCTGGTGAGGTTTCGATAGAAGGATTGAAATTCGAGGAGAGGCTGAGGCGTTCTTTCGTCCTCAGTTGTAAAATTCAAGTAGTCTTCTTTGTGGTATCTTGATCTTTGACTTTGAAATACGAACAAACCCAGAGACTGCAACATGAAAAACCCTGCTCTTACCGCCCCCATCAGCCTGCCCAAGCCCATCGCGGCCAAGCCCTTCAAGTTCATGCGCGACAAGCGGAACGTCATTTGCTGAAACACGGTGGCCACGTCCGGGACGTCGTTCAGAATGAAGGTGCTGCTCGAGTCGGACAGGTCGCCTCCCGCGAGCTTGTGCAGCACCATGTCGCCTTCCCCGCGGCAGATCTGGCACAGGTTTTGGTGTGCGCTTATGTCCACGATCAGGTCGGCATTAAACTGGTCCAGCTGCCTGCCGGAAACGCAGTTGCACTTCCCGTAGCAGCACCGGGTCCACTCCCACCGAGAGTAGACGTACCGGACATCGGTGACTTTGTTCCAGCCCGGGCAAGACATGCAGTAGTGGATTTTACCTGATTTTTATTCAACATTGATTCCTGTGCAGACTTTCTTTACTCTGGACTTGGCCTAAGGCAATGGAGGAGTACACAAAGCATTTTCCTTCTGGCGCGCTCGTGCTCTTCCATCAACACTTAAGCTGCAGTTCGGTTTTTTACAAATGCGCAAATCAATGCAAATTCAAATTCTACCTTATCGAGAAGAAGATAATAAAGAGTTCTTTTTGTTCTTACCAGCAACCGATCGATGCGATGTGGCGCTGTTGTAGAAGACCGTTTCGTTTTTCACGACGGAAAACGCTTGCATGTCGTCTGTGGTTCCCTGCTTTGGGGCCATGAGGTGCTGCCCTTCTTTGAGGATCGACTCAACCGCGTTCGGGTGCTGTGCGAGTTTCTGAGCGAAAGAGGATAACTCGAGTTTAATATTCCTGTCCTCTGCCACGACCATGTCGTTCTGCACTGGCGCTTGCAGTTTTGGGCCGAAATAATCCTCGTCTGCTGAAGAACTGGAGGGGCTCGACCCCGTGAACAAACTCTCGAGTGCGTAGCAGGGCGAGCTGGGATCCACCGGCAAGTCGTTGATCAGAACCCCCGGTCTGGACAAGAGTAACCAGTCGAGCAGACTACCACTTTTTGCTTGATTAAAGTCGTCTTCCGGGTCGATATCCTCTACTGGGAGCCGCCGCGACCGGTCCGGCGGAGGGTACCGCGGGGCACCGGGCGGGATCCGGAAAGGTCCACCTCCCGGGGCCATTTTCTGGCTTTTCTACGTTCAACTTCAAACTCTGCTACGAGTCGAGTGATAGAACTTTCTACTTCTATACCGGTTTCGTTCTTTGTGTACCTACACGATAGCTCCTTCACTCATGATAGGCGCGAGGGCGACTCGGAAACGCGGCGATCCAACTAAATACTCACACGAGCAGAACACGCACGAGCTTCCTTAGCGAGTCTCGTACTAATTCCTCGCTCTCTCATCTCTCTCTCTCTCTCTCTCTGGCTTCTGAATCGCAAGCAGCTGGAGCTGCTTGATGAGCAGGACCAGCGTGACACTTCCAGTCTGGAGGTCGAGGAAAACCAAACACAACGTTGTGTCGTCTGCCAGTAGCAGTACCGGAAGCCCGATGGGAGCTTCATTCCGTGCCCGCGTCGTGAACTTTTTGAAAAGAAAGAACGTCAAAACCGTTGTAGACTTACAACTGACTTTCTGAAGAAGCAGCAGAAATATGATCAAAAGTTCGGCCGGATTCTGCTTGGAGTTTATGGTACGTCGGTGTGGATTTTTCTCACCACTTCAAGCCCACAACGGATCAAGAGTAGCTTTTCAGGAAAGTACGGAGCCGCGTGCCTTGTCTCACCGACGTACCATGTGTTTCTGCTTCTGGTCTGTTACGTACAGTACATTTGTTTTCGTTGATGTCTTCATTGCAATAGCCACATAGCGATATTACCGGGCTCGGTTGATGCATTGGTTGCGATTGTTTCTGTCCCGCACTCACTAAGACCGAGGGTGGGGTACTAAAAATAGTATTGAACCACCTGAATGCGATTTTGATTTCTGTATTCTCGTAGTAGTAAAGCAAGCCCGTCAAATGGCAAGAAATATCGGGGCCTGAGATACAAAAAGACATGCATGTTGCCTTACGGTTACGGTCGAGCAAAACTTTCGTGAAATTTACATTTGGTGGCTTCTGGTGTTTTGAGTTTCATTGAGTAAAGTGTGCTAAGGCAGATATTTTTGATTTGTATTCTGTGTACAGCTCGTTATTCACATTGTCATAGCACCAGAAAAATGCATACAGTTTTTTTACGATTATAGAGCTGTGGAGCACGAGCACAGATAGTGCAGCAAAGGCCTCACGACCTGTACCATTAGTGGAAAATCAAGAAACAGACGAACTCGATTAGAAGTTGAAGTGCGTTGACTTCGAAATACAACCTCGCCCTGGCAACACACTTTATTCCTAACTTCAACTAAACCTACTACTACTTCTTTTTCTCCAAGGCCTCGAGCAACGCTCATCCTGATGGCTTCACTTAAAAAGACTGCGGAGGTCGCTCTCGGCCTTGGTTCGAAGCAGTCATTCAGCTCTTGTAGTCTGCTCTCCATCTTCATCTGCTGCCATGGCACCAACGTCGTCCTGATCTTCCTTGTCCAATTTTGCCAGCCACTCCGTTGCTCTGTTCAGTGCTACCTTGGCCAAGGCGTGGTCCAGGAACAGCATGAAAGGCGTGTGTGCGTGCGTCGCGTCGTAGATCTCCAGTCGGTAGTTCGCTGCGTTCTTCGGATTCACGTGCCGTAGCTTGCGCCAGAAATCGATTCCGTCGTCAATGAGCAACTCACGGCCGCCAATCTGCATCAACAGCTGGAGGTGTCGGAACACCGGCGAGGCGGCGATGACACCGGCGTGCAGAATCGGATCGGCCTCTTCGTCCAGCTCGGCTTCGTGCGGGATCAGTTCCTCGGCCGAGTCCAGAGACAGCGCGGCAGGCGAGAGCGGACCCGGCGTCTCGCTTGTTCCGAGTCGCCGCAGAGGCCGGTTGAGCCGGGGACTGTGGCTATCGTGTTGGTTATCGGGCGACCGATTCGATTCGGGTGTAACATTCGGCGGCGCGGGTGCGCCGCGTCGCGAAGCGAGGAAGTTTGCCATCAAGGATGTCATCGACAATCTCGATTCCTGTCGCGTCGTCGGCGTTGCACTTGACCCCGTTGGCTGCGCGGGGGCTGTGGACTCTTCTTGCTGGTCTTGTAGCATTGGGGCCGGACGCGAGGACCCGCTTCCTCGCGCAGTCTGCTGGTGTTGTCCCTGTTGCGCGTACGTCTTCCCCTGGGCCGTGCTCGCGGCCATGGTCATCATGCTTGGTTCGAACACGTCCAACCCTCGCGCCGCAATCGCTTCGAAGTTGACTTGATTCTCGCCGGGAAAGACCACCGAATGCTCGCCAATGTAGTCGATGTTTAACCAAGGCGAAATCAAAACCACGGCCGCCGGAGCCACCTTCTCCTCAGGCTTCTTCCCTTTGCCAAAAACAAACAGCCCCGGCTGGCGCTTCCCCCGCCCCGACGCGGGGGCCGGGCCGGCTGTGGCTGCAGACGCTTGATGTGATTGCTGTTGTGAAGATTCTACTTCCAACACGGAGTCCGACGCCTCGCCACCACGGAATACGGGAGCGCTTTCAGGCAATCGAGCTGGTGGTCCAGATGAAGCTGCGGTTTGGTCGTTCCCAACTTTCGCACTTGCTTGTTCCGCTGTCAACATCTCACCAGCATCGACCACCATCGCGTTCTTGTCCACTGCTTGTTCATTTTCTCCCGCTGCAATCGCAGCTGCAGCCTCCTGTTCTCTCAACAGTCGCAATTGCTCTGCCTCCTCTTGTTCCTTTGCCGCCGCGTTCTTTGCAATCCGGGCCAACATCCAGACGACCAGCGACGCGCCGGCCGAGTCGCCCCAGAGGATAATTCGGTCGGGTGCGATTCCGCAGTCTTTCAGCAGGTACTGTTTCCACGCACCCTCGTACACGTCCGCCACCGAATCTTTCAACGTGACCCCGTTGATATCCTGTGCAAAAGCATCGCACTCGTAGTAATTGCAGTCATGCATGACAAATCTGGTTCCTTAGCTTATTCAGCATTACAAATTCCATTTTTCCTTCTGGGAAAACTTGTAATGCTATTTCTACTAGTACGATACTTTTGCAATGCATAGTTGAACGGCGGTTTCCGGTAATCCACCGCGAACAGGACAATTTTGCTTTGTTTTGCCCAGTTGTAGGTCCACAGCCTCACGTTAGCCGCGGACGCGCCGAGAAAGGCGCCGCCGTGAACGTACAGGTAAATTTTCCGGCTTGGGTCCTCGTTCAAATAGCTTTTGACGGCGATTTTCATCGTTTCCTTGTCCGTCGGCTCCGGGTTTACCACGACACTGTAGGAGCTCCACCGCGAACTACGGGTCTGCTGCTGCTGCCGTCCGCTGGATGTTCGCCCGTAGAGCAGGCTGCGCTCGAAAATCCACTCTCCATTTCCCTCCACGGTGACCACCTCCGTTCCCTCCTGCCCGGTCTCTTCGGGGGCGTCTTTGCTCTCCTTCTGCCGGGCATAGTCGAACTTGTAGGTGGTGATAATTTTCCCCACTTCCTTCGTCGGGAGCACGAACGGCGGCGGCGGAATCTCCGAGGTGAACTGCAGGGCTTTCGTCACCGTCGGGTGCTTTAAAGCGGGCGCGAGGGAGCAGAAAGCCTTAAACCCCACACACCACAGCGTTTCCCGCCAGAAACTCGGCAAGCCGGGCACGTGCTTGTCGCTCAGCGCATGATCCGGGTCGCTCGGCGTGCCAGCGTTCACGGAGTGTGGTCCGCGCGTCGTGGAAACGCCAAGATTCTGAAAGCGCTCGCATAAAGAGCGCTCGTCCGCAGTCGCAGCCGCACGCGCGGCGGACTGGTCCCTCTGTTGCGAGAGACCAGGAGCAACTGTATGTGGGCTAGTGCTGCGATCGTAAGTTTGCGTCACCGCATCCCCCAGGACCGGACCCCCAACGTCACCACTAATCATCTCCTCGATATCTGCTTCCTCCGGCTGTTCCATGAAATCTCCGTTGTGCATTTGACTGCCGCTGTCTTCCGACTCGCCCGTTCCCGCAACCCGCGGCAGGCGCTCCGCCTCGTCGTCGCAGCCCTCCGCCGGGTACAGTTGTGCCAGCGCGCGCTTGTAGGCGGCGGACAGGAAGTAGTGGTCCGCAACGTACTGGCACCCGTCGGCGACAAAATTCCGCCGGTCCAACAGCGCTCCGTACCGCACCGGAAAGTGGCGGCGCAGCAGGCCATGCCCCTGGTGCAAACCGGCCAGTGCGAAGCGCTGCAGCAATGATGCGGAAGTAGGCATCGGGACGATCGAGAGCTCTCGGCGGAGGGCGTTTGCTGCATCGGTGACAGCTTGCTCTTCTGTTTGTTGCTGTTCCCCCGCTAACAGCGGCAAACTGCGAGTCCGATTACGGGTCAGCTGGAGTTGCTGCGCAACTGCGGCAGCGACTCCAGTTGTATTTGCTGCTTGATGAACTGCCCCAGCAGCTCCTGCTGCTGTCGAATTAGGTTGTACAGCCGACGCCCCAGAAGATGTTGCACTGGAGCTGCTAGCTGTACCTCCAGCGGCGGCCGGTGCAGATCTCTGGCGCTGGAACAAGTCGAGTTGCAAAGCTGCAGACATCATTTCCTCATCGCCCTTCAACGTTAATTCTTCGCCGGGATAGAATTGTTCGTCCGCTTGTTCTAGTTCGGCAGTGTCCATTGCTTTCCGGAGCAAGGTTTTCAGTTCCGCGGACGAATCCGCGGAGAACAAAATCTCCGTTTCCACGGTTTGAATCGCAGTGGTCGGATCTTCCCCCTGTGGAATCACCGCGCCAAGGCGCACGAAAATGGGCAGCGGTGCCCAGAAGTCCTCCGGGTGGTCGTTCAGCACCTGAAACCAGCGGTTCCGGCTGGAGGGCGTCATCGCGGGCATGTGAGTATGGATTGTAAAAAAGTCTGGGTCTGGAAGATTCTGATACTTGTCATGCACGTTTTGCATGAGCCATGATGTCGGTGATGCATGCCCTAGCATCACAGATTTTTTGAGGGCTTCTTGATGCCTATTCCGCATGACAAATGCCCTCTCCGCGTAGCACAAATTGCGTTCTCTTTGCTGCTCATGCAATACAGATTTTTTTGGAATCCAAGTTCAGCATCACAAGTTTCATTCTACTTCCAGACCCAGACATTTTTGCATTTGATAGTGAGATTCCGGACGCAAATCGTCTTCGGAAACGTCGTATCCTGTGCAAAAGTATCGTAGTCGCACTAATGGAAAATATGCATGACAAATCTCCTTCCTAGGGTAAAACAGCATTACAAATTCCACTTTTTAAATTGCCAAAATTTGTGATGCAATTCGTACTAGTACGATACTTTTGCAATGCATACATCGAGCTCCTTGGGGATGAAGTGCTTGCGGCTTATATCGTAAAGAAAAATCGTAATCGCCCCTCCCCATATCGAAAGGGCACGCCTCAGAGAATTTGTGATGCTGATTTGTGACCACAAATCGCGCCTGTCTTGCAAGAAAGCAACGGCATATGCTCCGCCCCTTTATGCAGGCGGTTTGTAATGCTGTTGGGCGCTACAGCATAGACATCCCTCATGCTACTTGCCTAGGCCAAAACGACCTCTCTACATTGGCATGATAGTATGGGCCTGCAGTCCTCCACTGCAAAACAGAGCTGATTTGTGTACACAAATCCAGCAACAGAAATTTCCGGTTCGATATGGGGAGGGGGGATTTTTCATTTTGATAGCTTAAGCCCTCGCTGACCTTGTGCATCAACTGGCAACGCCCCACCGGAGTTTTGCGGTTCAAAATGTCCACTGCTTTTGCCAGGTAGTCCCGGCAGGTCGGCAGCAAATCGCAACGATCCTGCGTGTCGAGGAGCAAATTGTTTGCTCCGGTGACATCTTCGGCTTGATCCGCTTGACTTTCACCTCCTGCTTGCCCCATTGTAGAACTCAACTCGATTTCGTGCAAAGGACCAGCTGTTCTTGTTCCGCCCCCTCTTGCACGCAACATGTCAACGTCTGCCTGCGAGGAAGACGTTGCAAGCCCGCTGTTTGGGTCATTGTTGCTTCTGCGCGACGCCAGAAAACCGTCGCTCTTGTCCCGACGATTCCTCAACGGAGAATGGAATCGCCAACCTTGCGCTCGTGGCCCCTCGCCATGCGGGCCGTTGTGGGAAATCCTATATTGGGTACGAAGAGGTATGATCTTCTTTTATTGATTCTAGTCATGAGAAGTGCGAACACGTCTTGTCTCATCAACGCAAAAGATGCTTGCAAAAGAAAGAGTCATTCCAGCGAAACGGAAAGTGTAAATGAATACGCTGATGCATTGTTCGAGTTAACGAACAAGTTCGACGCCGCGCTGCCACTCGTCGCCCCGGCGGAGTGGTGCTGAGACTTGAATTTGTGGGCGGCTTTTTGCGTCGGCTGTCCGTCGATTTGCAACAACGAGTCGGAGAGTTTTCTCTTCAGCTCCGCTTTTTCAACTTCAGACAAAACCGATTCGGAGCTGCTGTTCAAATGGGCGGACCCGACATGGCTCTCCAACGCGAACTGCAACAATTGCAACCCGACTTCCGCCGCGGCGCTGGCATTCACCTCTTCCAGGGCAATTTGCTGGGGGGAACTCGTACCATCAGCGGTACTAGCGCCAGCAGGTGGCGCCACCGATACACGGGACGAGGTAGGAAAATCTTTATTCTGCAAATTTTCCGTGGAGGCAATGTTGAAGTGCTGCGGGGGCGGCTCAGTCGACGTCAAGGCCCCTTGTTCTGGCCCCGCACCACATTGGTCCACCGAAGCTGCAAGCTGCAGTCCCGACCGCGGCGGGGTACTTGCCGTGTAACGTCGACCACGAATCGTTTCTTGCGTGATGATGTTATTGCGACCTCCACTTCCAGTGCTGGCCTCCCGTGGCGCCGATGCGCCCGCAGGTGGCGCAGGGCCGCCATTCGGCAGCTCGTTGGCGGGGCGGGTCCACAACGACGCTTTCGCTTTGACGCTTGCGGAGCTCCAATCTTGCTGTGGCGGGGACTGCGAAGAACTTTGTCCAGCTTGCGTCGATGACGTAGCACCTCCTCCACTACTTCCAAGTACAGTAGAACTAGACGCCTCGAGGTTGTGCAGCCCGGATCCAGAAGACGTGTTCGGGGTTAAAGTGTTTCCGGTGTTCGTGCGACTCACCGTAGGACCCTCCTCGGAAGTTGTAGCTCCGGCGGCGGAGGAATTTTGATGCAGCATTTTCACCATGCTGTTGACAGCGTCCGCCAAGACCTCGGCAGGCAAGTTCTGAAAGTCAACATCTTGTTCCAGGTCGGGCGGAATTCCCTGCGTAGTTGTGTCCTCGGCGGTGCGGAACGAGGACTCCAACGAGCGAATCGGTGACAACGCACGTCCCTCCTGGGCGACGTCGTCTTGGTTTTGTACTTTGTGTTGTAGATCTTCCTCGGTCGCAGACGGAGGCGTAGGGGCTTCTCCGAAGAATAAGTGGCTGAAGCCGGCGAATGATTTTTTTGCACGAATGGGCAGTAACAGTTGGGTGCCGTTCAGATCTACGGTCGCGCCGCCGAGCCATAAGGCCGCTGCCAGAGCCGTCGACGACGCCGCACTGCGATGACGCGCGCGGCTTGGCTTGGCCCGTTGCTGGGCGTGCGGCGCTCGCGGGCTTGTGATGCAACTCGTGTGCATCTGCTCGTTGTGATTGCTGTCGTGAATCGTTCTGTTCATTTTTCTTGTCTTGGTGAGATAAAAGATACTGTATAGTGATAGTCGTGTAAGAAAATACTCGCATGCGCCTCTTATTTTCTTTTGTTCCGGTAGTCGTAGTGCTGCTGGGTCTGTACTGCTACTGCGATTGATGTCAGTTCTTTTCAGGCTGGTTGTGAGTGTGACTCCAGTGATAAGTTAGTTGAAAAAATGTCCGACGCAAAAACTGCCACTGCAGATCATGCAGTTGCGCACGAACGTACTTAGGTAGAAGCTTGAAAATTTGGGTATTCTTACGGTGTAAGTATAAGTAAGTAGTATGACAACTTAAACTGATGATGTAGCGACTCAGTCATCGCAATTAGAATTACAGGTAAAACAGCGGCAAAGTCTTACAGAGAAAACGAAATGCTAGCACGAGCACGGAGTCTTCTACTTTTCGGACTTTTGTGACGCTGCGGCGAAGAATGCCATTCCTGCTCAAAAGTTTGGTCGCGAGGAAAATGTTTAGATCGATGCAAAGAAAACGAACCTTGAGAAAAAGCAAAAGTGGTGATTGAACTAGTGCAATGAAATGGAATTCTTGCACGACGCTGCCACGCACTTCGCGATCATCTTCTTCAGCTGCGGCCATCAACTTCAAAGTACATCTTGGCTTACTTTCCAAAAACTGAATTCACAAAAAACAAAAAGTTCCTCTTCCTGCTGTCACATCTTCGAGCGTGTATTTACATTTTACAATTTCCACTTGAAGAGATGACTGCCGTTGCACAGTCAAGGGGATAATTCTACACCACTAGCTTGAACAAAACATAGAAGGATGGATTGCGTATCTGCTGCTTTGCAGAACGGAAGCGAGTTTTGTTTTTTCTTCGAAACACCTCTCGTGCGGTGGCTGCTCGGGCCCGACCGCTGGGTCAATTGTACAACATTGAGCGCGTGCGCGATGGCAGGCAGACGCAGATTTTAATTGAGAATCGGATGCCATGCCATGAGGCCGATAGTGCTCTTCTCATTCCCCCCAAGCAGACCACATCGGAGTGCAAAGAGTGACCTTTTTGTGGTCGAGAACTACACATCTTCAGCACCTCCTCGCTTCAACGACACGGCAGGGCATAGCTGTCTATCAAAACATGCCTTGAAAATATCCTCCAGCGCCGCCTCCTGGGCCGGGCGAGCCGCGCGTCGGTGATCCCCCGGCACCCCCTGGCTGTAGTCCCCCGAATGACGCCGCCGCACTGCCTCCGAGGAACGTCGTCAACAAGCTTCCTACAGCAGACGTTGCACCTCCACCTCCGCTCGGACTTCCATGCCTCCCCGGATCTTCGTAGAAATGCGAGTCTTCCCGCTGCGCGGCTTCCAGTATTGGCGCGTACCGACCGTCTTTCGCCATCCAACCCGCTTCCGTTTTGTGGATTCCGTCGTCGATGTCCCCGATGACTTCGTAGGGCGAGAACAGGTCCATCTTGCCCTCCACTGCTTGGTCATAGGGAATCCGCAGCATGGTCGTGATTGAGACGCTGTAGTAGCAGATCAGCACGACGAAACAGGCGTTCGGTATTATGACAATCGACGCGACCGAGTGGTCGAAATAGATCCAAAGCTGGAATAAGGATGAAATGAAGTAGCACACCCACCCGAGAATGAACAGGATGAAAAACAGCATCTGGAAATCGCGCAACCCGGCAACCGCGCGGTGGAGATCCGCGGTGCCCTGTAGCCCGCGGAGCGCCAAACCTGGGCCCCAATTGCTCATGTAGGTGCACCCAAAGATGACCACGAGCTCCAGACCGATCGCGATGCAGGTAAAACCGAGGTACCTGTGATTGGAGATTTTTGAAGAATGCAGGGGTTGAGCCAAGAATTTCTCTATGTATCACAATGCAACTGGATTTAGAAAAATGAGAATGACGGCGACATCATCATTGTACCACATCTGCGTCACATACGACGGCACGTCTTCGTCGTCCGGAAGCTTTTTCGTGAGTTGAGAAAACGCAAAACCCGCAAGCATGGCAGCTTGACCGATAATGCTGCCGTAGTTTGAAGTGTACCAGTTGAGCTCTTTTTGCCGCACGTCAACCTCCTGCCGCATCACGCGGGTCACCGCGTCGTTTTTCATTAGAGTTAGCATGTTTGCGAGCGTTACGCTTGTATGTTCCACCTGGCCGTATCCTATGAGCTTCCCGGTGGAATTTTTCTATCAACACTGCAAAGTGATTTTGTAGCTAAGAAATACACTGTTCGTGTTTGCAGCGGAATCCTTGACTGAGGGTCGTCCTGACCTCAAGCTAAAGAAAAAGAAAAACGAAGCGCAGCTTCTTATACCTATTTTCGATTTCGGCTTAGCTCTACTTCTGTGTCCCTTCTTCTTCAAGACTGTGAGTTTCAACCTCACTACTCGTCTCTTGTGTTTCTTGTTGTAGGTTCGCGTCCAATTCATTGCCTGGCCGCACGAGCTGCCTTCTTTCGTGCCCGCCAACAACAGCAACGTTGACACAACACAATAAATTACCGACCAATCATCTAGTACAATCGCTCGATTCGTGCATGTTTAACGACAAAAATAATGAGGTGTAGAAAGATGGATCCACATTTCGAACCACGGAACAAAACAGATCACTCAGCATTGGCATATCCGCGAACACGAGTGCAAACCTTAGAGAGTCGCCCTGGCGCAGGTGCGCGACTAAGGGAACCCACTCCCGTGGGCCTCGATAATTTAGAAGCAGAAATTACCTGCAAACACACATAAATCGCAAAGGAAGCTGGCACAAGTTAAGTTCGTGCTTGTTATGGAAAGATGCGCGATGCAGATCGATAGCTGGCACGCGGAAGCCGCGTCATCCAATTGGAAGGAGCAACTGCACCCGGCCCGCTTCACGCAATGTCGCTAAATGCGCTAAGGAATTACGAACGCGGCGGCTCGGTCGGCACTGGCAAAACAGATGGACCTGGGCCGGCCGCGCCGCGCATGACTTCAGGAGCCCACCTTGCGGAGAGCCTCTGCATGCAAGTACCGGCCCGCCGAACATGGGCTGCCACCCTTTTACGCAAAGAGCCCGCGGGGCGGCCCACGGACGTCCGTGGCCACACGACGAATGCACGGGCGCACGCCGGGGCCCTTGGGTGTTTCTGCTTTCCAGGCCGGACCAGGAAGGGTAGCAGAGAAAGCAGGCCTGGCGGGCCGCGCCGCGGGGCTAGCGGGCGCGGCAAACGCAACCGGCCCGCCGGCGGGCCGGACGCCCGCCAGACGGGAACATCCGCGCCACCTGGGGAAAAAGGCGGCCGAGGCAACCAGGGCCGGGGGGCTGCGTGCCAAGAAGGGCGCGGGCGCTTGCCGGGCGCCCTAATTCTACGGGCGCCCACCTGCGTTCGATTGCATTCGCCCAGAACTTCGCCGACGCGCTGCGTCGCCGTCGGCCTGGCCTCGGCTCGCTTTCACCTTTCCACCTTCGCCTTCGGCTTGGGGGCGCGCGCCAACCGCCGGGCGCGCGGGAAGGATGCCACGCGGCACACCCCCACCCCGCCCCTCCTGCGCCCATTCATTGGCCCCCGGGCCCAACCAGGCCCGCCCGCGGACAAGGGCCGTCAAGAGTCGGCACTGAAGCGGATGCCGGGCGCCCCCGCCCCAAATTAATAAGTATAAGCAGACGCCGGCCCCGGCGAAATGAATTGGCCGCGCGCCACCGAAGCACACCGCCAACCCGCAAAATCCCGGGGCTGACACTTGCGGGGCCCCCATCTTCTGCACCAACCGAGGGCGGACGGCTGGCCGGCCCCGGACAGGGCGCGGCACGCCCGCAGGCCCTCCTTGCTTGCTTCGGGCCGGGCGTTGTCCTTCGTGTCGATAATGATGTATGGCGCGCGCGGCGCCGGCAGCGGCACTGTCTCGCAACCTTCTGAAATGGGTCCTGCAGCTTGATCATGTTCAAGCAACAGGCGGCCGGGCCGCGGGCGTAGGTACAAACAGAGGACGGCCGGCCCCACAACGCCTCCAAGCACCTTCGCAACAATGCCCAGCATATGTGCCTACGACCTGGGGCACTGATGCGGGCGCCCCTGCGGGGCAGTCGGCCCCACTCACACACTGGCCGCCTGGCGGGGCCACGCGTGTGGCGCGGGCGCCCTAGTGCTGACGGCGCGCGCCCGGCTTGTCACAGAAAATAATAGCGCGCAAAAATGCGCCCGCCCCCGCGCACCAGCACCCGCGTGGAACTCTTTGCCGGACGTGGGTGCTCCGTGTCTTCCCACCGGCGGACCTGAGAGGCCGCCTCGTCCTCTAAATCCAAGGCGGGCAGGCGCACGCCTCGGGCCGTCCGTCGCCAAAACGCTCCCAAGGCTGCCGGGCGTGTCTTCGGGCTATTCTTGCTCGATGTCACCGATGGCCTCGGCGAGAGTCTCCACGACAACACCGCGGGAAAGGGCTGCGCGCGGAGCGCGCGCCCAGCAGTCTAAGTGGTGCGGGAAGGCTTTCCGCAGATCGACCAGCTGCGGCATCATGCATCTGGCTGACCTGCGGCAAGTGGGACAGATGCGGCGCGTCGTCTTTCCGCCAGCCTTCACCATGGCGACACTCCTACGCTTAGAAACGTGTTAGGGTTCGACGAAACTACAACGGAAGGAAGAAGCCTCAACTTGGCGGAAGGCCAAAAGATCTTCAATGAAAGTCGAAGTCGAAGAACACCGTATCGAAGAGGAGCACGTCCTCATTGAAAGTGAGTGTGATTTCCTCCTCCACAAACAACTCATACATCATAGGCACTTCATCTTTCTTCATCGACGCCCTTCACTGAGAGACTCAAACCGCACCAATGACAAGTGCGACCAATGATGATCTTGATCGATCAACAACAAGACTCAAGCAAATAGTATTGTACATGATTTTCAAGAAGAAACGAAATCAACATCCTCTTTCACGTTCACCCAAATATCTTCAGACGTGTGATGAACAGCAATGTTCTACTCCCGACTCGCGACTTCACAATGATGCGACGCCGTCGTGGCTTCACTCACGATCGATTACTGAACCCCGAAGCCGCAGACCGGGACCGGGGGCGCTTCGGCGAGTGGTCAAACGTGGCGGCCCGAACGATCAGCGCGTCCCACTCCGCTTTCTGGCGGGCCCGCGCGGCCTTGTGTGCCTTGTCGGGAATCTGCTGCCCGGGTACGGACGCGGTTTCTTCCCGCAGCATGGCTTGCAGCTTCTGGGCGCATTCGTCGATCATCTTCAGCTTTCCCATCAGTTTCACGTTGCTGCGACTCGCCTCGACCTTGGCTTCCGATGTTTTGTTCGTTGTCACAGCGGTCCTGTATTTTATTCGTGGAGCAAGGAAAGTAAAGTAGTCTCCCTCGTGCGAAAGCGACCATGATACGCACGGACTAAGTACGAATGTCAACGAAAGAATGTTGTAGCCGTGGTCACGTTCATGATAAGCAAAAAAGTAGCTATTGCTACAAGAAAAAGTTGTGATGAATACATGCTGAACGGCAAGCCCATGTTGATTGCGGACGACTTGAGCCGAATCGTTGGATCTGCAAGCTTCTTCTTCAACGCCTTGGCTGTTATTTTTTGTTATTTCGACGCCCATCATGCGTCACTTCTAACGAAGTCGCGAAAAACCATAAAAAACTCATCGTCGTCATGCTCATCCTCAAGGTCACTTCAAACCCATGCTAGACATCACGTACCTCGTGCCTCCTCGTCCACGACTTCCACGACTTTAGGCTTTGGTGCGGTGTCCCCGCCGATATCGCTGGCGAGGGGGTCGAAGAACTTGGGGAGCCGCTTGTGCGTACCCTGTCGGACGTCCTGGTAGTGCTTGATGCTCGTGCGAATGTCCGAAACATTGTCTTCCAACGACCAGTTGACGCCCTCTTGGGTTGCCTGGGCGCGGAGGGCCTCCAGAGTCTCGCGAGACTCCCTGTGGTGTGCAGGTGGTAGTGGTGTAAGAGTAAGTATGACAAAGGCAGACAACGTAAGTACGTTTCATTATAAAGCAGAAGGACAAACACGATGTTGGGCAATTCAAAACGCCACAAGAGCAGTACTCGGAAACTGATGGTCGCGGTGGCCCGGGCCTTTTGGCGAAAGTCACAGGCAAAGCGTACACTGCCCGACAAGAGGCCATTTTTTGGCTCTACAAAAAAATCTTACACAGTGTCGATTGGTTCGTGCTAAACAACTGTTGTTTGCATTGTGTATAAAATGATGATGAAATGGTTATGGTAGTGCCGACGCAGAGGATGAGGAACAAGTGATGATAACGAGGTAGCGGGTGTGCTGGTGTCAGTCGTGAGTCGTTTCAGATGAGCTCAAAAATTCGATCTCCACACACGAATTCGAGAAACGATGCTCGACTCACTCGACTCTGTGTTGTCCCGCGGCAATAAAGTAAGCTGATGTAACTGAGCGAATCCAATTGGAAGCGACCGAAAAACCTTGCAGGAAAAGTCTTCACAGCAGCAGTGGTTGCCAAGTATCGTTTTATCGATGCCGTCTGAGAGAGAGAAAAATGTGTCACTCATGCAGTCCGAAGAGAGAGAAAGCCAGTTTTAGACTTACGAGGCTTGTTCCAGGTCGAAGGCGAACACAGCTCCCGTTTCGAAGATTTTCTTTTTATTGATTACGCTTACGGTACTTGAAGCAGCGTCCTGCTTTTACTCAATTATCGCCTCCCCAGAAGTCGTACACCTGTTCTACGACGACAGCGACCTCGGCCGTATTCAATAGCCTGCAAGTACGAAGCAATTCCAGGATCGCACAGCACTGCACCTTCAGTGCGACTTGCAGCGGCAGCTTCACGTCTCCCACTTGTGGGTATTCGTACTCGAAAGCAATCTCGCAACCGGGAATGTCCGCAAGCCGTTCAACACACACCTTTTTCCTCGCAGGAGCATCATCTCCCAGCTGCTCGGCAGTGTTTGCGTTGCTCCGCTGTACTGGCTCTTCCTGATTTTTGAGGTCCTGAACCGACACGCGGACTTGCACTTCTTGCTGCCCACTGATTTCCAGCACTTGGGCGCAGTCCGGTACTCGGAGAGCGATTTTTTCCAAAACCTCCCCCAATGCCTTGAACGGAAGGGTTTCCAGAATGACAATTTCCTGACGTTCTTGCGGATTTCGATTCTTACCGCTGTCTACCGCAGTTTCTGGCTGCATGCTGGTGCAGCCCAAGTCGACGACGTCCACAGTCTTGATTTGGACCGGATCTATCTCTTTCCAGAAGCGCTCGCTAGCGATTTTTTCCTCTAACAACTGGTCCTGATCTGGGCGAGAACTGAACAACGAGGAAGACGCTCCTGATACTGTATCAATCTTCGTGCACAGCAGCACGGCTTGTTCGCGGAAGTTTTGCTGGTCAAAGCCTTGGTACCCTTCTTCGGGCGTCAGCATGCGGAGGGGCTTGGCCAACAAGGCTAGCTGCGCAAAGAGGCCGCCCATGACCACGCCCGGGATCAGGTCTGTGAAAAACGCGGTGGACGTGTAGGCGGTCCAGAAGCCGTACGACTCCTCGACGATCCCCGCTTCCTTGCTCAACACGTCAAAGTACATCCGCACGAAGTCGGTGAAAGGAAAACGGAACCAGGGCGTGTGGCTCAGGGAGCTCACCAACACCTCCATCATGTCGACCTGAAGCCATTCGCACAACTTGTACCACGTGTACTCCGGCTGCTTGTGCAGCGTTCGCGCGAGGTTCAGTGCCCGCAACCTCGCGCACACATCGCGCGCTCGTCGTCCCTGAGATAAAAAAGTAGAAGTTCCTGTGCGTGCAGCAGCCGCTTTGTTCCCATTCTTGCTGCTATGTTCTTCGTCTTCAATCATCGGAAGATACGTAACAACGAGCTTGTTCTGTCCAGCCTGCCCCAAGGTTATGGCCTGCACAAACATTTTCCGACCACTGTCCATGGCCTGCTCCGCCTGCCCCTGCGCGCTGTCTTGCCAGCGCAACCTTTTCAACGTTTCCTTGTCAACAGTCAATGTCCCAAGCTGCAACGGCCGAGTGTCTTGCACGTTTTGCCCGTTCGTATTTCGCTTCCGATTTGATGCCTGCCCCTGCTCGCGATTGACGTGCACGTTGCTCTGGCTCTGCAGTTGTTGCTCGTACAACTGCCGTAGCGCCTTTGTAATGTTGGCAGGCCTCGACGTCAAGCTGGTATATCCGAATTCCGCTTGTAAAATGCTTCCGACATTGGCTATCTGTACCACCTCCGAAGTAGTGCTTGCAGTTCTGCCGGTAGTTGTGCCACCTGTGGCCCCAAAAAGGAACTCCTTAGTGCGCGGCCGTTTCTTTTGCGCAGTCGCCAGCACCCTGCTGGCTAGCCGTCGCAACTCGTTTCCGCTAGCACTTGCCAACGCGGCAGCCTGCGCAGTCACCTTGCGTTGCGCCTCCAGAACGTCAGGTGAAATTGGATTCCCGTCCTGCCCCGTGGCCTTTTTTTCTGCTTCTTCGTCTTCGGCCCGCTTTTCCTGCGCAAGCTCCCAGAGCGATACCAGTTCAGTTAGCCCGACCATTCGCACTCCCATCTTTCCTGTGGCCGTGAAACGCACTTGCGGAGACTTCAGGAAGGCAAAGAGAACCCGGTGCCAGGGATGCACCGGAACCGTCTCGCCGAACAACCGCTCTTTTGTTGGAACTACGATCGCGTCACAAGATGAGTAATGATCCTGGAGTTGGCAGACCTCGTCAATTGCTTCGAGCATCTCGTTCCAGACGCTTGGAGTAAGGTACCATGCGAGATTCTCGGCCGCCTGACGCAGGTCCTTGCCTCCGAACTTGGTCACTAGAGCTGTTTGCTGCCGCACTGTGAACCCCGTCCTGGATAGGGTCTCCGGCTTGAGCAGGCCCGGCTTTTCGGCGTCTAGCCGCAACAGCTCCTGATACACCATCTCAGCGGTAACCTCCTCGTCCGGGCCCAACTTTTTCCGTTCGCCTCTCTCGCGTGAGCGGCTCGGCGTATTTTCACCAAGTCCCTTGTCCCCCCACGCCGAGATAGGGCGTGTCGGATTGATATCGCCCGTGAGTGCGACATGGGGGTTGCGTTGTTCTTCTTGATGTTGTTTTTCCTGCTGCGGCTTTTGTGCCTCTGGTTCTGGTAAAGGCTGAGGCACGCTTCTTCCATTTGACCGGTCCACCGCTGCGGAAATATCTGCTTCGGGTAGCAGCAGGAACGGAAGGTAGTCACGACAAGCCTGTAATGCCATGCGCTCCAGATCCCCCAACTGCTGGCCTCCAATCTTATCCCCGACGGCCGAAGGGGAGGGCGGAGACGACGAGCCGTCTGGCGCTGCTGCACCTGCTTCGGCTTGCAGCGAAGTTTTTTCTCGCCATTGCAGGTACGGCACGATGAGAAACAGCTCATTTGGCAGTACGTCATCCCCGATTTGGAGCACTTCTCGCACTTTCACCTTTTCCAGCATCTGGCGCACCCTTTGAATCGCTCTACCGCTGGTGGCCAGAAAATTCGCAAAGGCGGGGCCGGCTTTTTCGGCGAACTGTTTCGGCAGCACGTCCTTCGCGAGGAGTTTTTCGAAGCTGCGCCCGATAGCAGGCAACACCTCCTCCCCGATGGTCGCCAAAACGCACGCGAGGTTTTTGGCAACGGAGGCAGGAACTTGCCCCAGAATTGTCTTGATAATGTCGACCACGGGCGGAGGCGGCAGCTCAGCCGTCGCGACATCGTACGTGGAACAAGCGGTGTTCAGTTTTGCTTTCGCGTCCGGCTGATCAACTTTTGCATCTGGCTCTTTCTCAAGTTGAGGTTTACAGAAGAGCAGCATTTCGTCCCAGGTGCAGTCGCCTGGTTCGATCTCGAACAGCATGGCGTCTTCGAACCCGACATTGGTGCAGATATCGCGCCATTCCCTCACCGGTCGAAACGCCCGGATCTCGCGCACCTCGTGTTCCTCGGCCACCCCCGTCACCGCATTGAATACCGAGTGTGCGAGGTCCAGCATTTCCACGCCCACGCCGGGCGGCTGCTCGAGGCACGGCTCGTTCTTATTTCGGCGCTTCGCGGTCCTGGAAGTCGTCGTGCAAGATGATGCACGTGGGCGCGGTCCCGAGCCCGACTCCGGAATCAGGACAAGATTGTGCTCCCGAAAGACGAACCAGCCTCCCGGGCGCAGCACCCGCAGGACCTCCTGGAGGAAGGCCAGCAGACGCTCGTCCGGCGGGATGTGGTGTAGTCCCTGGCTCATGGTCACCAGATCCACGCTGGCGTCGGGAATGTCACGCGCCCAGTCGGCTCTTTGAAACAGGTCGAAATGCACCGGCTGCCCGACCAGGGTGAGGCTTCCACGCTCGATGATGGCGGGCAGGACCCCACTCCCGGAACACGACGGCATGTTGACCGCGTCGTGGCAAACATACACTCTACCAGTAATGCGAAAATGCTCGCGCATCTGCAGGACCAACTTCCCATGGTCGCCAATCGACACGTACCCATCGATCTCGATTTTCTCGTCGTTTTTGCGGTTCGAGTTTTTCGAGCGGGACCTCCGGGACGAGCCGCCGAGGCGGGTGAAAACGCTCGCAAGCTGCCGGACCAACTCCTGCTTCTGCCTTGCGCCTTGCCGCAGCGCTTTCCAATTCTGCAAAGCCGTTGTGACCGGGTTGCGCGAGGACGTTTCATCGTCGCCTGCGATTGCGCACTGGCGACGCAAGTGGCGAAAGATTTCGATGTCGCTCGCGTTCGCGGGATCCCAGCACGCCCTCCCCATTTCGCGCATGATTTCCCCGGGATCGCCCACGTTGAAGATACGCACGAGAAATTGCGTCTCAAAGGCGCGGCGCAGCCGCTTGCTCTGCATCAGTCGTCTGTAGCTGGAATACCGGCGTCGAATCAGGTCGGGCTGCTGCGCTCGTGGAAAATCAGCCGCGCTCCGGAGATACCACGACGCGCGGATGGCGGGGAAGAGCAGCGGTGCATCCACATCTCGCAGGAACCCCCCGCCGCCGCATTCAGATTCAGTCCTGCTTCGGTCAACATCATGACCACTTCCGATAATTCCGTATTCTTTCTGATACCGTGTCGAACACTCCGGAAGGACATAAGCCTCAAACCAAGCGTTTGCGAACATCGCTTTGGGATCATGCTTTTCCTTCATCGCGGCGAATTCCGCGGCCCGTGGGTAGGCTTTCTTGAATTCTTCCCGTGAGTAGCACTTCCGGTAGGGAAGATAGAAACTGCCGTGTACGTTGAGCGTACACGTGAGAAACCGGCGGTGGTATTCGGCCAGTACCTCCGACTCAACGCTGCGCGGCTGTCGCGGCAGCCGGTAGTACAGCACGAACGCGAAACAGCCGCCGGGAAACCGGCTGTACGCCAGCACAGTGTCCTTATCTTCCTCCACAAACCGGATCGTGCAGTTCAACAGAATCACTCCCGATTCGCTTTCCCGCGCGTCGATGTCTGCGAAGATCGGGCGGGCGCTGTCGATCCACGCCTGGAAGGCTTGCGCAGGCACGAAAAACTCCTGCAGGATGAACGTGTCGTCGGCCACGAACAAGGGCTCATACAGCCGGGCCAAATCGTCCGCCGATTCAAACAGCAGGTCGTTTCTGCTCGCCCCCTCATCCAAGGACCAATCTACCGCGGTGCCCGTTTGACCCTCCAGCAGGTACCGCAGCTCCTTGCCCGCGGGGGCCACCCACTTGTACAAGATTCGTTTCCAGGGCGTCAGCCGCCGCGGCGCAAGCGGCAGCGACGAAATGGTGGCGCCCGCGTCGCCCCGCCGAAAGATGTAAAGAGACGCCGAGTCACAGTTCAAAATGTTCAGCCGAGCCAGTTTCATTTCAACTGCACCAACTCCTGGTGATGGAAAATCAACAGGTAAAAATTCCTGTTCATCACGCGGAGTAGATGCAGGAGATGTTGCTGTTGGCGTCCAGGAGCGCGTCTCATGGTAGATGCGCTCGAACTCGGAGGCCAGAGCTGTTTGTGTACTGCTAACTGCCGAAGAAGCTCTGGTCGAAAGTTGCATTGCGTCCATTTCCAGCGTAGCGTTCTCCACGACCTTTAGCGTCACTTCCGTAATTACGCCGAACAGTCCGAACCCGCCCAATGCGAGGGAGAACAGGTCCCGGGAACGAGAATCACTAGACTCGCGCGCGCACGTCAGCACCTCAACACTGTCGTCGCCGTTCACGACGACCAGTCGGAACGAAGTCACGCTCTCGGCAAAGCAGAAGTCCGTCGTGATTCCGTGGGCGTTCACCGCCAACGTGCCGCCCACGGAAAACGAGCAGTACGACTGCATGGTGCGCGGCGACCGCCCGACCTGATTCAAGAAGAAGATGAGGTCACTCCACCGACACCCCGGGCCGCACGTCGCGCGTGACGCGGTGCTGTCGAGCCGCATCAGGTGTAAACACTTGGTGTCAATCAGGATTCCATTTTTTGCCATGCAGTGTCCGCCCATGCTGTGCTGCGTGCCGCGGACGGCAATTTGTGACCGCGTTTTGACCGCGAACTCCAAAATCGCGACGACATCTTCCTCGCTGCGAGGGAAAAAGACGCGCTGCACGGGCGTAGCGGAAAGGCGCGAAACATCGTCCACGCGGAGCGGATGCTGATGCGGGATCCGCCTTTCGGCAACGGCGGCGGCTGTTTCGGACCGCTCCCCTGTGTCGACGTCCTCGTCATGACCATAAGGATCCGGCCAAACGGCGTCTCGCAGCTGAGAAGATTGCGCCACCGTCATGTTCGCATCTTCTTCTTGTTTGTCAGGTCGCACAGGAAAAGTATCACTATCACAGGAGACGTCCAATTATATTGAAAATATAGTTCTGTTCTTACATCCTGAAAGCTCAACGAAAGAGATCGAAAGAACATCAGCCGCACAATCTTAGCACGTCCTTCAGCTGCTTCGTTTTCATCTTCGCTCTTTACCTTTCATCTTTATGCGAATTCAGATAAGCACCTTGGTTTCTGTTGGACGAGAAAACTCTCGTTCTCGAATTTCATCGCTTCGCATCGAAATTTGACCTCGCTTGCTGTGTCGCTCATCTCGTGAGCGATCAGTATAAGTGCAGGCCGACCCTATCATCGGTCGGTTTGTCTTGTAGCGAGGATCTGGGTAAGGTGATGACATCGCACAGCGAAAAGGTATCGCATGGCTAGCTTCTGGCTCCGCCGGCCTAAAGTAGGCGGTAGCTCTTGGCTAGCTTCTTCTACCGACCTGAAACGAGGTCGAGTAGGCTATAATTTACACAAAGAAAGATTTGCATGAAGGGCATCTTAATCGCACACCCTGCGATACCAGTCGCTTTTGACTTGGTTTTCGCATGTGTGAGGCAATCATCACCCTTTACTTCAGTCGCCCTTACCTCCATTGCAAAACACGCTCCATCGCAACGATGAAGCGCTATGGCGACTGAATCAACGCGCAGAACTGCAGGCCTGTCGTGGCGCCCTAATTTCATTTTGTTCAATTTAGGACCTTTCCTCGCCACTCATTTGGGCGACATGATGGGTCTGTGGTTTGAGCACGAAAAAACTAAAATGTCTTCAGTTTCATCATCTCCTTTTTCTCTTTGATTTAAATGATTTGAAAGGAGGACCAGGGGAGGGTTGGAGTTGGTCAGTAGCTCCATCAAGCGATATGTTTTCATATCGACCCCTTCATTTGAGTCCGGAAAAAATTTTTAAGTGGCGCAAATTGCGCCCAGTACTTTCAGCATCAACTTATAGTGATGATCGCTTTCCTTACCCATAACATACAAACAGGTTGACTTTCAAGATCTCTTCACAGCGGCTATACAAGGTAGTGTGTACAACCGAAGAACCTTGCAGTAAACATTTTGATACATCAAAATCAATAGCATGGAATTTCGACGTTTCCAGGGCGAATACAGCTTCACTGTAGCAAATCTCATTGCTCATGTGTTCGCTTCTTGTCTATCTGATTTTTTTCAAGCTCACAGAATTCGAACTTGAGGAGAAAAAAATATCCGGAAAATATCTTGTTGCGCCAGTGCGTAGAGGTAGATGACAACTACTCACCAAATCACGATAGTAATCCAAGCCGTTGCACTTGTTGCAGGTGAAAAAAAGGTAGGTGCTTCGCGTGGAGTTCTGCTTATTTGGGCTCGTGCCAACTACAACTTCGTTACCGCTTTTGCATAGACAATGCAAGAAAGCCTGAGTGTTTCTGTATCATCGTTTCTGTTTCACCTGTCGGGCCCTTGCTGCGAAGCGCAAGCTCATCAAACTCTCATCTAGCATCGTCGAACAGGGGCTCAGGTTGACGAACATCAATGTTTTCGCACTGCCGCCCAGACTGTCCTGCATCAGCTGCGTGAGTTTGTGATTCCTGTACGGGATCGGGATCGTAAAAGAATTTCCACCGCCGTTTTGCTGCAGCTCCCCAGTTGTACTAGATAGAATTTCTCGCTGCTCCCCGCCAACAGTAATTTGTTCCTGCGAATCCACGGAACTCAGTGTGGCGGTGCTGTGCTGTGTCTGCAACATTTTCTGTCCGGCAACAATCGCTTGTAAAACATCCCCGAGTGCGGAAAGAGATTTGTTGATCTCCACTGCTTCGCGCATTGCAGCCCCGGTAGCCCCGGTCTTCTTCAACCGCTCGGAACCCGCAAGATCGCAAAACGTGATCTTGCTGCTCTTTCCCGAATATCAAATGTAAAAATGTCTGGGTCGTCTGGAAGATTGCAACTTGTCATGCTAAATCTGCAGCATGCAAAAATCTGTGTTGCATGATTGCCAAAAGTCGCCCAGTTTTGAACAAGTCGGGAGGTAGTTTCTCATGCAGGATAGGCATTAGAAAGGTCTCGCAGAATCTGTCATGCTAGGTCCGGCATTCCAGACCTCATGGGTCATGGCAAACCTGCATGACAAGTCCTACATTCTTCCAGACCCAGACATTTTTGCAATCCATACTGAAAATCGGCTGTTCTCTTCGGACGAGTCGCGGAAGTGCACGGAGAGGACCAAGTGACTGCGACTGCTGGCGTATCCTGAGTAAAAACGTACCCACACCAGAGTCAGGATGGGGATTTTGCAACACAAACCGAGGAGTTCTGTGAGTCACGCATGACAAGTTGCACTCTGCAGTGTAGTGCAGGTTAGCAAGCGCAGCCGCATCACAGATTCGTCTGCTTATCCTGTTCACAGCATCACAAATTCCAAAACACGATTGGAAATGGCTCTCATGGGGATGCGCGGTACAAGTCTTCCTGTCTTTGCAAATCTGCATTACAACTCTGGTCTGGGGACGTTTTTGCTCAGGATATGGTGCTGTTCACCGCCGTGGCCGCGGTTTTCCGCAGTTTCACACCGAGATTCAAAATTTCGAGCAGCTCTTCCCGGGATTTCACTCGCCTCTCCGTCGCGCCCGGAACGCGGACCTGCCCAGACCGCGGGGACAGTTTCACGACCAAATTGCTGTCCTGTTGGAGTTTTCCGACATCGTTGGCAGTCGAAGCGGTGCGGCTCGCGAGAAAGGAGGAAAAGCTGTCACCGCTAGCCCCTGCCGGTGCAGCAGCTGCTCCGGTCACGGATCCCGCACGGGAATGTGCCGGGCTGCTGCCGCGACTGTGATTGAGGTTCTGCTGCTGCGCTGCCCCCCCGTTGGAGCTGCTTCTGCGGCGCAATCGAGACACGTTTTGCGTGGAGAGGCGTCCGCGGGTTGGTTCTTGGTCATTATTCGCTGCAGCTGTTTCGGCTGCGGAACTTGTGGTTCCGAGTGCGCTGCGTGCTGACAGGGAGCGGCGCAGCTCGCCAGAGCCCCCTGGCCGAAGTTCTGGCACGAAGTCGTGGTCCACAAGCAAATCGCGAAGCTTTGTGTTGTGGAGTTCGCACATGGTGACGAATACCTGGCGCGTCGCGTACCGCTGGTTTTGCTCCAATAGGTTGAAAATGTGGTTTATCGTCCGCGGAGCCACGCCGGCATCACGATTCAGTGCCGTCGGCTTTTTACCAGTTACTTCGCCTCCAGCAGATATGCTGCTCCTTGGCGTGTTTTTTGCGCTGTTATTTGCAAGTCCGCCTGAAATTGTCCCCGCTGCCACCGTGGTTCTTGCCGGTGGATTGAACGAGCCTGATTCCGCTACCCCGACTCGCCGCGGTGATGTTGAAGGCATTCTGGTAGCATGACCTGAAGTAGACGACGAAGAAGTGGGCTCAGTTGTTGTAATTCCGTTTTGCACCCCCGTTCCACCAGTCATTGTTCCGTTCGACCACGTCGCAGCGCCGCCCTTAGAAGTACTACTCTTCTCCGTGACCGCCCCCGATCCGAGCAAGGTGTACGTTTTCCCCGCGCCAGTCTGCCCGTAGGTGAAAATGCAGACGTTGTAGCCGTCCAACGCGCTTTGTACCAGGTCCGCGCGCTATCAAATGTAAAAATGTCTGGGTCTGGAAGATTCTAAACTTGTAATGCTGTCTCTGGATTCGAAAAAAATTTGTATTGCATGACCTTCTTTACCCCTCAACCACTGTACCCCCTTTACGATCGCTGCCTCTGGGCAGGACCTCGGGGGGATAGGGTCAAGCTCTAACGGGGGTCGGACCCGAGTGAAACCGTTAGAGTGGCAGCATGTCCTGGTCGATTCCGGAAATTCCATGAGCACGGTTACGTTTCCAATGGTGAAACCAAGCAAAACACGAGGAACAGACAAAGACGAAGGTCAAGGGTGGAGCAGATAAAACGCTGGGGTCTCCTGCAGCTGAAGAAAAGCGTCGCTGAGCGACTGGACTGGGGTCTCCTGCAGCCCAACAAAAGCCCTATTACAGTGGCCGCGATAGGGACCCCTCCTAGGACTACAAAAAAACACGACCAGCAGCGAGGAGACGAATGTATGACCAACAAAAGGACTCCAGTTTGTGCTACGTGGAGAGGGCATTTCTCATGCGGTAGAGGCATCACAAAGTCCCCTAAAAATCTGTGCTGCTAGGGCATGCATCACAGACATCATGTTCATATCATGGGTCATTCAAAATATGCATGACAAACCTGGCAATCTTCCAGACCCAGATGACATTTTTGCAGTTGATACGCACTCCTCAAAAATGTCCGTCTGCGTCGACGACGGACCGAATACGGAATCGAATTCGAAAGTTTCCGCCTCTCGGTGCCGACGAACGTCCGACGTGCTGGTGCCAATGGTGACGTCAGACTGCGAAAATTGCAGCCCTTCGTCGGTACTTTGATCCTTTTTGGCGAGTGCAGAATTATTGCCGTTTGTCAAGGGAGACCGCTGCGCAAGTTTTTCGCGTTGCGACATCGGACGAATGCGGGCGTAAACGCGGACCGCGCCCTTCAAGTCCTGGATTTCGTTGTGCAGCCTCCGTCGGACGGCGTGCGCTTGCCGCAGAACGTCGGGGGGTGCAGAGGTGGTATTCGCCGACGAGTGGTCTTCCAGTAGCCCAATATGTTTGCTCAAAAGCCGCGTCACCGCAGGCAGAAATCGTAGAGCATAGAGATTGTGGTGCTGGAAGAAATTCCGTGTCGCGGAAACGCAACTGTTCATACCCCGGGCGTAGTCGAGGATTGTTGGCAAGTGCGACAGGATCTTTTCCAGGCCGCGCAGGTGCTCGAAGATGGACAAAACGGATAGGGGAGAGCAGTGGAATTCCATGGCAGTCTTGCACAGCGCTTGCAGCTCCGGATCCTTCGTGCTGCCTTGATAGCCCGAATTTGGAGCGTAAATAGCTGTTGCCTGTGCAAGCAGGTCCGCTTCCTTCTGCAACACCCTCCTCAACTCTGCTAGCCTCTCTTCACCGACTCTCGTGTCTGCTTTCGCAACTGTTTTTGCTCTTTCCAAGGCGTTTTCCAACAGAGTTGTATCCCTCGTCGTTTCCCACAATTCATCGAGTTGTGCCTGCGCGTCTTGCAATCCCTGAATTCGTTTTCGGAACTCCATGCCCTTGTCGCGACAAGCACTCTCCAAGGAGGTTCTCTTCGTCGTACGAGAGGCACTACTAGTTCCACTGCTGCTGCCTAGGACCGTACCAGCGGAACCAGCGGCAGAGGGTCGTCGCGAGGATCCACCAGGTTGCGAAGAAGACGAGGCGCTGCTGGACGAGGATCCGCTCGCGTTGTTCGTTGGTGCAAGCTGCTGCAACTGGGTCAGGAGGAATTCGACCTGAGCGGTTGGTAAAGGTTTGGAGATGTCCACGTTGGTTACCAAGTCTTCCAGCTGTGAAACCAATTCCGCACAACGGGACTTCGATGCTTGGTGTTTTGCCTGCTTTTCCCGCTCCGCTCGTTTCTCCTGCAAAGTCCTTGTCCGCTCGCGCGACGCGCGCTGGATGGTAAGTGGGTGCACGCCGGCCTCTCGCGCTTTTTCCACGGCGTTTTGAAACTCAGCATTGTCCTCTGTGCTCGTGGCAGCGAAAAGCGCGACCTTCGCGGCGTCCTCCAGCAGCTGTGCTTTGCGACGTTCCGCCTTCTGCAGCTGTGAACCGGAGGCGCCAAGCTGTTTGGCTTTGTCAATCAAATCTGCGATTTGATCGGCGGAGGCCTTGGTTGCGGTTCCGCGGGTCTGTGGCTGCGAGCCACTTCTTGTTTCCACCAAGTGCGGTGGCTTTATTTCGCTTGTTGGGTGCGCGGAGAGCGCGTCTTCAAGAGCACGCAAAGCTTCTGCCAGCGGTGTGACAGCGACACCTGGAGCGTTTTGCCCAGCCAGTCCGATTGTTTTGTTCGCACTAGACGAGGTTGCCCGCTCGAGCGGCGATGGGTGTCTCTTTAGAATCCCGGCCAAAACAGGCTTGTTTGCCGCGTTTGGAGGTGCAGCAGTTGATGAGGCGGGCCTCGTTGCCGTAGTAGTTCTGTAGCGCGATGACCCTACCTCTCCCGCTGCACCAGATGGTCGCGTGCGAAGCAGGCCGCTGGCGGAGGGCCGCCGAGTCTGAAGAGACGGGCGAGGAGGTTGGTTTGCATTCGACTCATGATGTCCAGGAGGTCCTGCCGGCGGCACGCTCGTCGTGCCTGTAGTTGGTGCGAGCTTCGTCGAGTGCGTTTGCTGATAGTTGCCCGGTTTCTTCTTGCTTTTTTCTGCTTTCAGCTGTTGCAGGCGCTCTTTGAATCCACGAAACGCAAGCCCGGACGAGGCGACCGAGGATTTCGTTTCGGCGTTCGGGGGCAGAGAGCCCGTCTCATCTACTTGATCATGATGGTGTTGCTCTTGGTTGTAGGGAGCCGTACCCGTAGTTGCTGTTCCTGCATGATCAATCCTTTGATCATCTAACTGCGGGGAAGATTTCAACAATAGTGCAGCGTTTTTCTCTTCGGGAACTGATCCCTTTTCAACATCTTCCTGGTAGTTCCTCTCCTGCTCTAACCCACTTCCGGTCTCAAGTTCCAGGCCTGAGCGCGGGGTCTTGTCGTCGTTTGCAACTCCGACTAGCGACGAGGACAAAATGCTGCTGTGAGTGGCACCACCAGTCGACCGATTCGCCTTTAGCCGCTCGCGAAGCGCTGCCAGTCGTTGTCCCGGGCCGCTTTTTGGTTTTGCGAAAGAAGAGGTCCTTGTAGCAGCTTCGTCGTCTTTTGTGGGAACGTTCATCGCCGCTGCTGGGAGCGCGGGGGTTTGGGCACTTTCGACAGTTGTAGACTGCATCGCAGGTGTGGGTGTTGGTGCAAAATGCAGCGTGACTTCTTCCAATTTGCTTTTCTGTTCTGCTACCAACACCTCCGGCGCATCCGCATTCTGCTTGTTGCTTTCATCATCGACGGCAAGTGGTAGAGGCGATGGTGGTCCTAACTCTGCGTTCAATGCGGCAGCGGGATTAGCAGAAGAGTATGGCTCGCCAGGTTTTTCTGTTGTGTTCACAGCACTGGTTTCAACTTCATCTATCTTGCTTGCTAGCTCCGGAATTACGGACAAATCTGGTACGGACAAATCCGGATCGTCCTCGTCGAAAAGCACCGCTTCGTCGTCTGCTTTGCGTAAATCGGACAGACTTCCCCGTTCCGCAACATTCGTAGAGCCCCGCTTTTTCCGTGTGGTTCGCTTGCGACTGCGGGCGCTCTCCGCGAGTTGATGCTCTGTCGGGATGGGGTGGTGCGGATTCTGCACATGGAGGTGCTCGGGCTGTCGAGCTGCCGTGGCAGCGACGGCTTCGCTTAGAAATGATTCCAGCGGTGACGACTTGATGTGTGCGTTGATCATTTTTCCGGCAGGTGCTACTATTTTCGGGGATTGTTCTAGCTGTATCGGAGAAAGAGCATGATCGTCATCGGCTCCAAGATTTCCCAAGCCAGGCGAAGTCACTTCGATGGCGGAAAGGTTGGCAAAAGACAGCTGCGGAGATTGGTGCTGCTGCTGCGCAGTGTCGTTTCTTATCGCTGCTGATGAGTCATCAACACCTGCAGGAGCAGTAGCAGGGGCAGCTGCCGGCGCTAGCCTTGTCGGCGATGCCGACCTACTGTTCGCAGCCCCTGCCCCCGCGGGCTTCGCTACTGTTCCGAGCGACGGTGGCTTATTTCTCGGCGTGCTTTTGCGATGCTCCGAGGAGCGAGCAGAAATTGACGACAGCGACATACGCGTCAAGTGGCCGATGCCGTTTCCGTCGTCGTGACCACGTTCAGATAGCGGCACTACTAGACCCGGTTCCTTACTTGGTCGTTTCTCGAGCGAATGCCGCAGGGCCATGCTTCTCACATCATTCTGCTCGGGTTTTTTTCGCTCGTCACTGCTACTCCTCCTCGTCTCTTTCGCAGGTCCTCCGCCTGTTGCCCATGCCGGCTTCTTTACTACAGAAGGTGCTGCGGTTTTTGCTTTTTCTGCCAGCTGTGCTGGTATTGCTGCTGCTGCAGCTGCGACAGGCTCAGTTCGCCCCGCAGGTTCTGTTGCCCACCCTTTCTTACGCTGCTGCGCCTTTTCTTGCAGCTTCGCGAAAACACCTTTAGGCTTGCGAGACGCGACGAGAGCAGTGTTCTTGCTAGTTGCGTCCTGTTTCTTCTGGGCAGACGGCGCTAGTACTGTCTCCTGGGCCTGCTTAGACGCCGGCGCTGAGACAACTTTCGCGTTGCTGGCGGACGCACTTCTTCTAATTACTCCGGAAGACTTAGACTGCCCTTTATTGCCTTTCCGCTCCACGCCGCGAGAAACCTCCGGGCGTTTATTGCGCGGCTGCCCCCCGGACGAGTGGCTGCGAGGTGGATGGACCGGCTGTCCCCGCAATTCGTAACTTCCGTCTCGCTTCCGCACAACATGGCGTCCAGTAGACGAAACCACTTCACGCCCCCTCGCGGTCGTCAGCTCCGCCTCCGCAACCTTTGATGTTAGTTGCAGTTGCCGACCTCTGCCCGGGCTTTCTCGCCTCGGCTCCGCGGCGGCGGGTGAGGTGTAAGGAGGAGGCTCAACATGCAACTCTGCCTGCGCGAGCAGGTCCACACCCGTTCCCGTTGGTGATGGCATCACCACAACAGACGGGCTGCTCATTTTTGAAGTCTCTTCTTCGGAGGTAAAGTCGAGGTCTTTCTTGAAAACCAGCGTCTTCGCACCTGCTCCGGTCGGCAGCTGCCGCTTTTGGGTAGATGACGTTGACGTTGAGTTCATTTGCTCCTTTGCAGCCACCAGGCTTGCCGGCGCACCACCGAACTTCGCCAACTGCGGAACCACGGTGCCAAACGGGACCACTGCGTCTGCCAGAATTTCACAGCCATCACCCAAAACGCAGTTCGACGAGATGACGACGTTATTGCCGATCACAACCCTTTCCCCGATCCGGCTCCCGATCAGGACACAGCCTTTGCCGACCCTCGTACCGGTGCCTACCGATACTGGCTGCGCTTGTTGCACAGCAGCGGATTCTACTTGGCGAGAACTGACGCCTACTGCTGCAGCGCTTTTGCCACCAATCGTGTTCATCGCCCAGTTCGCATTACTGCTCGAGCTCGCTGAAGACGTGCCCGTCAGCACGCCGCTCGTAGAAGTTCCCGGTCGCAAAATCGTGTTTTCGCCGATGCGGACCTTGTTGCCGATTACCAGCTTGGCGTCCAGGTCCCCGCGTAGGTGGACATTTTTCTCGATAACCACGTCCGTGCCAATCACGATATTCCGGCTGCCCCAGATCTTCACAGACTCGTGAATCTTGCTGGTCGCGTAGTGCGACGCGCGAAACTGGTCTGTCGCATTGACGCTGGACCGGTGCGACCGCTTTTTACTCGTCGATGTTGGTGCGGGAGGGGCTCTGTGTTGAAGGCTCGACGAAGTAGTTGTTGTGCCTCGTTGTTGTGCTTGCGGAACAGCACGCGCGCTGGCACTGCCGCTGTCCGCGTTGTTCCCAGAGGCTGATTTGGTACTCCGTCGCATGATTCCACTGCCACTGGCTCAGAGATAGTGCGCTGGTGCCGTTGTACGTATTTCACATAAATTTCAAGCTATCAAGTCCAAATTTACAGGCTTTCTGAATCTGTTACTCTTTAGCTTTGGGCGAAATCTACGCTTTTCCTATTTCTGTTCTAGAATCCAGCTGCAATGTTGTCGTGATTTTGGCCACAGATTTGCAAACGAAAAACGATGAAAAAAAGCACGAAGCGAGTTCGCCTTTGTTCACTTCTCACACCGTTGCACTTTTACGTTCACTACGATTTGCGTCAGTTGGAATTTGTGTATCTCACATTGACTTCGATCCTGCATCAACTCTTGACAAACAACGATAATCTGAATAAAAAGACTTGTTGGTCGTGTGTGTCTTCGTACGTCAACACTTGCGTTGCCTTCGTACATACGTTCACATACACGAACATGGCACAAGCAAAACTGAAACAAGAAACGCGACAGCAACTCGCAGACGCCGATTGAAATCAGTGCGCGCTCTCCGGTTGACGGCTCGGACACCCTGCAGCGTCTGCTCTGACGGGTCGTAGTTTTGTTGTACTATAGAAGGTTTCATTTTTCATAGTTTCGATTGTTCAGCAAATTTTGAATACAATGCATATCATCGTTAAGTGTGATCTCCTTGTCCGTGTTTACTTCCGGTGATTGCCTCCGGAATCGAAAGTTACGGTGCTGTTTTGAGTTCCCGCGGACCCGGTGTTGTACGTGTGATGTTCGTCGTCTCAAACTCAATCTCCTACTCTCAATTCGTGCGGCTGTGGGCCGTGGTATTTGCTTCACCCACCAGGACACTCTCGATTTCGAGGATTCCACCCAACAAATCTGTCATCCTCGTCCTCCTCGCTTTGCACACAGTAAAAAATGCAAACTAAAGGCAATTCAACAAGCGTGGCATTAAACAATAAATTCAAGGGAGCTGAAACCGTACTAAAACCGAAACAGTGAAAACCTAAGAAAAGCTCATTAACAGTGAACGAGTGCAGCGAAAACTCATTTTGCACTCTTGACGTTCTGGTACTAGGACATAATACCGCAATTTCTGATATGATACCGGTAAAATTTTGCGTTGAACTAGGAACTTCTCGATGGACGTGAGAAGCTCCTGTTCTTTTTTGTAAACTATTGCTAAATTAACAGATTCGAGTTGTTTTTTGTCGAATTAAACGAATTAAAACAGAGGTTTGGTCTTTCAGGATGCGTAAACTTTAAGGAAACAGGTGAAAAGTATAAACTTGACGTTTTCATCTTTTTTCAGGCTCGATTCACATGGTGTCAGTTTTCGTTTTGATGTCATCATCAAAGGACTTCGTCTACATGAATTGGAAGCCTTCGACGAAAACGAGCACTGATGCATTTTTTCTACAACAGCTTGTTGTCTCAAAAGAACTCGTTGATTGCTCGAGCAGAAAGCTGCTGCAACTAGTACACCACTTCGCTGCTTAGTGCGCTACCGGCACAGAGCTGGGAGTCGGCAGCTTGTTGCGCTCGTGCTCCTCCTCCAGCTGCTTCACGAACAGCAGTGGTGGCTTGCCTTGCAGTTTCGCCAGTGGCTCCAAATCAACGTGCTTCAAATACCTGAAAAGTTCGTGTTGCGATCGTTCGTTGGTATGTTCCTGATTCGGAAGTAGATGAACGAAAAAGTTGACCTTCATACCGAAGTACAAACACATCAAAAACAAAAGCTGTACTTGATTTCATCGAGTTCTGATTTGACCGCGCAGAAAAGTTCGGAGATGGCCGGCACGGGTACCAGGGACTTCACGAGGTCGTTCATGGTTACTTTCGTTTGTATGCCCTGTTCCACGCACTCAAGTTTGTACTCGAGTTCTTCCTCCACCTCCTGCTTGAGGTCGTCTATTCTTACAAGCTCCGCTGCATTTCTCTTCATCTCCTTCTTCTGCAATGTCTCTGTGCGGACCTGGAGGGTGAAATTTGGGGTGGATAACTTTCTGTATGCGAATGAGTTGAAACCGAGACCAAAACCATGTTCGTTGTACCTCGTGTTCGGTCAGTCTGGCCACATTCGGTGTGGTTGTGGAACTCGAAATTTTGTTATTGTTGCCTGTTCATCACTACTGGTATCAAGAAACAAAAACACGCAGACTTGATGGTACCTCTTCCAGCTGTTCCTGTGATGCCTTAGAGTCTGCTCTTTGTTTTGCTTCGAGTTTCCAGCCGAGCAGAACTTTTGTTTTTGCTTCCTTTTTCTTCTCGAGCTCCTGGTTTTCCTGCTCTTGCGCCTCGTCGAGGAGGTTCATGATGTACTCGTGTGCTCTGGCCTGCCATTTCTCCTCTCGCCTAATTATCGCGGCTTCTCGATTCCTTTCCCGATACTCGTCCTCGATATCTGGGTTTCAGGAAGTTGCACATGAAAAGTGTAAGCGATTGAAAATAAAAATACATCAGATTGCATGCGGCACCATCACCAACCACTGTCATGGTTCTGGTTGTTCTTATTGGTTGCGTTGAATTTTCCATATTAGTGACGATAGATCCGGGCAAGAAATTCAAAAAATCATCAAAAGCAGTACTGTTTTGTTTTTTATTGATTCCGCTCCTGAGCTCTGTTTGCCTTTTCATGGCTTCGAGCTGCTTCCGCTGCTGCCTGTTTTCGGCCTCATATTCCTTCTTTAGCCTTCTCTGGTCCGCCAGCTCTGCCTGTTTTCGCTCGTACCGTTCCTCCCGCAACTTGATATTGTATTCCCGCTTGGCATCCAGCGCCTCTTGCTCCGCGGTCGGGGTGCGCTTCCCGAAAATGTTCGCCTCGCCCGGCTTCACCGGAGGCGCCATCTTATCGCCGGTTATCAATCACTACTACTGGATTTTTGGGTTCTACAAGTTCCTGAGTGGGAAAGGTACAAAAAAAATCCGCAGTTCTACATGGAATTCATTGGGGGGTATTCGCGTCGTTTTGCAATGTCGTGACAAAGCAACGAAAAATGGAGTCTGACCGAGAAGTTGTAGTTCTTCAGGTTGACATGATCATGTGGCGTCCCTTCAATTATTTCCTACTCCGAGAGCGAGACACATCGACGTCGTTATCATCTCCATTGCAGAAAAACAATGAGGAATTTTTGGGTCTAAACGACGATAGTATATTTCGTGCACGTTGACCCCAGCTGGATACAGATGATGACACAAACATACACGACAAATCCCGGTACGTTGAGTTAACGAATATGGATTCCAGCATAACCACACCACGAATCTATCTAGTCGCAGCCAAAACTCTCACTCACGGCTCGCTCTCGCGACCCCTCGCTCAGATCTCGGTGTCAGTCTCACTCACTCAGCAACAATTCCGATGGAGCTCTTCGTCAGAAACAGAATGAAGTGAAAAACTTTATTAATTACAAGAACTGCTACTGCTCTGTGCGTGTGCTGTATCACACCCAACAGACGATCAAGCAAACAAATCTCTCAGTAAATTTGCTGCAGCTCTAGATGCGGTAGTAGGACTTCCTAGCACGATATTTGTACAAGTATCGCTCTCTTCTATCCACTTCTCAGCTTATTTGCTTAGGATCTACTCTTTCTGACATAGTGCAGAAGGTCTCACGTATGTTATTCTGTCTGGAAAAATGGGAAGCAGCACGCACCAGCAGCTGCAGTTGTAACACACTGGTATGCTGTGGAATAGCAGAAATACTGCTGACCTTTGGCTTTACAAACAAAGAAAGCCTTACTCCAAGGAGCTTGAAACTGAAAGTAGTATTACTTAGCCGGCACAGCACTTTCTTCCGGTACGTACATCGCATGAAGACAGACTGGAAGTGGATCACGATTTTGAAACAAGAGACCAAAAGGTCCTTTGATTGTGAAACCCATCGTGGGCTGTTCTTTCGACAACTTGCTCAACAGGGAATATCCGTGTGACAGACCGTCGTGCAATGCATCAACATCTCGAGCATTTACGGGATAGGACTCGCCACTGGGAAGTTTTGGTCCTTGGTCTAGTAGTTCGCGTGTAATCTCCAGTTGTGGAATCCCTTTTGCAACAGCGGCAGAGAAGAGGTCGAGCAAGTATTTTACCACCTCGTCTCCAATGCGGCCGATTGTCTCTTGAAACTCCACCCAGATTTTTCCAGTTCTACCCGCAGGAGCGTCCGCGGATGCGGCGCCTCCTGGTGTCAAATTGCGGGCTGCATGAGCGGCGATGATCTGAGCCGGCATCTCGGTGTGAGACCAATGATAGACCAGAACGCGTACCGGCAGCGGTACCGTATCTATGAGGTACGAATTAGATCGGTCGATTGCCACCTCGTGGCCCTCCATGCGCAAGCGGAAGCCTTGGAACACAAGGAGGCGCACGACGACCTCGATTCGTGGTCGCTCTCCGTTCGCCAGCGCTGGCGCCCCGTCAAGAAGGTCCCTATCGATTTCAAAGGATTCCATGTTTCCTTTTTCGACGCTAGCGTGGATCTTGTCCAGGAAGTACGGAAGGACAGAGCGTGCGTAATACTGTTCAACGACGGAGCAACCGAGCTGTTGCATCTGCTTGCAGCTCGGGAGTAGAGACGATGCTGACGCGTCTCCAATGAATTCCACAATCTTTGCGCGGACCGGGGGCGGAAGGGGCGGCTTGTCGGCGCGGGCTTTGTTGCGCATTGCCAGAACGTACCAGATGTTAATCTGTCCGTGCAAAACTTTCCGAAAATTTCGCGGCTCGACGGTCCGCAATTTCGTGGTAAGTTGTTCCTTGTCTAGCTCCGTCGCCTTCTTTACCCACTTATCGAAGGAGCCTCGGAACTTTGTCATCACGTTCTCAGAATTGAGGCCGACGTCGCGTGCCGGGGCGCCGGCTACTAGTGCGGGTTGAGGCGGCATAGTGTTGTGCGAAGCTTCTAGCTTCTTTTGCGTTCTTGTGTATTCAAGTATCTATACTACGCAGCTTCGATCACGACGACGACAATTTCAATGACAACCTTTTTGACGTCTGAAGGAGCACAGATACGCTTATCTTTGCTTGTTTTGCTCGTCGCTACGGACTTTGTATTGTCAACAGGTCGAGCTCGACAACGTAGAAATCTAAGATGCTGCTTTGCCACTGTGTGCTCGCAAAATCTAAAACAAAACTTAAAGCCACTCAATGATCCTTACGTCGTTATCGTCATGCTGCTTTGTTCGTCACTAACACTATGGAAAGACTACTTTTGGAAAGAACAAATGAATCCTCGCTGCAAGGGCAAGATGAATATTGTCGTCATATCATACCAAATTCAACTATCAAAACATCACTGATACATGTTGACATGAGCAGATCAAGGTCAAGGGGAGGGACGCGTCCTCGTGTTTTAGGTCTAGCAACGAACGCCAGTGTCCCCGCACTGCTTTTGTCATCGTGGTTGGCTTTCACTTTATTTGGGAATGTATAAACATGCTGGTGGACCCGGCTTTCATCTTGAACAACAGAAAGATATCGCTTATCTTCGCCTCGTCCCGGAAGCCGGGAATAACGTCGCGCGTCATTATTTGTTCTTCGGTCATTTGTTCCTCAGCTCGCCCCAGTCCTAGGAGACAGCAGCACAGAAATATCGAGGGCGTAATCGCAATGCTCATCAGTGCGAATTTCAGCAACAATTAATAGGAATGCTTATTGCGTTTTTTGCATAAGCGAGAGGGTCGGAGGTGGATCGCGGACGAAGCGCAAGAGGCATCGCGACTATATCGCGAGTTTATCTACATTGAACTGCGCATGGAGAAAGAAAGGAAGTGGGTCAGCGTCGTGCTGCATCGGCTCCGCCTCATCTTCCGGCGCATCATCAACGCGGTTGCCATGGACCCGGTTTGGTGGAACTATCGTGAATCCCTTCGCTTCCTGTTCGTCTGACAGTTTGAAGAGCAGGCACAGAGAAGACGGAAGTTCTCTATGTAGTGCATGCAACTGCGGAATGCCGAGAGGGTAGGACTCGCCGCTCGGGAGCTTTGGCGCCTGCTCCATCACTTCGCGGCTGATCTCCAGCAGCGGGATGCCCTTGGAGAGGGTGGCAGAAAAAAGGTTCAGCAGGTACTTCACCACCTCGTCGCCACTGCGGCTGATGGTCTGCTTGAAATCCGACCAAAATGGTGCAGGTTTCCGGGCTTCGCCTTGTGAAAGATGATGACCCGCCCTCCCCGCCAAGTTGTTGTTGAAACAGTCGACAACTTTCTTTGCAAAGAAAAGTCTCGGTATAGTGGCGTGGCCCCAGTGATTTATCCTGACGCGCAAGGGGAGCGGCAGGTGCTGGTCCCAACCGGTGTGCTGGTTTGGCATCTCGATCAGGTTCCACTTGTTCCAGGTCTTCGTAGCGTCGTCGCCCTCACCGGTTTTTGCAATGATTTCAAAGCCCTTCTTGATGAGGATTACCACGATAATGTCAATACGCGGCCGCTCGTTGTTCGGGAGGCTTGGAGCGCCATCGAGGATTTGCTGCGTGAGATCGAAGAGGTCGACGGTTCCGGTTTCGACGCTCGCCCGGATTTTTTCAAGAAAATACGGAATCACATCGCGGGCGTCGTACTGTTCGAGCACGGACGACCCGAGGGTGCTCATTCCTCCGCAATCGGAAGCAACGCGGCCTAGCCCTGCCGGGTCGGTAATGAATTCCAAGATCTTCGCGCGCACCGGGGGCGGGACCGGCGCCTTGTCTGCACGCGTCTTGTTGCGCACCGCAAGCACATACCAAATGTTGATTTGTCCGTTTAGCACCCGAAGGTGGGAGCGCTTTTCGAGGCTTACAAGCCGTGACTCGAGATCGTGCTTGTCGAGGTCTGTCACTTTCGCTACCCACTTGTCAAAAGTGCCCCGGAATCGCGTCATCACACTTTCTGTGTTCAGTGGACGGGGCTGTGTGATGGCGTCCACGGCAGCTCCTGCGGCGGCGCCTGCGTGTGGTGGCATCTTGTAGCTTCTCAGTGAGTCTGAGTTCTTGTTTTTGTCCTAGTATAATAGCGCTCCCTCTGCATCCTTTTCCTAATGCTATCTTCACTTCGCTTTACAGTTCTAGCATGTTTTACTTGCAACAAGTGGAAATCCTCAAAAATGAAACGTCAACGTATGGAGAATCATAACTGCTCACTATTCTGAGCAATGGCAGTGGTATCTTCACGTTTTGATTGATAGATAGCGTGCCGCAACGATGGATGAACACCAGTATGACAGAAAGAGCACCAGCAGGTAGACTTCGTACTTGTCTGCTTAGTGTAGAGACCAGATGACTGGTACTGGTTTATCAAGATAAAAATTTTGAATCACATTACTGAAAACAAGAGCCACCACGATCTGCTCCTGCCTGGCAATGTTCTGTCTTTATTCGTAGCACACATCAGCACAGTCTATACTATTGTGGGCGTTCCACCACAATCCACGGCTGTGCACACCTTCCTCAGCCTCTGCCTCCGGGTCGTCTCTTCTCACATCGCATGACGCTCCGCAGAATGTTCGCTTTGGAAAGGGTCCGTGAAGGAGAGGGCTGTAGCCCGGCCCAGGATTTCGTAATCGGCGCGTGTGCTGTGGCTCGGCTTGTTTGACGGTCGCAACACTGCAGCCGCCGCGACGAGACTGAACTGAAGTATCTGGACACGCCCATATTGGCCTTGTCGCGTTGCTCGGTCTCTACCTGCTGTCGCAAAGTTTCTTCTAGATCGTCGCCCCGAATTCCGCCATCCAATCCTGGAACCTTTGTAAATCATCATTCCCGACTGAGCGACTCACGTTCTTCAGACTGGCCAGAAAATCGTCAAAGGTGATTGGCACTTCATCGAATTGCCTTGCCATCTCGGCCACGTTGGCTTTCTCCTTCCGCGCTTTGCGCAGCGCCTCGCGGTGCTGCCGCATCTGCATCATGGCAGCTTCGCGACACACGTTGGTGATATCCGCTCCGGAGTAACTCTCGGTAAGCGCCGTGAGCCGGTCAAAGTCGACGTCGGGCGCCACGCGAATGTCGTTGCACATCAGGTCAAAAATCTGCCGTCGGCCCGCCGCTTCCGGCAGAGGGATGTAGATGCGTTTTTCCAAGCGCCGCCGCAAAGCCTCGTCTAAATCCCAGGGGCGGTTGGTGGCGGCCAGTACCATCACCAATTTCGTCTGCGATTGTTGTTGCGACACGCCACCAGAACCGGATCCTGCGGAAGCCGTTGCCGCTTGCTGGTCTGCTCCACCTCCCGAATTACTACTTCCGGGCGGATTACTGTTGATTCCGTCCATTTGCACGAGCAACTCCGACTTGACGCGGCGGCTCGCTTCGTGCTCCGAGGCCTCGCCCCGCTTGGAACCCAGCGCGTCGACTTCATCGAGAAAGATGACCGTCGGAGCGTAGTACCGAGCCATTTCGAAGAGCAGGCGAACAAGTTTTTCGGAGTCGCCCCGGTATTTGGAAGCCATGGTGGACGCGGAGACGTTCATAAAGGTTGTTTCGCACTCGGTGGCGACGGCTTTCGCGAGCATGGTCTTCCCGGTTCCCGGCGGGCCAAAGAGCAGCACCCCACGCCACGGCCGTCGGATGCCTTGAAAGTAGTCGGGCATCGCTAAGGGCATGACGACCGCTTCGTCCAGCAAGTCCTTCGCGGTTTCGCAGCCCGCAATGGCGTCCCAGGAAACCTGCGGGTCGGACTCCACACAGTCGCGCTCCAACATCTGAATCAGTTCCGCGTCGGGTCCGTCCATGCGGTCACCATACACGTGCTCCAGGTAGGACACCCGGCCCGAAACAACCTGCTGATGGGGACCACCTGCACCTGGTGCATGCCCGTGCGACGTGCCGGCTGGCTGCCGCGCAGGGTTGTGGTTTGCGTTTTGTTGCTGAGCCGCCAGTTGGGAACCTGATGAACCTGTTGCGCCGCTGCCCCCAGTGCTCGCAGATCTTTTTGTTCCTAGTCCAGTTGCCGAGTGTAGTTCGGGTTGCTGTGCAGCCGTCCAGGGCTTCGCATAGTTTCGCGAACCCCGTCGAGCGGGTTGGGCAGCAGTAGTAGGTGCGCCACCGGCCGTCATGGAGGGCATGGCGTTAGCAGATGATAAACCGGAAGCAGCAGCTGCGCCGCCGCCAACGGCCCCGCCGGCTGTTCCGGTTGCCACCCGCGGTCCCCGGCTTGCCCACGGAGCAGCGCCTCCACGCTTCTTCGCCGGTGGCGGGGACCAAATGTCGCCGCCGGACTGCTGGGCCGCGTCATCACTGTTGTTGAGAAATTCGCTCAGAAGCGCGGAGGTGGAGGAGTTTTTTTCTCCAGCAGCTGGGGCTTGGGCCATGTTTATTTCTCCTTGTTCAGCGCCTTGCGGAAAATTGTGACCGCTACTGGTCACTGCTGTTTTGACGCCCGTGCCGGTCGCGCCAGGACCGCCCGGCTCACTTTCAAGCGTTTTCCATACGCTCTCTAAATTCTGGACCAGCCTCATCTCTTCGCGCAGCTGCGAGCGGCATTGCACCCAGGTTTCGCTGCGACCCCCGAAGTTCTCGACCGTCTGCGCTAGCATTTCGTACACGGCTAGTGCCTCTGAGTAGTTTCCCAGTACTGCTTGCTCGCGAGCTTGCTGCACTGTCTGCAGCACACTGACGCCCGTCGAGTTGTCCCCGGAGAAGTTGTGCTGGCCCTGCTCGCGAAGCAACACGCTTGCGGGCCCCGCCATGATGCTGGTGTCGTAACGCAACAGATCTCTAAACTTTGACTTGCATTTACTTCTTCATCTTCACCAAGTACATTAGCTTTACAAATGCCTTGGCCCACGCTGTCTTGATGAAGATTTAGAGGCGCACTCATTTTCAGCTCTTGTTGAGCCACAATGGCTGCAGTCGCTTTTGAACGCAGTCACACGCTCGGGAAATTGAGATTTGCGATCACTGCAATCGGCAAAAAACAACATAACGCAGAAGCTTTGCCATCCTCATCTAGCTTTTCGTTTTCAACTTTAGCACGGTTTTGTTTTTCTTGCTATCATAGTTCAGCTCCCTGATTACTCGAATCGAAGTTTGATTGTGTTTGGAAGGAACACCGCCGTATTTAGGAGAGAAAAAGACACGAGAACGAGCGAACAGAATGACTGCTTCGTACTTGGTTGCCGTTAGCGTTACTCAGATGAGTCGAGCTTTGTTATCAAGATCTACTTGTGTCGCTTGTGGTTCTTTTCCAGCATAGAGAGGCACCGCAGCTGAGGCACGGCAGCTGACTTGCGGCTACCACGCAAAATGAGAATCTCGGCAGAGATGCCATTATCATCTTCATCACGAAGACGAAGAGAGATTTCAATTGACATCTACTATCCAAATTAGTACTATCTCCACCCGTACTTTGACCCCGCCTCCTGGCGAATTCCGCGGCCGGCGGAGAGTTGCGCGTTGATCTCGCCCTGCGCACTCCTCGCCATCGCCGCCAGGTAGGTGATCTGGTGCTTTTGCTTCTGCTTTTGGGTAACCTGGGTCGTGGACCCGGCCTCGACCTGGAAGCCGACGATCGCCTCGTCCTGGGTCTGCGCGTTGGCCCGATCCGCCTTCTCGTGTAGACTGGCCATGTAGGACGGGTTTTGCTCCAGCCATTTTTCATTGAACAATTCTGTACTTGCGAGCGTGTTCAGCTGCTGCGACTCGAACGCCTCGCTGAGGTCCTTCAAATCCTGCTTGGACAAAGCATTCGCGCCGCCGTACTGCGCCAGAAAAGCGTCTTTCGCCTGCTGCTTCTGGAGTTCGCTCTGCAAGACCGGGTTCTGTTTCTGTGCTTGCTGGATCTGCTGCTCCTCCTCGTCAGAGTCCCAGTTGTCGATACTTACAGGAGTCGGTTTGGCCTTGTCTCCACCAGCGGAAGTGGTGCTGGTGCCTGTCGCTTTATTCGAGCCAGCCGTACTATCTACAAAACCGCCACCGTAGTCCACGTCGTTTGTCGTAAATGCAAGGCCGCTTTCGGCGTTGTTGTTACCCGCATCTACTCCGTCGTCATCCGAGCTGTCGTAGCCTGATGCTATCTTGCCTTGATTTATCTTGAATCTGCTCCCCATGCTGCTGCCATTCGTGTTCGCCGCAGCGGACGAGTTTGCGATCTGCTTTTCCAACTTGAGTTCAACATCGTCCGCAAGGTTAGAAGCCGCTTCCGGAACGTTTTTCGGCGGAGGAAGGAAGCCGAGAATCCCCACCGACTTTGGCCTGTTGTCCACGGCGCTGATGAAGGGCTTCGCCTTCTTCGTTTTTTTGTCCTCCTCCGAGTCCTCGTCGTCGCTGCCGATTATTTTCTTGTTCCGCGCCTGCTGCTCTGCTTTTCGCTTCAGCGAGAGCTGCGCCACTTTGGACTGGAAGGGCCTTGTGGAGCCCTTTTCATCTTCGTCAGAGGACCAGGCGCCGAAACCCATTTTGATGCTGGTGCGAAAAGGACAACTGCGGGTTATTGAGTCTACGCGATATTCATGGAAAAGAATCAAACTTCAAGCTAAAAGGTCCTCTTTTTTTTATCCTGACGCACAGAATCTAAAAGTCAGCTTTTTGATTTTTTCATGTTTGAGTTGTGTAGTCGCTAGGGGTCCTGGAAGTTATCCGACATTCGAAAGGAAGATCAATGTTTTTTTGCAAGTTCCTACTAAGGCACCCCGTTGATCGGATGATTTTGTTTTTGTCGACATGTTTTTTGAATTTGCGTGCTTGGCCCATTTTTGTGGAGAGTGCGATTTCAAGACTCACCGTTTAGATCTAGATCTCATTCAGCGTGTGTGTGAGACTGTATACGAAATATCTTCTGCCGAACATCAAGGTTACACCTGTGGAGGCCTTACTCTCCAAGGCACATTTTGACAGGAGGGCACTGTCAAAATTCATCCGTTCATTTTTTCGCTTTCGCTTTGTCGCACTTGGTGTAGTAAGTAAACCAAAATCTTTTTTATTTCGAGCCGGAAAATATCGTCTCAACTGGCCATGACCACCTCGATCTTTTTCCTCGTTTTGAGCTTTGGTGCCACGGATTGGTTGCTGACCGCTTGAATGGTGTTCTCCTCAGCCTCCTGTTCTCTTTGTCGCTTCAAACTACCCGTCTTCGCCCCGTCCTTGATTTCTGTTTCCAGAGGCGCTTCCTGTGCCATTTCCGCTTCGAAATCCTTCAATTTCAGTTCATCTGGGAGCGTTTCCCGGGTGCACTGCGTGATGAAGAGGTCCTGCAAGGATTCGGAGTAGTTCTCTTGCTTCATCATCATCTGGATTCCCTCGCAAAATTTCTCGACCGCGGGCCGCAAGTCTGGCGGGTTGCTCTTGGTTTCCTCAAGGTCGAAAGTCTCTTTCGGAAAACTGACGCCGACAAACATCTGCTTCCCTTGCGGGAACGTCCTCGTGATGTTCTCCGAGTCGGGACCAAGCGGGAACTTGTCCGGGCACGGATGGAGTTCAACTCCGGGAACCATCTGCTCGATCGTGCTAAAAAGGCGACGGAGTTTACTCTCGACGAAGCCCTGTTTGAATGGATTCATCCATTTCTTGATGTGATGTTTTTCCCTATGAGCCTGCTTGTAGATGTAGATCAGATAAAACAGAATGAGACGCAAAACTTTTTTCATAGCGTATGAAAGAATGTATCCACAACTGTACCTCCCATCTATTGAACGCGGTCGGATTTCTCGCGAGGAGCTGCACTCGCAAGTACTGCCGGTGCATGCCGAAAAAAGGCGCTTTGGCGTACACATCGCTCCACTCCTTGCTGCCCTCGAAGACCGCCTGTGTGTAGGCCCGTGCGCGCTTGATTTCCGCCTGGATGACGCGTTTTGTCGCGGGGAAGACGTTGTGGGTGGAGTTCATTGCGGGAAAGGCGGGCGTGATGATGGGCATCAGGTGCTGTCGGTCGTGCGGGCTGTTGTGCGGGTTCCACACACGCAGGTGGTTCAACCCTGCTTTTTCGCCAATCTGGTCAATGGTCTGGAGCAACACTGGTCGCTCGTAACCCCAGTTCCACTGGTCATACACCTGGATTTTTTATGAAGTGATCAATTGTTTCTGCACAAGCCCAGCCACAAGCTCAAACTCAGTTGCAATTCAGAAGTAACTACTTGAATTGTCTTACATGTGCTACGAGGCTCTCGCTTTAGGTTTAGTTTCAGCCGTCAACGTCAGCACGCGAAGAAAAAAAAGTTTGTTCTGTACCATGAAAAACCGGTGGACGATCCCTGCGGCGTTGTAATTGGGGTAGAGCTGGCATATTCTGGCGACCAGAATCGCCCACACGATACCGCCGAAATAGCCCAGCATGTTGTTGGACACCCCTCGTCGCTTGCTCCAGTGCTTGATGAAGCGCAGGGCAATGCGGAAGACCTCCACATTCGGCACCAGCCGCAAGATCATTTCGTTCACACGGTTTCCGTTGATCCCGCGGGCACTCTTCTCGTCGAGCCCGACCAGGAGGGTGTCATCCTGTGGGGAGGGATTGGTTTTGTCTCAGTCACAGGCACCAGAAGTACACATAGCGGATCAAAGACACAAGTGAAATGAAGAGAATGCGGCGCTCTGACTTCAGAGCATGATGAAAAAGCAAACAGACAGAACAAAAAGTACCAGTAGTGAATCCACGTCCCGCAGGTGCGGCAAGTTCAGCCTCGCGAACCCCAGATCGACCGCTTGGCCTTCGATCATCATTTCGATGAGAGGCGTGTGCGCGGTCTCGACCGGGTTGATTTCGGACATTTTGAATTTGTCCTTCACCTCTTCCAGTTTCGCGACCAAATTGTTGAAAAAATGCTCCCGGGTGATGTGTTTGGGCACTATCAAATGTAAAAGTGTCTGGGTCTGGAAGACTTTGAACTCTAGAAAAATCTGTATTGCATGACCAGCAAGAGGAGTCTAGTTTGTGCTACGCGGGGAGGGCGTTTGTCATGCGGAGTAGGCATCAGGAAGCCCGCTGAAAATCTGTGATGCGCGGTCGTGCATTATAGACATCCTGGGTCATGCAAAACATGCATGACAAATCTCAGAATCTTCCAGACCCAGACACTTTTACATTCGATAGGCACCACGCAAACGCAATCGATATCGCTGTTCGGTGCCATCACGCCGAGCTTCATACTTCCGAAGAGAAAAATATGGCGTTCTCAACTGTTACATTCTCAAGTGTTACATGGATTTGTCATGCAAGAATGGGAAAAGTGAAAGGGGGGAGGTTGCATCTGTAGCATTACAAATTCCGAACAGATTTGGGCGCTGTTTAGCCATTCGCAAATTTGTCATGCGAAGCAGCTTGATCGTGTGGATCTTGATGATCATTTTGCATGACAAATCATGTAACAGCTGAGAATGTAACGTTTGAGAACGCCATAAAAAATCTTCGCGCTCGCGAATCGTGCGTCGGACTCATCCAGCTGGGCGGCTTGCATGCCGATCTGCAAAATTGTTTGATTTTTCACATGAGTTTGCGCTAGGTATTCTGATACATAGATTGGAATCCAATTCCAAAGTCGCTATCAGCAGACAAAAGCCATTGAACTGTTTGACGAGTCAACCTCAACATTAGAAGCTTTTCTTACCTCCATGGCCCATTCTCTGACCACTCCTTCTAAGCTCTTCAATATTCTGGCTCGCTTTGCCTCCCCCTCTTTCGTTTCCGCCGGTGCGTCCCGGTCCAGCGCTTCCACCATGGGTTCCAGCTGGGATCGGGTTTCCACCGGCGTCGCGCCCGCGTCGATGGGATCGGAGACACCCAGCGCCACATGGGGCTGGGTGCCGTCGGTGTTGGTGCGCGTGTTCATCGGTGTCGTTCTAGCTACTCCCGTGGATGCCGAAAACGCTTCATTATTCGTGAATAAGCATGATCACGGTAAGGGTAACGCTAGCGAAGAGGAATGAGTTTCAAGTGAAATAAGGTTAAACTTCATGGACATGGTCATGGAGGACTTCTTGTTGCTTTACCTTGTTTTGAAACAGCGCTGTGCAAAAACGTTTAAGTGTATTCAGGATTTTACTTTTAGTTTTAGTTATAGCTCAGAGTTGAAAAACAAAAACTCGTCATCGACGTACATAATCGAGGATGCAGCCACCTCTTTGTCTGATCCTACAAACGCGATCGCCATCAAGATCAACTACAAGTTCGTCTTTACTTGGATCTCAAGGACAAAGACCAGCGCGAGCTTTGAGTGCTTGAGTATCACTGGGAACCTTTTGGTCGTCGTGGTAGGAAGATCGCGGTTTTGCAAAATGGTCGTGCTTGCACTCTGCATCTTTTACCTGAAACATCTACTGCCCAAAATCATGAAGATCTACTACGTGTATCGCAGTCGGTACAGTACTAGCAAGGAGCGATCATCAAATCAGGTCTCATCTCAGCAGCAATGGAGAACATGAAAAGCCGCATCCTTAGCCAGCATGGAGGCTGCGACGGAGCCGTGATTTAGGGGCGTCTCAGTCTTACGCTGGAGTCTACTACATGGATGGGTCTTCAATCAGAACTGATTGAGCAAAAAAATCTCGAGCGTAAATGTTACATCTGAATGTGATGAGTCATGCTATTCGTTTTTGTATTTGTTTTCCGCATTCCTTTGTTTCCTAGATATTGATATTCTGTAGTGCCTATGCATGGTCAAAAAAGTAGCTGCGCGCCCACAGCGGGTTTTTCGACGACGAAAAACTCCGCTGCGTCTTTTCGTTGTGGAAAACTCTCGTAGTAGTCCTCTTCCCAGGCCGCTAGAAAGCTGTCCGCCACACTCCGCCTTACCACTGCGAAAACCGACCCGCCGAAACCGGCGCCAAACGCGCTTGAAGCGACGGCGCCCAGGTCCAGCGCGGCCGCGGGGAGATACGCCGTTTCGGCAATAATGTTGTGGAGGCCGATGTCCGATCCGTCCTGCGATTCCTGGAAACACGTGCGCAGGGTGTTTTCGAACTTGTTCGCTTTCTCCTTTTCCTGCTGCGCTTCGGAACTACCGGCGAGAGGAGCGGGTGCAGAACTCTTGTAATCTCGCAAAGCGCGCGCCAGGTGGCGAATGAGCTCCATCTCGTTGGCAAATTGCACCGCCCGTTCGCAGATTGCGGCAGCCAAGGTCTGGTCGACTTCACGGTCGGTATGGCTCATCTCCACCAGCGCCGCCTGCAAAACATCTATGGTCGCGTCGTGCGCCACGCTACGACTCTGAGATCCGTCAGTGCTGTCCATCTCTTCAACATTAGGAATAATCGCACGAAGAGATTGCACCGCGGCTTGCAGAGTAGATGAAGTCGACGGTAGTATATCGATGAGATTTGCAGTTTCAGCTTCCCCCTGCTCTTTCTTCACGTATCGGTCTATCCCCTCGATGGCTTTCCGAGCCAAAAAAACCGCGTTGTTGTAATCCTGCATGACTCCGCCGGCTTTTTCCGCCAGCACGCCAGAGCTTGCAATGATGAAGACGTAGTCCTCCGTCGGCCAGGGCAACGTCTCGACCACTTTCGCCGGACAGAAGGACAGCCGGGTCAAAACGGAGCTGCTGTTTATTGTTGCGCCGTCCTCGCTAGCTTGATCTAATTGCTCTACTCTGCCGACCCCCAGAATGGCCGCATGGTCCTCCGAGCCGCCGAAGGTTCCAACCCCAGAGCTCCCAGCAAGCTGGGTGGAACCGTCGCTAGACGCAAACGGAGCGCCATTTTCGCAGCAACCAAGGTAGGCAGCCAGGTCGGCGGGGTTTTCGCGGAGTTTCTCGCGAGTGAGAGAGAAGTTTCGGAGTGGTTTTTCTGGTCCTTCTGTATCACAAAGCTCTCCAATTTTCGACAGATTTTCGGCGAAGAGAAAGGCGGCGACCACGAGAGCGGAACTGCTGCTCAGACCGGAGGCGCGCGGGAGGTCCGACGCGAAGTAGATTGTCCACGAGCTACGCAAGTGCAGACCGAAGTTAAGGAACAACCGGCTCCACGTAGCTGCGAAGTACTTTGCGTAGGACGGCTCCGGTGCGGCCCCCGTAGAACCCTCGTCTTTGGTGCTGCTCGTCCTCCCAGGCGGTAGATATATCCAGGACTCTTGTTTTCCCGATGACTTTTTGTCGGTCACACAGTGAACTACAGTGATGGTACAACCGGGCGAATCGTCTGTAGGAGCTTGCTCATCTCTGGTTGCGGCGAGCAGAAACCCTTTTGGAACCGCAAAAACGATGGACTCGCCTCCACAATAGTCAGTGTGCTTGCCCGCGAACTCCACCCGCCCAGGGACCCAGAACCAAGTCGCATTGGTGGTGCTAGTGCTAGAAGAGAGATGTTTCGTCACTTGCGCCACCAACGCTGACTTGTCGCCAAGGCCCAGCTGCTGCAGCTTTTCTTTTACATCAAATGACTGGAGCGGAGACATGATGTGCTTGGTTAATAATCGCCGCCTTTGCCTGGCGATCAAGGATACGGAAAAGACAACCACGAACGACAAAGAGCAGCTGTGACAGAAAAGCAAAAGACAAAGAGCATATCAACTAGAAGCAGCTTGAATTTGGATCGAGGAAAGGTGTCCATACAATATACAAGATCGAATTATTGGCGTTTCGATGTAACACCAGAGGGACGCATGATCTTCGCTGACGCGACTCAACTACTTGCCTTACAGCTTCATCAGGATCGACAACTTTAATTTTTTTTGCTGAACAAAAGAAGATGCTGCTCAGAATAGTGAAGCTCACGCCACTCCATCCCTTGCTCGACTAAGAACCACATTCACAATAAGAATAAACGTTCGTAAATATTGATGGCAGTCATTCTCGCGGTCCGAGCAAGGCGCATCTTGTGCTTGCTCCTTCTATTCGCCGGCAATTTCAACGATATTCTCCATGCTTCGCACAAAAGCTTTATCAGTTAGCTCAGGTGTGTGTTTGTGCGGACGGACAAGCGTTGTCGCGCCTGCAGGTCCGTGCAGCACTTTGTGAGACCCCTTGCAATTCAGTCGAATTTGCGGTCTCGTTGCACCACCGCCGTTGCTGTCCGACTGTGTAGACGAGTCAAGGCTGACCAGCCCAGCGCGGCACAGCAGCCGGAGGCCTTTCTTCGTTTGGCGCCATCTCATGCGCTTTTGCACAACCGCCCCCAGAACTGCTCGCGCCCGCGCCAGCCGGCCGACTTTGGTTTGGTCCGTCGGCCATGTGGCGCCAGCGTTCACTGCTGACTGGCGGACTGCATCTTCCGAGGCGACGCCCGCTTCGTCTTCCCACCGCTGCCGAAATTGTTCTGCGCGCGCCATTGCAGATTCCAAGAATTTGGATTTCCTGGACGAAGATTTCGCGTCACTCCCGCCACGGGTTTTGACTTTGACCCCTTTAGTTGTACAAGATAGGAGCAGCACTCTATCGCCTGCATCTGCCGCCCCGGAGTCTTCACTAATCCTAGGGCTCTTGTTCCTCGAAGAAGCTGCAGATGAACACTGGTCACGTTTACGTTCAGCACCACCAAGTAGCACTGCTGCTTCAGCGCGGACACCTTCGCCGAAGGCGGCGTCATAGCTTGGATCTGACATGACCTCTCCAAGCGCCTCTGCATCTGGACATCCAATTAGCGCGGCTTCGAGGACCTGTTCGGCACTGAGATCCGTTGGGTCATTACTGGCGCTTGAGGAGTCGCTGGGCGACGGGTCCCAGAACTGGTTTTCAAGGAACAGGTCGATCGGGTCTTCCGGTTGTGGCAAGGCGAAGGGCACGCGTCCCGTGATACAGCGACGATTAGGCTCCACCGCTCCCACGCACCCGCTCTCAAGCAGAAAGTGCTCGAGTGAGTCAATCATTTGCTGGTCTCCCGGTGCACTATCGCCCCGTGTTATCCAGTGTTGACACCCATGCGGGAAGCCTCCGCTCAGGATTTCCGGGCGCGAGCCGTGGAAAACTGCACCGAAGCACGCACGCATGCGACGCTCACCCAGCCGAGTCAGCCAATGCATGCGCCTCGCGTTCCACCATTTGTTGTGACCAACCATACCATAGAAATCCTTGTTCTCCCAGGTGTCGGCTTTCGAGAGGAAGCGACTCCGCAAGCCGTTGTTTTGAACAATGACGAGGCGCTTTTGAACTAGGAAGGTGGCCATGGTGTCCTCTTCGCCACACTTTTCGCGGCGAGAAAACTCGCGGAAATCAAGGATCTCAAAGGAAATGAAAGGCGCTGACTCCACCTGAATCTGTGAAGGTGACACAGGCTTTCGGGAAACCCAAAATCCGCGAGCCACAGTGTCGCTGTCTGCTCGGAGACATTTCGTTGTCGCTCCGGCAGATGGGCATGAATCTTGTTCCGCGGTGAAGCGGTCCTCTTTTCCTGTTCTAGAAGCGCGGCTGCTGCACGTCCCTCCCGGCGCTGGCTTTGTTTTATCCTTGTTTCTCTTGCCATGGGGCTGCTCTGTCGGTGTTTTCTTCTTGCTGGGCGAGGGGGTACTACACTTGTTCTGCTGCATGTTCGCAGCTGCATCATCTTCAGCACGGTGCGCTGTTTCCTCTGTGTCTGCCAGCACGTCGTGAAATGGAACGACTTGGGAGACCAGGAAGGCCTGCTGTGGTGTGTCGGTCGAAGCGAGATAGGCTACGATTGGGCGGCTTTTTTCCCAGAAAAGATAAAGCCACCGCTCCGGGGTCGTCGCGCTCTGAAACGGCGGGCACAATGACGGAAGGCAGATCGACTGGCGCGCCCGAACGATATCCGGAACAGCTTGCGCGAAGAACGAAGCTGCCAGTTTTTGCAGCTCCGGAATACGTTGCTTTTTTTCGTCTTCCCGTGTGGCAAAAAGCTCTCCGACATGATAGAGGGCAACACGTGTGGATGGATCTTCGCTGGTCCAATCTTCGAGCGGTGCGGTCGGCGACCAAGCGCTTTTGAGGGGCTGGATTCGCCGCTTCCTAATTTTCTTCATCGAGGTGTGGACGGAACGCTGGCAAGAAAGCTTGCCCAAGTATTCATCCCAGAAAGGATCTTCCTCCCCACAATGCTTGCACGGTTGCGGCGAGCATTTGTCCACCTCGTCACCCTCCAGAATGGCCTGCAACGCAGCATGACATTTCGACGTGAAACATTTTGCGATGGTTTCTGCGAAATCATCCTCGCTCACCTTTGTCGCCGTGGCCTTTTTATGACCTTGTGACGTTTTTTTCGGTCTCTGATCATCTGCGCTTTCTTTCTTTGCCTGCTTGACGGCATTCATCAGCTGCCTCCGCACTTTTCCCTGAAGCGCGTTGTCGCAAGCTCCCTCGGAAGGATCTCCGAGACCCGATCCACAACTGGTTCCACTCGTACTCGGTTTAGACGAAGTAGAAGAAGATGAAGAACTCTCGGGCATCCATTTCTTGGCTCCGAGCAAAATTTCAGCCGCCCGCACAATCTCCGTCATCGCTCTGATATCGTGCACCGCTCGCGCAGCCCGGAGTCGACTGAGCGTCTCCTCAGCGTGCTGTACAAAAAAAGCCTCTTCCTCAGCTGCTGCCGGTTCGCTCCCCCCGGGGCCATTGGAAGCATCTTTTGCTGCATCATCCGGCTCATCCGGATCCTGTGAAACTAAACGTAGATTCCCGGGCCAAATGTCCATGACTTTTTTGTTTTTCTGTCCAGGAAAGCGAATCACCACTTTGCCCGGAATTTCTGGGTGGTGGGCATCTTCGACAAAGGCACGCTTCCCGTTCAGCTCCGCCGCTTTGCTGTTCGTTTTTGGGCAAAGTGAGTGAATTTCTACCAGGTCGAATCTAAAAAAGGGACAGGCCAGCGAGCGCTCAGACACCGGTCGACCACTGCCGCCGGCACCACCAGTAGACGCACAAATGGCAACGCTGTTTCCCCCCGCCTCGCCAGTCTTCCTCTTCTCGTCTTCGTCAACATCTTGGGTCCAATAATGTTTCGGAAGCGAAGGAGAACCTAACGCGTCCTCCATCAAAAAGTCGCCTCCGAACATGACGCGTCGGTCAAATTGGAACCGGATGTCGATCACTGCGACGACAACCATGTGTGTTTGCCTGTCAAAGCCGAGGTCTTTGAAGGTAACGTGATCATTTGTTCTCCCCAGGGACAGTCGAGGTCTCGGTGGCACCGGCGCGTCTAAGTAGGGTTCGTATCCGAAGTCAGGCTCGTCAAGTCGGACTATGTCATACCGCGACGTCTTCACCATCTCAGCATGCTCCTTGTGCGGCAGCTTCGCTGTTCGGTACCACGCATCGAGATTGTGGGCGGTAAGAGCCTCAAATTTACTGAGCACTCCACCTTCGTACTTCCTCCCTGCGATCGGCACGAGCTCGAGCCCATGAGGGGTAAACAGAGCGAAGTAGTCCTTCATAATTGGTCTTTGAAACAACGCGGAGAGATTTTTGTTTGCGTTTGGTCCCTTATCGCGACAGGCTGTGTGCAGCAACTTTTCGTCATCGGAGGTCACTTCCTTTGGCCTCGTCTCCGGGCGGGCACTGCCCTTACTATCGTCATCTTCCGAATCTTCGGAATCTGTAAGCAGGCTGTCCCATTTTTTGTAGGAGAACGCCAACGAGGCCATTGTGTATGATATTCAGAATCAAGTACTACATTTTACAGTTTAGAAGTACGCGGAGATGTTTCGGCTGACTTGTCGCGGAGTCGGAGTCCTACCAGCTGCAGCTCTTCTTTTACATATAAACGCCTTAATCGGCGACACGCAGGGCTTCTTGTTCTAATTATGCACTGATGAACCGCGTACGTGCACGTACTGCTACAAAAGACGATAGCTATGCAAGAAGACATCTAACACAGCAAAATGAACAGGAAGCTGGTGTAGGACTTGGCCACGCATTATTTGGGGTAGCATGTTGCGGTCCGCGAGATCATTTCAAATAAAAGCAAAAACCTGAAGATCTTCGTACGATAGTTGTGAAGAAACACCGAGTGATATTCACTCTTGGTACTGGTGAAGTGCGGTGACCACGACGCTGACTTCTACAGAACATACAACGGCAACATGGCACCAAGTGACACATTAAACGTTAAGGCTAGGAATAAGGTTTCTGCTTGAGATATTAAGATGCGCTTTTATGGCTCCTTGTATGTTGTTCAATGAAGTTTGAGTTGTTTGCATCGGTCGTCGGCATTGGGATCGGTTTTGATATTTGCAATGCTGTAAAGTTACAAATACGACCAAAATGAGGTCGTCATCTGTGGAACTGGTGTCTCGAGCCTCGTATACGTTTTTCATCAGACTTCTTGCGCGTCGCGCCACCCCTGCTTGCGTTGCGTTTCCTGGTGCTGCTCCTCGGCGCGTCCCGGGACGCAGCTGCGCTCTCATGCTTTGAGACCAAGGTAGCCTGCTTGTCCGCTTCCGCTCTCATCTTTTCGCGCCACTCGGTGTCCATCCGCGTTTGTGGCAGGCTTTCCTCGTGTGTGTCGTCGTACTCGGTCTGTTTCAAATTTTCCGGAAGTCCAGCCCAGGCACATGGCATGATGATCACGTCTTGCTCGGGTAGTTCTGGCGAATTCGGATCGTTTTCAAGCCACTCCCAATATGCGTGGTCCTGCCATTGTATCTGCAACCACTCGCAGAAGTCACGAAACACTTCGGCAAGCAGGACGGGTCGGTTTATGTCGCTCAAAACTCGTCGTGTACCTACTGTGCTCACAACTCGAATAAACATCTGCACGCCACACCGATAGTAGTTGCGACGCAAGGCCGCCGCCCTGTGGTCGTCCCCGAGCGGAAACATCTGGGGCCAGGGACGCAGCACAACCTTGTTCGCAAAGGTGTGCTCCGCCATGGAGAAGAGACGACGCAACTTACTTTCCACGAAGCCCTCCCACTGGGCGAAGCGTTCCTCCGTTCTCGCAACGATCATGATGCGAACATAGTCATCCGCGAAGAGGGGACCCTTTTCGTTCTCAGAGGTTACACGTGGCAAAATTTCAGCACTTCCTCCTTGGTCTGCCGGTGCTGCATGTGGTAAAGCCGGTTTGGGTTTTGCAAAAAAGGGCGCTGGCGCATATACGTCGCTCCATTGTTTCGAGCCTTCAAACACCAGCTGCGTGCATTGCCGAGCCCTCCTGAACTCCGCTACCAGCGCGGCCCGCGTCGTTTGTGTCACATTAAAAGTAGTGTTCATCGCGGGAAAGGCTGGTGTTATCACTGGCATCAACTCTGCTGACCCTTCCGGATCCCACACGCGAAACGCGTCTTCATTAACCGCCCGCAGTGGCCGACGCAACCGCCAGCCAGTGCTACGTGGGGGAATAGCGGTTGCCTCGCGGATCGGTGACAGCAGTGCTGGCGCTTGCGGGCCCCAGTTTTGCCTTTTCCTGTCGCAAAACACGAAGAAGCGATGAACGATACCCGCCGCGTTGTGATTTGGGTAAAGCTGGCATACTTTTGCCACCAAGATCGCCCACGTGATGCCCCCGAAAAAACCGAGCTTGTTGCTGGAAAGGCCGCGGCATTTCGCCCAGTGTTTGACGAAGCGCAGCGCCGTACGGAAAACGAGTTTATTCTCACCTGGTACGCATGCTAAGATCGCAGCGTTGGTACGATATCCGTTCAGACTCCGCACACTCTCTTCCTCGAGGCCAATCAGCACAGAATCGTCAAGAAGATTTGTCTCTGCAGCTGTGAAATCGAGAGCGTCGACGTCTAGCCTAGCAAAGCTAAGATCGATCGCTTGGCCCTCGATGCGCATGGATATAATGGGCGTGTATGCGTGCTCCGCGGAGACAATGTCGGAAATCCTGTACTTTTCGCTATACTGCTTCAACCTTTTGACCAGGTCCCGGAAAAAATGCTCCCGCGTGATGTGCCTCGGCACCACACAGACGCAGTCAATGTCACTGGACTTTGTTACGACGCCCAACTGCATGCCGCCAAACACGAAGAGTCGAACCAGGTCGGATTTCGTAGTTCGCGCTGAACAAGAACTTCTTGTCATCTCTGGGTTCTTGTCACTTATCCTCGGGATATCCCTCGCCCACTTCTGCAGAACGCGGGTGAGCGACTGGCTGAGGATTCTGTACCGATTCGTTATTCGCGCTGGCGCCTCGCTGGGGGCGTCGCGGTCCAGGGCCTCAAGAAGACCAGGTAGATGGAGATTGTCTACAGGTGGAGAGTCGCCGACAGTGCACGGCTCAGGTTCTGAGCGATTTTTCCTTGCATATCTAGAATGATCATCGCGGCCCCCGTGAGTAGAACTGGTGTACCGCGTGGTCGGGTTGAAGCGGTGGACCGGCGTTGCGGTGGAAGTAGCGGCAGGCACGTCGTGCTTGCCCGCACGTCTACTCGGTGTCGGGCTCAGCTCAGCCTGCATTAGGTTTATTAGGATGTTGTGCTGGAAATCTACATGGGATCGCTGTATTATTTTACAAACCTATTATATTAAGGAGCCAAAGTACTTAGTTTGAGTTTCAACTCCACCCTCATATTAATTGAGACGCAACTTCCACTCCTTCGTTTCCCATGGGCAACACGAAGTGCGAGTTCTTACTGAATAAAACACGATAAAATACTCAAACGGCTCTCACTGTATTTGACTTGAATGACAATGACGACCACGACTGAAAAATGAAGACGACAGCTCGGCTGACTTTGTGTACGGCTGAGCCTGCAATATATAATGGATCCTGTGACCACCATGTATGACCTCCTCGTTTCTGGTTACTAGACATCGATCTGTAGTTCGCCAGCGGCTGAACAAGAACGAAATGCGATGGTGCGCTGCATGCATGAAAATGAAGAACAACAATAAATGAATTTGAAAGGTCCCATTTGAAAACATAATTGCATCGAGGGTTTACCTTTAGGCTTTTTAGCTGGCTTAAAAAAATCATCCAGAAGTGGTGAAAGTGTTTTCCCCTCGACAAACGGAAGTGCTTGTTGTGCCTCGCTTTTTATTCTTCACAACTTTATTCACATCAATTTACAGCTTGTAGTAGGCTTTGATTTGCGGCACTTCGAGCATTTTCGCAATGTACTCGATTATCCACGGGAATGCGTCCAGAGAGTCCGTCGGCACGTGGTCCGCGATGCCGCCCTGGTAGTAGCGTAATTGCGGAAGCCACTGCAAGTCCGCGATGGTGACGTCTTTGCCGCAGAGAAAGGGCCCTCCGTTTTCCTCCAAAAGCTTCTTGAGGTAGCCCATGAACCGTGGTAATTCTTCCGCAAGAAACGTGGTCCGAAGCTTCTGGACCGTCGCGTCTCGCTCCGGCCACTCCTCGGGGTGCCCGAAATTCACGTGCCGGTTACTCATGCCAATGTACAAAGCCGGTGTCCAGGACCGGAACATATCATCGGAGAGGCCGCGGACCTGATAAAAGTGTATAATAGTGATGTTGATGTAGTGACATAGACGATTTGCAATCCACATCCAATAATTCTACGTCGTGTATCCTTTGACGACTCGCCCTGGAGACTGCGCGGGTTTGGAGAAAACATCACACGCTGCAGCTCGAAAAACATAAACATTCGTTTATATTGTTCACATCGCACGTTGGAAGCTGCGCCTCAGAAAATAGTTGTACGTCATCCACTAAAGCGCACTTGACGGGGTCGTGTTCCGGGTAGAGAGTCTTGGTCGTGTCGAACTGCCGGGCGACGTAGGTCATGAGCCCGATGCTCTGGCAGAACCTCTTCGTCGAGCCGTCTTCGAAGGTAAGATCCAGAAGCGGCATCTGTCCATACGGCGTCGTGGGTTTCAAAGCCTGCCAGTCCGGAAATTTCACGCGGTTATCCTCAAACTCCTTCCCGGTCATGACGAAAGCGAGCCGCACCCGCTCCCCCGCGCCAGCGATCGGAAAATAGGTGAACTTGCATTTCGGGTACTCCGGTGGAATAGCAGCAGCCATCGTGGAAAAGTCTTGATGAATGAAGTAGGAAAGCGTGCGCTTCAAAACAGGTGAGAAAAACGACAACGTGCCTCTACTATGGAGATGCCGGCAATTTTTGTACGGGCTGTGACAATGATACCGAGATGATTTTTCCGAGTTATCTTTTGTTGAAGAAACCGAAGCAAGAAATCCCGGACCTGAAGATCTAAAAGCGCTTTTTCTTCCAAGTAAGCGTTGCATGTACTAGATCTGGAAAAGGCAAAATGGTCTGAACAACTATACAACAAGTCGGAACCCATACGCCAGAAAACTGCGGGAGCAGGGGGGTCTCTGTTATTCTCTTTTTGCATCTTCAGTGCGATAGCACCTGCCATCATTTTGTTTCTTTTGCGTTTCACACTTCTCGTTTGCATACATTTGCAGTAGGCCTTCATGTCTTTGTTTCTGAGACACATCATCTTTACACCACTCGTAACATCTACATCGCTCGGTGAAAGCAACCTTTATTTGCATCGTATGCGTCCTGCCACATTTTCTCATGCCGTTCCACCGGTCCCCGCGTCGACAAAGTGGACAAACTGATTGCTTGCGGAACTCGGTTGGCCGACTCGTCCTCCGGAAGCGCTACTCACTGAACTACCACCAACAGTGCCTCGCCGCCGAGATGTTGAAGCGGATCGGGGGTTTGTTGATAGGGCTGCACGACTGGACGAGGACGAAGGATTGTTCAGTGCCGGAGCTGGATCGGCGGTCGTACTGGACGAAGCAGCCGCCGCACTTGGAGTATTCGGAGGCGCCTGCGCCTGCCGCGTTCTTCCCCCTTCATCTGCCCCAGTCTGCTGTTCTCGGCTTCGGTACGCCAGCGGTGAACTCGAACTCTGTAAGAAAGCGGGCGGAAAGCAGAGAAAGCTCCCCGGCGAGCCAGCGGCGGTGTTGCACGACAACGTCCAGACGACCCTACCGTCCGGGAGACAGTGCATCACGAAGTTCTGCTGTCGCCGAGCCTCGTCCTCCTCTTCACCAACGAGCGCGCGACGGAGGCGCGGCCCGACAACGCGCACGCGGCGGGTGTTGTGTGGCGTCTGCAATCGGTGACCACTGGTCGGTATTTCCTCTAGTTCATGGCCGCCTTGTTGACCGAAGAACGGCAGTGCGCCGGTTGTCCGGAATACATTGTCAAGATTAGAAGTAGTTCCCGTATGCATGTAGTTGCCGGTCGTTTCGGCGCCGCCACCTGGTGCGCCGACGACTCTTGTGGAAGCTCCTAACACGCCATCCACGTCCAACGAAATGGAATTGCCTACTGCGGTATTGTTTGTTGGGGTGGGAAACGGCGTTGGGGGCAGGGCCTCGCAAGGATGGCGATACGTTCCTGATAAAGCCGCGACCTCATAGTCCTCCAAACCGACTCCTTCTTGGCGAGACCTGAACCTTCCCCCTGGTGGTACAAAGCCTGAGTCGACCTCTCTCGGTAAAATCGTACTCATCGTCCCGAGGTTCACCTCTGCTGGTGGTGCTGGGTCTACTTGCACAAGTTCTGGACCAGCTCCGGCGTCCGCGGAAGGAGCAGCGGTTGCACTTGTTCCTGCCATGCTTTGTCCTGAAGAGAATGCAGCTGGGAGAGTGGCCCTGGACGATATCTGTTGCGCAGCCCATCTGCCAGCCAGGCCCATCCACCCTAATGGAAAACTCGACGACCCGGCGCTTAGGTTGTAGTCTTGTTGCGCGAAGATTCTATTACTGCTCGACGGCGCGGCACCACGTCGCGCTGCGGACACTGCTTGCCCATTGTTCAGGGATAATCCCAATCCCCCCGCACGACCCCCGCCGTCACGAGAGTCTGGATTGCGGGTTGGCAACAGTGTCGGGCTGGTCGTCCGTTTCAGGGTGGGATAGGACACAGCGAAGTACGTGCCCCCACTTCCGGGGGCAGGATGGCGAGTTTCCGAAGTCCATCGCGTTCGCGCAGGGAGTGTGCTGCGGGAATTGAGGTTTTGGCCACGCGGCTGGACGGGCGGCGGTGGGCCAGCACCGCTGCGATGGCCAGTTGTTGGGGCGGGAGAAGACGATGGTGCGGAAGAACTACTGTGACCTCTATCAGCGCGCGAAGCCGCTGCAGTGGGGTAGCCTAGACCCTGCTGGAGATTCTTATGCGCCTGCTCCTGCCGGCGTCGTATGTCCTGCCGCATCCGCAACAAAAAAGGCGACTCCGCGGGGCTGGAGGGTGGCGGTTGGGGCATGTGCGAAGGGGACGCCCCCGTGGACCCGGCCTGCGCTTCATCGTATCGCGGCGAGGCAGAACTGGCGGAGGACGTGCTGGAGCGGGCGGAGTCCTCCTGCGAGCTGCGCGTACTGCTGGGCGTTTGCAGCTCAGGGGGAGGAAATCTCGCCGATTGGGCCTTGTGCCGTAAGCGGACACCCCGACAGGACGGCACACTCCAACCAAAAAGGATGGCGAGGAAGTGCAGGGTGATCATTCTGGTATCAAGACAAGGAAAAAGATTTCGATACAGAAAATTTCAAGGATGCGGCAAAGAGTCCAAATGCTGGAACTGCAAAATCACGAAAAAAAGCTTCTGCGCCAAGGCCTGGATCGATGACAGGAAATTAAAAGTACAAAAATGTTGCGATTGCTACTAAACAAAGATCATGCCCTCCATGTAGAAGCGTGATCGTGTGCTCGTGCCACAAAAGCAAAACATAGATACTGACGTATTATAGTAATTCGAAGATCGCTTTTCCTTTTTTTACAGAAGGTCAAGACTAACAAGGGTGATCCAAACTGCCAAAAAGTCCACACGATCCTCTAGATCTACGTCTTGAAAAACATGCGGAACGAAGGCATTGGAAAAAGACTCTAGAAAATTGCACTTCCCCTTCCTTTTGCCAGGCACTGACACTGCAATAGGGGACACTGCTCTTCTTGTCTGTTGGTGTTGCTGTAAACTAACATTCCATGTATTAGGTAAGCCTATAATGCCAACACCATGATGATGATGCTGGAAAAGAAAACGGAATCGATTCATGTGTCTCTTTCTATGTGGGAAAAGAAAATAGTTTTGGCTCGCCGCGTTTGCCATTTTTGACATCGACATCACAGCTTCAACATCACCGTGTGCTGACGTCCTTCGGTTCTCGGGCACTGCAGACGAAAAAGCGGTCTCCACTCTTGATATTCTGACAATTGTCGTCGTTCCAGGTGTTGTCCTTGCGCAGTACGGCGCAGTCCTCCTTGCCGCCCCAGTCGTTGGGCTCGCCGGGGGCCCAGTTGGCCTTGTGGTATTTTTTCAGCAACTGATTCTTATCCGCCGTGAACCACGCACCCTCGGTGTACTTGTCGTGCGCCCCGATGAACACGTCTTCGCGGCCGGCGAGCATTTTTACGAACCGTTGCTGTCTGCTGCTCTCCACGATTGCAAGGGTCGTGCCCGCCGGGCATTTCCCCTTCCCGTCTTGGTTCGTACCGTACTGGTACGCAACGGTGCCGGCGCACTTCCACTGTTTCTTCCCACATTCGGACTTCGGGTCAGAGGCGGCGTACTTGTAGACGGAAAGAGCCGACTCACCCCCGCACATCCACTCGTCCGCGGTTTTCACGGCCGACTTGTCGGCGGACAAGCAGGCGGACTCCATGCACCGGTCATCGGAGATCTTCGAGTAGCCGTCCGTTCGGTCGGTGCAAGCGCATTTCCTCCCGTCTAGGAGGGCGAAGAACGTGGTGGTTGCGCACTTTTCGCTGCAAGCCGCAAAAGTGTAGTCCTTGTCAGAGTGGATCTGCAGGCTCTTCGCGCTGTCCTTGCTGAAGCAACCGGCAAAGGAAACGTCGGCTGAAGTTGTGACTCGATATCGATTTCCAAGAAAATGAAGCGTGATTGGCAGGCAATCAAAAGGCAATACGAACAATAAGCTCGTGAAAAGCATGTGGTGATAGCGATACATGAAGATTGATTTATAGCAATTTACCTTGGTGCTTGTACACACTGTTTCGCCAGCCACTGCCACACATCAAGCTCTCGTCGTGCTTACACGGTTGGCACTCGTGTTTCGGCTTTTTCGCAAAGTCGACCGCGTTACCGCACCAACACTCCCCGCCCGCCTGCACTGCGAAGAACTCGTAGTTGTGACACCACACGTTGCAGGCTTCCGGGGTCGCTTTCGCCCACCGCTTTCTCCTCTTGCCGCCGACCCAGGGGCCGAGCCGCGCTGGGAGATCGCGGTCGCCGTTATCCTCGTAGCACCCCTGGTACTCGGGTATGAAGTTGGAGCAGAGCTTTTTTTTACTGTCAAAGCTGAACCCGTAGTCGCACCCGTTCGGCGCGCACTGCTGCGCGCCGTGCTCCGTGCACATGGCTCCCTTCGCGGGCTCGCCGTGCTTCGGGCAGAAACATTCGTTCTTCTCGCACTTGCCGTTTTCGAAGTGGTATCCGACCGAGCACCCCTCGGGGAGGCAGACGTCCGCCCCGTCCTTCGGACAGTTTTTCCCGGTCGGTCCCTTCCCGTGCGCGCAATTGCAGGTGTTCTCGACGCAGGCGTCGCGATCCAGGTGAAACCCGGCGTGGCACGAAGCGCACACGTCGTCCCCGTTGTGCGGGCAGTGCATGCCCTCCGCGCCGTTCCCGTTCTCGCACCCGCACACTTTCGGCTTGCAGGTGTGGGTCTTCTTGTCCAGCGCGAACCCGTATCCAGGGAAAAACACCCATCCCCAGCCATTTTTTGCATGACAAGTAGTGAATTTTATGCATGTTTTGCATGACAAATTGGATGCGGATGGGTGTTTTTTCCTGGATAATCCGCCGTCGCAAGAGCTGCACTTCGCGGTTCCGTGCTCCTCGCACTCCGCGCCCATCGCTCCAAGCCCGTTTTCGCAAGTGCACTTCTTCTGCTCGCAGGTCTTCTCGTCGGTCAGCGCGTAACCCTCTTCCTCGTTGCACGCAGCGCAGACATGCGCGTCGAAGTGGGGGCAGCCCACGCCAGTCGCCGGCTCCCCGCCGTTGCAGTAGCACTCGTTCTGCACACAGAAGCCCGGGGGGCCCATCCCGAACATGAACTCCGCGCCCGGGTTGCACTTCGCGCACATTTCCGTCCCGTTCGCGTGGCAGTCGGTGCCAGTGGCGCCCTTTCCAAATTGGCACGTGCACTGCTTCAAGTCGCACTTCTGCGTCTTGTTGTTCAGAATGTACCCCTCCTTCGTGTCGCAGCTCGCGCAAACCTCCGCACCGTCCAACGGGCAATTCACCCCCTTGGTGCCGACCCCGTGGTTGCAGATGCACTCCCGGACTTCGCACTTGTCACCGACCAGGTGGTAGCCGGCCGTGACGTTGCAGCTTTTACAAGTTTCCGTTTTCGCGGTAAAGGCCTCCTTCGGACACTCCGTCAACTTTTTCGGCACGCCGTTCGGACAGCTGCAAACGCGCTCGACGCATTTTCCGTCTTCCAGTTCGTAGCCCGGGTCGCAGGAGGCGCAGAGCGGCTCCTTGTGGACCGGGCACTTCGTGTTCTTCTCCCCGGCGCCGTGTTCGCAAGTGCACTGTTTTTCCACGCACTTGTCGTCGATTAGAACGTACCCGTCCTGGCAGCTCATGCACTTCGGGGCGAGGTGTTCGGTACAGTTCGCGCCACTCGCGCCGGCGCCGTTGTTGCACGTGCACTCGTTCAAGTCGCATTTGTGCGTCGTCGTGTTCAAATGATACCCTTTTGTTGTGCACTTCACGCACTTTTCGTCCCCCGCCTTCGGACAGGTCGTCCCAACCGCCGGTTCCCCGAGGTCGCAGACGCACTTCCGCTTCTTACAGTCCCCCTGCTCCAGGTCGAAACCCGGGTCGCAGGTTGCACAAAGCGGGGACTTATGCTTGCCGCAGGCTTTTCCCTCCGCGCCATGTCCATTCTCACACGTGCACTGGTTTTTCACGCACTCGTCGCCGATCAGCGTGTGGCCCGGCTTGCAACTGGTACATTTCGGCTTCCCGTGCTCCGGGCACAAAGCCCCTGTCGCCGCCTTCCCCTTGTCGCAGGTGCACTCGTTCACGACGCAGATGTCCTGCTTGTTCATGTGAAAACCCTCTTCCGTGCACCGCAAACATTTCTCCTGTCCCGCCTTTGGACACGTTTTGCCAAACGCATTATCGCCGAATTCGCACTTGCAGTGCCTCAGATTGCAGCTGTTCTGCGCGTCCATGTCGTAGCCTTCGTTGCAGCTGCTGCAGAACGCGGACTCGTGTTTCGGGCACCCGGTGTTCACCGCCGCCGTTCCGTTGCCGCAGGTGCACGTGTTCTCGACGCAGCTGTGCGTGTCGTTCAGCAGTGTGTGTCCGGCGTGGCACGCGATGCACTTCGGGGTGTTGTGCTTCTCGCAGGCGACACCCTCCGCGGGACTTCCCATGTCGCAGGTGCACTTGTTCACGTCGCAGGTGAAGGCTTCCTTGTTGTGGTGGAACCCTTCCTGCGTGCACTTCATGCATTTCAGTTCCCCCATGACCGGGCAATCCGTCCCGATTGCCTCCTCGCCTTGCGGACAGGTGCACCGCCGCTCAATGCACTGCCCGTCGTCGGTCAAATCGAAACCGGGTTTGCACTTCGTGCACATCGTGGAGTTCGTCGACGGACAGTCTGCGCCGATTGCTGCCGTGCCGTTCCCACAAACGCACTGTTTCAGCTGACACGTGTTCAAATCTTCTTCCTTCTTGTGGTTCGGGTTCTGCTTCGTGTGCAGAATCAACTCATACCCTTCGTTCTCCTCGCATGCCAAACAGTACTCCGAGCCGTGCGTTTTGCACTGTTGGCCACTCGCGGCCTCTCCGTTTTTGCAGGTGCACTGGTTGACCTCGCAGATGTCGGTTTCTTTGTTCATGTGGAAGCCCCGGTCCTCAAAACACGAGGAGCAAAACTCCCTTTCCCCCGCATCCGCGTCCTTCGGGCACTCCTTCCCGGTGGGCGCCTCGCCGTTGGCGCATTTGCACTCCCGGGGCACGCACTCGTCGCCGTTGAGTTTGAACCCATTTTCCTCGTCACAACTGGCACAAGATTCCCCACCGTGTGTTGGGCATTCCACGCCCCGTGCGCCTTTGCCGTTTTCGCACGTGCACACGCGCTCGATGCAGGTGCCGTTCGTGTCCTTCTCGGTTGACATGACGAAGCCCGCCTCGTGGGTACAGGAGGCGCAAATGTGGTCCTCTGCGTGGTTCGGACAGTCCGTTCCACTGGTGCCCACTCCGCCGGGACAGACACATTGGTTCACTGTTTTGCAGAATTTTCGAAGGAATTGGACCAACCATGACATGGTGCGACAAAGTAGCACACGTTATCAAAAAGATGGCAGCGAGAAACTGAAACGAGAACTTGAAATAACCATCTCTTTCTCTTCATTTTTACCGTCGCACTTGTTCGTCGTGGTATTCAAGTGAAAGCCCTCGTCCTCAAAGCAGGCCTTGCAGTGGTGCGCACCGTGCTTGGGGCAGTCCATTTGCTCGGTGGCGATTCCGGACTTGCACACACACTCCACCGGTTCGCAGGTTTCGCCGTTCAGCTCGAATCCGCGGTCGCAGTGCAAGCAGCTGAGCGCGCCGTCCTCCGGGCACTCCCCGCCCGTCGGCGCTTCCCCGTGGGGGCACTTACACCGGTTGTTCAACGGGTCGTCATCCGGGCACCGGTGCCACCAGTACACAGTTGAATACCCCGCGTTCCCCCCACACTCACTGCCATCGGAGCAGTCCAGATCACACTTTTCGCTCCAGCCAATGTCGGACCAGTCTAGCTCGTGCGCGCACTTGCAGGACTTGCCCCCGTCGCCAATCACCGCATACGTGGGCAGATTTCTCGCGGATTCGCACGCTTCGCCGCACTCCTTCGGGGACTGCACCGGTTTTGGCAATGAGTAAACCACATCGGTCTCGTTGGTGAGTTTGTAGCAGCCCTTTTTGTTCACCCCTAGCGGGTTCGGATCCTGCTGCAGCAAGGATTGGATCCAGCTCACTTTCTGCTTTCTCTGGTTGTTCAGAACTTTGCTCTGTTCTTGCGCCTGTTGAAACGAAGCTGCGGCCGTTTGCCCACCACAAGTCAGCTCCGTACTCGCGACCAAACGCTGCCGTCTTGGTCTGGTAGCGTTGTGCTGATTGTGATTCTTGTTGCTCTCTATCGTGTCAACGGAGGAGAAAGCTAGCTTCAGCCGGGCGGAGCGCAGACGCTGCTCAAAGTCATCAAAGTCGAGGGACGCCTGCAGGGAAATGTCGACGCCGCCCCCACCGAGCGAGCCCGGAATGCGAACGGCGCTGGTCGTGGTGCTGATGGCAAGAAGCAAAAGCCCAGTCAAGGCGGGTCGAGAAGTAGATAACCGAGACGAGTGGAAACGACCTCCTGCTTGCGCAGGCGACGTCGCCAACATCCGAGGCTCCAACATGTTCTGGCACCAGGTCAGGGAGTGTATTGTCATACAGGTTTTTTCCGCGGCCACAGAATGTACGTTGCCATTTTGCTCCGCCCGCTGGCAGAAGGGACCGAAGAGATGCCTCTTCGAGCTCCGCCAACGGATCTAAGAAAAAGAGTGCATGTGCTGGAGTCAAGCAATAGATCGTTAAAGTAAGACCACCGGAACAAGTGCTGGATGGACAAGATCGTGTTGAGACAAGTCCCTCGTCGCTCATCGCTCTTGGGATCTTTTCCAGCTCTTGCGTTCGGATCAATAAACTGAACACTACGTGCACGTCGCTCGTCGTTCTCATGGCGACCAAGACATCAAGTTCAAGATCAAACGTACTTTTTACGTAGTTAGCACTACCGCAAACTACAGGGATTCTTCATCGTTACAACGCTTTACACTGAAATAGCTCTTTGTGTGTGGGGATCCATAGCTTGTCATCAAAATCCTTCACGTGGAGGTCATCCTTTTCGATAGTCACCCCCTCTGCAGCCAATTTCGCCTTCTGTCCCGGAATATGCCGCTCCATGATCGCACCTTGCGAATCAAGCAAGCGGTGCAGCGGCCAACCGTTACTCAAAACCGATTTTAGCATCGCCGGGACCGCGCGTGCGTAGGAGGATTGCGCACCGACGTAGTGAAGAATGTGGCGAATGGTGGTAACGCGTCCGGAGGGCACTTTGTGCTGCAACAGATGCAAAATCCTCCCCTTCACTTCGTTCGGAAACGGTTCGTAGAGCGGCCCGCCAACAAGGTCTTCCACCCCAGAAGTCGCACCTTCACCGGTTCTTCGTCGCACAATGAGCGTCACGTCGTCACCTCTGTTCACCTGTCCACCACGTACACATGTTGCCAGGATCCCGCGATACCCAACGAGATGCGGCACTTCGGGTTTTTCTACGGTAGTTTTCCGCTCTTCTGGCAGCATATCCAAGACCGTTCCGCAGGGCTCGCATTCAAATGTGAGTCGGAAGACACAACTTTCGCCTACTTGCAAACACATTCCGGATTTCGCTAACGTATGCAGTGCGCTGGTCGTTTTCCTCGTCTTGCCTCTGCTGCTCGAAGAGGAGGGCTGTTTTGGCGGATGTTTCAAAACCTCTTCAGCTTTTCTCATCGCATCGTCGGAAATGTCGAGGCATATGTTTTCCCGAAAATCGCCCGGCTGAAAGGAAAAGCGGTCCAAGTCTTGCCGGCTGGCAAACAGAACTTGCCTCGATGACAGTGAATTGGAAATAAGTCCGCGGTGGAGATCGCCTTGCTGGTCGTGCTGGGTTGTCTTCATTGTCACACAGGACAGAACTTTCTGAAAGGCTTTTGCAATGAAACTTTTGCTCGTCCCGTGGGCATTCTCGGACGAGACCTGCTTTGTTTTCTCGTGTTGGTGCGCGCCGCGTGGTCCTGCTCCTGCATCCGTTCGTGCTATCTTTGCCAGTGGGCTACTACCCTGCCCCGACCGGTGCTTTTTGTTTTTCGCTTCGCTGCTTTCAAGGCCTTCACCAAGACCACCATCCGCGCAGTCATTTTCTTCCCAACTCAGATATCCGTCTTCTTCGTCGTAAGTCAAAAAAACGCTGTCGCTGCCTGCGGGGGCTTTCTTTCTTTGCGCCACATCACTGATAGTCCCCACTCTCCCTGTGAAGTACAGGCGATCGCAGTGCTTCATCGGCCTTCCCTTGATGCTGGGTTGCTTCATTGCCAAGCCACAGACTTTGGCAAGGCAGATGCGATCGACGCATTTGTGATTTGTACTATCGTTGCGCGATCTCTTCATCTTGCTCGTTTCCGCTTCTGCATTTGGAGGACTGACCACCGGCCGCTTGTCCGATTTCGCTTCTGGCATGGTGATTGCGTTTGCGACGTCCTACGCGTTTGCTTAAAAACAAGATACGTACTGTACAGGCAGGGCGAGCAAAAATTACCCCTTCTAGGCAGTGTCACATTCAACATCCAGGCTGAGAAAGCGAAAAACTATCCTGCAACAAGCATGAAAATTCAGTTGGAGTTGCGTCCTCGAGTCCCTCGTGGTTTTGGGTACAGCATGTTACATCCAGCTGGCACAGAGAATATTAACGTGCCATCGGCAACATGCTTTGAGCGGGAATTGCGACGAGACGGGTAGTACACACGACAGCAACGACATTAAGATCCAGGTATAGTTAACACTTTTTCCTCCAAATCATGTGGACAGGATCTTTTTCGTCGCTTGGGGGCCAGTGCTGGCTCCCGCCAAATATGTTGAGACTTTTTTGTTCGATCTGATTTCGAAAGTCGTGTAAACTTGATTCGTTAAACTGTACCCAAATAATAGGCGTAGAAGTTGTCGTGTCCGTGCGCGAGAAAGTATCCATCGTTATGTTTGTACCTGAACTGCGACTGCTTTTGAGCTCGAAGAGGGTACTAAGGAAATCAAAAGGGCCCAAATAGCGGCCGAAGCTGGCTCGGTAATGAGTGGTAAGACGTGGTACTATCATCAATCTGAGTTCGTATATCTGATATCAACACTTTACCCGGAGCGGCATTTACCCTTACCCTATTAAAAGTCACGCACCACCCGCCGCTCTGTTCCGGTTCCGGATCTCCTCGATGGTGAGATCGCAATCGTCCAGCTCGATGTTGTTTAGCTTGATGATTTTCTGCACCCGGCGCAGTTCCGTGATCGAGGGGATGGCGAGTTTGCCGATGTCCTCCGTCGGAATGTGTTCGTGCATCGACCGCATAATCTCCACGTTTGTCGGTTCCTTCTCGTACTGCTCATCCCCGATGCGTCGCCCGGCCGCGATTTTGATATCCGTCAAACGGTTGTTCAGGTCCAGAAACACCGCGGGTAATAAGTTGTCAAACTCGATGTCCCGCCGGGGCGCGCACATGAGCAAGGTCGTTTGAAACTTGAAGAACAAATACGGAACCGGTTGCATCCGGACCACTTTGCCGCCCGGCGACTCTTCCGGCAGGTCGCCCCAAAAGTTGTCCGGGCCATCTTCGAAAAACACCGGGGTCCACGGTCCGCCGTTCACGCGCTCTTGGCGGCAGTTGTTCCGGAACTCCTCCTTGAAAGCGGTGATCAGTTGCGTCCCGTGCAGGTAGCCTAAATTCAGCCAGTTCGCACAAGCGGAATTCTTGTCCTCCCACAAGTTGTTCTTGTTCGTTTTCCGTTCGTACGCGAGCAATTTCGCCGCCAAGACGGCTTCGTTGATGTCGTTCTGCGTTTGCTCCCGGCTCAAATGGCACTCCGGATCCCCGGGGCCGATGGATTTCCCGTAAATCTCGATCTTGTCCTTCTTCACCTCCTTGAACAAGCGGTACCCGAGCGGCCGCTTGTTCTCCCCCGCTTGCACATCGTGTCCGATGTACAGGCAGAAATTTTCAAAGTCGTAATCCGCCACATCTGTGTCAACTTCATTCGCGCACAAGGCTTTCAGATTTTTCCACAAATCCTCATTGTGCCGTCCCGCGAAGTACAGCCAGAGAGTTTTGGGAAACGTCGCGAAAAGATGTTTTTGCTTTTCCTGCTCGACGCTGGAGGGTTTCATCTGTTGTGCTGGATTGCTACCATCACTTTCTTGGCGCTCCACTGCTCGTGCTGTGGATTTTTGCTTGTTCTTTGCCGGTGGAACACCAGCTCCCAAGTGCGGATTGGTATTCTTGTTCTGTTGAAGATGAAGATCTACGCCATTTTTCAGTCGTTCCTTGTCACTGCTCCTTCCGGTGTCGTCTGTTTGTCCAGGTCCTCCCGGGGACTCCGCTTCCTCGTCCGCAATGTCTTTTCCGTGCTTCAGTTTGTGCCGGAAAGCCTCCAGCTGCTTCTTGTTGATACGCTTCGGCGCCATGGTGAGCGACAAATTGCTGGGGGGGAAATATACGTTTTTCTCTTCACAATCACAATGTTAAGAGGTTGATCATGATGTTCCCATGATTAATATCGAATCATCACTTCCTACTTGCCTCGCTATGCTGGCCAGCAAATAAATTAGGTAAAGCTATACGTGGTTGGAGTTGGTTTACTTTTACTTTTTCGGTCACAACAACCCACTACTTGTACTTACTTAAACTTATAATGTCCATCTGCAGCAGAAACTGCAAGATCTTGTTCTTCATCGGCAACAGCACATTCCAAACACGAATAGTCACGAGGTAGGGTCGTCATGCTGTTAGCAGCCCCACGTCTAACTGTGACATCAGATCGCTGTGGTCCTCGCTGCTCAACTTCTTCAAAATGCTGTTGCAATATGTTGAACCAGGATGCTTGTCCGCGTCTGCGATCCGTTGGTCGAGAAGAAAAAGCGCATGCAGTTGCAAGTTAGTAGATCTTGTTGGATAGCCGCCACAAGGAAGTAAAGTAGACCATCAAAACGTAGTTGGTGTGTTGAAGACGTTGAAAAGCACTGAAAAGCGGATCGCTTCTAATCTACACTTCTCCTCAACTAGAACTCATCATGACGCACTGGATGGATCCTGTTAATGCCGAGATTGATCTTCTTAATCCCGCGGTCTAAGACACATCACACCGATCTTCTGTGTCACTAGTCGTGTGGCGTGTGCCATGTTGATCTGTCGCGTCCATCATGGTGTAGCTCGACTGAATCACGGTAGACCTCTTTTGCTGCATCAAATTCATCCTGCTCGCGAACAACGACAAAATGCGTCTGAACACTTGCAACCCGAGCGCAACAACGGCGAATCGTCTGGCCGTGGTGAAGCTGGAGGTGGAGAATATTCTGAAAAGAAATCATAATCATGAAAAACAAAGAGCAAAAAGTCAAATCGTTCAAATAAAGTTGTCGTGTGTAAGTTTAAAAACTACAGAAGTGCAGGGGCATTTAGATGCCGTAGATATGAGAGCTTCGGTGGGGTAATTTCTGAACCGTCTAGTAATCGCCGGTTAGTCTGTGCATCCATTTTTCACATTGATATCCTAAATGCCATTTAGCTATGATGTCGGTTTAATTTTAGAAAAAGCAAGCGACTTTCTATTCATCTATACGGCTGATAGATTCCACTAGTATTGATCTTGATGTCACAGCACTCCAGGGAATTTCTATAGTTTTTCGCGTGACTCAAGGCTTTGAATACAGTCCGTAAAAGAGAAAGAACGTAAGGCTGATGATTCGGTGTGTTTACGTTTAGAGTTTGAGTTTTATTTCGGTTTTTCATCCTACACGATGTTGGGCTAGGGCAAATTAAAGATGATCATAAGATCGTAGACATTGACATGATCTGAAAGAGTAAGACAGGAGGTGTGCTCTAGTGCTTCAATCAGGACGGTTACTGTACTTACAGCAACCACAGGACAAGAGATTATCTCATAAGGGTGGTAGAGAGAAACGAATTTCAAAGCCATCGATACAGCACTTGTTCATTTAGTCTTGATGTAGCTACGCCGTGAAGGTAAAGGATCCGCGCCCTTCTTGAGCGTGTGCGTCCATGCCAAAGTGTTCGGCGAAGGCTTCATCTTCTTCACCTCCTTGATTCCGTGTTTCCTTCTTCACCTCCTTGAACAAGCGGTACCCGATATTCTGCGAAAATTTGTCACCGTCACCGTTTTGCCATGTTCATTTTTCAACCCAAAAAATTTGATTTTTTCCTGGTATCCCACGCATGCTCATGTCGATCAGTTGTTGCAAATGTGGCATGCGAGGCATTACACTTGGAGCATGGTCGTGGCCCGGGTAGTTGAACGCAATCCAGAAGCGCCCCGGAATGGCTTCGCCGCCGTACAGACCGAAGACGCGGCGCGGGAGGGTGCGTTGCGAGGAGGCTGTCTTCTGGCGCGTAGGGGCCCGACCCTTGCTGGGGCGGGCTTCTGCATGGTGCGGCTTGCGATGTTGGGTTGCTCCTGGGAATGTCGGGCTCTTGTTACTCCTTGGCCAAAGGCCTCCGGCAAACGACCTCCACAACCCAGGAAAAAACAGCAAAATTTCGAGCAAATTTAACGACCACCCGGTGACACATCCCGGAAATTTTGCATTTTGCACGGTATGGTGGACTTTGAGAGCCCAAAATGGGAACCGGTGACAAATCCCGAATTATTTACATTTTGCAGGGTATGGTGGACGATTGCGCACGAGCCAAAAATTCTTGCGCTGCAAGAAATTTTGGGCAACGCGCAATCGTCCACCATACCGCCCAAAATGTAAAAATATCAGGATTTGTCACCGGTCGCGAATTTGGCTTGGAAACGTCCACCATACCGTGCAAAATGCAAAATTTCTGGGATTTGTCACCGGGTCATCGTCAAATTTGCTCAAAATTTCGCAGTTTTTTCTTGGGTTTTCGAGACCCTTTGCCGGAGGCCTTTGGTCCAGGAGTGATAGTCTCAAGAGATTCCCAGAAGCAACTCAGCATGACGCGCCGCACTATTCCGATCCTTCGCGGCCGGAACTCTGGTCGCTGAAGTGTCAGGAGACAGCCTCCCAGCTAGGGACCTTCTGGGGCCGCGGTTTTGGCTTGTATAACGGCAGCGCCGTTCTTGGATATGTCTGGACGGCCTTCAGCATGCTGGGTCAACATGCTTGGAATGCAGTCGTTGGATTGCCGCACCCGCAGCATTTGACAGAAATGGACACATATAGGAAATCAGGTAAAAGTCAAATTTTTTTGCTCAAAAAATGAACACGCCAAAACGGTGACGGTGACCTCCTTGAACAAGCGGTACCCCAGCGGCCGCTTGTTCTCCCCCGCTTGCACATCGTGTCCAATGTACAGGCAGAAATTATGGGAGTGTCAGGATTGAAATCGACAAAGTTGAAATAACTTGCAATGCATAAAATCGATACCAGTTGGAAGCGCAATTTCCAAGCGGCGCATGACAAATTTAGGCACCATCTAAATCCGGTTTGTCATGCTGTTTACGGACAGAGGGCGTCTTTTGTCATGCTGCTTTAGCAGCTCTATCGCAGACCCCAACCACGCTGGCGGTCGGCTTCGCTTGCCATCCCTGCAAGAGAGGCACCTCAACATGCCTTGCAATTTATGTATGAGAAATTATTTCAACTTTGTCGATTTCGATCATGACGCTTCCATAGAAATTTTCAAAGTCGTAATCCGCCACATCCGTGTCAACTTCGTTCGCGCACAAGGCTTTCAGATTTTTCCACAAGTCCTCGTTGTGCCGCCCCGCGAAGTACAGCCAGAGGGTTTTGGGGAAAGTCGCGAAAAGATGCTTTTGCTTCTCCTCAACGCCGGACGGTTTCTGCTGTACTGCATTGCTGCCATCACTTTCTTGGCGCTCCACTGCTCGTGCTGTGGCTTTTTGCTTGTTCTTTGCCGGTGGAACACCTCCTGCCAGGAGATGCGGATTCGAATTTTTTTCAGCTGCGTCTTTTCCTCCTTCCCTGTCACTGTTCCTTCCGGAGGTGTCGTCTGCTTGTCCAGGTCCTCCCGGGGAATCCGCTTCCTCGTCCGCAATGTCTTTTCCGTGCTTCAATTTGTGCCGGAAAGCCTCCAGCTGCTTCTTGTTGATACGCTTCGGCGCCATGGTGGGCCACAGATTTCTGGGCGGAAATGTGAGTGAGGTATTCGATATCTATTCGTCTTTCTCCTCACAGGAGCGTGAAGAGGTTGATCATGATGTTTCAGCTTATCGAGTCATCACTTCCTTGCGTTGCTACGCTTTCTGGCCAGCAGAAAATACATTCATTACTATAGATACGTTGGTTTACAACTTTTATTTTCAGTCACAATAACCTCCCACTACTTGTTGTACTTACGTCTATCTGCAGTGGAGCTGGAAGCTGCAGAATCTTCATCGGCAACACATTCCAAACACGAATAGTCACGAGGTAGGATCGTCGTGCTGTTAGCAGCCCCACGAACTGTGACATCAGATCGCTGTGGTCCTCGTTGCTTAACTCTTTCAAAATGATGTCGCAATATGTTGAACCAGCATGCTCGTCCGCGTCTGCGATCCGTTTGTCGAGAAGAAAAAACTAAAACGTAGTTAGTAGATCTTGTTGGATAGCCGCCACAAGGAAGTATACCAAGAGCAAGACGTTGTAAAGACGCTGAAGTAATGAAGCAATAGAAAGCGGATCTTTGCACTTTTCATCATGAAAAATATAGAACTCGTTTTACACAGTAATTATAGGATCCCTTCGCGGCCGAGATCTTCTTGACCATGCGGACTAAGACTGCCACCGATCTTCTGTACAACAGCGGGTCTCGTGATCCTTCGCGTGCATCACACTGCATCAAATAATTCATCCCCGCGAACAACGAAAAAACGCGTCCGAACACTTGCAACCAGAGCGCAACAACGGCGAATCGTCTGGCCGGGGTGAAAATAACTGGACGTGGAGAATATAATTCTGAAAAGAAATCTATGAAAAACACAAAGAGCAAAAAGTCAAATCGTTCAAATAAAGTTGTCGTGTCAGCGGCATTTAGATGCCGTAGATATGAGAGTTTTGTTGGGGTAATTTCTGAACCGTCCAGTAATCGCCGGTTAATCTGTGCATCCATTTTTGGCATTGATATTCTAAATGCCTATGCCATTTGGCTATGTCAGTTTAATTTTAGAAAAAGCAAGCGACTTTCTATTCATCTATACGGCTGATAGATTCCACTAGTATTGATCTTGATGTCACAGCACTCCAGGGAATTTCTATAGTTTTTCGCGTGACTCAAGGCTTTGAATACAGTCCGTCAAAGAAAAAGAAGAAGAGAATAAGGCTGATGATTCGGTGTGTTTAGAGTTTGAGTTTTATTTCGGTTTTTCATTCTACACGATGGCGATGGGCTAGGGCAAATTAAAGATCAAGATGATCATAAGATCATAAACATTGACATGTTCTGATTCTGAAAGAGTAAGACAGGAGGTGTGCTCTAGTGCTTCAATCAGGACGGTTACTGTACTTACAGCAACCACAGGACAAGAGATTATCTGATAAGGGTGGTAGAGAGAAACGACTTTCAAAGCCATCGATACAGCACTTGTTCATTTCGTCTTGACTACGCCGTGAAGGTAAACGATCCGTGGCCTTCTTGAGCGTGTGCGTCCATGCCAAAGTGTTCGGCGAACGCTTCATGCATGGCGTCCAGGTCTAGCTCGGTCGAACTTCTTCCAACATCTTCTAGCGTAAAATTCACGTCGGAAATAGTGCCTGGCGCCGGTTCATCTGTGCCGGTCGTGTACGGAACATGAGCTCCTGTGGTGGAGATCCTCTGCGGTGCCGGGGGAAGCCGGTCGCGGCGCAGAGTGCTTCTCGAAGATGCAGCTGGAGCTGGAGCAGAAGTCGTCCCCCCAATTTCATCCGTCAGTATCACGGTTTCTCCATCTCCGTCCGATGGAGGATCGACGGTGGTATTAATGTCCGGAAGAGTTTGAAAGGCGCGGCGCTCGCCCGCGCTGGATAATGTGAAGCTTCCTTCGTAAGCGTAGGCCGGTGTAGTGGACGAAGATGATGACGCCGCCGCTGCGGCGGGTGCGGCGCTGGGTGTCGCGGCTCTCCTCTGGCTCGCCGTCCGCGTCGCAGAGCGTGAAGACCAGCGGCGGGCGCGCCGCTTGGAGGAGCTCGTGGTCGACGTGGTGCCGCCGCTTGCATCAGAACGGTTCGTCAGAGGTGTTTCCCTTTCGACGATTCTGGGAGGTGGAATTTCGTGAAAGATTTGCCTGACTTCCCTACCACCGCTAGTACGTGGGTATGGAGGGGTTTGTGAAGCTTGTGCACGACCCCACCTGTTGGGAACCACACTGGTGTTCGTACCAGCGTGTTGCCCCGGCGGCAGTTCGAATTCTCGCAGTGCGCTTTCGGGAACAATGGGATAGCCGGTATAAGCCGCGACTGGCGTCATCGCTTGTTGTGCCTCTTGCTCCCCGGTGATGTGTTGAACTCCGGTCGTCCCTTCTCCACCTTCGGCAACCGCTCGCGCCAGCAGCGCTCCGAAATAAGATGGGCCGCCGCGGCCGCTCGGGTGCGGCTGCCGCGTTGCCGGCGGACTTGGTCCTCTGGGTGGTGCAGCCGTGTCTCCCACAGAAAGCCCCCCGGATACGTCGCTCAGAGAGGGCGACGCTGCAGAGGAGCGCGAAGCGTCGGACCGCGTCGTCAACGCCGGTCCGACGGAGAACGTGGTCGTATCCACTGCCCCTTCCTCTCGAAGATGATCTTCCCCGGCCGCCGCGGCGGCGGAACAGGACATATCCGCGTCGACCTTGCTTCGCTGCCTCCTCGGCGAAGAGCAACGGGACCGCGCCGGCGAGGACGAGGGCACGGGCGAAGCCACGGACGACTCCGTCTCGGTGGGCGTTTCTGCCTGAGAGAGCGGCTGCCGCCGCAGCAGCAGCACTGGAAGATGATCCTTGCTGCATCAAGAAGGTCGGCGGGCCGAGGCCAAATTTCGAGGGCTTCTTCCTTTCCTCCACCTCCGCAAGCTGCACGGCGAACGGGTAGTGTTCTTGTTTCTGCGTTTTGAAGAACTCGTAGGAGATAGACGCGGTGGGGACTAAAGCTTGTCCAGCAGAAGCTTCAGCCGTAGATTTGTTTCCCATCAAAACGTCGGCGGCGAAATTCTCGCTGTGCACGAAGGAACTGTGCGGCACCCGGAGACGCGCGTGGTGCAGCTCTTGCGTTACCGACACACCGGTCTCGCGCAAGTCGTAAAAATACGGGTCGTAGTCGTTGTCGTAAAACATGACGTGGTACAGTTCTTTCCCCTTTTTGTGCTTCCTGGTTGCATTCACCTCCTCCGCGATCCTCAAGACCCGGCAGGGCCGGAGGGTGTCGGTATCGGTAGGGATTGAGCCAGCACGGACTTTTTTGTGAACGCAGTACGGTGCAGCTGCTGCAAAAGGACCAGATGAAGATGAGGAGCTTGTTGCGCCACTAGTACTTCCATGAGCTCGACACGACGCCGCCCGTCTGCGCGCGGCCTTGCTTGGCTTGCCCTGGGCGGCCTTCGCAACCATCTTCGCGGCCGTTTTCACGGCTTTAAACGCTTTCATTGGGGAACTGGTGACGGCTTTCTGAATTTTCGTCAGAGTAGACTTCTTTTTATCGTTTTCCAAATCCACGGCCTTGCACATGTACAGGGGCTCCACGTGAGCTTTCGGAAGCTTTCGCTTTTCCATCGCGTCACGCTGGAAAGCGACGAGCGTGTGCGTCAGCGGGAGTCGATCGTCGCGGAACACCATGCGCCGGGAGCACTTCACCCAGTCGTGGTGCTCGCGCAAAATGTGTTCTTCAGCCCGCCAGCACCAAGAATCCATCGAAAGCTGCGCTTCCAGGGACAGAACCTGCAGCTCAATTTCCCACGCCGCGCGCATAGCGTTCATGTGCATCGGCAGCACCCGCATGGTCAAATCCCACTCGGATTTTGGCGCGGCGGTCTCAGTGGCCGCTAGCTTTTTGCTCTTCTTTGCCGCGGTGCCTTTCTTGCCTTTACTGCTGGTTTTAAGAGCGCCAGATGTTGTAGGTGCGACGGGAGGCACGAAGGGAAGCGTTGCATTGATGGGCTTTTTTGTGATTGGGTGCAGCTTCAGGCCGGGGTTACTGGTGCTTTCCAGCGTTCCCTCCGTGTTCATGATGGACTCCACGCATTCCTCGCAAAAGAGGGTCGGGTTCTGCTGGACGTTCAAGCCTTGGAACGGAATCTTCATGCTGGTTTGCACAGAACAAGCTTGATGCGGCTTGTTTTGTGCCTCAGCCTCTTGCGCAGTTCTCACGAGCTGCGCCGGCGCGCGATCCACGTCCTGCGACGGGTGCTGGAGCCAGGTTCTCGGAACGCCGTGATTGAGGTAAATGTCTCGCTCGGTGGACGGGGAGTTTCCGGATAGCCGCGCCCTGCTGTTGTCTTGCGTCGTGAGCAAAATGTGCATGAAGCGCTTGTGCGACATGCAGACCCCGCACTGCGGCGTCTTGACGTGGCCGGACCTCGTGGTCAGCGCCACTAGCTCCTTGTGCTTGCGAATCATCTGCTGGCGCACCCACCACCGGAGCCAGGCCTGCGACATTTCGCTTTTAGTACCCTGCAGGGCCGGCTGGTCTTGAAATCTGATCCAGCGCATCGCCTCGTCTTTGGTTGGTAGTGCCCCCGAAGCTTCTTCTTCTTCCGTGACTGCGAAGGGAGCAAGACGGAGCCTGACCTGTCGCGGCATCATCATGCACGCGGTCGCAGGCTCGAAGTCACCGGGCAGCTTCGGGTAGTTTCCACCCTGGTCGAGGCGCCCCGTGGGATCGTAGAAAGGGATCGCCTGAACGAAAAAATTCCCCTCCGTCGCATCGAAAGCGGTTCTCCGCGTATAGACATCCCCTCCGGAAGATGCAGCCGCTGTTGCCCCTGATGTCGGAGCAACGGGCGACCCCGCTTTTGGCGGCATCGACGTGGTCCCGAAGCTGTGCTGTCTACTACTAGGTGCACTGCCCCTTGAGCCGATCCGCGCGGGCGGTAGTGATCGAGCACGCGGCCTACTAGTCGTTACAGCTCTTCTCGCGGAGCTTCCACCAGCGTCAAAGGCCGTGCCACCTGCCCCGAGTGCAAATGCTTCCTCACCGGGCTCCCACACCCCTGCGCCGGCTTCAAGTTCCAAGCTTGCTGTTTCCGCTTCGGTAAATGGCAAAGTCTGCTTCTTGCGGTCACCGTTTTCCGGTTTCCGGAGCGGGTAGTAGGTCGTCAGAATTTCGGCGGCATCGTGGCCGTCGAGCAGTGTATACGCATCCCTCAGTCCCGGGTCGCTGGCCCGTCTCCGCGGAGTCAGAAGCCCAGCGCGGGCGGCTTGACGGGGCGGTGTTCGCTTGGTTGGAACCTGAACGGGCACTCGACCCACACCGTAGATCTCTGTGCACACGACACTGACAGAGAACCTGATCACCACCTCCTGTGCGTAATTCCTGCGGGCATTTTCCAGAGCCTGGAGTTTGTCTTTGTTTTTCTGATCCCGAGCCATTAGCACTTTATTCTGCACCGCCGCGACGTAATGCTCGCCCCCGGGAATGCCGTCAAAGCTAGGGGTAAAGCTGCTGTGGTCCGACGTCTCGAAAACGGATTTGCGTCCCTTCTGCAGCACGGCTGATTTGTTCATGATTCTCGTCGTTGTCCCTCCTGTAGAGAAATATTCATCTGTCGGTGCGTGGGAGAAAACTTTGAAGGTGTTCGCGACAGATTCCGTGTCAAGATTCGCGGCGAAGGGCTTCGTACGATAGAGCAATTCCTGCCCCGGCCTGTTGTCCTTGTTCCGACCAGAATTTTTGTTCAAGTAGAGTTCCGCGTGATACCATAACGACAGAGAACTTCCGTTGGGAAACAAAAGGCAACGGCGGCCGGTAGTCATCCAAAATGCTGCGGCTCGGCGCCTCGACGTTGTAACAGAGAGGAGGATTGTGCAGGAACAGGCTTTTCCAAGTGAATTCCTGCCCGTCGCTGGACGAAGAACTGGACGCCTTCAAATCTCGCCAGTACTTGGCCTTCGGGAAGACTTTTCGTAAGTCGCAGAAATACTGCATGCCCGCTCGCTTTTCCAGCTCCGTCGTAAGCACGAAGGTGAGGTCATCCTGTGCTTCCTCTGCGGAGCTTTGCCGCATCTGATGATGATCGGTCGACGATGCCGCAGTGGAGAGTGTGGCGGCCGTGATCTCCGTCGAATTTTCTTCCGTGTCGGACCATAGGCTGCGCGCGGCTGGCGCCGGAATCCCCTCCAGAAACAACCATGAAAGCGAAACTGCAACTGCGATACGCATTTTGTTGATTGGATTGATCTGGGCAGCGGTAGAAGCGCCACAGTTCATGTCACTTGCGGAGGACTTCTAGAAGATCGAGCGATAAGATATTATGCGACTTCCTACTAAGACGGTCTTAGAAGGTAGGGTTTCAGTTCCGAATCGGATTCGGAGTCGCTTTCCAACACGACGTACAATTTCTGAAAAATCAATGTTGTAGCTGTAGGATCGGTCCAGTCAGTTTCACGGTAAGGCAAAGGCTCGGCTTCGGAGACAAGCTAGTCAATGTCAAATTTTTTCCTAAGTACGTTTCACTTTTCCTTGTTTACTGAGCAGAGCTAAAACCAATACGGAAAACAATATCGATATCTTTGCCGGGCGATGGTAGACTTTTTCAATAGATCGTGTCAATTTCCTAGTTTAGTTAAAGATTTTGTGTAGATGAAATTCTTCAACCTAGCGGCGTTGCTCGTTGTGGAATGCTTTGGGGAAGTTGTCTATAAACTTTCTGGAGATCTGGTGAGTGGTGAGTGGGAGGAAGAGGGATGAGTTTCGATCATGCTTGAGATTTCTTTCATCTTTGTAGCCTCGCCATAGCAAGGACATCGTAGTGAAGATGCTGTGACACTACTAAACCGAATCAAATTCGAAACCTTATTTTCATTTTGCCTTTCGATCAAATAGGGTGAGCGAATTTTTCTCCTTCAGGCATTTTCGGATCATCAAGGAGAAGGACACCGAGGCTTTGCAGATCTCATTTTCACATTAGTCGTTAATCGAGTGCGAATAATTCTCACAAAGAGGTAGAGCGCGCACTGACTATGACCGAGGACCGACTATGCGAGGTTTCGTCGAAGGAATGTGAGTGCGGGATGAACATCAATGATTTTCAGAATCGCAAATACAAGGAGCACGAAATCATACACTTCTTTTCGACATACGAAGGCAAGGCTTCTTTTTGTCTCATGTTGATGATGGCAATTTCTCAACATGCACTCAAGGACGTAACGGAGACTCGTGTTACTTGTCTGGATTTCAGAGAATGAGAAAACAGCGTAAGGGAATGAGTATGGGAATCTTAGGAATATGGGAACTAACTTTAATCGCAAATTTAGTGTTTCTATTTCTTTACGAGAAAGTACTGACAAGGGACATTACTAAAAAAAGAGCGATGTCCTCGCAACTACCGGTGCAAGCTCGAGGACTTGATCAAGAACCGAATGAGTAGTTTTCCTCCATCATGAAGCAGCCGCAGGTGCCGAGGGAGCAGCGCTACCACCAGCAGCACCAGTGGACGGACTAGTAGCACCTCCGGGCGCCGCTGCGTTCGCCGCTCCACCACTCGTAGCTGCATTACCGCCTTGCTGCTGGATCCGGCTGTTAATCCACTGGTCGTTTTGATATTTGCCTCGGATCCGCTGTTCGGTCACGGTGGCCGCTTCCAGCCACCAAGTGTACCGACTGTTTAGGAACGGGTTTGACTGGATCAGATCTGGGTACGTGCCTCTTCTCCTCTCCATCTTCTCACACCAGATATCCAACGCGTTGCGGAACGTGGGACTTATCCGCCGGCCGTGGTACAAATCGTGCAGCAAATGCCACACCGCGTCCGACCCGACCATCGTTGCCGGGACGACTTGCGCCTGCTCTAACTCCACCCAGGTGGAATGGGAGATTTTCGCGCCCTCGAGAATACGCTTCAAGCTGGTGAAATTGTAATTGACCGTCCTGGTATCGCCGACGACGGACTCGTACAGCGTGTACATCTGCTCGCGGACCTCCTCGACGAGCAAATCCGGAAGGGTTTCTTCCAACTCGTAGCGGTGGCGAAGTTTCTTGCCCGTGTCTTCATCTTGCAGACGGCGGAGGATCAGCACAAACTCGCCCCAGCTGTAGTGTTTTTGGGACAATCGAAAGATGAAGATCACGACATCGTCTTGCTTCAACTTGATGCTCATTGACAAAAGTAGAAAATCAGACGCATACTTAGACGACATTATTCGGTACGTATGTTCCGTTGGCATTCACAGAGCAAGTCAAAGCTTCCTATAAAACCAGAACAGGTCGAAAAACAAGCAACAACGCAATACTCAGTGCAGCCGTCTTGATCCAGGTCGCATTCCTTAACCAACTCAACCAACGAACGCTGTTCGTCTTGCGTTAAGTCCATCCCGAGCTTTTCCAACAGCTCAAACACCTTCTGCGACCGCATTCCCTGGGCGTTTTTCCCGGCAAATTTGTTGAAGCCCGGGCGGATCAAGTCGACTTCTTCCTTTTTCCAGCCGCCGTTGTCTAACCCCCGCATCCACAACAACCGCGTGATTTCCAGAATCACCACCGCTACTTCAAAGTGCACCTCGGTTTCCGCATCCCGGAGGTTCTTCGTTTTGCACAAAGCCCCGGTGAGAGCCGGGATGAGTATCAAATGCAAAAATGTCTGGGTCTGGAAGATTGCGAGATTTGTCATGCTGATCTGGCATGGCCCTTAAATCTCTATTGCGTGGCCACAAACAGCCTTTCTCCGCGCCTGTCATGCAAAAACGCAGTTTCTCATGCGGAATACGCAGCACAGTCACAGAGGCACGAAGCAACTTATCATGCTTGGCGGCGCATTACAGCGCATTTGTTTTTGACTGACTTGCATCACAAGTTTCCAGACCCAGACATTTTTGCATTTCATAATGAAGTGGATCAAGCCACTGATGTGCTCGCGGACGGTTGGATACCGGATTCGCAAGCACTATGGAAGCGTCAGGTTTGAAATCGTCAAAGTTGAAATAATCTGTAATGCATAAAATGCATGACCCGAGGCACGTGTGTTGCAGAGCAGGCCAGTGAGGCCGATTGTAAGCCTGTTTGGGGTTACAGCTCGAGCTGCTGAAGTAGCATGAGAAAATCACTCTTTTTTGCCTAAACAGCATGACAAACTGGATTTAGGGACCACCGAAATTTGTCATGCGCCACTTAGAAACTGGGTTCCAACTGGCATCCATTTTATGCATGACAAATTATTTCAACTTTGTCGATTTCAACTCTGACACATCCATAAGTACTGCACGATCAGTTTCTGCAGGTGTTCTATTGGCACCCAGCCGAAGCCGGTCCAGTTCGGGGCGGATAGGAGATTTTCCAGCTCGTCCTTCTGACTGTCGACAGCCGACGCGCTGTTCATCCGCTGCATAGACATACTCCCTTGCTTACCCTTCCCCTTCATCCCTTTCGGTTGGGGTGTGGGTTGCGGGGTTGGCGGCGGAGGCTGAGCGGGCGCTGTTCCGTTCGCGTTTGTAGTAACTATGGTGGAAACCACACCGGTTCTGAGCAAAAAGTACATCATGAACTGATCGGAGAGCCAGTTCAGATCTTCTCTTGGGTACAGCAAAAGCATCTTTTTCCATGTCCACCCGTACTCGGACACGGACCGGAGTTGCTGACTCGCCAGCATTGTGATCTTCCACCGGGAAAGCGCGCTGCCGAGATTGCCCTTCACCTGCAGTGGCTTTCGCAAACGGAAATTCGCGATCAAAGCGAGTTTCGTGACGGTATTGGTCCCCGGGTGGTTTTCCTCGGCGCCCGTTGTCTTTTTCGGCTTTCTCGTGCCGTTTTTCTGCACATCCATGGGGGGCGGTTTCGCCGTACTCGGTCCGCCGACGGAGTTAACCCTCTCGTTGGCCTCGTTCACACTGGCCGGGTTCGGGGGTGGCGGACTGGGCGGGGGTGGCGGTGCGCGACCGCCCAGTAAACCGAACAAACCGCCGCCCGCTGTTGCTGCCGGAGGCGTTTGCACCGGCTGGTCCTCTTTTTCCTCCAATTCACTGCTGTCGCTGCTTTCGACTTCGTTCTTCAAAACGAAAGACGGGTGCAAGTGCTTGTTCGCGTGCGCGACGGTTTTATGGGGAGACACGACCGCCTCGATGCCCTGCCATCGGCTGCCTAAAGTCAAACCTTCCTTCTCTCTTTTCCCGACCATGAGCTCCTTCGCTGCCTTCCGGTACGCCACGAGCAGACTCCGCCCCCACTCAGAGGACTCAACGGTCAGATTGTTGTCTTGGTCTATGTCGATCGGCTTCTCCACGACTTGCCCGGGTTCCACCGACGGGCCTGTCCTTGGCGGACCGTCCTCGTCCACCTTGGCGGGTGTTGCTGTGCCGGAAGTTTGCGCGGTGGTGTCGCCGCCGCCTTGTTGGTCCCCGTTTCCGCCGGGGGATTTCGTGCCGTTCTTTTTCTTCTTCGCCAGCCGCTCGGTCTTCTGGCGCTCCATGTCCGCCACGAGGCGCTGCGTGGCAAAGTCCGCGATGTCCTGTCGGCTGGCCAGGGGCATTTTCTCCACGAGCTGGATCAAATCTCCCATGCGCGTCCGCACGTACTGACCCAACATGTGGGCCTCCTTTTGCTCGGAGGCGGGAGCCATGTTGACGTCAGAAGCTAGTAGGGTCGAAACAAATTTAGATCGAGTGAATGATCAGATAATTGAATGGGAACAAAAAGACTAGGAAGTTAGTAGCGTCAAGACGAAGTCGTAGATTTCTGAATGTTGCTCATGGGTATTGTGAAGCCAGGGGTACTGACAAACACAAGTAGGGTAGCCTGATCCTGTGTTAATTTGAAACGGAAAGCGCTGCGGTCGACTGCAGAAAGCAAAACGTTTCGACTTCACGGGCAGGAACGAAAACGCAGGACGAATACGAATTAGCACCAAAGTTCAGGCTCCGCTTTATCGGTTTAATTGCCAAATATAGCCGCCGGGGCGGGGGTAGTGAGGTCGTGGGCGTTTTTTTGCCGGCCGCAGCCTTGGCCGCGGCTTTGCTTTTTACGGGCTCGCCATACCACCGTGAGTAACGTTATGCCGCACGGTATGGCGGCCACTTGGGAAACGTCGCAAATTTTGCCACATTTCCAAAATTCCTTTCCGAAAGCCAGCCCCGATGCTATGGGGCCGATCCGGGTGCCACGGGGGGCGCCCCAAAAGCGAACAAAAACCGGGCCCATAGCATGCGGATTGGCTTTGCGCGTCTGGTGCGCTTTTTATTTTTCGCGTTTTTATCTTTCACGCCGGCGCTTTTTGCAAAGCTTCCCAGGCTCTAAAACCGGCGAAAAGGCGGCCGCTTTCGCGGCCGCCCAAAATGCTCCGAAATCGCGGCCGTGCCATGCTGTTTCGCTGTTCTGATTTTGGGCGCGTTTCTTGCGCGCCCCTTTTGGGGCGCCCCAAATCGCCAGAAACTAAGGCGGCGGGCGCCTCAGAAGGGCGCCCCTTTTGCCGGCTCCCCTGCGTCGTTTTATCAAGCGGGAATCGATAGTTTTCGACCGGGCTTTTTTGTTGGCAAAGCTCCGGCCGCTTGATAATTGAAAATCTTTTTCGTCAAAAAACACTCCCGCCCGCTTGAAAACTGCCGGTCGTTTTGCTGGCTGGGTGTCAAAAAAACTCCCCGGTTAGAACCGTTCGGTGACCTCACTACATATAATTTCAATTTGTCGAATGGACGACTACCGACTTCACTGTGCCTGCAAAAATGCAGCACGACGGAGCAACCGTAATCAGGACGGAACGATGATTTTTTTAAAATTATGGGACCGACGAATACGAATCCGTCATTGGCATCAAGGTCAACCGAGTGGGACTGAATACTGGCGAAACACGAAAATTGCATGAAAGGGTAACCAGAAACAAGGATGGCATAAGCCGCATGCGCACATCCTTGTTGGCGGTATTCAACTCAAAGCCACGATAAAAGTTGATCGGCGTCATCAAAAGTCAATCGCGTTTGTGAGTAACCATGAAAGGGGATACCTAGTGCAAGAGAACAAGAAATTATAGAATAAAAATCACGGGTAGGTACAAATGAAATTGTGAATGCGTGCTGATGAAGAGAATGAAAACAGCTTTGCGCGGACTCGGCTGAAGACGGAGGTACAACAGCGACTGAAGGGGTTCTTCGTGAGTTTCCTACTTTTTCTTCATCTTGCCCATCATCTTTGCCGCCATGCTGGCCTTCTTCATCAACGCCGTGCCCTTTTTGGTATAGTTCGCCTTTTCGCTCTCCCGGGCCTCCCTTTCCATGGTGCGCTGGATTTCCTTGCCCTTCATCCTTGCGGCGAGCCAGTTTCTCTTGCGGATACTCTTCATCATCGCACCGATGATCTTACGCGCGTCGTGGACCCAGGCGGAGCTCGCCAGGTACTTTCGGAACTTAGTTTCGTCCATCATGATGTGCCTGTCGGACCTGAGGTTGTGTTATTTCACGACGTTTTCGTATAATAATATAATTAGTCCGTTTGGCGTAGTATATTCTTTTACACGACCAGCTTCAAAAAACAAAGAGACACCACAACAGATCAACTACGCGAAAGAGAAAGTATACCACATATCCACGTGCTCTTTCATAGTTGTCGGTCTGATTTCCTGCGGAATCGGCACATCCTCCAAGCCCTTCTCAATCACCGGTGGCGGTTTCGAAGCCAAGTACTTCGCCCATTCTAACAGTAAATCGTCGTGCTCGTCGTACACCCTTGCCATCAACCGGCACGCTTGTTCCCGATCAAAGTCCGACGGGAGTTGCAGTTCCAACCGACTTAATTCCAGCCGCTGGACCACCTTCCGCAGGTTTTCGAAATCGAAGGAGGAGCAGATCGTGCGTAAATCGAACAAGTTGTACATCTGGACGATATCGTGGTCGGTCGCTTTTGGTTCCGCGTCCATCTCCAATAAGTATTGCCACTCCTCGACGAAGACCGGAGGTAAGTGTTTCACGTGCGTGTTGCACTGGACCATCTGCGTGGTTAACCGCTTGTCTTGGAACCTTCTCAAAATGTAGAGCAATTCCTTGAAGTCAATAAACCCATTCGCGTCCTGATCGCACTGCCGGTAGAGCATCGCGAGGAGCGCCCGCTCTTCGGGTAGAAGGACAAAACCTGCTTTTTCCAAGACATCGAAAATCCTCTCCGCCCTCAACCCGCCGGACTCCATCTCGTCCATGTCGAAACTGTTGAAGATTTCGGATAATTCGCCTGTTTCCGCCGCGTCGAAGCCGCAGTTTTCCGCGTACTGCAGCCAGTAGAGCCGGGAGACCTCGAGGACGACGCAAGCGACTTCGTACGGAACCCTGCGGATGCAGGACCGGACTGCGGAGGGGGTTTCGCTGAACACGATTCGCAGCACGTCCTGGAACATGTCCGTTTTGAAGCACTGCAACGGGGAAAGGAGGTCCGCTTTCGGGTAGAGCATACGGAGGTAAAGTGGTATCCAGCTGCTCAGCGTCGACAAGTCCATCCACGCGTAACTTAATTTTTCCGCGTCTTCCGTCGCGCCGTGGCGTTGAAGTTGGTCCAGTTGCGAGATGTAGTTGCAAATGAAAAAATCCGCAACGAGGTTGAGCTGAAAGGAGTTGAAAAGGGATTGCAGTCGTGACCACAAATCCTGGTACTTCAGGAAGCTCGATTGTTGCCCCGCGGCCAAGCTGACCCGCTGCCATCGCGTGATTTTCTCCTGAGTAAGGACCCCGAGCGGATCCTCGAAAATTCCACACACGTAGTCCGCGCGGTCCAGTGGCGGCTCCATCAGGGTCGGATCGGGCAGTTCTTTCATCTTCGGTTGCTCCTCACCCCCGTCCTGCGGGTTCTCCGCCTGTTTATTGTCCTTGTCCTTCTTGGATTTTTTCTTCTTGTTTGGATCTTTCTCCTTGCCCGGTCCTTTTTCCCCGGTAGTTGCTCCTGTATTCGCTGCGTCTATGTTGCCTTCCGCATCCGCCGGCTGGTCCGTCAAATGCCCGAACTCTGCTTGTGATGCGCGAAGCTCCCGCTCGATCTGGTCTTCCAGCGTCTCGGCGCGCTGGTGGTTTTCAACATCCGCGAACGATATCCGCTTGGACTTTTTCGGCGTTCCACTGCTCGCGCCGGACTCGGACTCGCTGCCTGAGGACGACTCCTCTACCTCTTCCGGCTTTTTCATCGCTCGGCTCAGGGTCGCCCACTCGGAAAGATTCGAGCCCGTAACTTTGCTCTTGCCGAACAACTCCACAGAGGAAGTGACCGGCGCGACCCCTGCGTTCAAAGCCCGCTCTTGGAGTTCGGACAAAGACACGCCTTCCGGCAAGCCCAGCGAGTCTTTGTTCCCCCCGATGGAATAGTAGCTGTCCATCAAACTGCTCGCCGCCAGTGCCCGATTGTGTTCGGAGTCGAACGCGTTTCCGCCGGCCTTGCTGAGAAATTCGAAATTCACAATCAAGTTCAGTTCTTTCACTGTCACCGCGGAAAGATGGGTTCTGTCCTCCATATCGGCGGCTTCATCGTCGTCTTGCCGCTCCGTCCGTCTCGTCATGAAACCGCCGGCCGCTTGGCGCAGAGCGACAACCGCCGCGACGCCCTTCCACTGCCCGCGATGGCTCCAGCCGGCGACCCGGCGCAAAGCCTCGTCCCGCCCGTTGTGCACGTCTTTGTAGCCTAAGAGCAAGTCCCGTCGCCACTGCATGTCGAAATACTCAATGGCGCGAACCAGCTGTTTCTCCTGCTCCAGGTCCTCCGCCGCGCCGAGCGCGCGGAGTTTTTCTTCCCGCTCCCGTTCCAATCTGCGGATGTAGGACCGTGCTTCCGGGACCAAGATGCGAAATCTCTTGCCGTCCTCGTCGATCGAAAATAACTCAAACTGCTCCTCGGACCGGATGCCATTCTTGATCGCCTCTTTGCGGTCGCGTAAAAACCCGAGAACCTCGAGGTCCTCACGGACGAACCCACGACCGCGGCGGCGCGACATGCTGGGCGGTGGAAATTATACAGGCTTTTGGGAGGTTTCTTGTACCTGTTACGGGACGCAAAATGGAGTGAATGCGATGTATGTATTTGTTTTTCGGTGAAATAGAAACGCAAATGTGAAATAACTGAGTACAACTATAGATTACTTTTACTGCCCAAAAAACTCTCGTCGCTGGGGTACAGCCTTGGCGAGGTGTTTGAGGCTTGATAGCGATAGCCCGAAAAAGATTCGGCTCAACAATGGGTTGCGGTGTTGTTAAATCGGAGTACGGGTTTGCAACAAAGCTGCTGCGGGAGAAGAATTTAAAGTTTCAGAAGTTGAAGTTCACGGCTGTTACAACTACCATCTAAGCTTTATAGTTGACGTGCACAATGACACATCATCATCAATTGCGTATCGGACGAAGGATAGAACGAACAAAACGAGAACGAGAGGAAGCAACAGAACGACAAAGATACCGATTGTAGCATGTGCTGGACGATTCATACGATATTCGCTTGCGCAGCATAGATATGCACGTACAGTAGCGAATGCGAAATTAATATAAATATCACTATCAGCTGGGAGAGGGAGTGCAATACCAGCTGCCATTGATTGAACGAGGCATATATCTATGCGACCGACGTTTATATTCTGTTTTGCACATAACGGAACACAGGCGGGAAAGGAACGGCTACCTTGCTCGACGAGCAAGCTCAACAAGTAGGAGCATTTATCATTTACAGTTTTGCAGAGCCACCTCCACCTGATTGTGCAAATACAAAGAGTTGCAGTTGAGGTTTATTGCGTTTTGTCTGTTCAAAGGAGATGCGTTACCACATCGCTTTTCTCGGCCTGACTTTTTCCGTGAACCCATTTTCGTAGGCCTCCTTTCGGTAGTGGTAACCCGCTCTCGGCCCAGTCCCGGTTTCTGCGTCGATGAACAACGTTCGGTTCTGCAAGGCGAACTTCCCGGCGGATTCCTGCAAAATCTTCTTCGCCGTGTCGTGACTATCGAACTCGATGTAGCAGAAGCCCTTGCTCCGCCCCTGCTCGTGGCCGACGCGGACGGTTTTCACCTTGGGTTCCCCGCCGAAGCATTCGGCGATTTCCGCCTCCGTGGCGGTGTAGGGAAGGTTCTTCACGAAAAGCGTTTTGCTGGACTCTGGCAATGATTTCTTCTTTCCATCTGCTGCGTTACTAACTGTTGACTGCTTCACCTCGTTTGCGGTTTTCGCTTCCAAATACCGTTTGCTGTTCGGCGGCGTGAACCAATGTAACTTCTTGATCGCCATTTTTGCGTTCTTTTCCGTGTCGAATTCCACGTGGCAGTACCCGCGCAGCCGCCCGGTGTCTTGCCAGGTTGGTGCGCGAATCTCGCCGAAGCCCTTACATGCCTGCTTCGTCAAGAGATTTTTGATCTTGTCCAAATCCCACACATAGGGGAGGCCAGAGATGAAAACCGTCCTCGGCGCGGCTTGCTTCGACGCTTCCTGGGAAAGCCGCTCGGTGTAGGGGAGGTCCTTACTAGGGTCGAAGTCTTCGTTGAAAGAGGTTTTTTCTGTGTTGGTGGCGTCACTTTGTGCAGCTCCGGTGCTGTCTGGCATTTCTGCATCAGATGATGCCTCATCGTCCTCATCGTGTTCGTCGGCGGTTGTTTGTTCTGGCGCAGGAGCGACCTTGTTGAGAGCCTTGTCTTTCAGCTTTTTCGCTAGTTGCGCCGTCGCGTCCTTCTTAGAAACAGTGGATTTCTTCACTTTTTTCTTCTTCTTCACCTTTTCCACGGAGGGAGCGGGCTCCGTTTCAGAAACTTTCGTTTTCCTTGTCGCTGCATCCGATTCCTGATAGTCGGCTTGACGCGCAACGACAGCGTGGTCTGCTGCCTTGCTAGACGTCTTTTTCACTTTCTTTTTCATTTTTTTGGGTAGGTCACCAGTCATTTTCATTTATTTCAGCCTAGTTCGAATTGGTAAAATAAGCAAGGAGTACGAGTCGAAGTTGTCGTCCCAGAAAAGCAAACTTGTATTTTATTTCTTTTCAACTATCTTTCTCAGCGTTGCCTTTCTTTTAGCAGCCTGACTTTAGATATTGATGCGAACCGCAATCTGGTTTGATGAGGTATAACAAAAAACAAAAAGCTAAAGCCACCGAAGAACCACTGTGGGTTAAATTGTGTATGATTAAGATGATCATTAACATCATTTGATCGTGGCATATTATCTGGTGGCGATCTTCTCACAACACAATGATCCGTGGCAAAGAGCCTGATTTTGAACCTGTCCCTGTGTTTGAGATCTTGATCTTCCATGGACTTTCTTCTGTCAGGATCAATGCGCAACCTGCTTTAGGATGATCCTAGACCTAGAACAGAGGACTAGGCTACATGTCGATGTGCTCCATGTTCATCATCGCACATTGATTTGCAACTTTGAAAAAATGTCAAAAGTACTGCATTCCTTCGTATTTCTCGCGAAAGGAAATCGTAAATGCCTCACTTCCACGAAAGCGAAAAGGGATGCCTATCGTAAGTTTGAAACAAGTGGTTCTTGTCGCATTCGAATTTGATACCATTCTCCGCTTCAAAAAAATTCCGCATGACTTCGTGGATGAGATTCTCGTGGAATTTGAGTCCTGTCAACCCACCGCAGCGTACGGGCTTGCGCTGTTCTTTTTCTTGTTCCTGCAGTTGTCTCCATCGAAGCGAACACACTATGTTATTTGTGGCGCCAACGTCCCACTCTTCAACCTCTTGAACCAATGCACTTTGGTCCGCGTCGGCAAGGCGGCCCGTTCCATAATAACCCGAAAAGGCTACTGTAGGTTTGATATTGCGTCCGCGATCGAGAAACAAGATTCTAGATTCGGCCTGTCCAACCAGCGACGAAGCCCCTGGCAATTGAGAAAAACGGAACGAGTTGCGTTCGTGCGCGTTTCTTTTTCTTAAGGTGGGCAAGTAAAAGAAAATAAAAAAACATCCCGAAACAGAACAAAACTAAAAAAACGCGCCGGTGACCTGCAAACCACAGGCGCCCGGCCTGAAATTATTGGCACAGCAGACACACCACGGCGCCAGTATCTATGTACCTTCCGCGGCCTCTTCTTCGCACATTTGCAGGAGGTATTGCATTTGCGGTCGCAGCTGTTGCGCTCGCGCCGATCGGGCACGGCGGCAATAGCTCTCTGCGTTCAGGAGCACATCCTCAACAGGATCGCTCAGGAACGAGCTTATTGCTACGAAAAGCTCTGCTGCCATTGTCCGCGTGCAAAGCGCGGGCACTGCAGCGATCCACATCTCTAGGATTTGGTCCTGTCGGAGGCTCTTGCTTAGCGCGTCCCATCCTCTGCTCTTACTCCAGCCAGCACCCACAGGAAGAGCCTGCTCACGGAGTTGGTTATTCGTGTTGTCTCGCCCCCACGCTTCCAGAATATAGGCACTCGCCACCTTGCCGCTTGCTGATGTCGGCACTGCTTCTACCCACGATACGCCGACAATTTTCCAATTTCTTTTGAAGAAATCGCCGCGACTTAAGTCTGCAGCCTTCTCTTCGGAAATTGCAGACGCGCCCCGGTCAGCTGCGGCCTTCAATACCGTATGGCTCTGAAGATCGGCCTCCACTTGCGCAAGTTTCTTGCTGATGCCAGATAACTGGCGAAGCGTCTCCCCGTGACGAGCAAACGGGGGCCCTCGGTTTCCGGTGTTCGCGATCCTCGTAGCAGCCAGCTGGTCTTGGAGCTGCGCTTTCGTTGCTCTGAGGTCCGCGACGCAGCGTGCCGCGCGCTGCTCTACCCACCGATCAAATAAGGACATGACCAGGAGAGAACTTGCTGGGACGAGACCACAATTAATTTCAATTACTCAAAAAAATACTTTTCGAACAAGAATCGAGATCGACAGCTTGATGTTGATACGAAAAACTTACAGAGGCAGATGCTGGATCGATCCGGATAGAAAAGGTATAACATAAACCTGAGTAGCAGGTGTAAGTAGAACGGTTACGTCACAGCCGTGATCGACATCGTGGGTGTGGAACCACCATAAATTTTTGTGGAACTTCTCGGGTATGATCTCTCGATCTTCATGCTTATCGCAGAAAAAGAATAGCAACAAAGTGACATCTTCTTTCGTTTTAGGTCAACATCGCTTGGGCTCGTTGTGTCTATACTGCATGGCCCCCGAGCAGCTGTGCCGTAAGCCAAGACGGTAAGAGTGCTTCAACACATGTAGTTGGCGACTGAGAAGTTAGCTGAGCTTTATTTGACGTCGAATTGACCGTCGGACACACCTTCCGTTACATCGCCTTTTGATGTCAACACCGAAGCAGAAAGATCATTGTTTTGCCGTTGCCACCAAACAAAAAACCAGAACTAAACAACGAGAAAAAAATTTCATATTCATCGTCCCACTCACTATATTCTCTGATTCACCGGCGAAAGTGATCTCGACATCTTGGCGTTTTTATTCCTGACACTTTCTCTCTGCCGGCTCACAAATTGCGACTCCGGGATCCAAAACCGTTCTGGATCGTTTCGCTTCACCTCGGCGTGCGGGTACCGGATGCGCATGAAGTTTTGAAAGGTCTGCAGCCTTTTTTTCTCGGGGAAGGTCATATCCGCGAAGATTTGCTGCCTGAACATTTGGTGAAACAGCATGTCCTTCGGCCACACGTCGGATTTGCGGAAACCCTCGGGATGCGGGTCGTTGTCAGACTCGATCGCTTCCTCGTAAAAATTATCCAGGAAAAAACACCCATCCCCATCCAATTTGTCACGCAAAACATGCATAAAATCCACTATTTGTCATGCACAAAATGGATGGGGATGGGTGTTTTTTCCTGGATAAAAATCCTTCGGAAGGTTCTCGATGGCTTTCAGCGTACTTTCCTCCAGAAGTTGTTTCTTCTTAGCGAGTAGTTCCTCGTGCTTCCTCAGATGCGACAAGTAGATCCGTCGCTCCTTCTCGTACTCTTCCCGATCCGCCTCGCTGTCGTTTGGCGCCGCTGGGCTGTAGATCAACTGCAGCAGGTTTTTCACATTTTTCTCTCGTCGAAGAAAACTGGTGGTCAGTGCGACGAGCTCGCCGGGGAGAAAGGGGAGCAGTTTGATGAGGGTGGAAGCTTTTTCCTTTTGCGCTTTCACTTTCACGAAGCTGAAACTTCTGGATTGGAGGTGATGTTCGTGTTGTAGTTGGGTCTCCGCAGTTTTTCTTGTTGCCGACATTGGCTGGAGGACGGGCACCAAAGACGTGCGCGTGCAAGCTGCACCATAGCTATGGACGAGGACGCTTCGGCTGGAGCTCGAAGACCCTCCGGAGACGAATAGCCCGACAGCACGCGCACGCAGTGTAGGTACGACGCTCGTTGCCATGGCACGCGACATGCTCAGGTGCTAAATTTCCCCTTCGGTGATTCTCTTTTTCTATCTAAACTCGAAATAGAAAACTGAAGCCTCTGGAGGTATTTTTACAAAAGAGACCGAGCTAGATTGTGGTGCTTCTGAAAACCAGATCTGAGGGGTCTGTGCGGTGCTGGCCGCCAATGTGAGATATTATTAGCTCAGCACAAAAAGCTAAAGCAAAGGCAAACGAACATTACATCAAACCCGAAAGCGGCGAGACGATGCGCAACGCCTTGCTATAGTAGCACAACCACAAGCATGTCCTTGATGGTCGATAAAAATGCGCGTAGACCAATAATGTGGCGTCAAAATCGTCCTTTGATCTGCAGTGCAGTCCTACAGTACACAAGAACTCTGCTTTTCTTCACATCCCTGAATCCAGCACGGACGTCAGCAAATGCTGCGCCTTCCCGCCAACCCGGTCGCTGGTCGGGAATCGTTGCATGACCTTCATCACGAAACTCACCGCCAGTTCGCGCTCCGACTGCTTTTTCTCCTCCTCTTCTTCTTCGTCAAACAAGCCTATTCCGCCCATCGGCTCGTCCTGTTTTTCCAGCGATTTCCGCTTCAACTCGTTGCTGGCAAAGGCGTTGGCGCACGCGGCGACGAGGGACTGGGAAAGGACGCGCTGGACACTGGAGTCGATGGCGAGCAGGTGGAGAACGGCGTTGAGAACCGTGGCCGTGTATTCCTCGTGGAGGCTTTCACGAATAGAGTCGATCTGGAGGTGAGATGAAGTATGTATTTTCATGTTCGGTAAGAAAAAAATCATGTGCATGGCAAAAACGAACGCCCCACGTCCTCCATGCAAATGCAATGGCACACAAAATGGAATAAGCTACTTACGAGCGGAGACACAAACATGTTTATGGCGCATTGACAAAACTATACCAGAACAGCCACCAACATCACCACCAACGGTGTTTCTTTCCCAGGATTCCAGTACGACAGCCTCGCGATCGCGCGCAACACCTCCATCTCGACCGCGAGTGGAAGCAAGTTCGGAATCTTCTTTTTCCCACCACCTCCTCCAGCTCCGATCTGCGCCTCGCTTTCGTAGTGCTGCAGAACTGACAAACACAGTCCGATGCTGCTGGCCTGGTCGAACAGCGCGGCGAGCGTGCGTCGCAGCCGACTCTGGAGGTCCAGTGAAGGGAGTTTCTGGTGCAGGTCGACCAAATTCGTCACGATGGTCAGGCGGAATTTGTTCTGCGACTCCAGATTGCTGTTGCGACTGCTCGCTGGAGCGCCGGAATGATGCAGAAATTCTGTTTCCTCGACGAAAAAGTCGCTTTCCTCCATGGCTGAGCAAGCCAATTCGACGAAAAACGGATTTTTCTTCGATTCGACGAAGTGCACGAGCGAGAAGAGACAGATCTCGGAACTCTTTTTCAACAGAACCTTCATGCAGTCCTGCGCGACCAGGGTGAGACTCTCTGTTAGCAGGTTATGGGGCTCTCAAACGTTACATTCTCAACTGTTACATGATTTGTCATGCAAAAACGCTATCACTTCTCACAATTTCAAACCTTCTCCGCATGACAAGTTCTCGACGCGCTAGATAGCACTGTAATCTATTCCAAACCTGTAATGCAAAAGGCGCAACCCTCTCCCTTTCACTATTGCCATTCTTGCATTGCAAATTTATGTAACAGTTGAGAATGTAACATTTGAGAACACCATACAGGTCGGCAGGGACTTCGAAAAGTTCAAACAGCCGGTCCATAAACCCCAGTGCAATCAAGTGGTCAGGAACTACACTGGTCGTGGGCAGCTGCGTTGGAGTACTTCTATTTGGTGCAGCTTCTTCATCTGCGTCTGGTCCTGCGGCCCCCGCTTTGCTGATCCTGCTGGTTGCGTCCCAGTGGTCCAGCATGGTCCTGACAATCTCCAGACTGCTCTTATGGCGTTCTCAAACGTTACATTCTCAACTGTTACATGATTTGTCATGCAAAAACGCTATCACTATTCACACAACCAAGCCTTCTTTGCAAGACAACTTCTCGACGCGCTAAATAGCACTATAATCCGTCCCAAATCTGTAATGCAAAAGGCGCAATCTTCCTCCTTTCACTTTTGCCACTCTAGCATTGCAAATTCATGTAACAGTTGAGAATGTAACAGTTGAGAACGCCATAGCTCTCCAGCACGGGCCACCACTTCGTCGGCAGTTTCAGTTCGTGGAGCGCGATATCAACTGTAAAAATGTCTGGGTCTGGAAGGATGCAAGATTTGTGATGCAGGTTTTTCATGACCCATGAGGTCTGGAATGCGAGACCCAGCATGTCAGATTCTTTGAGGTCTCTATCATGCCTTTCCTGCATGAGAAACTCCCTCTCAACTTGGTCAAAAGCGGACACCTTTTGGTACTCACGCAACACAGATTTTTGCATCATTCAGATTTGGCATGACAAGTTCTAATCTTCCAGACCCAGACATTTTTACATTTGATACGCGAGGAGAAATGGTTCGACAGCAGTTGAACGTGAGAGCCTCGGGCAATATTCGCGATTGATTTCATCTTCCTCCTCCTCCTCATTGTCACCGGGGGAAAGTGATTCTCTCAGAACTCGAAACTGCATGACCCCGTAGGGCAAATCGTCCTTCTCGCATTGGTCTACGCATTCGAGCACAGCTTCAAACAACTCCAGCAGCTTCTGAATTACCATCGCGGAATCCAGTTTCAACACCTGCAGGCGAAAAGTCCCCGCACTCATTCGCGGCAGTGCGACGGCCCAGAGGAGAAGGTTCTCGGTTACTCGGGTCGTGTAGGAGGAGGCGGTGGAAGTAGGTGCCTTGCTGTCCAGAACGACTAGGGCAGACGCCCATGCGTAAAGGTCAGAATACAGCTCGTCTGATGTCTCTGTCGGTGCGGGAAAAAGCGAACTGGCCGCTGTTTTGTTTGTTTTTTGCTTCCGAGCGGTGCGCGTTTTTTCAGAAATAGGAACGAATAAAACGGTAAGAAAGTTTTCAGTATCGTGGAGCTTCAAACTTTGAGTTTCAGGTTTCAGTCTCTAAGAAAAAAGAACTTTTTACCACTTGCTTCCGCATGCTGTACGCGTGCTGCAGCACCAGCGCCGGTCTGCAATAGAATTGTCGGCGCAGCAGCTGCTGCGCGCTCCACTTCTGGACTGAGGAACAAAACTCGCAACGTCAGTTGGCTGTCCTGGAATAGCTTGTCTAAGATGCGCAGGCACCCAGCTTCCGCTTCCGCAAAGTGTGGCTGGCCCGACACAAAGGCCGCGAGTATCTGCGGACCCGCGAGGCCGACGAAAACGCTTGGGGACAAAAAACCCGTTTTCAGCAGGTCATCGAGCGTCTCGACCACGATTCGCTTGATCGAAGCGATGACTTTCGCCTTTTTCGACGTTGTCACATCATACGAATCTGCTATCACTGCTTCTGCCGGGCCACTGTCTTGATCAGCCGCGTTCCTACTTGTACGGCCGTCATAAAACTCTGGCCCGCGCATCCGGAAAAACGCATAGAAGATGAGGCGCAGGTTTCGGCAAACCAAGGAGGTCAGGGTTTTGGTCAGCAATTCTTTCGTGGTCGCGGATTCAAGGTCTACTTGAAGGTTATCTGTGGCGATCTGCGTCAAATCTGAGGCAGAGGCTTCCGGCGAACCGCACTCGGTCTCGATCAGCAATGTCGTCAACAGATCAAACAACGCCGCGTTCTCGGCGAACTCGTCCTCTAAAAACCCCAATTCCAGCAGCATCTGGCATGCGCGCCGTTTCTCCCCGACAAAAATGTTGTCCGTCAGTGCGACTTTGCAGAGCGAGTGGACTTCCTTGCGGAATGCCTTGGCCTCGGGGAGAAAGAGCTTCTTTGCTCCCCTGCTACGTGTCGGGGAGGACGAACCGGCTGGAGTGACGTCCGGAGAGGTTGTAGTCGCGGCGACTGCAGCATTTCCATCTCCCGCCTCCTCGATTTCTTCCTTGAGAATCGCTAGATTGTCCAGCATCGGGCGGACCAGCAGCCGTAAGATCTGCAACCGTAACTCGAGCAATTCCGTCTGCGGCGTCCAGATTTCGTTGTTCATCAGTACGCGCACGTGTTGGGCCAGATCCTGTGGCTCGACGACCGTGTCCAGCTCGGAATGCTGATGCACGAGTTGCCAATGCAGCAAGAGAAACTGCAGGCTCACCATCCGTCCCTCCATTTTCCGCTCCTTAGCGACGGGATCCTCGATAACAGCGAGGCACAAGTTGGCGACAGTGTTGCGCAGCTTTATCCCGCCCGCAGTTGTCGGGGAGAGTGAAGGAACTGTTGCGTCGGGGTCGTCTGAAACTACAGGTGCGGGGGCCGAGGCAGTCGCAGTTTTGGCCGAAGTTCCTTGTTGTGCGGAGAAAATTTTGCATATTTCGGAAATGAACTTCAGGCGCCGTGCTTCCCTTTCCGCCGGATCTTCCTCGTCTTTACCACCTACTTTTGAACCCCGCGACGACGTTGCGCCGCCACCGCCGGAAGTTCCTGGTTGCAAGAATGCTGCAAAAGCCGCCCCAACGCCACTTCGTCCTGAAGGTGTTGCGAGTTTCGCCTCGGTCGCTGCGTCCGTTTTATTCGCAGACGACGACGAAGATCGCTCAGTGCCTGTCTTAGGCGGCGCCAGCAGTTTCTCCGCTTCCCAGAGTAGCTGCTGTTCTGGCGGAATTTTGGTTTGCGTCGCCGCGTTAACCAAAACTGGTCTGGCCTGCAGCCGCTGCTTTAAGACTGCGTTCTCCTCTCGCAGCAGTTCCACTTGCTGCCGCAAATCTTCGTTTTCCATGCTGATCCGCTGCAAAACGCCCTCTTCAAATTTGGATGACGGCGAAACCCGCACGGCGCCAGCTTCGCAGTTCTCGTGCGTGTTTTTAGAAGGGTCGTAGTCCTCTCTCGGCGGTGGGATGTCAACATCATCTTCAGGAGTGGCTCTCTTTGGTCCGTCGCCAGGATCGTGATCTAAGACAGGGCTGGCGATTTTGTCTACGTCTATCGTGTGCTGTTCCGTTTCGACAAAAGGACTCGGTGTACCTTTGGTATCGTCATCGACAGCTGGTGCAGAGGATCGCTTCACTAATTTCTCCTCCGGTCGTTCTCCTACATTCGTAGGTTCCACAGGTTCACGTCCACCACCTTCTGCAAGGGTATGCGAGACCTCCGCAAGCTCCGCTTTCCTTCCAGAGCCGCCGATAATCGGTCTAGGTGAAGACGAGGAGGACGAACCTTTTGCCGCCGAGGGCGAACTGGGAACTACAGGATGCACCACCCCCGACGTGGACTCGGCCGTCGAGGTACTCGTGCCGGCCTGCTTGGAACCGCTGGCCTTCGAGGTTCTCGTGCTGGTCACTGCGTCCTCGTCGTCTTCCAATGCAGTTGTGAGATCGACAGGCACGGCTCCTGCACCTGCTCCACCAGGCTGGCCAAGGGCTGGGTCTACTTCTCCCTGTTCCAGAGGCTGTTGATGATCAAGATCATCTTCTACAAGAACTGCACTTGTTAGACCATCTTCTGGCCGCTCGTCCACCTGAGCTACTGGAACTTCTCGGGGACTAGCTTGTTCCTCGTCAGCGTCGACCTCGACTCCTTCGTCGGCCGACTCCGACTCGTTCTTCACCGCTGTGTACTGTGGCGATGAGGGTTCATCTTGTCCGGAATTGTCTTCATCTGCCCTCGCCGAATTGCGGTTGCCTTCTCCATCAACTTCAACATCTTGCGCTGGTGCTGGCGGGTCAAGGTCATCAACATCAACCGCTGTTCCTGCTGCATCTTCATCTCGCAGTTCTCCGCCCGCAGCTGCCGTTGGGTCCTCGTCGTCCCGAGCCTCAGGACTCGCGGGGGCGGACTCCATTGATCCAACTTGTAAATGCGAAGTGGATAGTACGATAACAAGAACGAGTGGCACCCACTGTATGTAGTGCTTCTATCAGTAGTCGACGATAAACCTAAAGCACACTACACGTAGTGAGAAAAAGTATGGTCGTGTGGAAAACTGGGCAGCGGCCTTTCTTCAAGCAAGGGCAAGCCGGCGGTACACATACAAGTACTTCAACTTGTTCATCTTTTCCTTTTAGTACGATCACGAACTGGACGCTTTCATCGCTCAAGAGCCACAACCACAGGGAAGCGCAAAGCAGTTGTGCGCCAGGTCGTGATACGCGATCACGTGCTCGGTTGTTGTAGATCCTGCATCCCGCCAAAGCCGAACGACGCAACACACATCCATGAAAAGCAAAGCAACACCATTTCTTTGACCTTAGTGCTTCGTCTTCAAAACGAAAACCACGAGGAATCAATGGCGCAGGCCTCGAAGAGCCTTTTGCAGGCCTCATGATGAGCTGATTCACTTTGCGAGTGTGAAGGGTATCATTCATCCTCCTGGGGAGTGGTAACATTTGAGATATTTAGCCGTTAAGCAATACGTAGATTAACGTGCCATGCATGTTGTGCAAAAAAAGGCAAAATGTCAACATGAGTATGAGATTAAGACCACTAGTGCAAGGGCAAATTCTTCAGGGCCGGGACTTGTTAATGGGTCGTGCGCCACTTCCGCAATCCCCCAACTGTTTTTCTCTTCTACTACTGATAGATTGAGTACTTACCACGAAACATATCATCATCATCATCATCTCCCGCCAGCAGGGCTCAACTGACGCTGTCAAGTGCAACTCAAAACGCCGACCACAGAGCAGCCTCTTTGTGGTCTACAACAACGTGCCAGCGTACTCCAGTTTCGCGAAAGTCCTCTGCCACCAGGGAGTCGCTTTTTCCACGTCCCGTTTTACAAAGGTGGATCCGACTTTTCTCGTCGCCAAATTCATCCACTGCACGATGAAACGGTCGCACACGGGCCGCAAAATCCTCCCCGTGAGGGATATCGACTGCGTCCGCGCGAACGACTCCACGAAAATCAAGCGCAAGTGTATGGCGTTCTCAAACGTTACATTCTTAACTGTTACATGATTTGTCATGCGAAACTACCATGAGCCACCAGACGATCAAGCTACGTCGCATAACAAATTCCCGAAGGGCTAAACAGCGCCTAAATCTGTGCCAAATTTGTGATGCGAGAGCTGTAAGCTTGTCCCTTTCACTGCTGCGGTTCTTGCATGACAAATCCATGTAACAGTTGAGAATGTAACAGTTGAGAACGCCATAAAGTGCTGCTGCTGAGTCGCCTTACTATTTGCGGTCGCTCCTTTACAGTTGTGCAACCCGAGCATTTCGAAGAACAAGGCAGAGAAAACCACGGGAATGCAAACTCCAGGTCCGTTAACGAGTAAGAGGTGAGATTGGCGAAACACTGGAACCTTATACCATAACCAGAGGCATTGAAGACTGCTGGCAAAGGTGTTCCACGCACTGCTCACCCAACCCTCGCCGACTTGCCGACTGCGCCGGATGCGGTACAGGTGCACGAGCTTTTTAGTGGTCGACGTGGGATCAGCATTTATTTGCTGTTCATCTACTTCAGGTTTATCTTTGCGTTTGCCGTCTATTCCCTTATTATTTCCCCTTTCGTTTATTCCATCCTGCACCACGGTAAATCCGTGGCGAGTGAGCAGTTTGACGCAATACGGGTCGGAGCTTGTGGCGATGAAATGGAACTGAAACAGTGTGGGGTCGAAGCCGTCCACCAGCTGCAGTAGCTCCGATGTGTGCCCCCCACTGCCCAGCACCGCGACGCAATCGACTTTGTCCTTCCCGCCGGATTTTGCGCGGTTAGTTTTCGATGGTGGGAGGGGAATGCGGCCGATTTTGCAGACGCGACGGAGGAAAAAACGACTGACGCGCAGCAGGAAAAGAAGCAGAGTGATCAGTAGCGCCGTGGCAACCGCCTTCAATTCCGTCTCGTACGAAGAGAGGTAAGACGACATTGTTCTTTCGTATAATGCGATTTTCGTATTTTATTTTCTACGTTTTCAACCTGTTGCGATTGCCTCGAAAATACACGCGGTTGGACCACTGACTTCCTGCTGTGAATTTTCTCCTCCAACGTTTAGGTAGTTTACTGAAGGAATGCCGACTATCATAAAGGTAAGTAGGCAATAGCACGTTAAAAAATGTGGAGCGTTGGTTGCTGGTGGAAACCAAAAGAGTAAGAGCACGAAAGAGATACATAGAAAATTGGTAGTGAAAAACTTGTGGGAGTGTGGACAACGATCAAGAAGCCATATATTTCGTCGTGTTTGCGTTTGATGTTCTTGATCTTCGCAACAACTGCAGATTGCGTTAGCGTTCTACTTGAACAACTACAACGACCTGTTTCGTGACAGTCTCCCCTTCGTTTTTGAAAAAGTCCGTGAACCTGAACAGGAAGATACTAGATTGAACAAAACCACTCAGGTGAAAGTAAAGTTGTTTTCTTGAAGTGAAGTTCATCTAGAGCAGCGGACACAGTGGATGAAAGCTGTTTCAAACCTCCACCAACGTCCATTTTTATTCTCTATCGAATAGTTTTAGAAACGGATACTGGTATCGTAAGCATAAGGCTCTCCAATTCCATACAATCCAACAGTATCCTCACATAAACGGAATCAGATAGAAGAGTGAAGCCTGAAGCAAACTGTTTCGTTTGTATTTTTGCAGTCAGAAGTCATTTTCTATTTTCGCCCCTGGTAGTGGGGCGGGATTGCAACCAGCTACGTTTCGGAATTCTTAATACCGCAAAATTTCTATTCCTTCTAAATTGACGTAGTGAGTAGTAACTGTTGATTCAAACAAAGGTAAAGGTTCATTAAGGATAATTTTCAACATTGACATTCTGATTTTCATATACTTACAGCAAAGTATTCAACAAGATAGCACTGGTAGAAAAGTTCAACAGCAACAACATCGAAATCGGTACTGACTGAGACTCCGCAAGAAATTTAGGGATAACAGTACAAGAATGAGCTTCTGCTTACTCGCCGTCCTGTTATCCTACTTCTCTTCAACTCGCCGTTCTGTCAGCCCGACACTGCATCTGCTTGAAGATGAAGGAAATATCCAGCGCCTACAGCTAAAGTGAAATAAAATAAACACTCATCATCACCTCCATTTTCACAAGATGACAGCACCGTCAATCTGCTCAATGCTTATTCTGTTTCTGTCAGCTAGTACAACTATGTAGTTTACTAGCTTTCGAAGACTGGCTGCTACAGGTGCTTCTGCTGGGCACGGTTGCAGCACCAGCCTTCATCCATCAAACTTAGAATTTTCATTTCCGCGAGGAAGCAGCTATTGCTTCTCGCACGAAAATATTTTTTTCTTTTCCAGCTTGTATTTCTGTCTGTTTTCGTCGATAAGCTTTCAGTACAACAACGAGCTTTCATCATCCTCTACTATTCGGACTGGCTACGCAACCCCCTGCTGCGACAACGATTTTTCATGTCGTGTAGCACGTTTTGATTCCGAAAAATAACCAATATTTCTCATGATTAACGTTAGTGCCAGGAAGCAATCCACAGCGACTCTACATTGTTCCTTTATTCTTAAAAGGCGAGCGACGTCAACATCCAGATATACCTTTCTCACAACGTCAACATCATTGTTGAGGAGCTGCAGCTGCTTAGCATGTATCAAGATCAACCACACTGGAACCACCTCGTTCCTGCGGCTTTAGTTTCTTTCTTCCGCCGGAAAAGCGTTTTCGTATCGCGACGACTAAGAGAGACGACGAGATACAAACACGACAAATCTTGCAAAACATGTGATGGAGGTGGAATAAGAGCGAAACGGAAACAGAAAACGAGATAAACGTAGTCAACAAATTGTAGAAGTACTAATAGATTTTTTTTGTAGTTGTATTTCACGGTAAACTTTTTAACTACGACATCATTCGAAACAAATTGTACGTATCTCGGTAGTACGACGGTTCACCTTCTGCTTCTGCTCGAGCGCAGCAGGAATTCTGCCACCCTGCAGGTAGAAGAGTGATCCGCCATCTCCGAGGCAAAATTGACCAGTGCAAGACGGGTAGTACTAGTGGTTTTTCCAAAGATTAGTAGGGAAAGAGAATGGCGGAAAATCAAATTTTCCATATTTTCACACGCAATATTGGAATAAATCGCCAATGAATCATGAGGCGCCTATATCACATTTGAAAGAAATTCACATCAAAATTTAAATCTATATCGTGTAGAAGTTTTCCGTTTTCCACCATCATGCCATGCAGGGGGGTAGACTGCCGAAGCTCGCGGATCTCGCAGGCGGTGTGCTGGTTGCGCGCCTGGGACTCGCAGAATGAGGATGGAGCTCGTTGTTCGTCCTGAGACCAGCCGTGAAGCTGACTGACGAAACATTTTCGTTACCTGCTCCTGCTCCCTCGGATGCTGTACTAAGAACAGAGGAGTTAATATTTGCATTCGAGCTCGATGCGAACGCGTTGTCGTTTAACGGCGGAATCACGGCATTAGTCGGGTTCAGCGGATTCGTAAACAGAGGGATTAACGGTTGCGGCGCAGCCGGGGGCGGCGCCGCGGCACAGACAGACGGCTGCTGCTCGAGCTGCTGGCGCTGCGAAATCAGCTGGCGGACGAGGTCATGGCTGTTGACCTCGGACCCGGAGAGTTGCCCAAGAGTTTCCGCCCAGCAGACCGAGGGGGCCGTGGACGTCGTGGTGTTAATACCCTGGTTTGTCTGTTGCTGATGCTGGTGTTCCACTGCGTTGTACATGTTGTTGTGGGCTGCAGATTGCTGGTGCCCGTTGGAAGTAGACACCAGTCCTGATCCAGCTCCGCCATTATTGAAGTTCAACTGCAGAGAAGGACAGTGCGAAAGAGGATTTTGGTTTGACGCTGTTCCGACGAAGGATTGGCTCGTCTCCATAGGAAGCGGAACGAGTTGCTGGGTCGCTGTCGTGCAGCTGGTCGTGTTAGAAATTACGCAATTATTGTTTCCGGAACTCGCACAGGTGTCGGCCGAGACAGAGCTCAGCAAATCGCCGCCAGTTGTACTCAGTAGATGATGGGCACAACCATTCAGGTTCTGTTGCAGGATTTGTGCCGTTTGTTGTTGTTCCTGCTGGCCATTCGTTCCAGTCGTGGCACCAGCCGCCCCGACAAGCTGCAGATTCGTGGTCAAGGGCGGCATACTGGCCGCAAAGCTCGCGAGCTCCTGCAGCTGCTGCTGCGAAAGCTGCTGGGGTTGCTCTGCGTGGGGGGTACTGGCTCCCGTATTGCCCAACCCTAATGCCGTGCTGATCGTGTTGTTCGCCTGAAGCTGCTGCTGCTGCTGCTGCTCGGAAGCGGAGTTATTCGGTGTTTGCATGATGCTGTTCGCCAAAAGAGTTGTCGACGCCGGCGCCGGTTGGTTGCTGCCCGCAAGAATGCTACAGCTCGCGGTGTTCGTGGTCGTCGAAGCTGCGCAGGTTGTGGTTCCAGAAGTTGCACCGATGCCAGTGGTGCTCGATCGTTGCAGAATTTGTTGCAAGGACGTCAAATCAATAACGTTGGTAGTTCCATCCATGCCGTTCGAAGAATTATTGCTGGACGTCGTCGTGTGAAACATCAGATCCTGTCCCAGCTGGCTTTGGTTGAAAGTCCTGTGGTTTGTTGTCCCGTTATTTGTCGTGGTGAAAAGCTGTAACCCTTGGCCTCCACCGCCTTGGTCTAGCTCGATTAACTGCTGTTGCACAGCAAGCAGCTGATCTCCTTGCACGATAGCTGGCGAAGAGTGCGCATGCGCGAATGCTGGGGATGGCACAAGAACTGCAGCTCCAGTCGAGGAAACTACCGAGTCCAAGCCGTTCATCAGGTTTGTCGCCGGTGTCGTCGCCGTGCCGAGAAGTTGCTGCTGTAAGGCGTTGGTACTGGTGGTCGTGGTCACACCAGCAGTAGTGGTGGAAAGAGCTCCTGTGGCTCCACTTAATAGCCCACCAGGTCCTCCGATCGCTCCGGCGCTCAAAGGGCCGACTACACCAAGAAGATCGTTGCAGCTGCCCTCGTTCGCGGCCCGCACGATGTTGTTGATCGAGGTGGTCATGTTCCCGGGCGGGTAGTTGGTCTCGTTGTCCCAATTGATTCCCAAACCGACCGTGCCTGCGGTGGAGCTGCACGCAGAGAGCGATTTGCTGTCGATCAGTGTGAAGTGTTGGTCCGAGTTCATCGAGTTGGGTGTCGCCCCGGGCCAAGCCGGCGCTCCTCTTGCGCCGTTGTTCCTCCCGCCTTGCTGGCTCCCATAGCCAGACTTTTCAAAGGAACCGTGGTGACCGTAGCCGCGCTGGAAGTTGTTGTTGTAACGGCTGTTCGATGTGTGTTGATCCCGACCGCGAGCTTGATGCTGTTGACCGCTGTGGTTCATCCCGTAGTGATTGTTTCGGTTGTTGTAATAAGCAGACCCAGAAGTATTGTTCCCAATTATGCCGCGTTTTCCGTGTTGAAGCTGGTGCCCGTGGTACGGCTGCCCGTGCTGATTATAGCCGTAGTCATTGGTACTGTTGTATTGCGAAGATGAAAGGTTGTTTCGGTGGTTGGAACTGTTGCTGCCGGTTCCGCTCCCTGCATTGTTCGCAGCTCCTGTAGCGCCTCCACCCGCATTGGAAGATGCACCGCCAGCAGAAGCAGCCCCTGCAGGCGATGCGTTCATCCATGGCTTAGCCTTGTAGATATTCTTGGAAGATGAAATACCAGTAGCGGAGGTCGTGTTGGTGTTAGCAGTGCCGAAGTTGTCGTGCTCCCCGTCGGACGGGGAGAGCGTAGTGTCAGCCCAGGAGTAGGTGTTTGGTCCTCCAGTGGTCGTTCCCTTATTTGTTCCTGATGTACTGTTAGTTGTAGCTCCTGCTGCCCCCTTGGTCGTGTTGTTCTCGTCAGCCGTGCCCGCTGCAACTCCCGCAGCAGCTGCGGCAAAAGAGTTGTTCAAATTTCCTCCCAACAGCGAGTTGTCCAGGGCATCAGCAGCCTCCTGGTTCATCATCTTTTTCTTCAATTCGCGCGAAGTTTCTAACGACATGTAGCCTCGGCGCCGGCCGCTGCGCCCCTCGGATTTCCGGGTCTGCACAGCGCTGGTTTCGGCAGGATCGCGGTCTACAAAGCACAAAGTCTCTTCCACAGTGGGGATAGGGCTGTTCCCGAACAGAAGCGTGCTCGGCTCCTCGGAGAGAAAGCTACCTGCATTTTTTGTATTGGTTTTTTGACTTGCACCACACTCACACACCATGATAAAGATAAGTAATTTACCAAACGAAAAAATGGGCCACAGCCAAACTTTCAAAATTTTGTTTTTCCGATTAAGATGACCAATGTGAGTTCTCGAGATGGAGCACTTCTGCCAGTGCGTATTTTCCCAGGCCGGGGCGAGGATCACGGGTTGGCGGGCCTGCAGATGGCCTCCACCTCCGACGTCGCACCACGGTAATATCGGCGACCTATTGAAGTCAAGTACTCTCCATCTGACCTGCCTGATGGCAAGACTATTGCTGGCTTCTCGGTCGGAACTCCAGGAGAGACATCTGGGCATCACTGAAGGCACCCCCCTTCACGGGGTGCTTTCAGGGGGTGCCCTTCGTTGCTGTGGCAGATTTTTCGGAAACGGCCATACCATCGGTGGAAGGGGTTTCCGAAAAATCGGCCACAGCAGCACAAGGCAGTCAATTTCGTGGCACCCCTCTGTCCTGTGGCCGATTTTTCGGAAGTGGGCGGCTTCTGCAGGGAAAACGCCGAGAATCAGCTCGCATGGCCCCCCCGCCGGCGCAGCTTTTCCCAGCCGGGCAGCGCCATAACCCAACGCCCCGCCTGGCCGAGGGTTGCAGAGGATAGCGCAGAGCCGCTTTGGCTGCGGCCTGCCAACGATTGCCGCCTACCGATATGCGCCTCTTCCACCGCGGGAATCCGTCGGCCCCGGGCCTGCGGGCCGGCCCGTCCGGGAAAAATTTTGAAAATTTGGCTGTGGCCCATTTTTTCGTTTGGTATAATTGATAAGAATGAGTCACGTCCTCGCTTGTAGACAAACTGCATTCATCATCATCATGTACTGGGCTCATTTTCGCTTGCGGAGTAGGCCCAGAAGTCCTTGTTTTTTTTCCCGAATTTTTTGTTGTCGATCTTGTTCTCTAAGGCCAGCCAACAATCCGTCTTCGCCGCTTTCGTTACCGCCAACGAGCCTTCATGTTTAATACATCCGGAACTACCGACACCTCCCACCTTGGAACCGATCTTGCTATCAACAACTGCACTCAACCCGCCGGCGGCGCTCTGGCCGATGGTACCGTACTTACTCGTCATTTGGGACAAAGAAGCAAGCTCCTTCGAGTTGGTTCGTTTTTTCATCTCCACATCCTGGTAGCCTCCACCACCCCCGCAGGAGGGCAGCTTCAGTTCGCTCATTTCTTCCAGCGAAGTCGTTCCCGGCAGCACTTCCGCCATCGGCTCCAACGTCCAAGACTGCGAGTGTTTCAGCGAGGAAAAAATCCCTTTCTTGATGTCCGATTCGTCGCTACCTTTCCCGTGCTTTTTCTCGATCGGAGACCGGCGGCGCTCGATGGGGAGCTTTAATTTGGGTCCGTCCATGATGCGGTCCGCGATCTTTTTGATGCGCGAAACACTGCTGTTCATCTTGTCGGTATCCAAATCCTCGAGGCAAGATCCATCCTCAAGCGGGTTCTCGTCGTTATTGCGGCTCAGCAATCGGTCATTTTCATCCATCTGCATTTCCATGTCATTTTTGTTGTCCTCTGCAACTTCCGGCAGCTGTTCATTTTCCGTAATGTTGATGTTTAGGAGATCATCAGCGCCCTCCGAGGTTGTAAGAGCGTCGTTTTGTTGATCCTCTTCTTTGGCTGAGCAAGACGCGTCTGCTTGCAGCTCCTTCTTACTGTTCTTCTTGTCTGAGGACTTGTCGGAGCAAAGCTTTTTCTTTTCCGCTGCAGCTTCAGTGTCTGCCACTTCCGTGTCTTCAGAAGTGCTTTTCATCGTGGTCGTGGTGGTGACGGTGGAAGAAGATCTCCCGGATGTGACTGTCGGGACAAGAGAAGTCGGTTTGGACAGCAGAGCCAGAGCCTTACTCTTTTTCGCCTTTTTACCGCTCAACTTTTTGTTCATCGTCGTGTGGACTTGTTGATTGGTGCGGCTTGCGGTTCTGCTACAACTAGTAGTACCGGTTATTTGCTGTTCTTCATCATCTTGCTCCTCCGCGACTCGATCGAGATCCTTTTTGTTCGCAACACCTCCGATTATAACCCCGCCCTGCAGATCAGCAGAACAAGAAGGCATGACGACGGCCACGGGAGCTCCTGCCACGTCAAGGATCGGCGACACGTCTTCGGTCAAATGCTCGACCAGGTCAATCAGAGAATTTTCGTGGATCGAAGAAACGTCACCAAACTTCTCTTTCTGGATCTGCTCCCGCCGCGGAGACGCCTTCTTTTTCTCCTGCGACTGCAAAGTTTCAGTTTCCACAGTGCTGGTATCTTGACCATCCCCGTTGACCAGAGGACCACTCGGACCACGACCATTTTGGTCTTGTACTTCGCCGTCTTTGTTCAACAATACATGCTTACTCCCCGTCTTGTCCGCTGTCGTAGCCATCGTTGTGTCAACGTCGTCGAATTCCGGTTGTTGCTTCGAGGAGGTTCTCGATCGGGCCGCGGGCATCACCGCGTGCGTACTGACGTCCGGCTGGTGGGCCGGGGTCGCTTCGAGGTCCTGTAAAACATCTTCCGCAGATGAACAATGCTTCGTAGGAGTACCACCAGTCTGTGTAGTAGTTCCCTGCTTCTCTTTTTCCGGCGACGAGGCATAAAAATTACTGTTCATCGCGTGCAGCAGTGGCCCAGCGGTGGAAGTCGAGAGCCTTTTGGTGCGATTGTGGCAGGACGCCGGGGTGAGGCCGAAGGTGTTGGTGGTGGTTATGGCTTTCTCAACTGTTACGTTCTCAACTGTAACACGATTTGTCATGCAAAAGCAGCATCATCATCCTCACGATCAAGCTGCTCCGCATGACAAACTTGCGAAGGGCTAAACCGCGCCTAAATCTGTGCCGAATTTGTAATGCTACAGGTGCAACCTTCCCCCTTTCCCTTCTCCCAATTTTGCATCGCAAGTTCATTTAACAGTTGAGAGTGTAACATTTGAGAACGCCATAGTGGTCGTGGTGAGGCAACTGGTATCGGTGTCCGGCATGTCCGTGGTGCTGTCGTCGGTGTTGTCGGTGCTGGAGTCGTACTGCAGCGAGCTGTCGTGCTCGTATTCGTTGATATCATTCACGATATTGCTGTATTGCGGAACAGCAGCAGCGGCCGCACCAGGAGTTGCTGCTGGCTGAGCAGAAGCATGATCTGCAGCAGAGGCAACATTTCCTTCGCCAGTAGCGGAAAATTCGCACGTCGACCCCGTTTTCTCGCCCCCGACGTTAGCGGGCAGTCTTTCTTCTTGGTTAGGTGATTCGTTTTTTGGTTTCCCGTGGTCACCATCGCATTTATTGTCCATGTTGTTTTCCTTCTTTTTATTTCCGATCGAGCTGTTCTGCGCCGCATTGCAGTTCTGCTCCTGGTTGTCCTCCTGAAACACTGGTGCGCCGCCCACAGTCCCGGACGACACCGCCTGCTTTGATGCACCGTCTCCGGCAAGAGATGAAGCGACGGCGTTAATCTGGCTCGTCACGCGGCCAATTGTGCTGCCATTCTTAGTAGTACCCGAAGTAGATGAGCCGGAGCCCACTTTCGAGTTCGAACGCTTGCTGTTTTTCGCAGTCGAAGTAGAAGTCGTCGAGCCCCCACGACGCCCTTGTTTGCCGCTATTGTTTGAAGACGTTGTTAGGCTCGTAGTTCCGGAAGTGTCACCGAGCGGCGGTGCCTTCAGTGACTTCTGCACGGTTTCCGCGTCAACCCAGGCCACCTTGTTCACCAGAAAATAACTGGAGAAACAGCAATACAGGTAGCGAAACCAGACCAGCTGGGACTTGTGGACAGCGAGAAACTTGATGAACGTGGACGGGTAATCGAATCGTGAGTAGACTTGCAAAGCCGCTTCCGTCAGTTGCTGAGAAATCGGGAGCGTGAGGGAGACTTGCTGACCGAAGCTGCTTCCAGCACCGCAGAACAAAGGGCTGTCGAGTTGTAGCTTGTGTTTGTTCGCATTTTTACTGTTCACGGCAGCCACTTTCGCAAGGGAACCAGGCTGTTCGTGGTCACCTGTTTAGGAGGTTTTTTTCCAAGTGGAGGCCGAGGCGCAAAAACTGCCAGAGACTCAAAATGTTCTAATTCTGATTGAGCAATCAACAACACTAGCCGTAGCTACGGATATCAAACTCCTGCACAAGAAGTTTTCTCATGTCTTTACCTGCCAGCGCCCGTAGCTTGTCACAATTTTCCACCACGTAGTATTCCAGCCACCCAGCGTACTTCCGCCAAATCGGCACGGTTTGCAGGAACCCGTAGTGCTTGACCGTTCCGACCGGCCCCGTCGTCAGCAACGCCTCCACGGCACGACAACAGGCAATGTGGTCCGGGTGCGAGGAAACACCGAATTGGTCGAAGGTGAGCAGCAAATCGAGTTTCTTCCCGGCCGCGAACTTCTTGACGCTGTTGACCAACTGCAACTTATCACTCGCCGTTTTCCCCACGGAGCCATCTGCGAAGTCCCCGATCGTGCAGGAGGCGAGGTGGAGGTACTTACACGATTGCCGCAGCTCCTTCTCCCGGACGGGGCCGAGACCGTCGAAATTCCCATTGGTGACACTGTACAAGTGAATCACGTGATTCGTTTCCAGCAAACGGATGATAGTGGGGAGAAAGAACATCACCTCGTCATCCGGATGGGCGATGATCAACCCCACGTGTTTTGGTTGCGGGGCCTGTGGAATTGTTTTCATCTCTGAAAGTGAATGTGATCGCGCTTATGTTCTTGCCCTGGTTGTAGTACTAAAACCAAACAAGAAGACGAGTCAACTACACGACTCGTCTGCTCATGCACGAGTACTACGCTGTCATGCAACTTGTCCTTGTGCATTGAAACAAAATTACCTTTTTTCCAACCCTGGGCACCACCGCAGTCGGTGATAGAAACGATGCGGGTGGGTCGCCCGGCGACAACACATACCCGGTCCAGGAGGCCAGGAACTTGTAGAACAGGAGGAGGTTCACTACCAGCAGAATCAACCAGGTACAGTCGCCGAAAATCTGCGAGACTGCGTCCTGAATCATGATGACAGTGTATCGCTGAATAGCGGGGCGTTGTGCGACACAACTAGTGACCTGGCTCTCTTTCCGGTCCTTCTTGCGGTTTCGTGTCGGTAGCTACCAGATAGCCCTCCAAAATACTACCGGCTCGTGCTTTGACAGAGACCAGTAGACTTTCTGTGCGGTTTGTAGAAGATGAAAAAGAAGAAAAAGCAACTAGAACCTACCACACCAACGCGCGAGCACACGGGTGACGCGACCAGGTGAAGCTGGTTCCAAGAAACGACCGGAGAAACAACCCGCGGATGGGTTAAATTTCTCTGTAGCAAAATAAAAACGACGAGGAGGACTGACGAAAGAAAAAGATCTTCTCTGTAGCCAATTTGGTCGACGCCCGGACTGTGCTTTAGCAATCCTCTATTTGGGCCTTAGGAAGACGGACAACAGTTCGTAATGGGTTGGTATTTCACGTTATTGAACAAGAACGACGACCAGACGAGGCAAAAAAAATAGGGAGTAACCAGCCCGAGCTTTAACTTGTTATTGTTACGCAGTCTCACGTTTGAACAAAGAAGGGTCTAGTGACGAGCGATGAAAGCTTTGTTCCCACCTGAAATTCTTCTTTCAAGATGAAAACCAATCTCCGGTAAAATTGCTTTCTTAGCTCCGAATTAATCGTAAAGAAAAGAGAATGATAAAGAAGATGAGGACGCAGATGTTGACGTAGATAATGACGCGGTTAAGTAGTAAGTAGAGAATTCGTGCAACCGAAACCGCACTATTCCGACTTACCGGCTTTACGCCACCGACGCAATAACTACTTTAATACACCTTCAATCTTCGTCTTCCTACTCCTTTGCAATATAGAAAAAGCTTAATTTTTTACAAGTGATTCCTTGATGTGACCAAAGCGGTTCTCTTCTGGATCGACTAACAAGAGAAGAAACTGAACCAGAAAAGGAAAACGACGACGAAAGCAAAAACAAAAACGAAAACCAAACCAAAGGAAAAAACCATGCATCCGCTCAAACCACTGTAGCAGGAGGTAGCGTCCTCTCACGTTCGCTCAACAAAAAAGTACAACTTGCGCACTTACTGTCTCTGTGCTGCCTCAAGTGGTTTGAAACTCGCACTTTCGCTCGGTCTCTCTTCAGTGAGCTTAAAATGAAGCAGGACAGGAGAACAACTTCTTGTTCTTCTAATCAAGGATGCAAAACAAGTTCACATCAGTCACCACCCACACCCATAAGTAAGCGACAGGGGCAAGGATGCGGCCGAATTGTTTCGATTTCGTCAGCGAGCGGCCTCCAGTTCGTCATCATACAAGTTTTCGTGTTTCTTGTCTGGAATAATTCTCTTCCGCAATGGAAAACCATTGTCACCACGCACTCGACCTATCCGCCAAGTACGTGATGCCTCATTGCTTTTATCTGAGATTTTGAACGAATGGCTTTGCGAGCCATTGTTGGCAACAGTTTTGTAACGTAAGATTTTGAACAGTTTGACAGTTTTCCTCTTGAATTTGAAGCAAATTTGATACAATTCTCGATAAGCAGCTCACGACCACGACTGTGCTGGTCAGCTAAGTACTAGAGCGCGGACCAGTCTACTTTGGTTTGCTCGCCTTGGTCTGATTGCCATCCCAAATCAGGCCGTGCCAGTAGACGTTTGATTTCGAGCCCGGCTTGGGCGCCTCCTCCGTGCACTGCACGTCCGCGAGAAACTGGAACACGGTTTCGTTCCTGTAGGGGTTATCCGTGCACTCCATCTCGTGCTCATACTGGTCCCAGCCGATTTCCACGATGATTTTTGCGTCCCCGGGCTTCCCTTCGCCGACAAAGGACCACCGAAGGGAAAAGTCGGGTGGTGGACCTGATAGTGTTGATATTACGAACGAATTGAGGTGATATTGAGCTGCAGAATCCAATTTTTCCGTCATCCTCATCACAACTGAAAACAATTCCAAATCGAAATCTGCTTCGCACACACGTGGTTGTCATTGTCTACTTCAGTTCATCAACATTATACCTTTCTTCACCGTCTTTTCTAGTCGCTCTTCCACTACTCCTGTTATCAAGCCGTCCCCCTTGACGTACGCCTCCACTCGGTAGGGGTACTTCTGGTTCATGTTGCTCGCCGGGAACTCGCACATAACTTGTTCGCCCAGGCCTATCTTCATCGTGCCCTTTATTGGGTAGTCACCCTTCTTGTGGACGAGGTCTTCGAAGTCCAGGACGCCGGCGCGTTGACCTGAGTAAAGGTTAATGAAGTTACACGGAAATCTAATTTGATGTTGATCAGGAAAAGAACAAATTGCATACGACTTGCACAGCTACAGGACAGATAAAGGAGCAAGAAACAATAACAAAGCATAATTGCACAAGAAAATAAATACCGCTCATTTTCTTTTGTATCTCCTCGATCTTTTCCTCGTCTGTGATGACTTCTACTTTCTTACACCCTGCGAGCAATGGTGCGACGCGGAAGTTTTTCACCCACAGTTGCTTTACACCCGTGGATTTGTGGAAGGTTTTGAATACGTCACGGAGTTCGTCACCCTCCTCGGGGAGAAGCCTGAAGACGGGATCCGTGGCGGAGGCGCGGTAGAAGAGCTGTATTGGGTTTTCATGAAAATTCACTTCGTTTTGCAAAATCATTTGGATTTGCAGTCCTACGAAAGCGCAGCAAAATACTTAAAAAAAACTACAGAAATCCATATTTCAGAAAGACGACAAAGCAGTAGAACACCAGCTACTGGTACTGGAGGTCAACGTCAACCAAAATGAAGCCATGAAAACGACAAGATACCGACATCTCCGTGGCGTAGGGCAATGCGAGCTTTATTGCTATCATCTGCTTGATGTCTCGTGCGGTTTTCATTACGACAGGGTCAATCGCGAGCTCTGTTATCTCCTCCCAACCATCACAGCTTTTTGCCTTTTGGTTGGGGTGCTGCCATTCCTGTGTTGAAAGATTGATTCAATTCACAAATGGCGTTCACTACGTTATGACACCTACACCAACACCAGCGGAGCGCGAACCTAGCTGCACAACAACATCATCACATGTCACCAGCTTGAAACAAGGAAAAGCTGCAGCTAATATGGTACGTTTTTTCTATTGAGCACGACATCGGGGAAGGCAGCAAAGAGCGGTAGTTTTATCATTCGCTGTGCACTTCCGGTTGGGACCATGCCCAGGAGCTGCTTTAGTATTTCCTCGATTTCGTCTCCGGAATACTTTTCGCCAAAAGGCTCGAGTACACTGTACATGAACTCCATGAATTCATCCGGGTCGATGTTACCTGGTGAGGAAGTTGTCAAAACTTGTACTTGAAATCAACATGCCATCTTCGATGCTGTTGATGAATACAATCACGGAACAAGAAAAAACCGTAGCGCGCTAGCGCTAGTTGGGTCATTTTCCTAACCAAAGCTTACCGTCCCCAGAATCATCCGCGCCGTGGTATTTGCTCATGTCGAGGTCCTCTGTGTGCGTGAGCTCCTTGAGCCCGTCTGCTATTACTTTTGTCGCCACTATCCACTCCTCGGCTTCTATCTCGCCGCCGTCTGTATTTCGATTTTGCGTAAGTGTAGACTGAGTTCGTTTTACTTTCATGTAAAACCACTAAACTTGAACTTCTACACATACACAGGTGGAATAGCAACGAAACACGAGCAGCGTGCAAGCAAAAAGAACGAAAAAATACTATCTGCGTCGAAAGCGCGGAATAACTTCTGGATCATGCACCTTATCCCGTAGTGGTAGTTCAAACCCATGAGTTTTCGCTCGGATACTATCATGTTGATACGCTCGTTGATTTTCTGCACGAAGATTTCTTCTGACAAGGAGGCCATGTGCATGATTCGGATCATCCTTGTACCTGAGAAGCGGGAAAAAGACTATTTTTGGCAAAAAACTGATGACGATGATGAACTGACGCACATGCATCCCTTGTTCATGTTTGGAAACCAATGCTGCGATCCAATGATGGATGAAGCGAATATTTTCAGAGATGAAAAGCCAAACCCTCAATTGTACGAAATTGGTCGTAGAAAATGGTGCCGGCTGGATCCGCATCGGCGTCCATGCCGCCCAGTCCCCACATCTTGCTCGCTTCTGAGGATTGCACCTCTAACCTAACCTCGATTTTGTTGAACTCGGAGATGTCGATGTCTCCATTGCCATCGATATCGTACACGTCGAAGAACGCGGCGAGCCGCTTCTCCAGATCCGGACCGATGGTCGGCATCGTGCTGTCGTGCCGGGTCCTTTTTGTGCCTCCCTTGTCCACCTAATAGGAAAGCGTCAATATTGACGTGGTGGATACGCGGTGGCCGCTTGTTGCAGTTGTTCCTCTGTAGTATGATCTTCGCTTCTTTGCGAGCAACCTCGCTTGCTCTGGTGTTCTCGTGTTCGTTTTATCACGCAAAGACGATCACTACGCCGTCAGCTCAAGAAGACCTGCACACGTCACTGTGCATGGTCGCCGTGGCCGCATGATTTCTCAGCACGACAAGCTTGTAGCTAGCTGAATGAACCACGAATCGAGTCTCCAGTTCGCTACAGGGAGGGGCAGCGGGACTACAACGTTAATGCATTAGCCCGTTTTAGGTGCAAGCCAAAGCCTGGTGGAGCTGTAGAAGTGGTCGAGAGAAGATTTTCAAGTGCGTAAAGGTAAACGATCGCACTGAAACGAGAAAACGATCCCGAAGACGATGAATATGGCACCTCGTCGCTACCTATGGTCATTTGGCTGTACGATATAACTGGCACAACGAGCAGTAGATGCTTTATTCCCCTCGTTGGTGCTGACACTCGACGCTCAATCCGACTTTGCTTTGCTTGCGAAAAGCTGAAGGGCGAACAAACTTCCGAGCTCAACTTTTGCGCGCAAGTTCTCATGTCGGCTGAAGATTTCGTACTCCTTGCTAAGATTTGTACGCAGCCTGGTGAAGCCTGCGAACGGGGCTACGACTAGAAGATGTGCGTAAAGCTGAAGGCGCAATATGAAAATTACCTCATCACAACGCTTTGCGGTCTTTCTCTTTTCATTTTGATTCTTTGTCATTGTCAGTGGGTGGCCAGATAGGTACACAGAAAAGCAGGCGTCAATTATATTCCCCTCAAGTCATCATTGGAAAAAATTCAGCGCGGCAGCTGCAACATATACAGAAAGACAAAGCTGTTCAAGCAAACAGTGAAAAAAACTGCAGTGGAGAGGCAAAACAGGTGATTGTCAAAAAATTAAAGGGCAAAATGAAAGTTAAAGTCGTTTTTCCCATGCGCAAAAAGACGTCGAGGATCTCTGGCAGTATTTTCACTGCTCAGATTCTTGTTCTTCTATGTACAAATAGCATTGGTTTTCCCATTCTTCGAAAGATATACCTTTGTTTCTCATCACTTTTTCGACTATTCTCATTCATCTCTCGTTAAAGTTAATACAGTGTGGCGACGTTTTTTCTACATTCGATTGCGAATGCGTGGGTGTGTCAGTTCACAAAAAGACTCGAGGACGACGACAAGGCTCGCAAACGCAACACTTTCGTCACAACTACTCCTCGTCCTCTTCCTTAATTTGTTCCAACGTTTCCTCCGGCGTGTAGGCCAGCAGCGGGTCCATATTGCGGCCGCGGATCCAGCGATAAAGGTCGTGGCGCTGCGTGAAAATCGCGTTACTCAGCATGTCCGGGGCCTGCGCAATTTGCTCTTGCAAGCTCACGTGCGAAGACTCGTCGAGATCCTGCTTCGGAGGGTGGTAGTTCGCGGGCATGCGGACTTGGTCCGTGATGTTGCGCCGGTCCGGAATTTGGGGGTCACTGGTTTTTGTTTTTTCAATTTGGTAAAAACTACGGTGAGACTTCTGAGAAGAAGATCCTCGCTATGTAGATCATCTTGCAACACGGGCACTTCTATCGATCTAGCAGGAACAAGAAGCAGCAGACCGCCACCGGGTGCTTGAAAAGAGTGAGTTCAAGTACTTTCTCTGCCTCGCCGCAGCGTAAACGTGGTTTCTCTCCAGAGGTGGCCGCTTCGGAATGCGATACAGTACCTCCTCCCCCTCGATCGCGTTCTCGGGCGCGGGAACCTCGTGGTGCCGGCCATTGTGTTCGAACCGTAACAGCGTTTGCTTCGTGCAATTGGGCGGGACTGTTAACCGCACCCGCGAGCCCTCTCGCTCCATTTCATCCAGCAAATAGAGCATGGTATCGTGCTGCGCAATGCTCGGCTCCCCGGGCTCGGGGACCTTGTCTCTTTCTCGCTGCAAGCGTTCGTTGACGGCGGCTAACGCTAGCGCATCGTGGTCCAGGTCACCGCTGGTAGTGGTGCCGCTGCCACCCATCATGTCGTTATTCCCGTTCGGCGCAGCTGACGAAGCACCAGACCCGCTACTCTGGTTGTTTCCCCTCTGGTGCAGTGCGCCGAGCGGCCCTCGTTGCGAATTTGACGAGCTGGAGGATGAGGCACCAGCTCCTCCCTGCAAGCCGCGTGTAGTACCTCCTAGAAGGCTCGGCATTGTCAGCCCTGTTGGGGGTAGAAGCTGGAAGGAAGAGGTAGATGAGGCGGAAGCGGATCCCTGCTGTGCAGTACCCTGGGCGGCCTCTTTCCCCTTTAGTGACTGGAAGCTTGGTCCTTCATCTGCAGTTTTGTAAATCCACTTTCATCAGCATTTTGGCAACGCAGTTCTTCACTTCAGTACTGCGTCAGTATGTTCAAAATGAAAGTAAAAATTTGCAAAAAAAAAGTTCCCGAATGAAAAATGAATTATACCAGCCGGCTCCGCATCTCCCTTATCCTTCATCTCCATCTTTCTTTCGTTCTCCAGCTGCTGCATACTTGGCACGAGCGACATTCGCCGCGGCGGCGTGTTTTGTTCCTTCTTCGGCGACCACTCCCGGTCGATTGGCTGGGTTAAGTCTAGCTTGTCCACCACCGTTTCCGTCACCCGCGGCGGCGTCGAATGTTTCACGTCGGGCGAGCAAGAGTGATCCGTAGTTCCGGCAGGTGGCGGCGGCGGCGCGGGCCGGTCGGCGAAGGTCGCCTTCGCGACATTCTCCCGGCTGGTATCCAAATCCTCTTGCGTACACGCCTCTGTGGGCACGAACTGCGCACGGACACGCTTCACCGAAGTTGCATCGTGATGTAGCCCGCTCCTGGTTCTACTCGTCGGCTCACGGGACAGTGGTCTGGTTGCGGCTTGTATGCGTGCTAGTTCCTCCTGGGTCGTGCTCATCGCACTGCTGGTGCTGATTTTGTTCGTCGTCTGCACCACGACAGACGGGAGGACAGAGGGAGCTGCAGCAGCATGATCTTCCGCTGACTTGTTACTCCCGAGAGGACCCCGAGCAGACGGAAGATTGTTGTTCCCCACCTCTTCGATGGTAGTCGAGGCAGATTGCGGCACGATTCCCCCTCGCCCGCGCTGGATCACCTCGCTTCTTGAGAGCGAGGAGGAGGGCTGCGACAAAGAGGAAGACACGTTGGAGCCGACGACTGAGGACTCCGTGGGTGAAGCAGCAGTGCCGCCTATGTTTGGCGGCCGGTCGGGGGCAGGCGGAAGAAAACCTGCTCCCGAGGAAGATGTTGAGCTGGAAGATGGTGTTGCGCCCGGGCGCCGGGCGGGCGGCTTCGAGGTCCCGTAGGTGGTGCGCGGCGGTCCTGAATGATCCAATTTATTGGTGACAGCCGAGGAGGAACCGTTTGGAATTGGGTCAGCGGGATCTTCGTCGACAATGAACTCGTCCTCGTCGCTGGAAATAGGTGGTGGCGGCGGGGCCGAGCGACGGTTGGAGGTCGAATACTGTTCCTCATCGGCTGCATTTGCCACCTGGTTTATTGGCAAGACCTGCTGCATGCATGTATGTACTAGTGCTACCAGAACCAGTGTAAATTATAGTATGAGAACATATGCTTATGCATATCCGGAACAACTTCTGATGTTGGTTACTTGACTACGAAATTTTTAGTTTTACCTGTGAACTGTATGCGCTCCTGGAAGGCGCGACGCTCTGCCGCGCTCCAGCTCTGGGATACGGATACGACCCTTGAAAGGACTGCGACATCGCCCGCGGTGGCGGACTGCTACCGCTGATCGCCCCGACCTCGCTGCTCGACGAGCCACTTGCACCACTGCTACTCCCCGGGTTGCTGCTTCTCCGCACCCCGGAATCCCGTTTCAGCGGCGCGCCATTTTCGACGTCGTAGAGTTCGGCCTTCAGCTGCTTGTTCTCTTGCAGCGCTGCTTCCAACACGGCGCAGAGTTGGAGCTGTATGGCGTTCTCAAACGTTACGTTCTCAACTCTTACATGATTTGTCATGCATACCCGACTGCACCACATCAAAAACCTTTGCACCGTCGCCGCAAGCAGCTTCGGACGCAGGAGATCTAGGGTCAGAACCGCGAAAAACATCGCGCGTATTTCTTCTTCATATTACATGATTTGTCATGCAAAATCACAATTAGAATTGATATGATACGATCAAGCTGCTCCGCATGACAAATTCTCGAAGAGCCAAACAGGCTGAGAATCTGTGCCAAATCTGTCATGCCAAGCGCGCAAGGTCACCCCTTTGACTTTTGCCATTCTTGCATCGCAAACTCATGCAACAGTTGAGAATGTAACAGTTGAGAACGCCATAAGCTGGAACTTCGTGTTGTAGGTGAAGTACTCGCGCAGAAACACGTCGTAGGTATATGACAGTGCACAACTCCCCCTCCCCCTCATTTGTCATGCAAAATACCCAATTTACCCTTTGTTTTCCTCTTAGCACTGTTTGCATGACAAGTTTTGGTAGCCCAAATAGCACTATAATCCAGTGCAAATTTGTATTTGTCATGCAAAACCAGCATTCTTTCTGATGCTTGTATTGCCGTTGATGCTATACAAATGAGGGGGAGGGGGACGGGGAGTTGTGCACCGTTATAAGGTAATGTTCGGATCGTGAAGAAAGGCCCGGTCGCTTTCGTTTTCCTCCAGTTCCACATGGTAGTTTTCTCGAATCTCGCGCCATTTTGAATGCGTGCGGTCGTCCAACTTCAGCACGATGTCCCGCAGACCCTCGGGCGCAATCTGCTGCTGCATCCGCGCGTCCAGCTCGATAGACCGCCGACGATTCGCGATGGTGTGGTCCACCACGGCAGGAGCAGCATTACTGTCGACCGGCCTGCTGCTGCGAGCTCCGGAGCCCCGTCTCCGGACGTGGTTGTTGGAGTTGCGGTTTTGACTGCGCAGGAGCGCCTCCGCGGCTTCCGCGGTGGGCGACGCGTTCGCGGACGCCAGCGGCGTAGCTGCCGAAGACGAGGGGGAATTCAAGCCTCGGGAGTTTCGGGCTAGAGGCTGGCGCCCTCCACTCGCCCTCCCAGTGCTGTTGCCCGACTGCTCCGTGGGCCGCTGTTGTAGTTTGCATCAAGAAATTCGATCAGAATCAATGTGTTTTTGTTCCCAGCTCAAATACTAGACACGCAAATAGCCCCTGGGCGACATCAGTCTGAATAATCACAAGTACCCGATTCGGTGGTGGAGGTTTCCGCCCTGTTGGCGCATCTCGCGACGCGGCCGCCGCCCTCGCCGCGTTCAATCTATCGACCATGTGCCAGACGCGGCCAAGACCCCCGCCCGGAGGAAGTGGTTCGCACAATTTGTCTATGTCAGCTTCGTCGACACGACCAGAATACAGTTCTTCCTGCCTGCTTGCCCGAGCCTCGCGCTCCCGCATTTCCGCGTCTATTTCCTCTCGCAACTCCCGTCTGCTGTTTTGCAACGAATCGTAGTGAGAAACAGGCACAACACCGGCAGCCGCGCCCGCCTCTTCCTCCGCACCTGCTGCCCCGCGCCCGCTGCTCCGACCGCTGTTCCGCGTACTACTCGTGGTCCCGACGCCCTTCCCGTGCTGTCGAAAATCCTCGATGTTTTGAATTTGATCACTCTTCCCACTATTTCTCGTCGCATCCCCGCTCGGTAAAGTGTCACTGGTTTGCGACCTGGACGCCGACAGTGTGCGCTCTACTTTCGACCGCTTTTTTTCCTTTTTGTCTTTCTTCGATTTCTTCGCTGGAATCATACTACTGGCATCCTCCCTAGAATGATCAGCAGAGGAAGTCAAGGACGTCATCGCCGAATGAAGGGTTTGTTGTTGATGCTGTGGGGGAGCTGCAAATCCGCCCTGCACTGTAGCGTGCAGCCTGCTAGTACTCGAAGAGGACCCGCCGACCTGGTGCTGCGGTGATGGTGCCCCTTGCAGGTGGAGCTGTGATGTAGTAGTCGCTAGCATGCCTTGATCATGTTCTCGAGGTGGGGACCGAGCGACGTTCGGACCAAGATCTTGGAGCGTAGGCCGTGCGTAGGAAGGGGAAGAGGTCGGCAGCAGCGACGGACTTTCTGCCCGTGGTTGAGAAGTCGCTCGTGCGTGTTTGTCGCTCGAAGTTCTACTTGCGGTATTTAAGTGGAGTCGACCTGATGTGATGTCGTTTTTCATAATTTTTAAAAAGGTTCAGGGTTTTCTCGAAGAAAAACGGAAATGACGCCAGCACTACCCAAAAGACCATCGAAAAAGTGCACTTCGCTTTACGAAAGCAAGAAAACGGTTCGCACCTGTGCTCAGCTGGAGTCCAAAGGGCGCTTGCAATTGGCACGGCGACGTGTTCAATGCGTGTTGGTGCTGCTGGATGTCGATCGAAGTGGGCGACACTGCGCCCGGTCGCGAGAGCCCCGCTCCGGGAAAGACATTCAACCGCGTGGCGCCCCCCGCTGGCTGGGCAATTACCCTACCGATCGCGCTCTCCCCGCGATCCACGCTCCATCCGCGCTGCTGCGCAGCAGACAGGTTTGCGGCCCCCGCGCCGCCAAGCTGGGCCCCCGAAGTGGCTGCGTTGTTGGTCGCTCCTGCACTGGGACCAAAGGCGGTTCTGCCTCTGCTGCTGCTCGTGCTGGCGTTATTGTTCCCGGAATCTTGGTGCTGTGCGCCGACAACTGCACCACCCGCCCGACTTCTGTCCGAGGGTGCAAACCCAAAGCTGGAAGCCGTCTGGTTCTCGTCAACTGTTGGTGTAGAAGGCGAAAACGCCGGAACCTCCGCACTTCCACCACCACGACGCGAAGATGAAACTGCTAGAGAATGCTTGCTAAACGGATTAGCTGTAGCGGTCTTCAACCCCTGCAGGGTTGGGATCTGTAGGCCTGCGCCTGCGGGTGGGCGGTGCGCCAAAAAGGCATTTCCGGCAGAATATGAAAACAGAAAACGGATCTGGGCGAGGTTCTTAGTGTAGAAAGGCACGAAGTTGCTCTTGCGCATGACGCCTGTAACATCTTCGGTAGATGATAATCTTGCGTGACTCCTACAAAAGGTTCTTTGGATGATTCCCATCCTATGTTAAAGCAGTAGTCTGTTTCTGCACTTTCATTGAAAATTAAAAATGCCGCATCGTTTTTCATTTTACCAAAGGATAGCTTGAAACCGCTTGTAGTTCCACCACCGGCGCGCGTAGTTGCATTTGCAGCGACGCCTCCCACACCCAACCGCGAGGAGGAAGCTGCACCGACGCCAACTGTGGAAAAAGATGTTGACAACCCGGGAGAGGTCGCGCGTTGCTCCGCGAAGCTGGTCGCGGAGGCCGAGGATCTGGAGGCAAAATCAATGTTTTGCTGGCCGCCCGGCGAAAACGGTTGGGCTACCGGAACGGGTTGTGGCGCGTCCACTGCACTGGTCGCGCTCGAAGCCGGTCCACTTGTTCCCACTTGGTGACTGGACGAGGATCCTAAACCAGAGTTAGAGCGCTGGTTGGTGGTCGTTGGCTGCGGTAGTGCGCCCGAAAAAGCCGCGCCAAACTGAAACTGATGCATTGGAAGGGTGTCGTACTGTCGTTACGCTGTTGTTTATCTTTACTTCTACTTCTTAGGCCAGCAGTGTCCGTTGCTTTACAGCTGACAGTTGTCGTCCAAGCCACGAATATTTTTCGGCTGTCAGTGATCAACTTGTACCTACATTGTCTAGTAATGAAGCAAGTGTTTCACACTGTCACTGTACTATATTCACTGTACTTTCAGGATTTCAGAAGATTTTCCGACTCAGGCAAGTGCGAATAAGGTGCCTCCGAACGAGGGTTATAGCAATAAAGGCCATACGCAATCGTCATATACATTTAGATTTATGAGCGTATGTACTAGCAACTGAAAACTACAAGTGGCACCATTTTGCTGTACTGTCTTCACCGTTTGTTGTCCGCCCCACACTATTTGCAACAGAAGTGTCAAGTTGCATTCTTTCTCTCGGAGTCAGGCTAGAGACAGTCAGAATTACACTGAGACTGAAGGCGAACGAAAGAATGAAAAAACTGAATGTTACAACCACTAGACCTGCTGGCTGACTATGGCACCAACACGCCTATCGCAATCCTTAAAAATGCTTCGACTTGAACCGAAACCGACGATGAAGTTCTAGAACATGGAACTGGATGACCACGGCGCACAACGCTGATACCTGCCGGCACCTGCCTTGCTGTCAGTGTGAAGACCGCGTCACTACTGATGAATCGGTAGAGGTCGAATTTGTATCGTTGCCTCTCCCTTGTATTGATGTAGTTATCGACGAACTACGACGCCGCCTTGGGTTTGTACATTCATTTTTTTCATAAATCACAATATATAATGCGGCCGCCTTGATGCAAAGGCTTGAGAATCACCACGAATCCTCTGTGTCAAGTTTTTCTTTCCTGGTGTTGGGGTACTAGACTGCGTCCTGATATTCCGATTCCTCGAAGTCCTGTCTGCTTGAGGTTGAGTGAAAGTGAAATGTTCCTAAAAATAACTGTAGAAGTAATCTTCCTGATCCTGCCTGCTTCTTGCTTTTTTTAGTGTACTGTTCTCAAGTGTAGTGAGTGTGGGAGTACTTACTTGATGTGCAAATTCCTTCGTAAGAAAATCTTCGCGCTGTCCCTTTTACCTTTTTTGCATTTGCGTAATCCTGCCATATAAGATGCTGATGCTGAAGCCTTGCCTTGTTCCCCGTTTATTTGCAGCGCCACATTTAACACCTGAGTTGTTACCGGTAAGGTTTTGGTTTTTTACCACGAATGTCGTGTTTATTCATAGGGCAGAGTACTCAACTATTCCTTACCTTTGTCGCGTCGGCTGTGGTCCCAACAAAAGGTCCAAAGTTGACAGGTTGAAAAAGTTCAGGTAGCAGTTGTAGCTGCACTCGCCTCGGACTCGAGATCAAGATGAAGATCATCATCAAAACGTAGCACACGCTGCTATTAGCAGCCTGTACAACTACCAGCAGCATCTCGATAGTGACATAATTTCCAGTACCTGTATTCCTACCCATACGCCGACTGCGCGATGTAGGGCGAGCTGCTCTGGACGTAGTACCTCGGAGAAAGCGCCGCTGCAGTTTGCGCTGGTAGCGACTGCGTCAACTGGCCACCAAAGTACGGCACACTGGCCGCTGCGTAGGACTGTGGTTGTGCCATAGATTGTGCAAGTTGGGCGGGAGCCGTTTGCGGCATCATCATCTGCGGCGCACCTGCACCTCCCGCCGCGGGACCGGGGGAAAGGGACATGGCAGGTCGGAGGTAGGGGGACGCAGACGCAGTGACGTACTGCTGGGAACTTATCCCGGGCGTTGTCGCAGGCATTCCCATGACGACCTGCTGTGGTTGCTGCTGCGGCGCAAAGGGCGACATAGAGCGTACGGGTTGCGGGGTCAGGAAGGGGGAAGCAGAGGTTATTGTACGCGTAGTTGGCTGGGGAGAAAGCTGCAGCTGCATCCACGTTGCACCGGCCGCTCCGTCGTCCAAGCTGCCGCGACGGCGTGGAGTCAAAGACGCAGATCTTCGCATTTGGTTTTGTGCAACTAAGTCCGCGTGGTTGACTAAGGAAGGCACCCTCGGCGCCGCGTCGGCAAAGGGATTCTTGTTTGTGCTTGCCCCGGTCGCGCTTTCCTTCTTTTCCCCCGCCGGGGCCCACCAATCCTCGTCCTCCGAATCCCTGCGCTTCAAGCTTGACAGCCGGTTATTCTGTGCGAGAACGATGTTCCGCATGTTGTGTAGCGCCTTCTGTTGCTGCAACAGCTGCAATTGCAGTTGCGCGTGCTGCCTCTGTTTCGCCAGCGGCGTGGCGTCCAGGCCCAGGTCCTCCGCCCGCTGGAGCGCCCCCGGGGATCCCGGCCCGGCGAGCTGCGGCTGCGGCATCGCCAGCTGAAGATTGGCTTGTGGTTGCACGTAGGACAGAACCGGTGCGGAACTGGCGACATTCGGGGGAGGCGATGCTGTTCCTGGAAGAACAGTCAGCGCGTTCGGTGTCGTCATTGGCAATTGTCCTCCCGCAGAGGCCGCGGCAAATGCGGCCGCTTGCTCCTGCAACATAGCCTCCTGCATCAAATTGTTGTAGTAAACCTGCTGCAAGTTTGGATTCAGTGGCGGCGTCGCGGGGGCGGCTGGTTGCTGTAGTGCACCAGTTCCTCCTGCCGTCGGCGTTGCCAAGCCTTGCAAGTCCGCCGCACTCGTAAAGAATCTTGGTGAAGTCAACGCAAGCAACTTGTCCTGCTCTGACATGAGAGGATGAATCACCGGTGGCAGTCCCGCCTGCTGCAGGGCGTGCGTCGGCGAGAGCGAATGCGGCTGTGCGGTCATCGCCGCGGCGTTCATTTGCGCGAGGTTGCCGGAAACTAATGGAAGCTGCGGCTGTGATTGCGCGATCTGCTGTAGCTGTTCTGGCTGCGAGAAATTCATCGCAGGGCCGCCGGACTGCTGCAGCATGGCATTCTGCACGCTCGCGGGCATCTGGAGAACTTCGGCCATCGGGTGCGAGAAGTGCGGTTGTTGCGGTGCAATCGTCTGTGTCTGTGGCATTTGCTGCATAAAATCCGGCTGTTGCTGCATCTGCTGCGCCGCCGGCATAGACTGCTGCATTGCCATTGGCATCTGCTGCATAAATCCACTCTGATCTACAAACCCAGGCTGCTGCTGCTGCTGTTGCCCCATCATGTTCATTTGAGACTGCATCATATTTTGATGTTGGGGTGGCATGCTATTCTGCATGTTCATTTGTTGCTGGTCCATTTGCATCTGCCCCGGGCCGATGGTCTGCGAGGGTGGCATTGACATCGACATATTGTTACCCCCGTAATTCATCTGCGGCGGCATGCTTTGCTGCATTTGTGGTGGTGGCATGGATTGTTGCATTTGCGCTGGCATGGATTGATTGTACATCATAGACTGATCCTGATTTTGCTGCACCTGCGGACCACCCATCGACATGTTCATGTTGCTCTGCATCATCTGCGGTTGCTGCTGTGGTGGTTGGCTCATCATGTTTTGGTACGGCATGGATTGCTGCATCGGGTCTACTCCTGGACCGCCTCCCATGAAGGACTGCTGGGGTGGGTTGTTCATCATCTGTGGTGGCATGCTCTGACTAGGGTTGTTCATATTGTTGTTGATTGGTGCACCCTGCTGGCCGAAGTAGTTGTCACTTTGTGCTGGTGGAGGCTGCGAGGCGGAGATACCTGCCATGCCGGCTGGCGCGTTCATGGACTGGCCGAGGTCGGAGGATTGCGGAAAATCGAAGAACGAAGACAAGTCCGGCACCGTTGAGTGATTGTTGGCAGCTGCGCCGCCACTAGTACCGCTGCCTCGCTTTGAACTCTTTTTCGAACTTGTCCCTCCGTGGTCGCGCTTGGAAGACTTGTGCTCCTTTTTCATCTTGCTCGAGTGTTTACTCTGTTGTTCCCCACCTCCACCCCCACCGCCGCCGCTTTCCCGTTTGTACTTGTCTTCTGGCGTGTCGAGGAGGTGGTTAATCGCGCGGTTCATGTCACTGTCTGCGCCCTCCCAGAGCTCCTTCAGCCATCCGCGGGAAAGATCGTTGCCGCCCATGGCGGTGGCCGTAGCCACGAAGTCCTCGAACTTTGCCATCGTGCCGCAGTTGTCGTGAGCGCTCCCTGTCGTGTACTTCTTGACGAGGTTGGAGAGGAAGCGCTCGTGCGGTTGGTACTAGAGGTGGTTCGAGTACTACGTACAACAGGAATAGCCTCGCTGTCTCAGATATTTCCGACCGCTGATCTCTACCTCGAACCTACCATTAGAATCTTGTTCTTCTTCGACTTCGCCCTCTTTACTCTACAAACATTGGGTGCCCATGATAAAGAAAAAAACAGGATTTTCAGCTAGCCCTCAAGAAGAGTGTCAACCGGCTACGATCAAGCCATCGGTATTTGGGGAAGGGGGTTCATAGAGGACGGACCATGTTCGTACGTATATTTTTGACCTGGAGTTCGTAAAAGGCGAACAAGCACGACGTTGAGATTTCCATTTTAGTAACCCCATCAACACTTCTACTTCATCAAGATGAAGATGACTCGATTGGGATTGTTTTTTTTTTGTACAACAATCTTCCCGCCCAGGCCCACTTGACGTTGTGAAAGAGCTTTAGCTTCAGCTGCTTCTAGAAAGTGAAGAAGTAACATTCGTTTTTTTTTTTTACGTACACGCAGGTTTTACGGTGCAAGATATACTGTGCTTCTCGGCTCTCACGACGTTTCGAGGACATCCCTTTCTCTCACGAAATCTATCCCTGGCGACGTATGACTTGATCTAAACTAGCACTTTGGAACACGGAGCAGGCTTCGATTTGACGAAATGCCCCTCTCTGGTGTAGCGCACGACTGTAGAGTTTGATAGAACTAGAAGATCTCAACATTGCAATTTTTCAACCACTAATAGCGCGATGTTCCTCCATTTTTGCCTTTGCGTTGACGCGTTTTTTGTCTTGCATGAACCAGCACAAGAATCCTCAGTCACTGTCACGACTGTCCGCCAAGCAGCAGCGACCCAGTTGTGTTCATTACCCCTGCCTGCTCCGACTCGCGGACTGCTTCTTCGATCGCGTGCTTTTTCCGCGGGACCAGATTCCGTTCCAGAAAAAGGCGGAGCAGGTCCAAGCAGGCTCGTCTGGACCTTTCTCTTATCAACACGTCGACCATGACCGCCGCGTCGTTCGTGTAGAGAAAGTGGTTCCTCGTGTCCGCCCGGAGGATGCGAAGGAGCATGTGTGACGCTTCACGGATGTGCGTTCGCCGGTTCAGGAGCTGGAGCTGGTTTTATATTCATTTCCAATAGGAATAGGAGGAAGGAAAATCGAAATTTCAATAGTTCGTGCGGGTTTCTAGTTTCCATTACGTGTCCCGTTTAGTAGAAAGCAACAAAAACATTTTGTTTCGCCGACATTCATCATCTCAATGTAATTTGGGGTGGCAAAAGTGCATTCATACCAAGTGCTCTCCCCACACCCTGCCCTGCGGGTGCTTGAGTGCCAGGGACACGAGCGCCTCCGCACACTCCGGCGGCCCGTGGTCGAAAAGTTCCAGGATTAACGGCCCGAGATATTCGTCGATTTCTCGCGGCGCGATTTGCGTCAACAGCTCCAGCAGGACGGGGCAGAGGTCTGCGGTGAAAACGACGGTCATGGTTTCCAATTTTTTCCCCTGCTCTAGCTCCTTTTCGCTGTCCTCGCGAATTTTTTCCTTTTGCAATTCCCACAAGATTCGCGTCGCGCGCAGCCTGGGTTGTGCTTCCGGGTTCAGCCCCCCGCGGGGGCTCCTTGACGTCGAAAACGAACTCAACGCTCCCGTGTGCGGATCCTGCTCCTCGTCGATCGCGATTCTTTTCAGGATCTCCACCAGCCCCTCCCCCCTGCTCGACCGGTTGCCCTTCATGTAGCGCACGAAATAGAAGAGAATGCGGAGGAGGCAATCCCGCATGTCCGCATTGGCAGCTTGCTGCAGCATGTCGGGCCACTTGCTCGAGAAATCCCGGTCCAAGCTTCGCGCCCAGGTGCTGTATTCCCTGCTGGTCCGGTCCACCGAAGGAGACTCCAGCGTCTCCAATAACTGCCGCAATTCCACGAGTGAGAGCTCGAATTCCTCGCCGCTAGAGGTGGAACTGCTAGTTGTACCGGGAGCAGCTGCGCCATCTCTAGTACTACTTCCGGCGTAGTCTCTATTTATTTTTGCAGAAGCTGCTGTAGAGGAGCTGCTGCCTCCGCCCGTAGTCGTCCCCGCCGCGACGAGTGGTGCGTCGCGGTCGCCGATACCCCCACTTCCATGAACATGATGTTCGAGTTTGGTTTGTTTTGCTCCATGGAGGTCCTCGTCCTCACTGCGGAATCGCTTTCGCGATGCCTCGCTTGTTGTTCCAAGGGCCGCGCGAGCCGCTTCAGAGCGTCCTGCTCGCGTAGATGATGCCCAGGACGTTGCCATGATTTATTCTGCAACCGTGCTGATGTTTTTTGTGCAGCAATCTACTTTTGCAACATGCGTGATCGTAAAGTGAAGAAGCAACAAGTTCACCTACAACACATCATCAAAAACACATTTATGATTATTCGTGTCTGCTTGAAACAGAAACACCCGATCGTAAGAAAGACATCAGCGAATTGTATGTGCATCTTCTTTCGCGTCAATAACAAAACTCGTCCGTGCTTCTTCTGGACGATGCTGAAGATGATCTACAACTTGTGATCTGTTTTATCTTTTCAACAACGTAGGTCGTACAATCGAACGAAAGAAAAAGCCAGTAGAAATGCGAGCCTGGTTCTGGTTGTCGAGGATCATTGCATCGATCATGCAGCGAGTAGAGTCCAAGTCCAACATTTTTCCACGGAGCGAGTCACGAACGAAGGCTGCACTCTCTTCGAGGTCGACTACTTACATATCGACGCGTGAACATTTTTTTTTTCGGAATATTGAACCGAAGGCACAGCGGCAGCTCACTGAAAGCCTCGAAGTCAATCGGCGCTGCAATCAACAAAGCTCAAACTCTTTTTGAAGTTGAACTGTTATTCTACTTCTGAAACATGAAGAACTGTAGAACTGAAGGGAATCTAACCACTCAATTCTGTTGCGGTGGATCGAAATCTGTCAGCGTGGTCGTGCTGCTCGGTACATTTGTGATTCGACAAGAACAAGTTTGGCTGCAGAAACCCCATCTAATATGCGCGGCATGCTTCGACTTCTTACACCGCCCTGAAGATCTGCAAAGATAAGATGCCTCTCCCGTCTCGTCATCCCAACAAGCTGACACTGCTCGTCGCGCCCATGAGTCCCGACAGACCCCCGGTTCTCTGTCGTGAAATCCGCGTCGCCGCGTAGCTCGGATCCAACCTCACCTGACTCCACATGCCGTTGACGCACTTGGCAAAGGAGAAATGTGGCCGATTCAGCTTCTGCCGCAGACTGTACAAGACTCGCAGCCACAAGATCTTGCCCGGGGGAATGGTCACGCAGTGCGGCGCGTAGCCGCGCAGCGTCGCGTTCATCTGCAAACCGGTTACCCAGTGGTACAACTGGTCGAAATCTTGGAAAACTAGAGACAAGTACTTCCGCTGATTAGTAGATTCCGACTGCGGGCCGTGGCTCTTCTTCGCTGCGTTTTGTTCTCCCCTAGCGCTCGCGGGGTGCCAATCCGCGGAAGACATCTGCGTGGTTGACTCCGGCCCCGAACCGCGCCGGTACACGATCGTGATTGCGTTGGTCGCGATGCGTTGGAGGATGCACCGGGAAAAGTTCGGGAAGCACGCGGGTCCGTAGATGAAGCCCAAGATGTTTCGCAAGTCCACAATCACCACCGCACCGTCTGTCCCGGCGTTCTTGTCTCCATCTGTCGGCAGGTTCGAGATGAGCGACGCGCGGCCGCGGCCACGGGACATCACAGTGTTGTACAAAGCGTTCTTCATGGTGGTCAACGCCGAGGCTCCCGACCGTCGCTCGCGCAGAGACGTGGTGCCGTGGCTGTTGAGGTGCTCGGCAACCACGTGGTCAAACGGGTTTTGCTGCGTGCCGCGGAAATAGGCGTCGCGGGACGTGTAGAGTGCGAGCACGGACGTGGTCACCTCCTCGCTGGCGGACGGGCCGAGCCGCATCTCCCGGGAACTGTCGAAGCTGCTCGGAATGTTAATGTATTTGCGGAGAACCAGGAAGAACCTCTGATCGCCAATCTTCTTCGTGGTTCCGGTGCTGGAAAAAAAGCGCTCGAAGAACGATTTGGGAAACAGGGTGCGAATCCCGGACGCGCCGGCAAGCAGAATGGACTCCAACAGAGGACCTTGGTCGGGCGCGAAGCCGTGGAATCGCGTCAACTGCCGGTGGTGGCGGCGTCGCGCAGCCCGTAGTTTCGCCAAAAACCGCCGCCACTGGTACTTCTCGACGACGAAAAGCATTCTTCTCACTTTCTGCTGCATCAAGGCGCGGACGTACGCCAGGTGCCTGGTGCCCTCCTCCATGAGGGGGCGGAGACAGTCGTCGAGGGTGGCGGGCAATGCCTTCGGCTGCGGGAAAGTCAGTGTCTTTCGCCCTTGCGCCGCTTGCTCAGCCGATATTTTGTCGGTATGTGTTCCCCGCGGCGCTGCCACGAGTTTATTATTTACACCAGCTACTTCGCCTCCCACGGAAGACGGGTCTTTATTCTTTTCTTCTACGACTGTTATCCCATGGACTTCGACCGTCTCCTGCTCGGTTGTACTTCCCGCACTCGTGCGGCTCGCGAGCGTTCGCGATCGGGAGTTCGAAGTTTCGTGGCTGACGGTGACAACCTCGGAGTCCCGAGACGTGGCGGAATCTTGCTGCCCGGCCAGCATGTGCAGACAGGCTTCGTAAAGGCTAACTTCTGTACTAGACTTGGCGTGCTGAATACCACGGCGGAGGCACATTCTCAACGCCGTGCGGAAAACCTTGTGGTCACGCTGGAGCTTCAGCTCGGCGTCGGGGTCCTGTAATGTGGTTTTTTATTGCGAAAAGCATGTTGATTCCACATGGATTTATTCCGCCATAGAGAGCAAGAGGCCACCAGCTCAGCTAGGAAAGGAAATCCATCGGCGATATTTTCGTCTTCGTCTTCGTGCACAAAAAGTCATATGCTCAAAACGAAACAACTGGTGTAGCAGGGTGGATGAAGTAAATGAGTGAGTTGTTGTCTATCATCCATCTTGATCTCTACATTTGAATACCGAGAAGCATCTTGAATACAAGCTGGGCAAACAGCTTCTCGTCGTCGATCAGGCCCAGTCGGTGCGCGCACGCCGACCGCTTCACCTTGTCGCGACTGTGGGCGGCATTCAGGATTTGCGCAAGTTGCTGTCGCGCGACGACATCTTTCAGCACTCCCGTGGTCGGTAGTTCTCCGGAAGTAGATGCAAGCAAGTGCATCTTTTTGTACACCCAACTGTCCTCCAGTTTACCGTACAAATCTTGAATGGCCGCAGCGTCAGGTGGTCCGCCTTTCTCGTGGCCCTTTTCTGGCAAGAGAAGGCGGCGGTGCGCCACACTATAGGACAGGTATGGGTCATTCAAGTCGTGCTGGGCAACCTCTTGCGCTTGCTGGAGAAGAGTCTCCGCCGGTGTTGGTGCTGTGTAGTCCTGGTCTTCATTCTCCTTGTTTCGCTTGGTGGGTTTAGCATGATCTTCCGGCCGTTTCGTCTGGACAATCAGGCGACAATATTCCAGCAGAGCTTCTGTGATGGTGCGCAACTGGTCCATCTCATCCTGGTCCGCGGACGAGGGGTATTCCGAAAGATCCAGTTCCATTTTTCGACACTCAGACTGCGCCTGATACAAGAATCGACTCACCTCAACGCACTACATGATAAAAAAAATCTCTACCTGCAACAATCAATGCGATGCCGCTTGTTCGCAATCAAACGACCTTGTTAACTTCAACTGCAACTGGTCGAGCTCTACAACTCTGCCTACCGACCACAGAACAAAAAGGAAAAACGAAACCAGGGACTAACAACTGACAGTAACTCACCAACTCAGAAAAAGACGAAATTACACGAACAAGAGTCAAGTTTCTCAAAGGAGTCACCGATGTTCGTCAGGTGCCGCCAGATATCACTGAAGGCAGAAAGTGATCAATGCCTCTTCCTTCACATGCTCAAAGCTGTATACTCCTTTTCCTTTACTCCTCATCAAGTGGCGGCATCAAGGAAAGCAGGCTCGCCCAGGTAAGCGCACGCAGGCTTCGCAGCGCCAAACTCGACAAGACAGCCAGTCCAGCACTGGCGCCTCGGCCACACACACCCCCAATACTAATTCGCGGCGAGCGACGGGGAGAAGGCCCGGTGGTGGCGACGACAGATCTAGGGATGCTACAGACCCCCGGCTGCGTAGTCCGGGTAAGACGAGCGACCAACCACCAACACAATGAATGCCGGCAGGCCGGCACATCTTTTGAAGGGAGCAGGATGGGCCAGCGGGAGAGTGGCCGAAGGATCGGGCCAAACACGACAGGCCCAGGGCCCGGCGCCGAGCTCGCGCCGGCGCGCGAGGCCAGTCACCTGGCGCGCCCCACTACGGGCGCGCGCGGCTGCGGAGATGCGCGCCGAGTCCGGCCGCCGGCCTTGTTGTCTTCATTGGCGTCGCGCGATCATCGCGCGGGCCGTCGTATTCGAGGACTGTGGGCAAGCTTCGAGTCGAGATGTAGAGGCGCCGGCCCATCCTCGCCGCACCGGAGGCACCAGCACCGCCAGACTTAAGCCCAGAGGACGCGCCACCGCTCCCATTTGGCCTTGGGCACGCATCTGGTCGGACGCTCATCCTCATGGTGTTTAGTGGAATGCGCGACATAAACATAAATGAGCAGGAGAGTAGGAGACGACCCTCACGGCCCGCAATGGATGCGCGCAAATTTATGTTGGTCCTACGCAGATTATATTCCAAGGACGACGCATATCCAGATAATCAAAAACAAAGTAGCTGAATCATGATCATCTTCAAGAGGAAGAGTGCACATGTCCCTCACAACATCTTATGTCCCTCCACCTCTGCTCAATGCCGGAGACGCCAGGGAGCATGCAGATGGAGTGGCTGCTCAACTGGCAAGAAGTAAGACTTCTAACTCTAAGAGTATTAAACTTTACTGAACTCTCACACGACACCAGGTAAAAAAGCCGACTAATACTTCCTCGAGAGAAAAACTAAAAGCGTTGCACTCTGTCTCCCTCTGTGATGGCAATGCGCCGATAAACGCGTCCTTGGTCGAGAGTAGAACACAGATTGCGTCGACATCTCATCTTTATCGCGCAGCAAGACCGGTCCTGACGCTGGTGCTGGCACGTAAACGCGCTATGGTTATTCTTTAATGGCGCAAAATTGGGCCCCGCTTGCTGGCTACTCTGGCACTTGCCGCTAGCTTGCATGATTCGCGGCAACGGGGGCAGTAGCAGCAGCGGGCTGCAGCTCTGTGTAGTAAAAGCGGGCGGCGCATTTTTCATCTTCAGCGCAGATGAATGTACGTGCAGGCACATGCTCGGTAGGAGCATCACAGCGACTGCAGCAAGGCTCCCGAAAATTGCAGAAAGTAGTGTGTATGGCGCGAGGCAGGGCGCTTGCTTGCTCGTGTCGCTGGCCTTGGCGCATCATAGAAACGCGCTTCGCTTAGAAAATTCAAACAAAAATCAGCACTGCAGTGGGCTTCAGGTGAATTCTAGAATTGTATGGTGCTTCGATTTTTTTGCTAGTCCGTACTCGATGCTGTGGGCAGGCGCGTAGAGGCTGGGCTTCTATAGGCATAGTCTTAATTGGCGCGCGGTGCTTAGTTACTAGATTTGTCTCTCATCGCGGTCTCCTCTGTGGCGTGGAGTGCTTGCATTGCCCACGCATTTTTTAGTTTTGCCACTGGGCAATTTTTTTCATAGCAGAAAAGGCAACTGGCACGATCAGAAAGGCATGTTGATGTTTTTTCGTTCCTACTTTCGTTTCGTCCACAGGTAATGCTCGCGGGCATAGGGTACTGACATGTTGGCGAAACTGTGCTTGCAGTTTACTTCCTCCTGCTCTAGTAATAGGGCCTGGCCAAAAGTCAGTGGCAGTATTTGCCTTCGGGAGAAGTCAGAGCCCGACTCGAAAGTCAGTTTCCAGAGCAAATTGCCCTTGCGGTGGAAGAAGTGCCTCATCTACTAGTAAGTTGCGTGTAGCTGCTAATCTCATGCGTATGAAGATAATCTTCCTCCTGGTAATGTTGGTCCCTATATGGATCAGAGAGTGATTGTGATTCAGGGAACAGTAGAATATTACTGTGTGCGAAAGCAAAATGGGTGCTTCACCGTCCGTCACCTCTTTCTCAAGAGGCACGGTTCTACTTATTTAGGCTCTACATCTACCGTAAAAATGAAAAAATGTATCTCAAACTGTAAAATACGGTACTATCGAGCGAATAACGACGTCATGCTGAAGGCCGTCACGCGCTTCGAGTAGTAGGTTGTAAAAGTATGCTATAGTACAAAAACACGTAAAAAAACTACATAACAAAAACATGGTATTCCAAAAACAAGTTTGGTGTAACAATCCTTTCTGCAGCTGCACAACTGCACAAAGCTCTTTCAAAAACTAGTGTTCATCGGCGAAAAGTACGTTGGCGTCATCTTTGGCAGTTGTTGTGCGACGTGTGTCTTCCTTTTTTACCACTGCTGCGTCGCCATCAGCATTGGCGCGCCACTGTCCAAGAAAAGTTTTGAGTTTTCTTCAAATCTATATCACTGTCGCAGCAGCTTCTATTTGATGCAATCTGCGTCGTCGTCGTTCACGTTCTTTTTTTCACCTGTTGCATCAACCTCGTTTTTCACGACTATAACAGTCTTCATCTTCGTCTATTTACCACTGCACTGTAGCCATCAGCATGGGCGCGCAGTTATGCTTGAGAAATTTTGAGTCCGGTCAAAATTTGCCTTGCAAAAACTGGGGGCGGCGCGGGCAGCGACGCGGAAGCGAAGCGAGAGAGCAGACGGGGGGCGGGTGGGTAGTGCATTTGTTTTTCTTCTTCGAAGATATCGGTGCGATATCATTTGCGCCTGTCAGTAGCGAATCTCGTTCCACCACCACAACCACCATTCTACAATCTCCTCCGCAACATCCGCTGCAACCACCTTCAGCTCCATCTCCAAAATCAATTTGTTGATTTCATTTTCGGTTTCGTTTCCTCATCTATCATCTTCTTCCTCCTCCCTCCTCCTGCTTCCGACGAAATTGCAGTATCCACCACTAATTATTGTTATTCATACATATTAGACTGTGCATATGCATAAGCCGTTCATTAACACTAACTCTAACACGTTGGAAAAATACCAGCACTCAGCCATGCATATCCATATTTTCTCTCTCTTCGAGGAAACGGAGCGTGAATCTAAATCTATGCAGGAGGTTGTCTTACAGCTACATGCATATTATGCAACATATCAGGCACGACAAGTTTTGAGTTAACTCAAAATTCTGTTTGCGTAGCAGTCCATGCAGACATACTCGTCGTCCTTGCATTTTTTCTTGCTCTTCTTGTCTGGCATCAGGTCCTTCTTCTTCTTGTATTCGCCGGTGAATCTGTCATGCGCGTTTTTCTTGCAGATTGACAACATTGAGGCAAGTTTCCAATTAATTTGAATTTTCGTAAAAAAAAAAGCAAAAATAGTCATACAACTACAACGAAGTACATCAAAACACTCGATGAACATTCATCACAGGACGCAACAAGGACAACAGCAACACAAAAGGAAAATAAGCCAAAAGCAGCTGTTCTCAAAACAATAAACCGAAACGCTTACGTTGATCCGCATTCGCAGCAGGTTCGCTCTTCGCCGGAACCCAAGTCATCCAGAGACGGTCCCCGTCCGGTTTGCTTCTGCTTGAAGTCTTGAATCTCGAATTCTTCAAACAGGGGACAACAATCCATGCAGATAAACTCCGTGTCGCCGACTTTCTCCCGCTTTTTCTTATCGGCAATGGCGTTCTTCTTTCGTTTGAACTCGCCAATGATGGGTGCGCCGCACATGTTACACTTAAAACAGTTCTTGTGAAACGCCTGCCCGCCCACGTGTAGCACCTCCCCCGCGCCGAGAAGTGTCTTCTTGCAGATGCTGCATTTCCCTGCGGCCTTCTTCGCGCACTTGTTGCACCATGGCTTCCCCTTCGGACCAATGAAATACTCCCCGTCGATCTCGTTTCCGCACTCACCGCAAAAGGTGAGCTCGTCTTCAGACATGGCCGCGTCTGAGACCGGTTGTACTAAGAGTCACAAGGGAAAAAGAAGTACAGAGAGGTTGAGGTTGTGGCACTTGGTTTTTGCTGGAACTTATGATGGTTTCAACTTACCGTGATTTGAAATGTTGTGTCTTGTACTCAAGAAAAGCTAGATAGTCTGTTTCGGATAAAAAGCACTTTAGAATAAGGAAATAGATCGGGGTCGAGATATAGGAACTGATGCGAGTTTCAGTTTAAGTGAAAAGCTTAAGTTCGGGCACTACTTATTCTGTTTTTGCCTTCTACTTTCGAGGAACGAAAAACGAAACTCAAACCAACAAGTGGACGATGACTGCACGAACGAAGCACAAACAAGTTCAAAGTTGGTGGACGGTACAGACATTCTCAGCTGCAAGAAACCGACACTGACTTTGTTTCATGAAGATATGCTGACCGAAATGTCCGCAGCTGCTGCACCAGAATTGAATCGACATCAAAATTTCGATTTTCTTCAACTTCAGAAACCGAGCTTTTGCTCTATAATTTGGTTGATATCTTCACGTACGCGCCTCCTGTAGAAGTACCGAGGATCATGCTAGGCTTGAGGCCGAGAAGTTGATTCATCAAGTTCACGAGTGACCGATTATGAAGTTCAAGTTTTCTCATCCTCCTGATTTTTGGGACCTCAACACAGGCTGACCGATGTCGACGAATGCTTCTGGCGGCACCCATTTCTTTGAGAACACTACACAAGCTGAAGGAGCCGGCAGAAATCATGTGCGCAGGCAAACGTGCGCGTTTAGCACTCCACGCAGCGGTGCTGCGACGTCTGCGCTAGGTCTTTTTATTTTTGCTGAAACTGGTAGTGCCACATACAAGTCAATTCTAACTCATGAACCGATTTGTCAATGCAGGAAAAGAATTAGAACAAAAAATCTCGGATATCGTGTGAAAAAGCTCAAGTGAAACAAATGCGGAGCAGTAGTACATAGCGTTGTCTAGTACAGCACTCGGCCCTTTTTTCGGCCAATCGCGAGACGGTGAAGTTCCTACGGAAAAGAAAAACTTAAACTTTTTCATTTACATCATGAACTATTACTCTCCTTCGCGAAAAGTTAAAGTAGTACTAACTGAGTGTATAGTCAAGCATTTCATTCTGCATCATCATGTTGTTGTGGTCGTACGAGAAGTGATGCGACCTACAACAAAGCGGTTTTTCAGTTTTTTGGAAAAAAAAATTTTTGTTGGTACTGAGCACCATCATTTTAATTTTTTTTTTTTTAGCCTCCCTTTTTGCCCCTGCGGGGCTCTAAAGTGGTAAAACTCTGGGACGAGAGGAAGCTAGTGCACAAGGTGCGAAAACTATGAGGCCCCGCCACAACATTGCGCCCCTTCAAGCCCTGAAATGGCTGCCCAATCCCTGTCCGGGCTCAAGGGCCATGATGGCTGTAAGCCGGTGGGCCAGGGCCCCGGCACTGCTGACAAGACCCGCCCACCAACGCGTCGCAACGATCGACACCGGAGATGGGCCTGTTTTAGTGAGGGAAAATGGACCATAGCATGCTGTCTAGATATGATGTTGACGGTTTTTTGGGGAATTGGAAAAATCCGAGGAAAAAATCAATGATTTGACGCCATCTCGAGGCCAAAAAATGCAGATCCCACAAAAACCGTCAAC